GAGGAGAATCAGCCTGAACACTACTTCTGCGAGCTGTGCGAACCCAACGATCATAAGGAGCTGCTGGATGCCTTGAAGCGCGGAGAGCAGCTATGGCAAACGCGTATCGCCGAGCACGAGGCTGAGAAGAGAAGAAAGCGCAACGAGAAGAAACGTCCTAAGAATCGCCAACAGAAAGCTGCCCGTCAGAGTGAAGTCAAGTCTGAGGCTCCAGCCAGCGAGCAGACCAGCCCTGCACCTACTGCTTCTGCATCCATTCCCCCACCTTCGCAAGACTCTGCTCCTGCTGCTGGCAGCAAGCGCAAATTCGAAGANAGAGACCCCCAGAAAGAGCAGGCTCAGGCAGAGACTCAGGCTGAAGAGACGAGAAGATCATCGTCAGCAACAGCTACGCAATCCAAGCGCCGCAAGTCGGAGCAGAAGAAGGAGGACAAGGTTGACGCCGACACAGCGCTTGTCGATGTCAAGGACCTGCCTAAGGAGAGACAAGGTCCTGCTCAGGCACTCATCAAGGTTTTCGCCGATGTTGTTCGTGAGAGAGTCACAACTGGGTAAGTCGCACCTTCCACTTTTGCTTTCCACTCTTTCCCTCTTTTCCCACCCACACCTTTGAACCCATTCCTCCGCCCCGTTATTCAAAATCTTCAACCCATCCGTCTTATTGCACAACAATGGCTAATCCCTACTTTCTCAGANTCTTACAGTCTTGGTCAAGGCGAAAACGCAGACTCAGTTAGCCATCATCATGCCTCACGTATCGAGTACGAACTCTACCAAACATACGGTGCCCCTCCTCAATCCCAAGGCTACAGTCAACAGTTCAGAGCCATTCATGCCAACATCAAGAAGAACCCAATGCTCGTCCAACGCATGCTCGACAACTCTCTCACCGCACACGGTCTCGCAACTATGTCTTCACAAGATATGGCCAGCGAAGAACTGCAGAAGCAGCGTCAGCAACTCAAGGAAGAGGCAGACAAGCAGGCTGTCATGATGCGCGACGACGAAGACGACAAGCCTCGTGTCCGCCGTACTCACAAGGGTGATGAGTACATTGACGACCAGGCCGAGAACTCCCACGAATCAGTATTCACCTCGGCACCTGTTCGTAGTAGAGAGGAACAAGAGAAGCCGCCCACACCTGACGGCGATGCTCCTGCTACAGCTGGTGCCGCCGCATCACCTGATGCTATGGAAGTCGACCGTCGCGAATCAAACTTCGACATCAACTCTGTCTGGGCAAAGACTCCCGCTGATCAACAAGCACAACCTGCTCGCCGACGCAGCTCATTCGCCAAGACACAGACACCTCAAGAGAAGGGCGAGAAGCACGATGCAGATGTCGACCGCATGCTCGCTGATGATAATGAGACTGACTATGCTCCTCCCGAAGCCAATGGTGTTGTCTGGAAGGGTCAACTTGTCCAGCCCGGCGTTACTGAGTTCACTGCATGTGCTCGCCATGCTGCCGGCAACGATTTCGGCCAATTCATGCCTTGGACTGAACTCTTGCCCTCTGTCCTCGAGATTGAGGGTCGTTTGGAAGCTAAGCGCGCTGACGATTATCTGTGTGGTCTGCAGTGGAGCAAGAAGAGCGACGTGTCAGTTCTTGCATTGACACCCTATGACAACCGTGCTGCTTTCGACCAGATTTTCGATTATTTCGCTTCTCGTGGTCGTTATGCAGTCATTAGCAAAGGCCGTGGCATGTCTTCGATCGTCAAGGACGTTTACATCACCCCCGTTGGCCCTGGTCATAATCTGCCACCTCACATCAACCTGCTCGAGTATAACACACTTGACCCCAACATACCCGAGCGTATGCTTGTTGTGACGTTCGTTGTCAACAAGCCTGATCACTGGGACAATCCCGTCGTACCCGATGCTCCCCAACCAACCGCTGCCAGCCCTGTCAACGGCAATGGCACACACGGTCCTCAGTTCTCGCCGCGTCCACCCCAGGGCTTCACTCCCATGCAGAACGGCCATGCTCACCAGCAGCAGTATGGTGGTGCCCCCATGCCTCCCAATCCCTATACCGCACAGTCTCCTGTGTCAGGACAACCTTACTCTGCTCCTAACTCTGGTGCTGGAGCATACCCCTCGCCTTCGCCACAGTTACCGCCCCATCCTAATCCAATGGTCCATAGCATTTTGGGCGCTCTTGCCCACACACCAGTTGTGGCTCAGATCCTTTCAGCTGCTGGTAACAATGTTGAGGAGCACGTTCTGCTTAACATGCGGGACATCCTTGCATCTGATCCTGCCGCGCGTGACGACTTGACCATCTTTTCACAACGTCTCGCCAATGTGGGATCGCAGGGTCAACAGGGATAGAACTCCTGCGGTCCTAAGCACGCGAAGCGCATAGTTGAAGAAGAGCAATGTGTTGGTGGTGCTGGCGAGATTGATGCTGCTATCAAGCGCATCGGTCAGCATGAAATCAACATACATCATCTGTTGTTGAGACGCCACATTTATCGCTAGTGTTGATGATTCACGTCGGCTGTCAATATGAACGGAGCTGATGCATCTGGACGATGTTTCCGCATGACTTGGCTACGCCTTTTCTACTTTTCGTGTATCTTTTTTCGTTACTTCCTTTCTTCTACATTGCTGATGGATTAACGGCTGGATGAAAAGGTAAAAGACCATTTGCTTTGCTGTTGTATCCACTGTACCTTTTCTCAACTTCTACTCTCGGTTGTCTTTCTGCTGGGTTGGCGTCAAGTTGCTTGGAGTCTTGGGATGGCATGGTTTCATACCGCGTTGGGTCCTGGCTTGATGTTCTTGATGCTGGGCAGACCTTTTTTCTTTTGCTTTTCTTTTCCACTGTCAAGAATACTTTACTAGATGAAATTCGAAGGAATGCTTTTCTATCTCACTCTTTTCCGTGTCTGTTTGCCTGTGCTGACTATTCCCAATAATTTAGCGACTTTCACCACCTCCCCATGTGCTAAAAATATTCACAATCTCACGACTGACCCTTCTCCATCTCGAGGTATGAGGGTTATTATAAGCTGTCGAAATGCACAGTTGTGATTCGAATTTGAGTATGGCCATGGAGATGTTCTTTAGTGGGGTTCTTTCTATGGGGACCACATTCTTTATAATTCTTTCATGCATTGCTGCAGCTACACTGTGACAGTCTTTAGCACACTGGAAGGTTCGTTGCCATTGCATGACCGCTTGTGGAGAAGCCAAGCGAGAACTCCAATCTTGCTGGATTCTTTCAACATAATCATCGGGACACAGAGATATTGTTCCTCTAATTTTCTGTTACTGGGAACATTCTAAGAGGGTTCAAGTGAGCAGAGTTGTGATCTTGGCTATAGCTTAATCAAGGATAACCTAGTCAATGGCGATGCTAGATTGCCTAGTCTTTTCACGACTAAGACTATGACGAGTTCTTCTTGTTACAAAGTGCGTGTGTTTCCTTGCACAGATAACTAGAGATATCTGATAACTCGTCGTGACTTGATGAAGGAACGTTCAAGAATTGCAACGAACTATCATTTTTACAACGGCAACATTGGAAAGTGAGAGCTAGCTTAAAACTTGAGATAACTGTGCTGCTAGGCAGATTAATACAGTCCTTAGATGCCAGAGTTCTTAGGTGAACACTCCTCTTCGGTATCACATTTCTTTCGAATGACCCTAATGTTGTGTATATTAGGGGTAAGTGGAAATAACGCATGGCATAATCCTAGCCTCGCGCAGGTCGATCTAGAGAAGATGTGCACGGCTCACGATCTTCAACCAGGTGTATGTCAAAGCGTCATAGTCCTTCTTAGAAGAATCCTCGAACTTAGGCAGATACTAAACGAGCTTCATGTCGTTAATGGGGTCGAAAGACATGCTACGAAGATCGGGATCAATTAGGTTGTCGTCTAGGCCCCAAGGACTTCTTAGAAGAACGGGGGATGTGGCCAGAGTCTTGCTAACGTTGGTGATGGTATCGAAGGCGAAGGTACTAAATACCTGCTTTCCTTGAGAAGAGCCAACGCGGAACCACCTTACACGCTCTAGAAGATCTGGACTCGGGAGACGCTCAGAAACGCAGTTTCGGAGTATATAATTACTATCATGAGTCCTCATGTGTCGGAGTCTAAAGTCGAGGTATGGAATGTTTGACTGTGGGGTTGCCAAAGACAGTCGATATGCTGATTGATCGAAAACGAGTGATCGGTCGACAAGGATCCTGCTAACGAGAGGCTTGTCGGCTCTGATAGACTCCATGTGTTCGGGGTCGATAGCAAGCGTTATCTCGGATGCCAGCATATTTGAGTGGGGCTTGAAAACAAAATTGATGAGTATCTCGACTGAGTGCTTAGGTGTAACTAGGAAACTACAAATTTCATCTCTGCATCATCGCTAAACTTAGCGGTCTTGGTAATTGGATTCTCATCGTCGTCCAGCATCTCTGACATCTGGGAATTCGAGGGTGATTCTTCCAAGGATTGGAGAAGTTGATTTCAGTTATGGAAGGCATGATCTGTTATAATCTGCTAACCAGGACAGACGAGAGAGCGGAGGGGTTAAAGTATTAAGTGTTGGTCAGGAATCCAGAAGGTGTGGTTGTGTGAGGGGTTCGATGCAGGAAGCCGAGCGCGTATGCGAAGTGAAAGTGCAGCTGAGGCATCAACTTCCCAAACAGGCCATGTTTGCTTCTGATCGTTCTTTCCGGTCACAAAAGTGACAAGGACAAACGTCGAGACACGATAGTAGTGCATAAATCAGCTCGCTTACAACAGATACCAAGATGAATGATAACCTTGTGGCTTTCAACAATGACACTAAGGTCTTGTGTGGCGCTGAGTTTCTTTTAGGAGGTGTGCTCTCTACGAATAGTTGTTTTGATGGCGATCTAGGTTTCAAATTCAGCATAATTGTTGACGTGGACTCACTTTATTGCCTCCTCGTGTGCGAAATACAGTCGCAATTTACAACTGACCCCTTCTCCATTCCCGAGCTATAAGGGTTTTGCATTCTGTGCAACCTCAAAGTACAGAAGATTTATTTACGAGAGCCATAACGCTGAATTGAACTTCCTTTCCCTCCTCTGCACGATCAAAGTATTNTTTGATCAGACCAATTGCCTTGGTGTCAAAGTCCGAAAGATGAGAGTCCAGATCTGCATGGCAAAGAGGTCCCCATCTGTCTCCATCCAACTCGTACAGCTTGTGCTTTTCTGACGCGACGAAGCAAGTGTAATGCCAATCCACCTCGACTCCATTCTCGGGCAGTAGAGTATCGCCCTGGTCAACAGCTTCTGCATAGAGTTGTTCGAGCTCTGAACTTATGTCTAAAACGTGCGATTGTTGGTTCGCTAGCTTGTTGATCAGTTGATCTAAGACAGAGTCAGACTCTATACTAGCAGTTAGCAACAAATGGTAGAGATAAGAGGGTATGCAAGGAAACATGAAAGGAAAGACTTAACTGATCAAACCCCTAGCTCTACCATTACAAACCGCATGCAACAAAGCATATAGCCCGCAAGCATTGTGTATGGTTTGACGCAACCAGACCACATCTGTCTCTCTTTCTTCCTCCTTACTACCTTCCTCTTTACCATCACTATCAGCAGCCCTCTCATCATCGTAATTTTCAGATGTAGGGAATGCGAGTATGTAAGCTAGCACTTGTCCATTATTGGGTGTAACGTCTAGCGAATATACTTCTGTGAATGTGAGAGAGGAAGAAGCGCCGAGGTTGTGAGCTAGCGAGGTGAAGATCGAGGGGTTAGATTCTAGAGGCACGAAGGGTTTGGAGTAGGTGCGTGGTGGCATGACTGTTGTTCCAAGGAAGGTAGAAGTAGGTTTTGGTCGGGTGTGTGTTTACGGAAGGAGGTGGGAAGTGTGGTGGTTGTTGTTGTTTGATGGTATGTGATCAGGGAAGTCAATGGTGGTTGAAGGTTGTTGTCAACACGATGGTGACTGAAGGTCGATGCTAACACGATGGCTTTGGATGAGCATTATCTCATTATGCAATGCACAGCACAATCTTGTCACAAAAGCCCATGCAAAGCACAATTTATCCCTGGATATATTTTGAACATAAAAACAATCATAAATTCGCAAGCTACATGGCTTCATGCTGTAAAGAATCTAAAAATCCGCCTCCTTGCCCTTTTCCGAATAATCCATCTGGTTATTCGTTCTCGTCATTTCAGGGGACGGCGAAGCTGTAAGCACATGCTCATCAACAATATCCACCTTGGGTCCGGTGTAATTCTTTCTGCCGTCAAAGATAAACGTCAACAGCGAGATGAACAGCCAGATGCCGAAAGCGACAACACAGTAGTTCATGTTGTTGGCGTCAACAGGCAGCTCGGGAGGGAAGAGGAACAGCACCGAGGTGATTGTGACGTAAACAAGACCAAGCAGGTTAGCGAACCACCCAAACCATGAAGGCAGGACAAAAGCGCGGTCATCAGGTAGTCCTTTGCGTCCTTGAAGAACGTTGAGGGCGATGGGGATGGCGTAGGTAATACTGAGAGCGACGACTGAGGCACTGGTAATGGCGTTGAACGCGCTAGAGCTGCCGAGGAAGATGCAACCAAAGACGATAACCAGACCCAGGGTAAGACCGAGCGCGTTGACAGGAACATCGAGTCCTGGATGGACTTTGCTGAAGAACTTGGAGAATGGAAGACCTCTGTCTCTGGCAAAGGCCCAGGCCATACGACTGCTGGTGGTCATGATCGCAATGGTCGCAAATACGGTGCAGACCAAAGGGAACATAAGCAGACAGATCGCTCCGGCATGCGAGCTTGTGGCGTTATACAAGATCTGAAGAAGAGGACCAGCTTTCGAGTTGATGACTCCAGTAATGTCTCCAGCGACGANAAGAAGACACATCAAGAAGATGAATCCAGTGAAAGTACCAATGGCTACGCAAGTGATCATAACAAAAGGACCTGTCTTTCTTGGGTTGGGGATCTCCTCGATCATGTGTGCGACAGCATCGTAGCCAGTAAGACCGAAACCACCCTGGAGCAAACCCAACAACCATGCAACACCATCAGGCCAGCCTGTTGTGTTGATGAAGTCGCCAAAGACAAACTCAGCGGAACTGTAGTTCGGAGAGGCGCATGCGAGAACTGTAATGGACACAACGACGAACCCAGTAATGGACCAAATGATAGCACCTCTGTCAATGTGAGGGATGATACGGTTGGCGAAAGCATTCAAGCAGAATGCAAACACGTTGTAACCAATGTAGATCAGAAATTGTTGCCAACTCTTAGACTCGTAGGAAGGGTTCATCAACGAGATGATGCCCAGGATAAGTTGCGATCCAAGCAAGCCGCCAGTAGCAGTTAGGGCCATCCAACCACCGACNNCTGTAAGCAATCTATGTGTCAGCACAATCAAGGGACGATGCGGGTTGTGGGGGTGGTTGTATGGGGTATTACTCACATTAATCCATCCAGTGATCCATGAGATCATGCGACTGTTGGGACATAACATAGCAGCCCAGTGGTACTGGCCTCCTGCCGAAGGGTACGCACTGAGGAACTCTGCCAGACTTGCTGCAAGACATAGGTTGCAAATGCCTGCTGTGATGAGGCCCCAAAGGACAGAGGTAGGCCCTCCACTAGGCAAAGCCAGGGATAACGATGTCGCCAAAGCAGTCCATGAATTCAAGATGGCGAACGCTAAGCCGAGCATAGCCAGCGGGGAGAATGTTCGTTTCAATTCCTGGGAATGCCCCAGGGCCGCGAGTTGTAGCGCATCGTCCGAGGTGTCGCCGCCAGTCATGGTTGATGTTGTTGTTGTTGCTTGTCTTTTATGATATTCCAGCTCTTTCCTCTCTAGCAATCTGATTCTTTCGAGCTGAGCGTGTAGTAAGAAGGCACAAGTGTCCAGAAAGTAGAACAGAGGGAGTGGAAGATCCTTTAAGGGCCAGAGGTTCCTATCTTACCCCTCCAGCTGACCATAGATAGTCTTTTCGCCGGACGTTGCCCCAGAAGTACTGATTTTTGTTACCACACGCAAATTGATGTCATGGGCCACTTGGAGATCATTGCCCGTGCCGACATGCGGAGTGGCACGCGTCCTCCGCATCCTTCGACGTTTTGACAAAGAAGATTGTGTACAACCCGACGATATGGCCGACGGTTGTCGGGGTTGAACTGCCCTGACTTACCAAAAGTACAAGTCCACGAGATTGTTGAGTCGATTGTCTTCCTATCTTTCGTGGCCGAGCAATACCGTCACCTATGAGCGTGCCAAGCTGGGTGGCTCTTTTAAGCAAAAGGACAAGCAATTGTGTTACGGAGGCGTTGCGAGGTGGCGCTCACAGCCGTGAAGCCGGTCGAGATTACAACAGATCGTGACCGGTAACGAAACTACTCGGGTTCCGACATGCAGCCTCTGATAAGGCTTCGCTACGCGTGTCACCTATAAAAACTATGCTCCTTAAAAGACCCATGATTGTCAGGGAAGTCATTGATTCATTAGAGCTATGTGCTTCGTCGCGATTTCTCTCATCACACTCTAGCAGACGGCGTGGGTCTTGCCAGTCTTGCCCTGCAGCGAGTGCTTCTCGTCAGTGAAGTGCTGGTTCATCTTCTTATGACGACCAGTAGCGGTGCCGTGCTTGGCGATCTGCTCCTTGTGCTCCTTGATCTTCTGTTCATCCATCTTGCCTAAAGTCTCCATGGCAAGCTTGATGTCGGCGATCAAAGCATCGCATCTGCTGCGCGAGAAGTCCTCACGAACAACGACACGCATCATCTTCAGGCCCTCAGAGTGAGGAGCCATGGTGTAAGCAGGGACGACCCAGCCGCGCTGTCTGAGCTGGTGTGCGATAGCGAACTCGTCGAACTTGTGGTCGTCATCAGGGTTGAGGCGGAAGGCAACCAGAGGAAGACCTTTACCACGAGTCTGAGACATGAGCAAGAAGCCCATCTTCTGAACAGAGGCAGCCAGATAGTCTGCAGTTCTGGTCAGGTTGAACATGATGGCGCGGTAGCCGTGCTTGCCGAGACGGATCAGCTGGTAGTACTGGCCCAGGACTTGGGAAGCTCCACGAGAGAAGTTGAGGGTAAGAGAAGCCTGGTCAGCACCAAGGTAGTTGATGTTGAAGATCAGCTCGGTAGGCAAATACTTGGGATCACGCCAGATGCACCAGCCGACACCGGGGTAGACGAGACCGTACTTGTGACCAGAAACATTGATCGAGACGACCTTCTCAAGACGGAAGTCCCAGACGAGATCGGGGTTGACGAAAGGTGCAACGAAACCACCGGATGCGGCATCGACNNTGCAAATAGTGAGCATAAGTCAAGGCTACAACAGTTAAGGAAACTTACCGTGGATAGGAATGTCGATGTTACGCTCAACCAGGAGGTCGTTGATGGCCTTGGTGTCTTCGTACTCACCAGTGTAGGTGGTACCGAGGATGGAGCAGATACCAATGGTGTTCTCGTCGATCAGGTCGACGGCCTCCTTAGGGTCGATAACGTAGCGATCCTTTGTGCAGTAGACGTACCTGTTGGCTCCGTTAGCACTTGAACATCAGCCAATTCATAAAGATACGAACTTTTCCTCGACATCAAAGTAACGGGCAGCCTTCTCCCAGCACACCTGGACAGCAGAGTTCATGATAATGTTGGGACGGGAGTAATCCTTGCCCTCTGCCTTGCGCTTGTTGACCCAGGACTTCTTCATTGCCAGTGTTGCGAGCATGATGGCCTCGGATGAGCCGACGGTCGAGGTACCCATGGCGTTGGAGTCATCGTCGTGGGTGGGGATGTTGAAGAGACGGGCGATCATGTTGACACAGCGGTTCTGAATGTCGGCGGTAACTGTTGGAACATCAGCAATGCACCAATCAACACTGGGTAAACGAGAGCATACCGGNNGATACTCCTCGTAGTCGATGAAGTTCTTGGCAAAGGCGTCCATCATGAGCTTCTCTACCTCGGGCTCCATGTAGGTGGTGACGAAGGAAGCAAGGCNTGTGGTCTGGTCAGCCAGTGCAGGTGAAATTAGTGAAGTGCGAAAATACTTGAGAGTGGGGTTGCCATCCAGAGTCAGATCGTCCTTGATCATTCTGTAGGCAGTGGCAGCTGGCATCTCCTTCTCGGGCATCTCATGTCTGGGTAGGTCCTCTGCTGCAAAACGACTGCCGTAGATGCTGGTCTCGAAGTCATCAGGCTGGCTGCCCTCAGGCCCCAAGTTGGTCATGTCAATGCCATCCTGGGCATCCTTCTGGATCTCCGAATCATTGGTGACTTGTCCGAGGTGAACCATGATGTATGCTGTGTTCTTGGTCTAGGAAGAAGAATGAGGAGGTCAAAGGGGATGAACACAGGGAGATCTGCAAGTTATAAACAGAGAGCGGCACGATCGGCTGCTCGAAAAGCTCCACAACAAGCTCCATCGTCACCACGAGCTCAACCACGAACCAGCTAAGCTTCTTGCCAAGCCGAGCTTGAAAGTGACGTGTGAACCTATCAATCGCGGGGTAGCTACATTCACCGCCTTTGCCTTCCTTGTTCGTTCCCGTCCTGCATCTTGAAGCAACCACTGAGCTTGCCTCTCCATGCCTTGTGGCTTCTTCAGCCGCCTGCTATGAGCTGTTTATGACTTCGAAACTTGAAACATGCAAACTGTGGTTCTGTTTCCGCGCAATCACTCGAAGCGCTGTCAAATGTGACAACAACGTCATCAAAACTTTCAGCCGCGTCGCAACGCGTCTTCTCCTGCGCGACCACTCGTTTGGAACCATCGATGATCCTCCGCGTCCAAGTATCGAATAAATGAAGTGCGTGATGAGATGTCGACCTTTGACGGTATTGTGAGGGAGTTTCCCTACGTCCGCATTGACAACTTCACCAATTATCCAGACGAACCACCTCCGCTCGCCTGTTTCCTGAGCCATGTCCATAGTGATCATCTGAAGGGACTGGAGTCGTTCAAATCAACTTTCATCTATTGCACAGCTCAAACTCGCGAACTGCTCCTTCGTCTGGAAAAGTACCCTCACCGCATGAACTTTGCGAGGGGAATCTTGGAGTCAAGAAAACAGACTTATCGCCGCCTCAAAAATCACATCAAGCCAATCCCTCTCCAAACACCAACTGAAATTGAACTGGCTCCTGGACAGTCTATCCGAGTAACCCTTTTCGATGCCAATCATTGTCTGGGATCCTGTATGTTCCTCATAGAAGGCAATAGTAAAGCCATTCTTTACACAGGTGATCTTCGATCAGAGCAATGGTGGGTCAACACACTCATACGCAATCCTGTTCTTTTACCATATACCAAAGGCACTCAGAGACTTGACAACATATACCTCGACACAACCTTCACCTCTAGTGACGCTTTGGAGTATGAGATGCCCTCGAAGGCCGAGGGTCTGACTGAGCTCATCAAGAAAGCCTCGCAACATCCTCCTGAAACAATCTTCTATCTTAACACGTGGACTTTTGGCTATGAGGAGGCTTGGATTGCACTTTCAGCTGCTCTGAAGACTCGAGTCCACCTCGATGACTATCGTTGGCGTTTATACTCTTCGCAGAGAGATAACCCAACCTGCTACGGACCACAGACTGCACCTTTAGTGGGCTACAAACTCGGCAATCACGAACATCCAGGATGTCTGACAAACATGCTAGAAGGCGCACGAATTCATAGCTGTGAAAGGGGAACTCGCTGTGAAGTGTTTCAGGATCGTAAGTCTTTCACTGTGCGATACTTACTCCTTCTGACACANGTGCATGCAGCTCATGTGGTCTGGATCACGCCAATCATAGCTCGACACAAAGGTTACGAGATTGCCGAGATTGGGGCTGGTGGAGGTCAAGGTGACCTGAACCAGACGCACTCTCTTGAACTGTATGATTTGGGCAGCGTTCAGCAATTACTATCTATCTGCAACAGGGCGCTCCAGGCCCAACCTGAGCTCAAAGAACCAATGAAAGAATGGTTCTCAACTTTGATGAAGAGCGGCAAGGAGTCTATCGACCTTGATCTTGAGATCTTGCGCGATGAAGTTGAAATCACCAGTCAAGACGGTAGACCCGATGACGAATTCGACATGGACAACTTACCCATCGACAAGCTGGTTCCAGCACTAACAAGGCTGATTACGGGCAAATCCAAGCAAGAAGAGGAAGATCGTATCAAACAGCAACGGCAGATTGTGAGTTTGGTATATTGCCTGCTATGATATATGCTGACAGTGCTANNGACATTTCCATTTTCTCGCCATTCTTCGTACCTAGAGCTCCGGGAGCTCGTGCAAGCATTGAATCCGAAAGACATATACCCTTGTACCGTGGACCGATCGACCTACACATACGATGTGTCGATGGAGATGCTGTTCGGAGATCTCTGCTCGGCCAACATATTTCAAGCAGATAAAGAACTCCATGCACAACTGGGCATAAAGGGTCCAGAAGCTGACGATGAAGAATCTCAAAGGAGTACTCCTTCACCCGGAAGGGACAGACCAGACATTCCACGGCAGAGACATTCAGAACCGACTCTGAAACATACTCTGCCAGAGGAGACCAACCACTCGAGATTAAGCGGAGCAAGCCCAGTCCGCAGCTCGTCAACTGTAAGGCATGAAACGCCAAAGAAACGAAGGAAGACATCGGAGTCCGGGCACAGCAGCACTCCAAGTAGTACTCAAAGTGAGAGGAACGTGCGGCGCGAAGCGATGTACAATGCAGCTCTCCATCAGAGATGGGAGAAAGGGTTCTTTACTAGTGTGGATGGATATCATAACCAAGAGCCAGAGAAGGAGCTGTGATGATGCGAACCCCTTCGGACTAGGTAGCTAGCAGTATCTATAGCAATAGCATGGCTGTTAATCAGGACTTGTGTATGAATACTGCAAAAGTGATGGTTGGTGTTCGGCGGCAGAAGCGATGGCGCTTGTTGCTGACAGCATGAGAGCGGAAGCCGAGCTGCATGTGATTGTCGCGCTTTTGTCAACAAAGACCCAAGTCAAAGACAAGACACTCGATCGCTTGTCGCAACACATCCAGATTACCATCACACAATGCCCGAAGCACTTGCGACAACGAAACGCAAGTTTCACAAACTCCTCGATAGCCGCTTCGGATCTCCCTCGGCGCCGGCAGCAGCAACTCCTCCTAGACCTGTATCGCAAGGCACAATCAGCGAACCAGCAACCAAGCGCATTCGATCGGGTGGCTCGACAACGTCTTTAGCGACCAGCCTACGTAACAAGGCACTGCCCAAGACGTCCATCAACCCAGTCAGAGGAGAACCCAATTTTGCGCCATGGTCGCATGACGCTTTCATCAAGCGCCTGCGCAGCTTCGGACCCGTCACCAATTGGCATCCCAAGCCTGATGCTATCAACGAAGTCGAATGGGCCAAACGAGGATGGTGGTGTGTCGATACAAATACTGTTGGTTGCAAGGGAGGATGCCAACAGCGAGTCGTAGTCAAAGTCGAACCTATCGTCAAGAGACGTCGCGTCCAAACCGAAGAAGAGGTCCAAGAGCAGGAAGAAGAAGACGATGATGACGAAGAGGATAATCAGGAAGAGTTGGAACAAGCACTAGTGGAGAAGTACAGGGAACTCATTGTCGAGGGCCATTCGGAAGACTGTCTATGGAGGAAAGCAGGTTGCAAGGACGACATATACCGCTTGCCCATTGTCAAATCGACTGTCTGGCAACCCGAGTTGCGCACGCGCTACAAATCCCTCTTGAAAATAGCGCCATCACTCGCCGACCTGACTTTACTGCCCACCGAACTCAACCCATCTCCAGACAAGATTCTCGCCAACCTCCCGACCGCTCTGCTCGAAGGGTCAGAAAAAAGCAGTTCAAGCGAGGATGGGGATATTGCTGAAGAGACGAAGCANAAAGCACTAAAAGTTGCCATCTGCGGTTGGCAAGGTTCGACAGAATCCAGCACGCAGCTCCTAGCATGCGAGGCCTGTTTCCAAAGAATAGGTCTCTGGATGTACCAGCCCGACTACAAACCACACAGATTTGACGACGACGATGAAGAGGAACAAGATCGCAGTCTGGACCTTATACAGCTACATCGCGAGCATTGCCCATGGCGCAACCCAACCACACAAGCTGCCACAGGAAACTATGCTGGCAAATCTGCTCACTCCATCCTCCTTGATGTCTTGGACCGCTATATCGATGAGCAGAGACGTAGATCTAGAGGTACTATTCAGGGTACCGCTGCAGCTGGCAACGATGTGGAAAGTGATGCGGGAGCGACAGATGATGGTAGAGAGAGCTTGGCTCTAGAGACTATGCCGTCCATGCCAGAACTTAGCAGGGCTGAGACGGAGAAGCACGACAAGGAGAGGCTATCGAAGTTGAGGCGTCTGAAGACGGTTCTGGGATTCAAGAAGAGAGCACCGCCTGCCGCCTAAAAGACGGAAGGAGATACCAATGAGTCGAACGAATGAATAGACGACGTTCTTTCTTGTCGTGACCATGGATTTTTCGAGTGTCTATGTTCGTTCTTGCGTGTGTCACCCTGTCACGGAATATTTCTCTGTTCAGATCAGGCAAGCTGCAGACCAATCACTCAAAGTGCTCTATGCAGTTGTTCCTTGGGCCATCTAGAAGGATCTTGTGTCACTATCGAGTGTTCGAGTCTGCTGGTTTGACTCTACGAGTACTGCAGTCTATCTTTCTGCATGAAGCACGATTACAGTGTAAGCGAGGTACATAGCACAACTAGAATCGGGTCACACCAATCAATTTCACGACATTTCATCGCATGTTTCTGAAGTCTCTTCTCTTGTACTTTACGATAGTCAAGCCTTTATGGCAAACTACATAGTAATGGGATACTTTTTGATGTGATGATGGTATATGACGAGTCGGAGATAAAACCGATATCGCCGGAGAGTGACTGCGGGTCGTGAGTCGCGTGTGTGTCACACAGGAGGCCGAACGTGTGGGGAGTTTCATGTTTCGAAATGCCATCACCAAGTTTCTTTTGTGTCACACTCCAGCGTCTTTTGCAAACTTTCGACGACGACAATGGCGGCCGGACGAGATAGCATCACGGTGCTACCACCATCACCACTCCACGATGACGAACAACGACCTCTGCTGGATGAGGCACACCCCGACCATGGAACCATTGATAGAAGTGTGGCTGCACAGGAAGAAGAGGGCGAGGCGGATGCGATTGACGAGCCCACCTCTGCAAAAGTCATAGTCATTATGGTCTGTCTGTGGGTTGGCTCTTTCTGGGCTGCCATGGGTGAGCATCTTCCAGTCTTGATCCTTGGACAGCAGAATACTGATCAATTGTCTCTGTANGACTCGACCATCGTGGCCACTCTTGCTTCTCCCATCAGTCGGAACTTCCACTCTTCGACACTGCTCTCTTGGATCGCTACTGGTTACCTTATCGCCAATGCTGCCTTTCAGCCTCTTTCGGGAAAGATGTCGGATATCTATGGGAGGAAGGCTGGTATCATATTCGCGAGCAGCTTCTTCGCTATTGGTACTTTGATCTGTGGTTTGGCTCAGAACGCTCCCATGATGATCTTGGGACGTGTTGTGGCCGGTACAGGTGGTGGGTATGTACAAACCCTGTGCAATCCAGGTCGAAGGATCGTTGCTGATATTATTGCAGTNTGTCTCAACACCATTTCTACCTTCATTGCTAGTGACCTGATTCCTCTTAGAAAGCGTGGACTCTGGCAAGGCTTTGCAAACCTCATCTACGGCACCGGTATGGGCCTAGGAGGTATCTTTGGCGGCCTTATGAACGATCACCTCAACTGGAGATGGGCTTTCTACATCCAAGTGCCCTTCATTGTCCTTGCTGGTATCCTTGGCTGGTACTTCGTCGACATTCCTATCAAGGAGGGCAATTCAAAGGAGCGCATCAAGCGTGTTGATTTCCTCGGCGCCATCACCTTGTGCACTGCACTCGTCTTGCTGTTACTCGGTCTCAATAGTGGTGGCAACATCGTACCCTGGAACCACCCTTTGGTCTACGTCAGCTTGCCTCTTTCTGGACTTGCTCTGGCAGCATTCGTCTACGTCGAAGACAAAGTCGCAAAGGAACCCGTCATTCCCATTCGCTTGCTCCTTCACCGCACCGTTGCTTCAGCATGTCTGACAAACTGGTTCCTCACCATGGCTGTCTACGCACTTTTCTATTACGTACCCATCTACTTCCAGATTGTTCAAGGCTTGTCTGCCACCGCAGCAGGCACAAGACTAGTCCCCCAGTCCATCGGCACAGCATGTGGCTCTCTAGGCGCTGGCGTTATTATGCGCGCAACAGGACGTTACTGGTGGCTCTCCACCTGCGCCTTGACTCTCTACATCATCGCCGCCGTCCTCATCGCCACAACCTTCAATGCAGGCGTCAACGGCATACTCCCTTTCGTCTGGCTCTTCTTCTCCGGAACAGCTTATGGCGCCATGTTAACAGTAACCCTTCTTGCTCTGCTCTCAGCAGTAGGCCACGAACACCAAGCCGTCATCACATCCGCTTCCTATGCTTTCCGCTCTACAGGCTCGACAATAGGCATTACCATCGCTTCTGCAGTCTTCCAAAATAAACTCTCGAGCGGCTTGTATGCTCGTTTCGGCCATTTGCCTGGTGCTGCTGATGTTATCAGCCATATCCGCGACGATGTAGGCGATATCTCGTTCTTGCCTCCTGGCTGGGAAGACGGTGTCAAAGATACGTACATCGATAGTTTGAGAGCTGTGTGGTTTGTCATTGTTGTTTTGGCTGGTGTGGCTGGTGTTGTGAGTTTGTTTATGAAGGAACATACTTTGCACAACAACTTGAGCAGGAAGTAAAAAGAGCACAAGATTGATATTCGCATGTTAGGGTGTTTGTGATTGTTCTGAGTTTCTTCAAGAGTTGAGAATGTCTGGACTAGTAATAGATATAGATTTAGAATGGCAACATACCAGGAAGAAGGCAATCTTCTCAAAGACATTTTCAAAGTCAGGATGTTTCTCTCTATCCGTACCTTTCATTTGACCATTTTGATCACTGCTGTGAAAAGTGTTCTTGATATGAGTGCTGCAAAAGGATATCTATCTACATCCTTTTCTTGCTATTTCACATGAAGAGGTGAGAATGACCAAGAAGCAATAGTTGTTGATCTCTTCTTCCCACATCTACGACATCAGAGCCATCGGGCCTCATCAGGAAGAGTCATCCTCAGAATCAGAACACCTGCACTGGTCTATGTAGTCTAGACACTTCGGACACTTTGGACAATGCCACCAATCCATTTTTCTGAAACAGCGTGGACAGCGGTCGCCTATGCCATCCAGGCCAATAGGCTCTACAGGCTTCTGGAAGTTCTTTTCCTCCACCCAAACAATCTCTGCAGACGCCTCTTTGCGCGCGAATTTTGCTTGCGTCTGGTATGCCACTCCAATTGGTAGAAGCGAGTGCAATACGCAACAATCAACAGATCGACATACTCCTAGGAAAAGGCTCTGTCGAGTTTGGCGAGTGCTTCTTTCTTTTCTTTGTCGAGGAGGATCTTGTCGCCTAGAGGAAGATCACGCAGTGCGGTTTGCATGAGTTCTGCTGCTTTTTCTGCCGTCATTTTGGGGTGTGGTCTAGGTTTCTGTGGTCCTGAGGATAGTTGGCCGACGTCTTTTCTTCTAAGTCCGACTTGGCCTTTTCCATCCATAAAGGTTTCGTAGCCATTGGTGTCGAGCACTTCTTGCGGAACAGGTGGAACTTGGAAGGGGATTAGTTGATCGGGATGGGTGAGTTTGCCGTGTGGGATCTCAGCGTAGGTGGGCATGCGTGTTTCGCCTGCTGCTGCCATGCCAGCCATGTCTTTGATCACGGCTTGGTTGTCCTCGTTGTTCTCGACTGCGAAGCGCAAGCACATGATGGCGTGTTCACGGATGTATGGGTTATGCTCATCGTGACGGCAGCAGCCCACCAACGCTTCCAATCCTCCGTATTCACGAACTTGATCTTGCACTTTGCGGTTCTTCCAGATCAACGAGGAAAGTACGAGTACCGTCAACTTCTTGAGGTTGCGCCATTCAAAGTCCGAAGGCTCGTCTTGCGGGTCTTCAGGGTATGCCAACGGTGTTTCAGCTTCGAAGATCGTAGTGTTCGGGGGTTGAGCATTAGCATCTGTTGGCGGAATAGGAAGTGGTGGAAGGGTGTTAGCCAGATCCGGAGACAAATCGAACGGTCGCTCCACACTTATAGGCAGGGGCTTGAGGTTCTGAGGCGGTGCTGGTGGAGGTGGATAGTTGTGAGCTGGTGGTTGGTAGTTATGGTTCTGTTGATGAGGAGCTGGACGCCTTGGGATGGGTCCATGTGACGTGCCCCCAGGTCCGAGTTTGGGAATCGCAGCTTCCAGTTCCTTGAGCAATGTCACGAGCTCGCTTGCGACTTCCCACTGTGCCATTACATCCTTCCAAATGCTCTCTTCGGTGAGCACAGCAAAGAATTCGAGGTATTGATACACGCCTTCGTACATGCGCTCCATGTCCCACAGGTTTAGTGGGAAGTCTTCAGGCGAAGCTAGATTTTGGTGGATCTTGCCTTGTAGGAAGATGAGTGCGCATGTTTGCGGAATGATATGCTGGCGGAACTCGGTAAAGATGAAGTTGACGATGTGGACGTCAACTCTAAGCGGATAGGAGTCAGTGGGCTGTGGGTTCGTTTTGGAAGCCTCTGCTCTTGATCTGAAGATGTTTGTAAGCAGCTTCATTATCACCGCTTGGGCAGGTGAAATGATATCCTTGGATCTCGATTTGTCTCGGAAGGCGTGGTAAGCATAAGGCATCAAGCCGTTAACCAAGATCGCCTCCATAATCTTGACCATGAATTTAAAGTAGAGCTCTTCTTCTCGCAGATCCCAAGCAGCGACAAATATCAAGAGCTCTCTCAACAGGTTCTTCCCGTTGTCTTGAGCCAACAGCAGGTGGCATCTGACCGTATGCATATTGACGATTGCGTTGGTCTCTTCGGTTGATGTACCAGCTTGTGTTGATTTTGCAGGCGGTACGATTCCAGACATGACTATCATGGGCAATACTTCGATTTCCGACGGACCCAGAATCAACGGGACGTCAGTCAAGAGGCCGCGTCCATCCTCGCTGGAACCAGGATATTCGTCTTCGTCTTCGCTCTCCTCTTCCTCGCTCTCTTCGTCTAAGCCTACATCATCCTCATCTGTCCGATTCTCGTATACCGGCGAAGCTGGAGAAGCAATGGGTGAAGCTGGGCTCGTGATTTGAGCTTGTTGTGGTGGCGGAACAGGATAGCTTTCCAGTCGTTTCATGAGTTCTGATTTGCCGCTTTCCAGGATTTTCGCTCCTGCCGAGGCGGTGAACATCATCTTGTAGTCATCCTCGGCCACCGGTCTGGGTCCTGTTGATGACTTTTCGTCTGGGAATGCGATAGCTCCATCTGCGTTGTAGACTGGGGGTTCCATAGGAGCAACCTTGGTACCCTCGGGCTTCATGCGATCATCGAGTTGCTCCTCAATGTGGGCGATTCGTGCAGCAACTTGATTTGCATGCGCTCTGTCAGACTTGTCCTTTTCGGCTTGTGCGAGACGTCGTGCATCCTGGTAAGCAGCCAATTCCTTTTCATACTGTTGCGCAAGAGCGTCGTATTGTTTGTTGAAAGTCGTCTTTTCCTTGTCCGACAGAATACTCCATCTTGCAGCGAGAGCTTTTGCGACACTATCCGGAGTCGCGGTTGGGCCAAGAGCCTCTCTCGTTTCTGCTTGGTGTTGCCTCACGAATAACACATAACCGGACACGGGCCTCGAAGGTGGTTTCATTTGATCCCTGTTCGTGAGAAGTCGTTTGGCGTTCAAGGCGTCTTGTGCAGCGTCATATGTGGCCTTGCTTGTCTCTCCAAGCGCGACCAGAATATCACCAGTGGAGACAGGTGGTTTGGGCATCTCGCCGAGAGCAGGTTGACCACCAGTAGCATCATCAGTATCTTCAGCCAGAATACCTTCGGTCGAGTTGTCGAACAAAGCAACCCAGAGCATCAGCTTCCTCCTTTCGTTACGAGCGACCAAGTTGTTCAAGAATTGTAGGGAAGTTATGAGTAGCTTCTTATAGGCATTCACAATCCACTGCCACTTTTCCTCATCGCCAGTACCAGCATCGCCATCGAAGCCTCTTGCCGTGACTCGCACGCAGCAGTTGATCAGTCTGAAGATTTCTTGGTCGAATGTGCACTCGGCAGCCAGATCCTGGGCTCTCTCGCCAATCGTCAAAGTATTGCGCACTATTGATACTAGGTCGTTGAGTCGTTCCAAGTCTTTCCACAAGCCAGGATAATTTTGAGCAATGAGAGCACCCGAGGTAGATTCGTAATCGACGGCGGAAGGATCCCAGACGGCAAAAGAACGGCGTTCGAGAGAGGGAATAGCGGCGCGGAACAAGGTGACCATGTCCTTCCAGACTTCGTCGTTGGTACCAAGACCTTCTCNTGTACAAAGACAAGCGCATTAGTCAGAGGCAAGTGTGACTGTAGGCGTACATGTGACTAACCGGACTTCTGGTAGCTGCGCAGAATCTTTGAGTATGCCCTTACACACAGTTCTGTCCAGTCTCTCCAACATGGACTCCCTCAGATACGTCTGACTCTTAAAGTGCATCGTGTAGGCGGGCAGTCCTATGCGCAGCAGCGTCCTGTAGGCATGGCCCGTCACACTATCCTCGTAGGACGTCATCTTGTCGTTGCGCAACCCCTCCAGGCAAATATCGATATTGTCGTAACTGTGTCCCCGTATCCTTGTGAAGAAATGCGATATGTCGATGTACTGATGACTTCAATGCGAAACACCTTGAAGGTTTCAAAGTCGACTTTCAAGCTTGGCTCAATGATGCCCCGAAAGTCTTTGCCGAAGTTTCTCCACCGAGGGAAGTCGCATGTTCACCTTCCGACGTGGGAGCTTCGAACCTTTGATATTTCCTTTCATCACCAAACGTACTCGCAATCACCTCGCACTTCAACATAGACTTTAGAAACGCCCCAAACAGGTGTTGATGTCGTAAATTCATTATGTAATAAAGGTCTCTAGCCTTTCGCTCGCTCATGCATGCCCTTGAGCCTGTCTGGCAGCTCTCCACTCCTTCTCTGTCTTGTGCGATACAGCATGCAAGTTCGTGACAGAATCGTTTCCACGCTCATTTGGACGGAATAGAGCGTCTCTGGGCGACGCTGCTGGTGTCAAGATATCTGATGCTCCATCATCGAATGCAGAAGCCTCGACCTTGGCTGCCTCGATGTCCTTCTCACGAGATTCCTTCTGATTGTTCTTGTGCTTGAGCCAGCGCAATATGAGGATCAGGATGATAATGGTCGAGACGAATCCGATGATGACGCCAATTGGGATTGCGTTCTCGTATGCCATGGCGCAGTGGAAAGCTTCGAGCGTGAAAATGACCTTTGGCGGTTGTTGATCGCTATGGTGTAGGTTGTCAAATTCGTCGAGATAGTACATAAAAGGTGGTATGGTATAGTCGTCTGCAGCACGTCAGAAGGTTGGTATTGACCGTGCAATTGGGTCTGAGAAATTACCTGGTATTCAGACAAGGTCTGCTAAGCAATTGGGCCAGGAAATGGTAAATGCTACAATAGCGACAGAAAACCGTGGGCATTTCCATCTCTTATGTAGCGCAAAACAGCAGATCATGGCCAACCAGGCAGTGCAACAGGTGTAGGGAGCCTGAAACCCTTCGGATCAGGCCCGCAATTTGCGCTGAGTCGAAATCCTTGTAAACCCCAGCGAATGGTACTGTGTGTGGACGGGACGATCAAAATATTCAACCTCCCCACTCTTTCATCGATGGGCTGACGAGTTCAAATGTACATCGTTGCCATTGCATGACCGGTTGCGGAGAATTCAAGCGAGGCCATCAACCTTGCTGGGAATCCTTGAACATGGCTATCTGAGTACACAACGACAGCGTCTTATGCGTCACCTCGGAAGAAACTGCACGCCCTCCACTTTATCGTTCACTATTTTACTTGCCAGGAAATACACGTTTGGTTTTGGCAAGCCTAAACTGATAGAAGATGTAGATGCAAGTTGTGGATATAATCAGCTTCGCAGAGCATACTGTAGATAGATACAAGAAAGGATGAGCTAAAGTGTCTTTTGAGGCAATGTTGAGTGTAAGAAAGAAGGAGAACGAGCTCTGGCAAATGCTGTCTAGATGACACCTTAAGACGCTGAAAGCAGAGAGGCAGCATCAATATAAGTGACGCCAGCTGCAAAGAGAATATATGAAAAAGCAACGAAAAGAAAAGCAAGATAAATGTGCCAAATTGCAACTCGTGAAAACGTCAGCTCATGATCGCATCATGGCGGTTATCGCTGAAACCCTGCCAATGCAAAGCGACGTAAAAGAAATGGTCGTAAGTAGAGTCGTGATAGCAAAAATGAGAGGTGCAAGTCGTTGGATAGAAGGCTCAAGAAAGCAGTGAATCGGTGCTGAGTGGTGCCTGCGATGGCGAAGCCGAGTGCTTCAAGTCTTGGTCGGTGCTGTTTAGAAGGATGGGCTGGTTCGAAGTCTTCTGTTGCTTGTACCAGAGCTTGCAGGCGAAGGCCGCGGCGCCTGCGACTGCCATGATGCCCAGAATGCTGATCGCGGGAATCTCAGCGATCTGAGGAACCGCAACCACAACATAAGTAGATGCTGCAAGCTGTCAGAAGAAGGCTACTGTAGCATACAAGGTCAACATACCAATTGCAACTCCGAGCGATGCAACAACTGAACTTCTTGCACGGAATGGGCCCCATGTGTCAAGAGCAGCAAAGCCGAGACACCAGAAGATAATCAATAGCACAACCGAGACGCAGCCGAAGGGCACGCCTGCGAGAGAAGCCTCGAAGACTTGTTGAACGACTTTAGTAGGTAGGTTGTGAATATCGTTGTGAAATTCGGAGACGGTTCTGGCGGCGTCTGTGACATTGTCTGTCACAGTGGAAATGGCGTCTAGCAGCATCTCGGTCCTGTGGTGCAATGTTCTTGTAGCCTCGGCATGATGAGCCAGAGCATGTGTGAGTTTCTNGTTATCATTAGTGGCGAAGAAACAAAGGTATATATGATGTTCAAGGCTCACCTGGTTCTGCTGGTCTAGAGCCACTGAGGCCGCCAGTGAGTTGTCATGAGAACGATCAATCTGGATGGCAAGATCAAGAGCTTGACTGAGGTGCTGTGTCACATCTGCCTGTGCTTCCTGAGCGCGGAGACGGTGGCCCTGAAGATCCGAGGCGATGTCAGAAGATGCCTGTGAACAATCAGTACTGGAAGAAGCGTCAGAGGCACATTCAACCCACCTNNCGCGGACTCTTTCGACATCGCGGCTCAGATTCTGGATGTTGTCGTCGAGATCGTGGATGTTGACTCGAAACTTAGCCCACTCTTCGGCGATGCGGTTCTGCATGTCGAGATCTGTGTTCAGAGCGAGATGGAAGGACTGCATGTTCTTGCCCATCTCAGTCCATTGCCTCTCGAAGGTACGGTGCTCCTCGGTTGTGTCTGCCATAACGTTGGCTGCCTCCATGACTGCTTCGAACATGAGCTTCATCTTCTCAACCATGTCGTNCTGGTTTAGTGCGTCAGCAAAAGAGTCTCGCAAATCAGTAATGTCTGGCCTACCCTTGTCCAGCTCTGCTCTCATGGAATGGCAGAGCAGCACTGCGTTCTGGCGGGCATTCGAATAACTAGTCCACCACACTGGGTTGGAGGAAAGTGAAGCAGAGCATTGATCAAGATCGGTGTTGTCATCGAAGTTGCGAGGAGCTGTGGGTTTGGTAAAGCGGCCATTAACGATAAAACCTCGGAAACCATTGAACTTCGAACCGTGCTCAACGGGTCTGAAGGGTGAACAAGATGAAGGAATGTTGGCGTTGGCATCCATGAGTTCACAGATGGCCAGACGTGTAGCGTAGATCGACTTGGAGCGTTCGAGCATCACATCGACGCCTTTGTTGTTATCGAGGCTGGTAGCATGATCGATTTCAGAGCAAGTGTTGAGGAGAGCCTGAGAAGCCAGCTTCTGACACGAAGGAAGTTTCTCAACCTTGTACATGGTGTCGATGATAATGTGCATGCCTTGGGTAATGCGAACCTTGTTGGAAGCAAGTTCGATACCTGTGAGGTCTTCAAGATCGTGAACCTTGAGGGCTGGTTGGGAGCCCATGCAAGGCAAGAAGAGAAGGAACGAGAACAACAGCATGGCCAGCATGGTGGTGTTCATGATCAAGGTTGGGAAAGGAAAGAAGGAAGGTTGGCTTCAGATCGTGGGACCTGGATGGGATGGAGTGGTGTTGGAGCGGAAAGAAAAGGAAACAAACGGAAAGGAAGATCGTAAAAGACCTTTACAGTGGCTGGCTTGCCACAATAGACAATGGCTGAATAGTTGACTTGATTAAAGTCAATCTTGCAATTATAATGTCAATTGTAATGTTGACAATGCGAGATGGTGAAGCGTGATGGAGGTCCGGACTCGGCGGAGGGCGCGGAGAGATGGCGTGCCAAGCTTCACTTGGGGCGGAGGTGGAAAGTCGGTTCGCCGTTCATTTGTTTCTCCAGCGAATAATTGTAGCTGTCGCGATACACACCTCGTCCACATCACACACCATGTTCACTCCAGCAAGGCGGCGCTGTGTCAGCGCAATCAAGAACTCTCGTTCCGCAGAAGTTTCCATTCCCGCATTCCTCCTCCCGGCTTTCCAGCAGCAATCGTCGTCCTTTTCTACCTCGTCGCCATGTCAGTCAAAGATTGGTAGCGCACCGCTATCATTGCCTCCGGATGTCAAGTTCAACATCGTCGAAGCGGCCGTTCAGAAGAAGGGTGCCAGAGTCAGCCGTACACAGGAAGGCGCAACAATCCACATTGAGGGCCCTCTTGGAAAGCTGTCTATGCCCATCCCCGCATACATGAATATTGTCTCGGACGAAGCAAAACGCACATACAGCTTGAGCATTCTGGACCAGGAGGAGAGAAAGCAGAGGGAGATGTGGGGTGAGTGAAAGACCTTGTCAAAGAGCTAGGACTATGTGCCTGACATACTGAAAAANGGAACCTGCCGCGCATACTTGCAAAATCACATTCTTGGTGTCAGTGAAGGCCACTCTGCCATCCTTCGTCTTGTTGGTGTCGGTTACCGTGCAACCGTCGAAAAGTCCGCCGTCACAAAACAGCCCGAGTACCCTGGCCAGGAGTTTGTCTCTCTCAAAGTTGGCTACTCACATCCCATCGAACTCGGTGTACCTAAGGGTGTGAAAGCGAGCACCCCTCAGCCTACACGCATTCTGCTTGAGGGCGTCGAGAAGGAGGTTGTGAAGCAATTCGCTGCCGAGATCCGTGCATGGAGAGTGCCCGAACCCTACAAGGGAAAGGGTATTTTTGTCAACGACGAAACCATCAAGCTGAAGGCCAAGAAGATCAAATAGACGATTCGCTTCTTGTACTCTGTATTTACTGTACGATATCTATTCCGAGAGCTGGATCTCATGTTCGAAAGCCCTTATTCTTGCCAACATGTTCCTTTCCTGAGGCACATCCAATACTCCGTAGCGTGAAGCAGCAAAGGTGGAGGCGGGTCGAGGGGCTACTTAAACTTGTGACAGTGACTGATGCACGAGTGTCGGAGAGCTTTCAATTGTGTCGCGGGTCTCTATATCGGAGAATAAGCTGCAGGGGAAGTGTCCGAAACGCGACTTCCTTCTTGCATGCCGACAGAATAGCGCCAAGCCAACATGTTGAGAATGCTTCATCTCGCCTTGATCTTTCGGTCTTATTAGCAAGCACTCCACTACTTATCGTGAACACCTCCAAGACATTTTGTTTAGTATTAACCATTCAGCTGAAGAGGTCGGCAGACATTCTTGCATCATATCGATGATGGAGGGTCGTCTAAAGAGTTTTACCCTTCGAGCTCGTATCGCAATTTTGGCTCGAACTGGTTTCACCAGTGCACCAATAAAGATCTGCGACGAAAGCCACAGTGGTTAAAAAAAGCAGCATCCAAGAAGGATCCCCAGACGGCAAACCTCGTACCTTGCAGACCAGTCCCAATAGGCGCGAATACATAGGCATTCTAACCCCCTCCTTCGCAATCGGTAGGTTATTAGTCGACCAGTTGAAGCAGCTTCCTGTGACGATTTCTTGCTTTCTGCTCTTGAAGGGCCACATTCCTTTCCATCTTGATCATTCTGCTTCCTGCCGCATACTGTCGCATTCCCTTTTACACCTTGATACCTGATAACGACACCCCGTAACCCCTACCACAATGCTCTCGGATCTATTTCTGAGTCGGTCGCGAACTCAGCTGTATGGATATGACAAAGTTCGCGTGCCTTTCCACGCTATTCGCGCTGCACAGCTGGTTTCGAGCATCATCGTTGGTAGTACAATGGCATTTTTCATCTATCATCTACAACACGACAACTGGCCAACACCGTGGACTTTCAAAGTGGTATGTGTAACGTTGGAACTTCTGGAGGTTCGGAGTCACTGACCTTTATTGATANNGCTTATGAGCGTTTCGTGGATCACGATAGCTATCCTGGCTGGTACCATCGCTCTCCACCTGCGTGTCGGTCTCAATCCTCGTCTCAACCTCATCCTCAACTCCACGATCTTCGTCATTTGGACTATTGGTTTCGGCATGCTGTCCTGGTGGATGTGGGGCACCCTGACACACTTCTGCGACGTCAGTCACTGGAATGATGGCACTGGCATCATGGTCTGCAAGATCTACAAGGCTTTGTTCAGCTTTGCGCTGCTAGGACTGTAAGTATTGACTTGGTGTAGTCTAAGTAGCATCGTCTGACCAATCTTAGGNATCTCTACTCTGATGGCAGTCGCCCTGGACATTCACATTAGCCGCATGAACACTCTACGCGGCCAGCACTTCCGCCTGAATATCTTCGGCGACAANAAGACCAGTGAAGTTCCTACAAATGGCCCATACACCGATGTCAACTCTCAATCAAACTCGCAAGACAACCTCAACAACTCTAACGAGAGCTTACCGCACGTCGCAACTGGGGATGCCTTCGAGGTTCCTAGCGCCGGATCACAAAAGACCAGAGCAGGATACACGATTCCGGAATCACAGTTTGACTATGAGACTGGATACCATGGAGCACATGCTGAGAGGGTGTTTGGTGCAAAGTAGAGAAAAGAAGGCTAGAGGCTGGTTTCTTGATTAAAAGGAGGATACAAGATGGAAGGAGTGTAACGCATATCATGAACTGGCTGTCCTTAATAAGCGGAGGCTGGAACTCCTTAAGACTGGACTACCGCAAACAAAATCTGCTCTGTATGAAGCAGTGAAGAATCAACCATTTCTACACAAGACACTGGCATCACCAAGTCGTGAAGATTCATGAAGTATTGTGTCAAATCATGAGTGGCCAGAAACAAGCCAACATCACATCAGCCAGTAAGCCCCAACCACCTCAACACCACACCAATAGGTAAACAATCACCCACTCCCTCCTTCCTCTAGCTCTTATATACCAGCACAGCCACCTCCCTCCCACCTGCCACCAACCATCGCTTTACCGACAGGCGGTGGTCTAGCGGTCGCACGCCAACACTTTGTTGTTGGCGACCCCCCGCTGGAAGGTCACTGGTTCGATTCTCTGAGTCGGATTAAAACTTTCAGAGATGCTGATTCTCCTATTTCTGAAATGAAACCAGTGATATCTGGTGGCTTTCTCCCCGCTAATGGGTTCTCTTCGACTGAGCCTGTGGCGGGGATTTGTTTTGCTGGTTTAGTAGGGTTTGTGAGAGTCTATGGCTTGTAGGCGGTTGTGCTGTAGTTGACTTGTTATGTTGTGAGTGAAAGTTGTGCATGTTGGCTTGCTTCTCCAGTGAAGTACTTGGATTTCTTGACCTAACATAGTCTGCCCTCTTCATTGAGACATCGACCATACCACGGGGCTTTCTTGACCAACAACTTGACTCTACATCGGTGATCGACGGTAGAAAGTCATTGCCTTTTTTTCTTAGTAAAGCTGGATGTCTTTGGACAGAACAAGGATTCCCGAGCCTGGATTTCATCTCTTGAGAAGACAGGAACTGTGTTTGCACTCAGACTAAGACAACATCACGAGGTAACCAAGAAAAGAGACGATATACAATAAAGTGCGTTAAATGAGCAACGCAAAATCATATCCGCTACATAAATATCGTACAGCGGCTTTGCTTCCTTGCGCTGCTAGCTACATAACTAAAATTCGGTAGCTGTAACCACGTATATCGTTGAGGGAGTGCAGGTAGGCGTGACGAAGACTGTGGTTAACACGAAAGTGCCGACACCAGGGAACAGTGTCTCAGTTTGCGTCAAGGTTGTGTACTCTGTCTCTGTGGTTGTCGAGGTAGTCAGGCCCGATGTCGTGGACGTGATGGTTGATGTAAGTGTCGACGTAGGAGGACACACGGAAACAGTACTGTAGACAGTGCGCTCCGTGGCGACGACCTCAGATCTCACAGGTTGACGTTTGGAGGGCAAAGCGTAGGTGCAAGTGGTTGCAGTGACATAGCTGTGAGATATCAGACTGCGTACCACACCAATTTCTCAAATAGAATGTACTTACTAAGTCTCAGTCTCTGTGTATGCAAATTCGTACGTATAAGAAAGAACGTTTGTAGGTAGAGTTGTAGTGGCCGTATCCGTTATGGTGGACCAATAAGTTGTCCAGGCTGTAGCAGTTGGGGTCACCGAAGCAACACTGGGACAGGTGTACGTGGCAATTGAGAAGACCTGGTCGATGCTCGTCGAGACAGAGTCCTTAGAAGTCGTCAAAGTAGCTCGCGAGGTGCTCCTGAGAGTCTGCATTTGTACAGCAGTGGTCACGATCGAAGTAAGCGTCGAATACTGAGTAGATAACTTGTCCACAGTCGAGACATGAGTGACTGATATGACACGGGTACTTTGAGCTTGCTTGGTAGTGAAGCTTGTTGTGGTGCTCAGTGTTGTCGTGTATGAAGTATAGACTGTGGCCGGCTTCAGAGATCCGGGTTTCATGATGCAGTTGCATGCTTGAGTAGCCTGGGAAGGTGCGAGAGTCTTCCAGAACGAGGGCACGGCAAGCGGAGCGGGTGTATATCTACGAGCCAAGCTTGCGATCTCGACTGTTTGAGTGCCTACTTCTGCCACATTGACGGTCTGTACACTCGTCTTTGTGTCAATAGCTACAGAGACCGTGCCAAGATTCGTGGTGTCAATATACTGGACGACAATGCTGGTCTTGGTAGCAGTAGATTTCGCCGTGACAGACTGAATGACTTTCTCTGTGCTGATCTCGTTGACAGTCGATGCGCGTCTGATGGTCGAGGTGAGAGAAGCAATCGAAGTTCCTTGTGTCTTGGTCTTCATGATGGTACTACCCTTTGTAATTGTCTTCACTGCAAAAACAGTAGGTCTCAGAAGCGACGTGCAGTACTCTGAAGCCTGCGACAGCAGCGTAGGCTTGCTTGCAAGAAGCGTGGACTGCGAGGAGCAGAAGGGAACCGACGAAGTCTGCTTCGTGACTACACACTTGCAAAGCGTGAGCAATTGCTTAGCAGAGTACAGAGCGAACGGAGATGTCGTTCTAGGGCTTGAATCATGTCAGTATTCTAACCAATGCCCATGAGTATACGTAACATACTATGCATTATAGAAGGTGCAAAAGTGCCAGGGTTCGGTGAACTGCTTGCTCATCTCTGCTTCACATGAGGCTTGAGATTGTCTCTTCTCAAGAATAGCTTCGACCGAGCCTTCTTCACGCTTTGGCTTGGAAGCAGTACTGGACGAAGAAATGCATTTGCACAGGTCCGTGACTTGAGGGTGAGTGAATTCAAGGAAAGGTGATCTGGTACGGATGCTGGTTTGATATCAGGGATAGAGTTCAATGTTGAGCAGCAATGATGAAACGTACTCAGAGAGCCACCATCTGCAGAAGTAGTTCTCATCATTGACAGTGCGACGGACAATGGCAATGTCTCTTGCAGCACATTTAGAGGTAGCTCGCGCTTGCAGCGGCGATGAGAGCACGCCTAGGGCGAGGGTCAAGAACGTAACGAAGAACAATAGCCTCTGGCTGAACATCTTGCTAGGGGAGGGAGGGAGGGTGCGACAATACAGATCATGACCGTACAATATCTCTACTCATATAGCGTCCCGAGCCATATTGACAAGAGTGACTATGAGATTTGACAAGCTGCAACAAGCAAAAGGTGAGTTGTTTGAAGGAATAGATGAGAACAACGGTCGATAAACTGTCGGCGAAGCCCGAATTCATAGGTAGGGATGTACGTTCGTTTCTGGTGGAGATTCATCTTTGTGGGGGTACTCCGAGGTCGAGGGTCGAAGGATGAACATAGAGGCGACTAAGAGACCCAGAAAGAATCATTGTCTGTGTCTCAAGAGCAGTCTCAGCCAGCCACAGTAACAACGGTTCTGCTTCTGTGGAAGAGTCGCAACGGTGGGATGAGAGCCAACTCATTGCTCGCGTGTAGAAGTATCCGCGTAAAGAAAGGATTAATATCAGTGCAAGAGATCGAAGGCTTCAATGACAGTGTGAGGCGGCCATGTTCTTGAGGAAGAGATTGATGGTAGAGAAGTGTTGTTTGAGAAGCGATGTGCGGCGTTCCCAACAAAAGGCAGGAGCAGCTCTGGAACTTGTTGCCTTCCAACGGTTCGCACTTGGTCATGAACACATTGATGTAGAGATCAGAGGCTCAACAATAAGTACTTAGCAGACAGTTGTGTACAAGTCTTTACGCTATACGGCACGAAATACAAGCTGCACTCCAACTTCATGCAAAGTACAAGCTAGAGTATCCGCAAAGGCATTGGACCCAAAAACTGCTCTCAGAGCCTTCCACGATTGGATCGTTGTTCATTCTCCTCTCATGACAGAGCAAAGAGCACATCAAACTCGAAGCATAGAAGTCAATTCTCCTGAACCACTACATCTGACCCTTCGTCCTGAATGACACTAGCGCTCATCCCACAACTCCTTAAATCTCGATGAGTGTTGCTGCAACAAAACCTTAGGGTTGCCATATTCAACCAATTTGCCAGCATCCATAACACCCACAAAGTCAAACCCAGCAATGGTATCCAATTTATGAGCCACCGAGATGATAGTGTGTTCGGCAAACTCTTTCATGATGAGAGATTGAATCTTGATGTCCATCTCGGTATCGATACTNNGTACAAGTCTGTCAGTGAACAAAGTCCGAGTACCGTATAGAAGACGAAGATAAACGAGTACTGACCTGCTGGTGGCTTCATCCATGACCAACACCTTGCCTTCATCTTTCCTCAGCAAAGCCCTTGCAATGTTGAAAAGTTGCTTGGATCCTTGACTCAGATGTACATCCTCCATCTTGGCGTCCAATCCTCCTTTTGCATCTATGGTTTCCCAAAGTCCCGTCTGTTGCAACACTCGCACCAAGTTTTGGTCCTCCATGGTCGTGGAGTCGAGAGCGAGATTATCTCGAACGCTTTCTGGGAACAGGAATGGCTCTTCTGTGATACAGATGAGGCGGGAGCGTAGTGTTTCCCGCCGAATAGTCGATAGATCCAGGCCGTCGATGATGATCCTACCCGACTCTGGTGTCAGAAGGTTGAAGAGAGTCANAAGAAGAGAGCTTTTGCCGCTTCCTGTCCGACCACAGAAGCCAACTTTCGAACCTGCTGGAATGGAGACGGAAATATTGTCGAGTGTCATTCGCTCACTGTCAGATCTTTTGTGCATTAGTATGAGGTGACAAGAGTTTAGCTGGCTCTGGACTGACTTGTACTTGGCTGACAGGTTGCTAATCTCGATTGAACCTCGACTCGGCCAATCGAAAGCAGGGTCGTGAGTTTCACTTTCTTGGTCTTCAGCAACGGTTTCCTTTTCAAACTGCCTGATCCTAGCCACCGCACCAAGAGAGCTCTCCAGTTGTGTCCAGAACATGATTAAGTACTTGATGTTAGTTGTGAATGAAATGATTTGCGTAAGTGCAACACCAGTGAAACCAGGCGAAGAGCTACCCCGCAGGCTGACAACAATACCTACCGTCAGGACTGCGATGCCGGTTATGACTAACTCAAGTACTAATCCCAGCCAGTTCTTGAGTGCCCAAGCCAGATAGTTTGGTTTTTGAGAACGATCAACGATCTCGAAGTTATGTTTGATGGATGATTGGCTCCAGTCGAATGCACGGATGGTTACCAGCCCCTCGAGGGTTTCCATGAATTGTGTACTTTTCGACATCAGCACACGATACTCAATGGTTATCTTGACCAGCGATTGACTTACTANCACTGGAGCTTTCTCCTCAAGGTCAAGGTGTCTCATCTGTCTTGAAGTTCTCAGGTAAATCCCTTGGACGAGGTAGAAAACTAGAGCCAGTGCCGGGATGCTGAGAGCTATCCAGACAGAAGCTGAAGCGATTAGTCCTACTTGTGCGATACAGACAAAAGTAGCTATAACGTATCAGATATCGATTTCGTGACGGATGTCAGGTCACTTACTGGTTGTGACGACCATGACAGCCAGAGGCAGCGAGATGTCGAGCAGTTGTATATCTTGGCTGAATCTGCNTAGCTGTCAGTTATCCTAGCAACAGCGTAGGCATTTAGTTTGCACTTACCTCGTCAAGACAGTCCCGCCGTCGACCTTACTGAAAAGGAGAGTGGAGCGCTGCAGATTGTCAGATCTCAATTCTTTCTGATCAACATCCATCAAGACATACGACATGACAGTCTTAGCAAGAATATTGTGAAGCTGAATACCTGTCTTGACAGCCATCACGTTAAATGACCNACCTGTTATGTCAGTTAACTCTCATTTCTGCATTTCCCCTGGTCTTGGTACATACCAAGTCACTGCAGCAGAAAGTACCAAAGCCACAATCTGAAGTGCTGTGTAAATGCCAATGTAGTAGCCGTATCTCGAATGAGACTCTTGCTTGTCTGCATCCGCCCACCATTTGAGCCAGACCGCTTACTCTGTAAGCCGTTGCACGACTGCTGAACGTATGTTAAAACACTTACTAGGAAAGGTGGAAAAGAAGGCATATGTGAGCTGTAACAGGAGAAAGATCGCTGCCACCGTCCAGCTAATGCATGCAAAGTAATACTTGTAGATGCCAAAGTCACCTCTCTGACGAGATGCTTCCAGAATCTTGTCATCCACCTTGCTGTCACTTTGAGCAGCATGTGTCTTACCAGCGCCCGCAGCTTTTTTACTGCTTGTAGAATCCGGTGTAGTGTTCTCTGCTGAATTAGCTACCATCGAGGTGATGTATCTGGCCGCGCTGTTGCCTGCAGCACGCAATTCCTGGAAGGTGCCCTGTCCTTCGATTGTGCCGTTCGAAGAAAGAACAACAATGAGGTCCGCTCTAGGAAGAAACTTAGATGCTCCGATCGTCATGATGACCGTTGTCTTCCATCTGCGCAGTAGGCCTCGCTGTCCTAAGAGACGTTCGTAGATGACGGTCTTAGTGCTCAAATCCAGCTGACTGAAGACGTCGTCGAGAACGATGATAGGGCATCTCGAATAGACGGCACGAGCCAGGGNCCTTGCAGAATATGTTAGAAAGCATCGCCTAGTATGCTTGTAGGTCAGACTTACGATGCGTTGCTTCTGTCCGCCACTCAACGCGAAGCCTTTACTACCGATCACCGTTGCATCGCCATTCTGTAATGCTTCTAAATCGCTATTCAGATCACAAGCATGAATCACCGATGAGTAGAGTTCTGGATCGAATTCGGAGAAAGTCGTGATGTTGCGTTGGATAGATGCGTTNNCTATAAGCGAAGTCAATGGTCAAAACATAAAGGATGACAGACAGCAAGAACTCACCATCAGCCAAGGAGATTGCTCGCACCAGGCAATACTAGAGCTCGAAAGCTCAACTCTGCCCTCAGTCACGGGCGTTTCACCAAGTATTCCCTTCAGCAGTGTAGTCTTGCCACAAGCAACGGGGCCGGTGATCATGACCAAGTCAGAAACAGGCACCTTTAGGCTGATGTTCTTAATGGTCGACTGATCACCATCCTTCCAGCCAAACGAAGCATTGTGCATAGCCATAGCGTTAGGGCTACGACCAGTCAGGGAGCGATCGTGTTTCGGGTCAGGGGGTACAATGGTTCGAGTATCACGTCGTGCTGGAGCTTGCAAGAAGGTTTCTAGGCGTGCGAAACAGCCGATTGCTGAGCGCAATTCGATGAGGCCATTGATCAGCATAAACAGAGGCTCAGACGCAAGAAGAATGAGAGCCAGCGATGTGAACAACTTGGTCGTGTCGATTGCAGTGTGGTCTTTGAAGGAGAGACCAACGTAGATTGCAAAAGTCAGAACAGGTGCTATAAGCTGTGGCACGTTTCCTATAAAGCAAGTTGGTTAGACATGTTCCGTCGTGGAGTAGCACACATCAGCTCGAAAATGTCACATACCTATAGCCACCGAGATGGAGGAAAGGGTACGAAATCGTCTGGCGGCGTCAAGTTCATGGACACGAGATCGCTGCAGAAGGCCCCCTACTCTCGAAGTCAAACCAGAAAGTTTGATAGCTTTCATAGAGCCGAGAATCGAGGTAGTTATCCCTGACAAAGGTTAGCACACTTCATCTGACGCTTCTCAGATACCTCGTCAAATCTTACCAATTCTTGCTTGGACCTTGTCAATCCAAAGGAGCTGGAACGAAGCGGTGTAGCCAGAGAACCATATGGTAGTACCTACTGCAGCTAAACGGTAGTCAGTATGGCGAGAATGTATGGTTCAGCAAGATGGGTGCGCACCTAGAGCAACGATGACAGGACCCACACACGCAGCACCAAGTTCAACTTCAAGCAGCCATGTGGCAATACCGACCTGGACAATATTTGCCCACATCTCGTGTAAGTCAATTAAGCCACGAGTAGTACGCTCAACATCGGTGCTCATCAATGTAATCGAAGCTTTGTTGTCTTTTGCTATAGCAACGATGTTGGTGGCTTTGCCATAGACTGCAGTAATGAGTGTGCCACGAAGCATGCTTAAAAACCTGTAATGTCTGTGCCAGTAGAGAGCAGATGTGGTNNCTGTCTCGAGTGTTAGTAGGCAAAACACATTACGATTTTGGACGAGCCTACTCACTGCGAGACCGACATACACAACAAAATAGGCACCGATCAAACCATAGCCGATGTTCTTGTCTTCAACGTCAGAATGTTTGAGATAGTCGAGGAGCCTCCTCAACAGCAGAGGCTGACAGAAGGTAAAAGCCAAGAGTGCCAGTCTAGGGATGATCGGCACAAGTATCGGCCACTTGAGCAAGGAAAAGAGGACTTTCTTCAAATCCGGCGGTCCGCTCCTNNGGATTCTGGTAAAGTTATCAGCGTTCTGATCAACCGCACGTTGACACATGCTATACTCACGTATTTCCCATTCTTGCGAGAATCGGGAGCTGAGTGTTTCGGATGCAACATCATCACTAATGGCATACAGATCCTCTGGCTTCAACAAGTGGCGAGCGCCCTGCCAGATCAAGCGATTCAACCACGATAAAAGTGCTTGACCATAGATGCCGCTGAAATCTTCCGGACTCATGTTCCTCTCTGCATTGTAGTAAGCTCTTTTACCTCTAGCCTCAAGCAAGAGAACCACAGCTTTGATGGCAAGAGCGACTGTGAAGATATTGCGAATGCGATCAGAGAAGTGCGGCATTAACCAGAGTGTTCGAAGAGTTGCAGCATCGAGTATGACAGTAGCGAAGAGATAGCCATTGAGTAGCATAGATGGCCGAAGGGATCTTGAATGTTCCATGTACGACAAGGTGAGAAGAGCAACACTAGAGCCGAAAGATAGCACTGAGGCCGCCATTGATGGCTTCCATGCTTGCAGCTGTGTGTTGTCCGCGAACAGACCGATCAACGCCAATTGGAAAACAGCAAGGAATGCAATGACTGNACTGCGAAGCGTTGTCGTGAGTAGCAGCTTCCATTCAGATTGAGCTTACCCACGTACCAACTTGACATACTTGAACGCAGTGCCCTTAATCTTAGGACGCACACGACTAAGCGTCTTGAATCTCAACGGAGCAAAACAAAGCAACAACACAGAAGGCACAATGGAGAAAANATAAGACTCGAAAGCATAAGTAAAGTCGAAGCCTTGTCGACAACCTTCAACCGCAGGCCCAAAAGCGCTGTCGGCGGCTGGCGAGCAGACAGCAGAGCTCATATTTCGTAAATGCAGAATAGCATGAATGACAGGGACTGGAGATCTATAGTATTAAGCAGTTCGACGAAGCAGGACTTATCTCCTTGCCGTAATATCAGGAATACAAACTATTGCGACGACGCCGAGGCGGGCACCTTTTGTGGCTGCATGAGATAGGAAGGTCCTTGGGTCTGAGCCGTTGGAGGATCAATCTATATTTAGACCATTGACCGCAAGAGGAACATGTACGGCCTTTGAACCGTGTGTTCAGATGATAAATGAATGGTGCCGAAAGTTTTCTGGAGCACTCGAGCGAGGGGAGGTTGTGGGACTGTAAGCAGAAGCGGAATGGCTCTCGATTGCTAGGTAGGTTTCGATACAATCTGTGGATTTATATACACGGATGATGCAAATATTTTCATCAAATGGGGTTGTGGTCTAGTGGTATGACATCTTCTTAGCATTGCTCTTCGAGCAGTTCTGAGTTGGAGAAGGTTCTGGGTTCGATTCCCAGCTACTCCATTTTGCTCATATCCTGACCGCCATAGCAATGGTAAGGATCTGTTGTTTTGCTCGTCAGGAACGTATGATCATTGATTTGGTGTTGCGGGTGACAGAGTGGAGCAGAAATTTTGAAAGTTTCAATTGGAGATAGCATGACATATATACACGTTCCTACTTTTGAGCTGGTATCATAACCTCATATCAATCGTCTATTGCTTGGCCGAAAGCACACTGGTGACAGCCTCGAGGACCTTGGCGTGGATAGCCTTGGGTGCAGCAACAACACCCTTGTTGTTCTTCAATGTTCTGCCAACGGAGAAGTCAAGACGCTTGCCTTGAGCATCAGTGACTTCACCACCAGCCTCACGCACAATCAGGTCACCAGCAGCGTGATCCCAGATCTTCTCCTGGTAGTCCTTCTTGACGGGCAGGCGGAGGTAGATATCGCCGGCGCCACGAGCGATGCTGGCGTACTTTGCCTGCGAGTCCATGCGAACTGAGGGCTTGGTGATGCCTAGCTTGGAGGCGATCTGAGCTTGGTCGCCGTGGGCGCTGTGGGCAGCTTCAACAGACTCGCAGAATGTGGCACTGCTAATGTCGTTGACGGTCTTCATGGAGATGGTAGTGGCATCCTTGAGAGCACCACGGGTCAAGGGACGGCTGTTGGCGCCCTTGCCGAGGATGGCAGACATGAGGACACCCTTGCCCTCGGCGTCGGTGGCATTGGCACCAAGGTCTTCGGTCAAAGGAGCGCTGTCGTCGATGGGAAGATTGGGGCATCCGAGAACACCGACCTTGACATCGCCGTCGACCATGAGGGCAAGGCAGACTGCATACTGGCCACCACGGAGGAAACCCTTGGTACCGTCGATAGGGTCAAGAGCCCAGATGCGACCCTTGTTTCCACCCTGGCTGGCACCCATGTCGAGAACGTCGAGCATGCGGTCGTCGCTCTCAATAGGGCCTCCGAGAGTCTTCTCGGCAGCATCGTCGTCGAGCTTGGCCTCCTTGACCAAATCCCATACAGTCTTCTTAAGGTCAGCGTTCTCACGCAAGTCCTTGGCCTCCTCTTCACCAACAACCTCGTCGTCGGGGAAGTTGGCCTTGATGGCAGCGATGATCAGGGCTTGGGCACCAAAGTCGCCGATAGTGACGGGCGAAGCATCTGACTTGTTGAGGGTGCCCTTGGCATGGCTGTGGAAGACCTGCTTGGTCAGGATGGCAGCGCGTTGGACAGCGAGGAGGGCAACGTTGAGCTCTTTCGAGTAGTCGGTGGACATGACGGCGGTGTTGGAGTAAGTTCGTGGGGGATTGAGATGGCGTGAGAGAAGGCGGAGTCGAGGGAGGAACGGTGTGAGTAGTGAAAATGCCAGGATGAAGAGTGAAACAAACAGAATCGGGTGTCGACGTAGGACTTTGGGAATCTTTGGACACGCCATCAACGCTAATGAATTCTGAAGCTCCGACAGGGGGAGCAAGGTGGGGCTGAGCTGCGATGGTGGGGTGGGTGTTGTCGACTTTGGATGTCAGACATGAATCGATTCTCACAGTCGACTGAACGCAGCCACAAATTACGGTCTAGGAGAAGTCGGTATAGAAATTGCTCAAGCGCCTGCTAAAAAATGTCCTCCCAATTGTTCTTCTTGGGGTTACTCAACTCGACACCGAGACAAGAGAGTTGGTCCTTTACCATCACACGGCCCTCAACCTTCACAGATCACAGCAAGCACACAGTCTATTGATCCTTCAACGTGCATATCGCAATACCGTTCTCAAGGTCTGATTGAAGCTACACTATTGTTATTCTCTCTTTCAGACTGTTCGTTTCTGCTCATGTGTATCGCCCAAGAGTTTGTTTGGTACGACTTTGCTGGCACCCATGACGCAAGCGGCTCTGCTCGAAGTCATGAATCCTGTTTGTGAAACCGAACATCCATATCAACCCAGCCTCTCCCTGTTTGTGGCTGGAGGAGAGTATTCATATGTGGCTCATCCTTTTCCTCCATAAAGACATCCTTCCGTTTGATCGAATACCCAATCCTTCGGAACCATGACATCCTCAGAAGTTACCCAGAAATCAACACAGGGCCAGCAAGTTGCTGCCAACCAACCCCAATATGCCCGTGAAGAAAAAGAGCAAAGTGCTAGNCGCGAGCGCAAGTGCCGGTGTATGTTGTGTTTATTATCGAGTGTGTATGGTCTGGAGAGCTGACTCGTCTCACAGCTCAATCTGAATCTGTTTGGCGCAATCTCAGGAGCCTTCTCTGGCAAGTCTAAGAAAGAGAAGCAAGCCGATGGCAGCGAGGTCGAGCACAGGAAAGACAACTCAGCAATCAAGGGCGTGGCCATGGGTAACGGGAGTGCCGCTGGAGCTGCCGATGCCGAGGCACATGGCAGAGAGATGCGCGAGCGTATTCTAGCTGGCGAAAAGTGAATGTAACGAGATGTACGAGTCAATGACCAGTAAAGGGAAGCAAGGAGTCATGATAGACTAGTTGTGGTAATGGCATCAATCGTCGAGATCATGTTCCAGGGCGTCGTACATGGCTTTGTGTATGCTGTCGGTGAGTCGAGGTGCCTCTGACTCTGAGGCCTTCTCTTGTTTGGCGGGTGTTTCGATGTTGTCCGAGATGGCGTTGCTGCGTATGTCGCCCAAGACTTGTTGCATGCGATCCTTGGCGGCATTGACACCCTTGATCTGAGCTCTGATCTTGTCCAACTGGTCCTCCATAGTCATGATCAGACTCTCACGTGCTTGATGAGGACGATAGCGATTGATCAAGTCGTGCAGATTGTAGAAGAGAGTTTGCAGGTGCTCGACCTTTTCCGGGCCTTGTGTAGGGTTGACAGAAAGAGTGCCGACCAATTCGAGGAAGTTGAGGAGTACGGCGCGTGTCAAGGTCTGTAGATGGGGAGTCGGGTCAAGGTGGGCAACATCTGCTGGATAGAGTTCCTGGATTCCTGCTTGGGCCAGCGATTGTGCTGGTTGCGCCAANNCTGTCATCGTCTATCAGCCTCATGCTCGATCATATATCCAGCATACACGCACATCGTGTAGCGCTCCAAAGCTCTTGTAGCGACCATCTGCCGGTGGCTCGGGAGGGATCAGGTATCGCAGCTCGGCGGGCAACGACTCCACGTCGACTTGGTTGGTGTTTGTAGCAGCCTCTTTGCGAATCTGGCGGACTTTGGTGACATTCTGCTTGGTAAAGTGCTTGTAGTACGGCGGGGGTGTCGGAAAGGCAGCCGACAGCATGCGCGCCTGTGCCTGGTCTGCCATGCTGTTGCGGTTACTGTTCGCAAACTGCTGATCGAAGGTGGAACTGACAAGGGCCAAATCTGGGGAGACAGCCACAGCACCAGCCACATCATCACTTACTCCCTGACGCCTCCTTGTTCTTTTGGCTCACTTGCTCTCTGTGACACTTCATTTTCCAAAGTCAATTATGCCCGGGTCAGAGTCTCATACAGACTCGAGAAGGAGACCCTCTTCAGGCTCTTTCACTGAGACCATTCTTCACGTATGGCAGGAGAAATGTGTACTTGATCTACCCATATCTGATTCTATACTGTTCCCAGCTGACAATTCATAGCAACCATATGCTGCTGATTATATCGGTCTTGCCATAATACTTCCAATCTGGATATGTCTCCAAATTTTCATCTTTACGGAACCTTTCCATCGCATGTTCTCTCTAGATGATCGAAGGATCCAGTACCCTCATGCCGAAATCGAGCATGTGCCCGTACCCTGGCTATTGATCTATGCTGGCCTATTCCCTTTCATCATTCTTCTTGTCTGGAATTTTGCCTTCTCCAGACCGCACAAGACACATGTTACTCTCCTGGGCTTTGGTATAAGTCTCCTTTTGACATTATTCGTAACAGATGTACGTATACCCCAACACCGTCTCTTCCTACCACTAACCCCAATACCCCCANNGGTCATCAAAAATGCAGTAGGCAGACCCAGACCCGACCTCCTCGCTCGCTGCCACCCAAAACCCAACACCCCAGAACACGAACTAATCTCCCACCTCTCCTGCACAAACCCAAACCACCACGTCCTGCACGACGGCTGGCGCAGTTTTCCCTCCGGCCACAGTTCCTTCGCTTTCTCCGGCCTGGGCTACCTGTCCTTCTTCCTCATCTCCCAATTCCGCATTTTGCATCCTAGAGCAGGCTTGTATCGGACCTTGGTGGCGTTTTCGCCGTTTTTGGGGGCGATGTTGATTGCCATTAGCAGATTGGAGGATTATCGTCATGATGTTTTTGATGTCGTGGTGGGTAGTGTGTTGGGGTTGGGGATTGCGTATGGGGTTTGGAGGAGGTGGTTTCCGGCGCTGTCGAGTAGGGGTTGTGATGAGCCGCATGATGCTTTTGAGGATGGTGCTGCTGACCAGGCTGTGTTTGAGAGGATCAGGGATGAGGAGGAGATGGTTGGTCAAGGGTTTGAGATGCAGAGTAGAGAAGGTGGTTATTTGGGCACTGCTGTTCGATAGACTTGCTGCTCATCAAATAGAAGATCTTGCACATATGCATGCTATATCGTACGGCTGTTACTGCTCTGGCTATTCTCTGAATCAACATCGAAGTTCATGTATGTACCTTGTGAGGCGTTCTTTTGGTCGGTGTGTAGCTTACCCGTACATGTTGTACTCTACTCTCTCACCATTCTTGTCACATGAATGAGGAAGGCCAATGGAAGTTTGTGTATAAGCATTTTCTTCTTTGATTCATTTCAATTCTGCGCGTATTAAAGGCGCCTTGGTTCTTCTCTCCCTTTCTCTCTGGGTATCAACAACATGTGCAATAAAAGTAAAAAAAAAAACAGCGAAAGTGAAAATGGAAAAACCAAAAACCCGAAAAAACCAAAAGTATCCTTCTCATCTTCCTTACTCGAGACAAACAACAGAAAATCCGCAAATGCAATGTAAAAAAAACCCTTTCTTTCAATGTTCCTTTCCTTCAATGCACTCCGTTCGCTATGCATAATAACAGTAATCCTCTTTTCCTTTCTTCGTTTTGGTATGGGTGTAATGAAACAATTATCTCCTTTGATTTTCCTACGAGAAACGCGTCGAGTAGAACGAACGATCGAACAAGCAATATCAAGATTCAGCGACGATGATGGTGAGCTAAGTCGTAAGACCAGCTGCAAACCAGGTAGATGGCGAGCTGAGCCTTGATAGACCAGCTGCAAACCAGAAAATTGGCGAGCTAGTACGATGACCAGCTGCAAACCAGATGATGGTGAGCTAGTTGTGAGCCAGCTGCAAACCAGATGATGGTGAGCTAGTTGTGAGCCAGCTGCAAACCATAAGAACAATGGCGAGCTAGTCTTTGATGGACCAGCTGCAAACCAAAGACTTTCTTGACGTTTTCTTTCGACTGTGGTTGTTGATTTGTTCGTCTCATCTCGCGTCGCTTAGATGATCTGAAGAGGAGTTTATTGTGAGTTGGCCATGGCGGCCTCGAACTTCTTCATGAAGTACGCATGGTCAAGTGCTTTCAGCTCGGGTGTGTAGATCTTGTCAATCTTGGCCCAAGTCTCGGGTGTCTCCATGGACGGTCCCAACTCTGGCCATTTGAAGACTCTTGCCACAGCTGTCTCAGGCACTTGAGCAGTGGTAGCGACTTCCTGAGTTTCCTGGATGGGAGCAGCAACCTCCTGAATGTCTTGGATGGGTGCGCCGACTTCTTGAGTGTCTTGTGGAGCAGTGATGGGCTGCTGTGGCGAAGAGGGATCAACAGTGCTGCCATTTGATTGACGCTGGACTTGACGCAGACGCGAAGGTTTCTGAGGCTGGTGCTTAGAGAACTGCAGACGTTGCTTCTCAATTGCTTGTTGGGCGAGTTGCGAATAGTTGGGAGTAGGTGTTGCAGGGATGGCAGGTGGCTGTGGTGCTGCCTTGACAGGACTGGTGACAGTAGGCTGAGGTGCAGGTGTCTTTGGCTGGAAGACATTCTCATCAAGTCTGATCCTCTTGGTTGGGTGCTCAGAAGCTGAGCGCAGCTGAACCTCATCTTCATCCATCTCGACAAAGTCACTAGCTTCGTCGTATTCGAAGAATTCGTCCACGAGGCCGTATGTACCTGAGCCTGCGCCCTTGGCCTTTCTGGGAATGACAGCGAGATCGTCGACGTTGACATTGATCTTTCTCTTGTCGCCGACGTTGTAGGCCGCGTCACGCTTTTTCAGTTCTTCCACAATCTCGCGACGCTCACGCTCGAGTCTTGCGGCCTTCTCTTCAGCTCGCTCGCGCTCGACTGTCTTTTGAGCTGCCACTTCGAGTTGTGATGCTCTGAGATCTGCATTGGTCTCTTTGGGCTTCGAGGGAGCGTCGCGTTTTCTGCGAGGCATTGAACCGGGCAGCACACCACGGCGACGTGTGGTTCTGGGTGTCTGACCATACAGGCCATCATCTTCAGCCTCCTCGGGAGCAGGGGCAGGTGTTGCAGGTGGTGCCGGTGTTCTGGGCTTTGGAGTGGGGCTCTGCTGCGAAGAAGAGAGAATGCGTCTTTGCTTCTTGGATGGTGAAGGTGTGAACTGAGGCTGCTGCTGTGCTTGCTGAGACTGTTCTGGTTGCTGCTCCTGGCGTTGCTCTTGAGGCTGCTCTTGGAGCTGCTTGACTGGCGAGAAGCTGGGACGGTGGGTGAAGATGCTCTTGACAGAGCCAAAGAGAGAAGTGAGGCCCCAAGCTGGAGAGGCAGCGGCGGCAGGTGTCTGAGCTGATTCCGAGTTTTGCGATGATCTCTGAGGTGTCTGGGCTTCGGAGGGACTGCTCTGAGGAGTCTTGCTCTTGCGCTTGTGCTCGCTTGGCGATGGGCTCGAGTGCGAAGGAGTCTGGGTGATTTGTTGTTCCTCACTGGCAGCTTGTTCCTTGGCGGCCTGCTCAGCCTCTGCGGCAGCGGCAGCAGCAGCCTCGGCCTCGCGCTGTGCCAAGAGTCTCTTTCTGGCAGGTGTCGCAATGCTTCTGTGGTAACGAAGGTCACCAATGCGGTTGATGGTGCGAGGGATGTCGGGTGATGGTTGCTGAACGGCAGGTTGCTGAGGTGATGATTTGGCAGAAGGCTGAGCCTGCTTGGAGGCAGCGAGGAATTGCTCTTCGACTTTGCGCAGGCGCACAATCTCTCTGCGCATGTCGATAAGGAGCGCTGTGCGTTGACGATCGGTCAGCTCTGGGAGGATCTCTTCGTTCTTAATGGCGCGATCCATGAGCGAGATTGATGCAAAAGCAGGAGAAGCAGGTGAGCGCTGAGGTGAAGAGGAATCAAACAATGAAGAAGGGAAGAACTCTTTCCAAGCAGGGATGTTTCCAGAGATTTCGCCCAGTGGGCTGTGGTACAATGTGCTGTTGTCGAAGGTGGGAGTGCGAGGAAAGCCGCCGCTTCTAGCGGAACGTCTTCTCTTGGTGGAAGAGCGACCGGCAAGGCTTGCAGGATGGGGAGTCTTCAGAGCAGGGGAGATAGGATGAGAGTGTGACAAACCAGCCTCGGCTGTCTCGTTGGCAAGCTGTGACTCGACAGCTGCCTGGACAGCTTCTTCTTCTTCTTCTTCTTGGTCGTCCTCAACGACGACGCTGTTCTGGGTCTCGTGATCGTCTTGAGCTTGATCGTCGTCAATGTAGATTTCGACAGACTGCTGAACAGTCTTGCTGACGGTAGGTGATTGGTGAATGAGTTGGCTGACGGTAGGTGATTGTTGAACACTGCGGCTGCCGGCAGGTGATTGGTGGACGAGCTGGCTGACAGTAGGCGAACTCTGGCTGGCAGCAGGCGACTGTTGAGCACTGCGGCTGGCGGATGGCGAGACGTATAGAGGGTTGCGCGTGGAAGCGATGTGGTAGTGTGATGGAGTGACGTAAGGTGATGCGTCTGCGATGGGTGCGACCTGGGATGGTGCTGGTAGAACGACGCGAGGTGACTGTTTTTCTTCCTCCTCGGCGAGAGCGGGAAGCTGAGGCTCGAGGTGCGACTTCTCAAACGACGAGTTCTTGGATTCTGGCGTCTTTGAGCGCGAGCTGCGTCTTCTGGGCGCGGGGACCTCGATGGGCTCTTCGAGACTGGCGCTGCCGGCGCGAACAGTGCTGCGAGTTGCGCGTCTTGGAGTTGCGACAACTGGTGCCTTTGTCTTTGTGACGCGAGGCATGGTGAAGGTGTTGGCTATCGATAGTCGGACAAGTCAGCGAACTGCCAGCATGCAAGGGCGAAGAATATTTGACGACGCTGCCGAGATCGACGGCTTTGTCAACCCCACGCGACGCGCTGATTGGCTGCACGCCGACCATCGACAAGATAAATGCAGTGAAGGAGACGACGGGATGTGGATGGTGAAGACAAAGAAAGAGCATACCTGATGTGATGTTGTGGTTTGGTCGAGTATTGCTCGAGGTAAACAGACGCGTTGCGCGTGTTTGTTGTGATGTTTCTGAGAACTTGGTATAAACCTTGTAATGGAGAATGCTTGAATGGGATGCGCTTGAATATAGACTTTAAGAAGTATTCACAGTGGTAATACCAACAAGTATGCGTTATGAGAACAGGAGTGTCAATCAGGAAGAAAAGAAGAGAGAATGGAGTTTGGACGCGCCTATATAGCTTATACTGAGCTTGGACACAACAACCTAACCAGATCACCACCGGAGAATCACGCCGGAGAATCACGACCTCAGCTTGGACACCCTAGCAATAGAGTTCGCATCAAAACAGGTTCTGAGAGGATCACCGACTCCAGCTAAGCAAGATCAGAACATTGCATGATCCAAACTCCTTGCCAAACATGGCCCATAGCGCCCATACAGCTCCATATCATGGCCACCATCAACGACAAGAAGGATGTAAGCATATTGTTAGTCACCACCACAACAGTGATAGATAGATAGAACCAAAAGAATAATCATGCTACGAGAGACGCATTGCAGTTGCATGCTTGCTCATGACAATATATCGGAGTGGTGCAGTCGGCTTGATCTGGTGGACGAAAAGGGGTGGTGTGCACTGGCAGTCAACAGCATGCTATAACACTATCGTCCTTGATGCACTGGTTATCACAGCGTGGGAAACATACTTAGCTCGGAGTCTTTCAAAACAAGGACCTGCCTTTGTATAATGGTGGAAATAGGGGCGACCACCAGTGTCGCGATNATGGCTGATTGGCGGCGGGAGACCGAAGCCCAAGACGTGATGGCGCTAGAAGCCAACTTGCAATTGCTCTCTGTTCGTATACCGCAGCAATGTCCTCGCGGNAGNTACCCCTTCTATGCTGTTGTGCCACCCAGGCATGCCCCGAACGCCAACAAGATAATTCAACATTCGCAGCAACCACCTAGTCGTGGAACAAGACACTGATACTCTCGCCGTGGTGAACTCTTCTGATGGCCTAGAATGGTTGTCAATGGATTGTCCTCGACGCGCAACGTCACGAATGACTACTCGAGAAGGCGCAACCCAACTTACCTCGGCGAAGACGTTTCCTACTTCGAGAACCTCCAGCTTCTGACAACGCTTCTTGTTCTCCTCTTGGTCAACGCTGTTGGTGACGACGACCTTGTCAATGGCACTAGCATTGATGCGGTCGATAGCATCACCACTGAGCACGCCGTGAGTGACAAGAGCAATGACCTTGCTGGCACCCTCCTTCTTCAAGAGCTTGGCTGCGCGAGTGATGGTGTTGGAAGTATCGGCAAGATCGTCGACAAGGATGGCGACACGGTCTGCGACATCACCTACCAGCATCATTGTCGCATTCTGGCGATCGGTGATCTGAGTCGGGCGACGCTCCTACAATACCGTCAGATCCCCATCCTGGGCGCCACTACAATTACATTTCCTTACCTTGTGAATGAGCGCGAAGGGCATACCAAGAGCATCGGCAATGGCAGTTGCACGTTTGGCACCGCCAGCATCCGGACTGACGATGACAGCGTTCTGGTACTGAGGAATGTGGAACTGGATGTACTTGCGCAAGAGGTGCTTGCCGTACAGGTTGTCAACCGGAATGTCGAAGAAACCTTGGTATTGAGGGTCGTGGAGGTCCATTGTGATGATGTGATCGGCGCCAGCGCAGGTAAGAAGATCAGCGACAAGAGTACCGGCTTGTGCAACCCATTGCTTGTAACCTCTTTGTGGTTCGAAGTGAGGAGGAGCTTTGTGGAACTTAGCCACAGGCTTGTCGCCATTGGCGCTTCCATTGGTCACGGTAGGTGTGAGAGAGTTGTCGTCGAAATAGTCTGACTTCTCAGAGGAAACCGACTCCATTGTCGAGCGGCGAGGCATCTTGACAGGGCTGCGACTACGCTGGCCATCACCATTGTCGCGCAATTGCATGTCCATCAGCTTCTTGTGCAAGTTCTCCGGGCCACCCTTCATTCCAGCACTTTCTGCTTGGCCAGGCATAGGCGTTGTAGGTCTGCTGTCGAAGGTGTAGTTGCCATTGCGGTTCAATTGGGTAGGAGCCTTGGCCAGGGGAGCCCCAGTCTTGTTGTAAGGAATGTCGCTCTGTCTCGAGTAGGGGAAGAGAGGGAGTACGGCGGTGACGCGCTTGGCCGACGCGGTCTTGCAGGCCGAGATGGTGATGAGAAGCTCCATCAAGTGGTCGTTGACCTTGCCGCCGCCGGATTGGATGATGAAGACATCCTTTCCTCTCACGGAGTCCATGATCTCGACGCGAGTCTCTCCTACAGCAAACTTGCTGAGCAGGATGTTTGCCGGAGGAACACCGAGGTGGTTGCAGATTGTCTCGGTCAGCTCGGGGTGCGAGCTGCCGCCCAAGACGACCAAATTGCGGACCATGATGATGGTTGATGTGTGTAGCAGAGAACTGTAGGTCTGGACTTCTTTGTTGAAGGGTAGGACTTCTGGCTGGCCTTATTGACAGACTTCCGAGCTCCTTTCAGTTTTATTTTTTCTTGTCCGGCTTTTTTCACTTCCCTATTGTGGGGAATGCTGCGCGTTCGCGGATCGATTCACGCAGTCGAGAAGGTGAGGAAGGGCGTCGAGGCCGTGCAAGACGAGTCGAGGGCACCGTCAAGGGATGAGTAAAGAGGGAAAAAGTCTGACTCCGTCATGGTGGGATGTCGGGATAGAGTTCGCGCAAACTTGGGGTCGAAGGACTTTTGTCCCTCAAGCTTTGGCGCTCCACGCATGCCGCTCCCCGAGGCAGGCCACCGTTCCCCTGTCGCCCAGTGCTGCTCCCAGCTGGACGTCTCGCCTTGTCCTTGGCTCTGTGCTGCGTTTCATCTGTCGTCTGCCTTGCCAGGAACACGTCTTGTGCGTCCCGTTGCAGTTTGACCTTCTTACCTAAGCCTCGAGTAACACACTGGCTTCGCACGTATCTTGATGGAACCTCAAGAAGTAAGCATTCTTTTACTGGGCGATGCCGACGTTGGCAAGACCACCTTTCTCTCGTATGTACAACGTGCCCTGTCCAGACATCCTCCATAGTCATGCGGACCTTACCACGACGTGACACATTTCCTGCAAATTCAAGTTTCCTTTGCTCCTCACCCCTTCCCATGCTGGTCAAACGCGGCATCCAGATCATGCACCTGACTGCTTTTCCANAGCCGCCTAGCTCTGGGTCCAAACAACAACAAATCCCCCCTACCTGCTNNTTTACGAGATCTCGATCAACCATTCACTTTTGAGCTGCGTGGCCGCACGCGACCCTACACTTTAGAGTTTTACGACACATCATCTCCCACGTCTTACACTTTACTACGACCCAACTTGATCCTCCTATGCTTCTCGATCACCTCCCGGGACTCTTTGAACTCTCTCAAAGGCCAATGGAAGAACATTGTAGAAACGCACTTCAACTATGACGAAAGCATTCCTGTCATTGTGCTTGGCCTGCAGAGAGACTTGCGCAGAGACAATGTCGAGGGTATGGTGTTTCCACAGGAAGCATTGAGGGTTGCGGCCGAGATGAGGTGTGATCGGTATTGCGAGTGTAGTGCTGTGACAGGCGAGCTCTGTGCTGAGGTTTGGGAGGATATCGTCAAGACAGCCGTAGCGACGACTACGGACAAGGGCGGAAAGTCTGATCCGCCGCCTTGTATACTAATGTAATATACAAACTTGTTCATGACGAACTATGTCATTGCAGCCCTTTTGTTCGTGCAGCAAGATACTCGTCACATTCATAAGATAGTAGTCGATATCGGCTTCATTGACGAGAAAATGGTTTACAATATCCATATTCCAAATGATCTTTTGCTACTTTCCACACTAGGTGCTTTGGTTTGTTCTGTGAGAGTTGTTGTCTAAGAAGAACAATTGCTGTTACCCTACTTCCTGTAAATCAGCTCATATTTTGAAGAGTAACCGCTTATCTAATCATCCTCGTTGCTGATAAGAGGTCCATTGATCTCGATGTAAACATTTTCCTCGAGCAATTCTACGAGCTAGTGAATCTTTTCTTCCTTTCTAAACCCCACTAGGCAGTCTTCCAACCATAAATGTATATCGGATCATTCTTAATGAACTTAGAATAGATATCTCAGGCTTCAAACTTTGCGACTTTAGGAGGAGATCTTATGCAGATATGACCTTTGGTGAGGTCGACCTTTGGAACTTCTCGTGAACAGGCTGTTTGCGCTTGCACTCCTAGACATACTCCTTCTAGTTTGCTAAGTATTACAACTGTTCTGTACTCAAATGTGTAAGAAACTTGTTTGGAACCTGGATGTGAACCATTCAAGTCTCCTTTAAATGTTGCAACTAAAAGAAAAGAAGATATAGGTACTATGGGTGAATGTGGCTACCTCTCATATGCAAAGGTATGTGATGTATGTGACCATAGAAACGCGCAGTACTATCAGAGAACAGGGTAGTGTCCAATGAGAAGCGATCCCTTATCAGCTCTCTTTGGCTAGATATTTGTCTATAGTAAGACTGTGCCTTTTCATAGCGTGTCCTTGACTCTCTGCTGTAGTTGGAGTATAACGGAAATTACATCCTTTAGCACACGCGGAGATGGTACCTGCCAAAGAAAATGCCAATAAAAGTGCTTTCGCAAAAGAATTGATGACAATAAGGAAGAAAGGCTTAGACCTGATTGATATACCCGTCGCAAGAACCCCGAAGTTTACTTTAAAATGCCCAAGATCCCAAACGCCGGCGCATGTAAGAGAGATGATAGTGTATATGTATATATAAGGCGGTGGAGAAGAGGAAGAGGAAAGGAAATAGAGGATGTCGTGCAGTGGGCTAGATCTACTGCCTACTTGCTCTGGGATCATCGGCTTGTACCTNTTTCCAGTCTCGCGCCTCCTTGGTTCCGATACTGCCGCCACCGCCCTCTACCCTACGCTCCCAGCCACCGAGGCGCACGACAACAGCAGTAGCATTGTCAGATCTGACGCCAGCAACTTCGGTCGCAAATGTGGCCAATTCTTTGGAAGCGGCTTCAGGTGTCTTTGCTTCTTTGACAATGTCGACAATTTCTTGGTCCTCGAGCGATGCTGTCACACCATCCGAGATGAGAACCAGGAAGCTGTACTCACTGGGGTCCATGTGGGTCATGCGGATTTCTGGTTCTGCGGATACACCTATGCGTTTGGAGCTGATATCGCCAAATGATCTGGTGTTTGCAAGGCCAAGGATACGCTCCTCGCCGAAACTGTCCGTCACGAAGGTTGCGGCAAAACGACGGAGACGAGTTGCTTCGACGGGAGTGGACGGATGGTGGTTCGTAGTGAGTGGTACGGCTTTGCCATCGCTAACACGACAGAGCAAGATACGAGTGTCTCCGCAGTGTGCTGTCACAATTGTGGCTGGAGATGCTGGGTTCCAGAAGGGAGTAGGTGTTGGCGTGGAGATCAGGGCTATTGAGGCTGTGGAACCGCCCTGAAAGCGGGTATGTCCACCTATGGGGCGGTTGAGGACGTTGGAAAGATTTTGTGAGGCAGGTCTGGCGGGAGAGGAGAGAATGTCGTTGTCGTTTAGAGGTCTGTCGCTCAGAACTGGATCATCGGTAGAAGCAGGGAGAGAGGGCGAATGCTTAGAAGCCTGGGCTGCAGTAAAGTCCATGTCGGCGTGCAGGAAAGCATACATCAAGGTAGCTTGGATTGAGTTGACAGCAGTGGGCTGCTCATCTGTGCTGGCCGTTGGCTTGAAGATGCTGAAGTACTGAGGTCGGAAGCGTCGAAAATAGCCGCCCACCGTATCTTTCCAGGTGTTGACCAGGTTGCGTTGCAGGTCAAGAAGTTGCTTGTGGCCACTGTCGCTCTCTTTCGGCTCTTGAAGACTACTTTCCATGTGAAACTTAAGGGCCGAGTCTTCCAGATAGGTGTGTAGTCGGTCTCTCAAGAACTCTGCACATTGAGCACCGCCATGGCCATCGAAGACACCAAAATAGAAGACCTGAGGGTCGCCGCTTTCACTGGCAGCACCAGTCTCTTGTAACTGCTTGTTTACGCGGGTCAAGCTGACAGGCTGACGTTTGGCGAAGGCGGGTATCTCGATGGTGCCGGCTTGATGCGTATCTTCATTGTGCTGGCGACCTCCTCGCAAGCAAGTGGCTCCATAGTGGTGTTTTGCCGACTTTAGGGGGATGCGCACGACGGTGGTATCGCGGCGGACGGCGGATAGGATGGCGGGCTGTCTACCGGACGGCTTGTCGTGAGGGGCGGCGACGTCGCGAGGGAGTTTGTGGTTCGAGTCCGGGTGCAGCGACGATTGCGGCAGGTGCGTGACAAAGTAGTCGTGGAAGCAGCGTCGCCATGACCGTGTCGGCAATGAACATGGTCTCATACTGTCATGGCAAGGCACAAGGCGACGGGCTCACGACATGGCTGGTATCGACACAGAGAGTCCGAGGCCAGTCGACTTTTGCACTCTTGCAAACGCGGGCACAGCGGAGAAATGGAGCACCCCAGCGTCATCATCGTCCACATGGGTCCGCCAAGATCCTGGAGACACTGCTGCAACCCATACCATCTCCATACCCGCCAGTCCGGTAACCCACGGTAGCCCTCTTCCGACATGACCTCAGATCTGCATGGCCAGGCCAGCATCACCATACTCACATGAGATTCACTGGAGGCTGGAAGACAACGCACGAATCTGATGATAGTAGACCTCGAGTCTTTTGATTAAAACATGAGCTGCCAAAAGCACACTCCTATTGACGATAAACATAACCTTAACAACATCCGTGTCCCAAACTCCAAAATCCATTCCAGTCGTGTTTTCCATGCCCTTGATACGAAAATAGTAGAGGTGACGAGGCTGGGTGAGCTCAAGCCATATCCAAAACTTACTCTGACCCTTTGTTCCTACAGAGAGAAAAAGGAAGAAGGCCATACTATTGTTGGACTCAACACACCATACAGCTGTTTATCTGATGGTGGTGGTCTTGGTAAGAGATGCCTTGGCCGAAGCAGCACCTGATGCGCCAGCGGAAGAGGCACCAGCCTTCTTCTCGAACACCTTCCAGAACTTGAGAGACTCATCGGCAGCGGCAGTTGCGAGCATCTGACCGTCAGGNNGAGACAGACAAGAGTGCAAGACACGAGACTCGTGAGCGGGAATCTCGACATTCTTGACTAGAGTGGGGTAAGACCAGATGCTCAGCGAGTTGTCAGGGAAACCAGACGAGCTGACAAGCTCCTTGTACGAGGTGCTCCACTTGAGAGAGGTGACCTGGCTGCCAGTGTCAATGCTGTTGGTGCGAGCACCCGAGGTGGTGTTCCAGAAGTGGATCATGCGGTCGTGGGAACCACCACCAGTAGCGAGGAGGTTGGATTGCCAAGGGCACCAGGCAAGAGCCTTGACGGCAGCCTTGTGGTTGGTCTTCTGGAACTTGGGTGCGTTGAGCGAACGAGCATCCCAGATGCTGACAAGGTTGTCGTTGCCACCAGTGGCCAACTGGGCACCATCGGGGCGCCACTCCAGACCACAAACCTCACCAGTGTGCGAGACGAGCTCAGCAACCTTGTGCTGGGCGATGCGGACATCGTGGTTGTAGACGAGACCGGAGCGGGCGCCGGTGGAGAGAAGGTGCTTGTTCCAGCCCATGACGCCAACGCGGGTGTCGTGGCCGAACATGCTGCGGAGCTTAGAGCCCTCCTCGACGTCCCAGATCTGGACCTCGCCCGTACCGAGACCAGCAGCAACGTAAGCACCATCCTGACTCCACTTCACAGAAGCGATGTATGTGTCAGCAGGGCACTCGAGGAGAGAGTTGACCTCGCCAGACTCGGCGGACCAAACGTAGACAGAACGCTCAAGACCGATGGCGACCTGGTTGCCAGAGGACCAGTCAAGAAGGTTGAGGTAGTAGTCATCAACAAGGCCAGGTGCGTCGAGGACACGCTCAGGGGCAGTTGCAACACGGCGGCGGAACTGTGTGGCGGCGGCAGTAGGCTTGAGAGGACGGTTGTACTGCGAGCGCAGGTCAATGGGTCTGGACGACTCAGGAGCGGCGGGCTTGAAGGCAAGAATTCTCTGGCCAAGCGAGATGTCGCAGGCCTTGGCGATCTCATCCTGGTAGGCGGCAGTCTTGGGCGAAGGCTTGTTGTAGGTCTTGTCGTCCTCATCGTCGTCGAGGTTGAGGCCATCGAGGCCAAGAGCAGCATCGATTTCGTCGTCGTGGGTTGAACGTCTGCCAAGGTCGAAGGCAGATGAAGCAGAGGCAGCACTGGCGAGGACAGACTCAGCCGAGGACTTTGAGCGAGAGTGCTCCTTCTTCTCAATCTTGTTGACACCAGAGTTGGTGATGGCGTCCGAGTTGGTGCGGCTGGGGATGAAGCGGTCGGCCGAGGTGTAGCTGATCTTTGTCTTGCCAGTCTTGACGGTCTTGAGGTTGCGAGTTCTTGAGGNGGTTGCCTTGTTGGAGGCCGAAGGACCAGTACCGGTCAGGTTCCAGTCGCTGACACCGAGCTCAAGGCGGCGAGGAGAGTTGTTTGAGACATGTCTGGCGATGTTTGACTTTGGCGAGTCGCGGACATTGGTCTTTGAGATGGAGCGCGAGAAGCGGGGGAAGAGGTTGCCACGGTGGATAGACTCGTCCTTGTCGAGAACAAAGTTCTGCTGCTTGGGAGTCTGAGGCGAGGGNNGAGTCAAGGGGGCGCGGCCACCAGCGAAACGGGTCGAGAAGAGACCATCACGACGCTTGATGGGCGTCATAACCGAAGGGCTTGCCATATCTGCGGCGACGTGTGTAAGAGGTTGCTGTTAATGTAGAAGTGATGCTGTCTGCGAAAGCCGTTAGATAAGAGATTGAGCGAGGTGGTGGACAGGGCAGCATACAGATGTCTCAATTAAGAGCTCCGTTAGTATGGTTGCAGATATCTTGCAGTCGTCGTGGATGGTATAGGGGTAGGAGTTGAACAAGGGTCGCTTCCTAAGAAGCTTTTGGTATAGTGGAATGCTGTTTTTGGGTTTGTGGTGTGAGGTGAGGAGGATTGAGGATGGTCGAGGGAGTGGTGCCCTTTATGGCTGTCTGCTTGCAAGTGCAAACAAAGTTGGCACAGCAACCGCTCAGCCTGGGCAGCGTCACCGTCGGCGCCCGGCGTTAAAGACGAGACACCCGACCATGCGAAGTTTGCTGGTTGGGACGACGACGACCATGAACTAAATTGATTGCCGTCTGTTCACCCACCGCTCTCGAACAAGGATCCGCATCTGGCCCGTCACTGGCGCACTGAGACCAGACAGGCACTGTGCTGTGCATATCTTGCTTCTAAGACATAACTCTTCTTGTGCCGGTCGCAGAAGCAGTCCGACACGACTACTCGTAATAAGACAAAAGACGGTATAAAGAGAATGACTTAGTCGACGACGATATGGCTTCATCACTTCCAAATCTCTCGGCTGCCTCCCTGCCGCCATCCTCGCGTCTTTCAACCGGCTCCACCAATACCTATGTCATGTCTACTTCTCCCAGGTCAAGCCGTACCTACTCGTCGCGTCGCCGTACTCACGACACCTACATGCCTACCATAATGACCACCGTCGGCCAGCGGCCTGCCTGTCTCGTGAATGCTTCCGTCACTTATGTGGGCAATGACCAGATCTACGCTTTTGGCGGCTTTGACCAGTATACCGACGAAGTCTACAACCATGTTCTGAGGCTTGATCTGCAAGCCAAGCAGTGGAGCCTGGTCGACAACTACGGCGACATTCCTGGCGTGCGTATGGGTAAGCTTGACTCACTCATCGCCACCCCTTGCTTGCTTGTGCTAACCTTCAGAATAGGTCACACTGCTTGTCTCTGGCAGAACGAGAAGCTCCTCGTCTTTGGTGGAGAGAACGAACACCGCTCTCACCTTGCCGACGTCATTATCTTCGATCTCAAGACCGCCCATTGGACCTCGCCTGAAGTTCAGGGTATCCCTCCCCGTGGAAGAGCCAGACACTCGGCTGTCATCCATGAAGACAAACTCTTTGTCAGTGGTGGTATGACTGGCCACGATAATGCGGTACTAGATGACATCTGCTATCTCGATCTCAAGACCTGGACATGGTCGCGACCCTGGAAGTTTGTTCCCAGATACGACCATTCAACATGGATCTGGCGCGACAGACTTTGGGTGTCGGGAGGTATGACCGAAGACATGGAGCGTACGAGCGACATCTGGTGGCTCGACCTCAAAGGCATCCCTGCTTTTGAAGGTGCCAATCCCGCCGACGACATGTCAAGGTCCTCAATGTACTCTTCAACTTCCATCACCCCACAGGCAGGCCCCACGGGCGCCTATGCTGCAAACTCGAGCAGTGTTCAGGTAAATCCCGGCTATATGGTCCAACGTAACCCACCCATTGCGCCAGGCTCCATTTCTTCTCTTCGTTTCATCTCAAATCCCAACCTCCCCGTCCAAAATGTAGGATACCATTTCCATGTTTTCTCTTCCGCATGCTTGCTCGACTTTGTCACCCCAGCGACCCTCATGTCTGCATCTGAGACTAGCCTGTCGGCATTCGATCTGGACTCTTTGCGTTGGCAAAAGCTAGCTGACGGAAAAGACATCTTCAACCCAAACTACCGATGGCATTACTGCTGTCTTGATGCGGATGGCACACATGCCTGGCTGCTTGGATGTCCCAACTCACTTCCCAGGAACGCACCTGATGCCGAGGAGTATCTTAGCGATGTCCTTCACCTCGACCTCAGAAAACTCGGCCTCTTAGGTAACAAACTCACTCTGGAGTCCAGATCTATTCAACAGACACCGACCTCTGACAGTCGAGTTTCTTCGCACCTCTCTGCTATCGGCGCAGATCTTGCCCGTACATTCGACGTTCCTCCTGAGCAGGGTTCCGGCGCCGATTTCACGATCACGGCCAACCCGGACGATGACTACGACCAGGACTACGACGGAGACAGTGTGAGATCTCACGAGAAGCCTGCAAATGCCTCTCAACCCATTCATGTCCATCGCTTCATCCTTTCCGCACGCTGGCCTCACTTCGCTCGCCTTTACAGTGCTCAAATGTCCGAGTTCCACACGAAGAAGATGCACATCCCAGAGCCATACGCTGCAGTGCGCGCCTTTCTCTACTACCTCTATACCGACTCAATCGCGCCCTCGTTCATCACAAACTCTGCGTCTCCATCACCCAGCCTCGAGGACGTGGCAGGTATGCTTGTCATGAGCAATATCTATGACATGCCACGCCTGCACCATCTTTGTGTCGCAAGATTAGTTCGCGAGCTCGACATACAGCACGCTGCTCTAATCTTTGATTGCGCGAGCATTGCTCAAGAGACTTGGCTCAAGCGCCGTGCAGCCAGCTTCTGCATGACACACTGGGGACGTGTGGTGCGTACAGAGGGATTCCGAAGATTGTCGCGTGCCGCCATGCTCGAGCTCTGTGAGGAAGTGGATGCCGAAGGTCGAGTTGTCGGTGGTGACGAGCTTGAGGCCGTGGGAGCACTTGGAGGTGCCAGACTCAGCACTCTTAGCAACTGGCCCGAGGGCAGGAAGAGGAGAATGAACTCTGAGAGCGGACTCATGGAAGAAATCGCCGACGAAGACGAGGAAGAGGGAATGGAGGTTAATTAGTTGGTGAACCTCGCTCTTGATTCGGATTGAGTTACGATTGACGATATTAAATATCTCTATTCAAGCATGTACATATTTTGGGCATAGATTGATGGCGTTCAATGGCTATTAGCTTGCGCTTTAGCACTGGCAAGGAAAGGGAAATATCCAAGGGACAGGGGAAAGGCATTATGCAGGTAACAGGTGTTCGATCGATTACAAAATTGACACTAGATATTTCTATGCTTCTGTGTGTTGTTCTTGGTGAGATTCGTGGCTATGCACGATTGAGCTCCCTCACAAGATGCACGACGCCATGACAGGTCTCGAAGTGGATCTTCAACGGCTGGCTACGGAACAAACCCCATCTCGTGACCATCATCACACCGCACAAGATTGGAATTGATATTGAAAGAGGATGTTCTTGGCATGATTCATCTACTTTTGAAGCTGCTCCTGAACCAGGGGTCTGGCGTCGCTAGAAGTCAGGTCGCAGATGTAAACAAAATGCGCGTTTTCTGTGTCGATCTTTGTCGACGTGTCTTGTCGTTGGTCCAGTCCAATTGGGACTGTCCCGACGCGTGTAGTGATATGACCAAGCTGGCAAATAGCTATAGGATAGCAATCAGGCAGAGGAGAGGTGCCTAAATCAAGAATTGTCTATCGAGTGAAGCCCAACGATGAACAAAGACACGTCTGCTTCTGTGCGGGATGCGCCTCAGAGCTGGAAAGTTCCAAATCGCGAGCGGTGATTGGCCCTTCCGTCATCCCGGGCTGGTTGACAACCGCCGCTCATCCCCATCACGACTGCCCCCCTCGACTTGTTTCCTCCACAAACAGCACCACTTCAACTTCAACTCTTTCCGCCACAAACTCGCCCTTTCTACACCCCTTTCGCTTTCCCAACAGGTAAGAGCCTCTACCGCTTGCACCTTGCACACGAGAATCGAGCCAGAATACGTGCGAAAACGAACACCCCCTGCTGTCAGAGTGCTTGATGGACGCGTGGCTGGGCAAACACACCGGGAAACGGCGACACGGCGCAATACAAGCTCTCTCGGCAGCTGCCATCGATGAGATTGCGACAAAGAAGATGCTTCAAAGTGAAGAAGGCGCAGTTCAGAAGCTGTTTTGGGTGATGCGCTCATGACAATACCCGCCTACCTCCGAACCTTCAGAGCTTTCGCCAGCGTCGCAACTGCCATCACAAGCAATTGGCACGAGTTACTCGCGCTTTCCCATCTCTTGCGAAACGCTACTGTGTTTGCCCGCGACAAAACATCACATGCCAAAGACTTCTGGACCCATCTACTTTCACACCGCCCCTGGCTCGCTCGTTCCCCACTTTCACAGCTGTCTTTAATACACTACCTGACCATACACTCCGACCATATCTTCTGGTCCAATCAGAAACGCTAACACTATGTCGCACCAGACTTCACATCACAAATCATCAAAAATGGGTTACGAGGATTCTGTCTACCTGGCCAAGCTCGCCGAGCAGGCTGAGCGCTACGAGGGTTGGTTCACCATCTGTCATCTGCAACATGCGCAAGACTGATTTCAGTACNNAGAGATGGTCGAGAACATGAAGAACGTCGCTTCCGCCGACCAGGAGCTCTCTGTTGAGGAGAGAAACCTCCTTTCCGTCGCCTACAAGAACGTCATTGGTGCTCGCCGTGCATCCTGGAGAATCGTTACCTCCATCGAGCANAAGGAGGAGTCCAAGGGCAACGAGCAGCAGGTTACCCTCATCAAGGAGTACCGCCAGAAGATTGAGGCCGAGCTCGCCCAGATCTGCGAGGACATCCTTGCTGTTCTTGACAAGCACCTCATTCCCTCTGCCCAGAGCGGCGAGTCCAAGGTCTTCTACCACAAGATGTTCGTATCCCAGACCTTCTCACCTGTCAAGTCGCACTACTAATGCGCCTCACAGNNGAAGGGTGACTACCACCGTTACCTCGCCGAGTTCGCTCTTGGTGACAAGCGCAAGACCTCCGCCGACAAGTCGCTCGAGGCTTACCAGAATGCCACCGAGGTTGCCCAGACTGACCTCGCTCCCACCCACCCCATCCGTCTCGGACTCGCCCTGAACTTCTCGGTCTTCTACTACGAGATTCTGAACTCGCCCGACAAGGCCTGCCACCTCGCCAAGGCCGCCTTTGACGATGCCATTGCTGAGCTCGATACCCTCAGCGAGGAGAGCTACAAGGACTCCACCCTCATCATGCAGCTCCTCCGTGACAACCTGGTAAGCATTTCTCGAAACGTATTCCGGCCTCGTATTAGCCACTGACTCTTTTTACTANNGACCCTCTGGACCTCGTCCGAGACCGAGCCTTCGGGTGACGCTGCCCCTGAGGCCAAGGAGTCCGCCGAGGCACCTGCTGCCACTGAGGAGACCAAGGCATCCGAGTAATCGCAGTCAAACATATCAAATTCCTTCCATTTCATTGAAGATGGCGGATCACGTTATCATGGCAAATGTGAACAGTCAAACCCAGGTGTTGTCTCTTTCTAACCAGAATTCGATCATGGGGCGGGCCAAGGAGAGATGGTTCTTTTTCTNTTNTCTTTTTTCCTCTCAAGTCGATTTTCTTGTTTTTTAACCCCCCAAGTCTTTTATTCTCTCCTTTGCACGGTACCTCGACGAACCTTTGAAAGCTTCCTCTTGGGCTGTNNTGCGCGTGGGAGAGTGGCGCGGGTGAAATTTGGGGATGGGCGCCCAACAGTCAATTGAAATCACTAGATTCCATTTCACTACCTATTATCCGTCGTTGCCCGTCCGTCTGTGTAGTAGTGATTTGAGAGTGAAGCTTGGATGAGGCATGTGCAAGCAGTCAACCAAGCCTTTTTCTCCCATTTCGCTGGCCTTCTGTTTCGATCATGGGTCGTTCATACTTCATGCTAACTCTAGACAAGGTGTTCTGCACCTGCTCCCCATGCAACCTTCCGCCACGTGGAATGATGGCCTGAAGCAGCGTAAGAGTCATCATAAACTTCCATCTAGCATACGACACCTCATCTTTCTACTTTGCAGCACTCACCAGCAGATGTTCTTCTCAACCAGCCATCCGACCTCTCTTCAACTTGCTCTCTGATACTTGCCCTACTGAACACCATCCATTTCTCTAACAATGCCGACCTCTATTCCAAACCTTCCCTCCGTCGCCAACAGCATCGCCGCCCTCGAGTTCATCGGCTTCACCCACACAACAGCAACCCACATCTTCACCACAAACTACAAATCTACCACCACTTCCCCCTCAGCCGCCAATTCAGACTTCTTATCTTTTATCCACGGCCACATCATTNNCATGATAAACTCGTCCAAATTTTCTGCATCTAACGATCGAGCATCCATGACAAATATTGGGATTTGCAAAGATGTTCAAGATTGGATATTGGATCCTGAGTTTAATAAGGTCAGAGGGTTGGGGAGTCTAGGATATTGGATTGAGGATACGGTTAGGGTTAATTATCTTACTTTGGTGGGGATGGTGGAGAGGAGGGGGGAGAGGGAGAAGGGTTTGTGATTGTTGTTGTTGTGGTTTTGACTGAGGTCTCTCGTCTTGGATTTCGTTCACTGGAGTGTCTATCAGAAAACACAAAGTTCTTCTTCTAAGCATCATGGCTACAGAGAGGTTTGCTTCAGGATACATCGAGGATCAACAACAGTTATCTTAGTAGACCTGCTCTGTTTCTTTAACTCTTCTTGTGTTTCTATGGCTGGATTTCTGGCACTTGAATGTTTGCAGATGTGATGTGCGGTCTGTCGTGCAAGCAAGCAACCTGCCTCTTGTCAATTCTTGTACTCTTCTCTTGATGCTCTCTTGACCGGAAAGCTCTGTCTTTAACCTCTTACATGAGGTGATACAAGGTTCTGAACACATGATTGCAGCCTCATCCAGCCCAACACTCAAGGACTCTCAGCACCACTCTCGAGATGAACCACGCCTCCAGGCACAACACTCGATACACATTCGTCCATAATCAACGACGTCGAGTCAGAGGAGCCTTATATTACATTTGAAATTTGTTCTTCTTGTGATTCCTGGTATTACCTAAGGAGGACTCGAAAAGAAGAAAAAGAAGAGGGACTAAACTAGCTAATACTTCCAACATCTGGCTCCCTTTCTTGTTTCCTTGTCACATCTTCGCTCGTGAGCACATCTGACATCGTTGCTCTTCTTTGAAACGCTCAAAACGCAAATCGAAACAGAAAAGACAAGGAGACCGGAGAAGACAGAATCTGACACTTGCCATGCCTTGTATAAAGCCATGGACATTCTGTTCCAATCTCTAGTCCCAACACAGTCTCCCCTGCTCTTTCTCCTTCCATGCTTAGCCGACAGTGTAGAAACACAATAGTTGCAAACAATGCATGCTTCTTCTTTCTCTTTCTGCCTTCGTTGGATCTTCTTTCCTTGCCGCCGATGCGATGATAAAAACAGAATGTGCCTCCCCATGAGAAGGTATAGAACGCCCCCAAAAAACAGACAATAATCAAATAACATAGAATCTTGTCTCGTGTCGAACTCATGACAGCCATCCATGCTTTGGGCTGACCGAAGAATCCAGTAGTGTGGTTAAGTATATTGATCGATATCAATCAACGAGTGGGCGCCGCTGTGGACGCATTTAGTTCCTTGTGTTGTGTGGAGGTTAATCGCCTCTATTTCAGAGGACGTTCCAGTTGACTCAGCAAATCATCCAACTGCGACCAATTTCCCTTGTCCATCGCAAATTTGCGGTGCTTGCGGGACTGACAATGAGCGTCAAAGTCATCGAACTTGTCTCTGCAGTTCTCACAGTATCCTGCCTTCATCTCACGCTCTACAACCACCTTCTTGCGGACCTGCTGGGCACGACGAGACTTGGTTGTCTCCTCTTCGCCCTCTTCGCGAATGTGTCCCAGGGTCTCTTGTGCCTTGCGCTTGGCCGCTCTCGGTGCTTGTTGACGGTCTCCGTTGATCGCTGCGCGCATGTCGGTAAGATATGACGACTGCAGGGGCTCGTTAGAGTTTGCGCTGGCACCTCTTTCCAATGCTCTACGCTTCAGAGCAGTAATCTCTTTGCTCGCACCAACATTACGAGTTCCAGGTGCTGTTGAGGAAATGGTCGATGAGACGATCTGGGAGCGAATGGCGGAAGTAATGTTCGAGGGCTGGACTCCAGATGCGACAGGCTCTCCTCCAATAAAACGTGGTGCGCCTCTCATGTTGGCCTGGGTACTGCCGAAGAGTGCTGGCATGCTACCAGTGTCCATCGAAGTCTGCCTTTTGTTAGGAATACCCTTGGGAGGGTCCAGAGGCTTAACATGATCATCGACAACTTCGGCCTTGTCCTTGGGCTCTATCTGTTCCTTAGGTTGTGATGTGGTGGATTGAGGGTTTCCAGTACCTGCAGCAGCACGACTGCGAGTGACAGGAACACCGGCGGCCAGTTTGCGTTCCTTCTCTGCCTCGGCGGCCTTCATTTCCTCTGCTAGACGCAGCTTCTTGGTGTGTGAAGGGTCTTCGACAAACGGACATCTTCCTATAGGGGTCAGGCGGAATTGTGGCCACTTGCCCTCCTCCTTATGGGTGACCTTTGGGTAATCACGGACCATGACCGGACGAGTCCTTTCGTCCATGTCGTGCACATAGATGTAGTACCCTCTGAACTGGACAGAATCCTGAGCGGCGACAGCAAGATCACGATCGGCTGGACCAATCACTTTCTCGTTACGCAGAAGGGTCTGCAGGTCTGCTTTCTCTCCTCTGCGCAAGGTTGAGGCGATGTTTCTTTGTTGATCAGGTTGCTCACCAGTGTCAGTATCGAACATGGTTGTCATCATACGCTGTAGCTTTTCCAAAGCCCAGATTTTGATACCAAGCTCTCTAGCCTTGGACAAGACATCGTTGCTTTGAACACCGAGCTTGCGTGGCTCGACAGTCTGGANGACTATAGAAAAGTGGTTAGCAAAGACAGTGAGACAGGGTGTAGAGGTAACTTACGTCTGAATGTTAGAGATGTGGTTACGGCCTTGCAGACTAGCTTCAAGAAGATCAGCAGTCTTCTTCTGAGCACCAGTCAAAGTTGAGTCTTGAGGACGGTCAAGAAGAGAAGGGTCGATGGTTTTGAGNNGGGAGGCATGGTGGGTATTGCCTTTCGACGTATGGCCATCATCAAAACTAGTCGAGGCAAGTTCTGGAGGAATGGGACGGGTCGTAACCACATGAGTGACAGAACGCGAGAAGAACTTCTCCTCTTTNNCTATTGATCATGGTCAGCAGAGCATTGTAGACATGTATGAAATGAGAAAAGAACGTACGGCGCCAAGATATTGAATCTGCCTTGAAACCTTTGTCCGCACGTCATCAGGTACACTTTCGAAGTAGAAGACGAACTGAGGGAAAGCCTTTCTGTAATGCCGTTGCCATTGACGAATGCTCTCGAGACTGTCGGCTGTCCTCTGTGGCTTTTGTGCAGATGGAGGCTTCCTTGCGGCAGCCAATTTTCTTTCAAAGGCAGTTGGTGGAGCATTGCCAGGCTTTCTTAGGAACAGTTGTGCATCCTTCTCTTGCTGTGCCAGTGACTGGCGAATCAAAGAACGCGGTTGTTGGTTCTCATCGTGGTCGTGGTCAAGAACTTGCTTCTTGAGAGGAGGCTGGCCAGCATCACGCGGGTCTTGTGCTCTTGAGCGCTTGGCAGAGACGGGGTTGAAGGGTCGGAAAGGAGAGTTGACGGCATTCGAGTTGTTGGCCAGCGGAAGCCGCTTGCTGGTCATGTTGGATAGAGCCGACAGGGTGGCCATGTATCGCTGGTATGCTGGTGGTGCTGTCTCTGATGTGTGGACGGCTTTGCACGCGACTCGGACGCGCTCTACTGGCACATTGTCGCAGCGTTGTCGAAGGAACAAGAGAGAGGAGGCTGGAGGATTAGTCGAGGACTGTTGGTCAAACACAGGAGAAGAGAAAGGAGCGAATATGGACAGCGGGCAGTTGCAAACGCGACGAGTCTGGATGGATGTGGATGTTTTGATGTGTGCATGCTCTTGCCCTGTCTGATGAGGCTCCGAGCTTCGCGCGTTCGAGCGACTCACACTGTATGCACAACTCCCCGCACAATTCTCTGTCTGGTTTTTACGCCCTCAAACACCCTCTTTCTGATTGTATTGTCCTAATTTCATTCCTAGTGATAGCCTGATAGCGGCCTCGATCTTTGCTGGGTTTATTTTGCTGTGCTTATCCTCGTGCATCGCAGCATTGCACATATCCACAACTTGTCACTTGAAAGCCTATCTGTATGCAGCCCCAGCAACTACATCATTCTGCACTAATTAGGGCCATACAAATCTTAGCGCGTTCCACTTCTTTTATTTTGTTGGTAAACATCCCCTAACGCCTGAGCGCTTCGATATCAACAACCTCCTTTACTGCCTCTGTTGTCAACACATAAGGATGCTCTTCTGTTATGCACACACTGTCTTCGATTCGGATTGCCAATCCTTGGAAGTGCTTGGGCCATCTCTCGTCTTCTGGAACATAAATTCNCTCTGTCGATTGTTAGCAACTGAACGCCTCGTCGCTTTCTCCTTCACCAGTTACTCACGGTTCAATTGTAATACACTCTCCTGCTGTCAGACGTCCTGTTCTGGGATGCCCAGGAGCATCATGAACATCCAGACCAATAAAGTGCCCAACATGATGAGGGAACAATATCTCGAGTGNCCTGCATATTTTAGCGCTGCCCGCGAATCAACATTCTACCATCACAAAACTTACATTGCCTTCCATGTTGAAGCCTAGAGACTTGAGCCCGTCGCGCAATCCGTCCTCAGTGATGCGATGAAGCTTGTCAAGCGAGAGATTTGCATCCTCGCGACAAAGCGATACAACGCTTCGCTGCACCTTGAGAATCATCTCATATAGGTCTCTTTGCGGATTTGTGAACTTGCCGTTGACTGGCCATGTGCGTGTAATGTCGGTGATGTAGCCGCCATACTCGCCTCCAGCATCAACCAGGACAAGCTCGCCTTNCTCTAAAGTGCTAATTAGTGTGTGTTCCGATATGCGTGTTTTTTGCACGTACTTGAGCGTCTGATCATTACGGGTGTAGTGGATGCTCAAACCGTTNNCTGTCCTTTGTCAGTACTTCGTGTGTCTATAGTTCAGGTCCCCTCATACCTTGCCGCCAGCAACAACGGGCACGTAGGCAGAGCCGTCTAGACCGCCAATCTTGAAACCTGTGTCGAGCATGGTCCAGAGATCCTTCTCAGTGCTCATGGGTGTCTTCATGGTCTCGGTGAATGCTCGCCCAGACACCTGGCCAGCCTTTCTCATGTTCAGGATCTCGGCTTCAGTCTTCTTGACACGAAGGTTGTTCATGATGGGTCTCAGTGGCCTAACATTGTTCTCCTGCAACAACTTGCCGAAGCCTTCCGAAGGGACTTTCTTCAGACTCGAGAAGTATCTCTTAAAGGCGGATTTGGTTGTAGTGCCGAGCAGATCGGTGTAAACTTCTTTGGCGCGGCCGATGATGTCCGGAAGAATAGTATGGCAACGATTGATGTCTCCGGNCCTGAACGATGGTCAGTCTGGGAGAGAGATGAGCAATAGAAGAGATAGTACCTCATCAGCGTTGAAGACGTCCAAGGCTGCCTGGATACCACTTCGAGCACCATCCCATTGTTCGGCTTTGATGTCCTTGGGTCGGACAAAGAGGTGGAAGGTATATTCGACGTCAGATTCACCCCTTTNTCTGCAGGCTTATGAGCTGATGTTTCCTTTGCATGACATGTTTGCGACGCACCCACCAATGACAGCGAGTGCTTCTGGCTCGTTGAAGCCTGTAGAAGATTTGTTCAGCATCCATCTCTTTTGCGAAGGTGACGGCGGATAATTACCAGTCAAGTAGAAGAAGTTCGGTTCTTGGTGAAATTCGTAGAAGACAGCACCGGAGCGGTATTTGATATCGGATGAAGCGAGGACGGCGATACTGTTCTTGGGGAGGGCTTTGGCGAGGTTTGCGCGGCGTTGGTGGTACTCGAGAGCAGAGATTCCAGGAGTCACNNTATGTTGAGGAAGAGTAAGCGTGTGGCTATCAAGAGGATTTGATTCGCAGGAAGAGTTACAATCGCCCGGCGCAATAAGATGCGGGTGTGTCTCATGCAGAGGCTGGCCGAACTGCAACTCGGCGGCCGAGACCAATGTACGGCGAGGGAGCTGTGTTATACATGAGGGTCTTGTTCGTGAGAGAGCAGGCCGAGGGCTTGAGACAGCCCTCAATAGAGTGCGACAGCTTCTCATACTTGGGTTGTGTTCTTCGCAAAGGTTGCTCTCACGATTCAAGCAAGGGCTAGAGTTAGACATCGACCCACTTATAACCTTAAATCGTGCAGATTGCGGGGAAGCCTCTGTACGTCACTTCCCTTCCTCGTCGGGCTTATCGTCGCGTACCTGCCCGTTTCGTCCATACCTTGACCTCGTACTCGACAGCCGCCTCAGCTCCAGATATCTGTCGCGTACCCACTCCAGTAAAACCATCTGCTCGCCAAAGTGTCGGCGGGACGAATTCGCAAAATGTCTTCGGACATTGAAAGTTTCACAGCTCATTTGCAGTCGTCAAAACGCATCTTGGCTTTACTCGGTGCTGGACTGTCTGCCTCATCTGGACTACCCACCTTTCGTGGTGCTGGAGGTCTCTGGAGGACCCACGATGCCACCTCTCTAGCCACCCCCGAGGCTTTTAGTCGGGATCCGGCTCTCGTCTGGCAGTTCTACAGCTATCGTCGCCATATGGCTCTCAAGGCGAGCCCGAATCGAGCCCACCTCGCTCTGGCTGAGTTGGCAAAGAAACATCCAGGCTTCATCGCTCTCAGCCAGAACGTCGATGGTACCTTCACCTCCTGCTTCTGTCTTCTCCCACGCTGACACCACATATCAGGTCTATCCCAGCGCGCAAAACATCCTCCAGAAAAGCTTCAACTGCTTCATGGCAGCCTGTTCAACGTCAAGTGCACCTCCTTCTACTGTTCGTACCATGCCGAAAACTTCACAGATCCCATCGTACCAGCCCTCAACATCCCCATCGACGAATCAGATCCCACCACGAAAGAAGCCCGCCATGCTGTCTCGGATGCTTTGCACACCAAACAAACCCAGAAAGAGCTGGATATAGCAGACGCACAAGTTCATCTGCCTTCTGTCCAGGTGTCAGACCTACCAAGATGTCCAGAGTGCCATGAAGGTCTTCTGCGTCCTGGAGTCGTCTGGTTCGGCGAGTCTCTTCCAAGCAAAGTACTCAACACCGTCGACAGCTTCATTGATGACTCGTCCAAAATCGACCTGATCATGGTGATTGGCACAAGTGCCAGCGTCTATCCCGCTGCTGGTTATGTCGACCATGCGAGAGCCAAAGGAGCTAGAGTCGCCGTCATCAATGCTGACCGTGCAGATGAGCCTGCCGGAGGTGTGCGAGATAATGATTGGTTCTTCGAAGGAGATGCTGCACAAATCGTTCCCGATATCTTGAAAAGTGTTATTGGAGAAATAGAGCAACCGACGGAGATGCTGTAGCCACACGTCGCTCTACACATGACTGCATGAATAATATCCTCACGGCCGTTTTCCGATGATGACGAAGCATCGATACACTATTTGGAGTAGTCTTAATGACTTGGATCCGAAGCTTTTATAGTTGTGGATTTCGTTATTCTTCATTCTTGACGCACACTTAATTGCATACATATATGCCTTCACTACCTCTGGGTATGGAGCAATCTAGTTGGAGAGAACCTCATCCAATACCTTTACAAACTGCTTGATCTCGTCCTCTGTNNGTATTCGTCAGCTCAATAATCCATGAATTGTACGCCTCAAGAACTTACCAGTATTATAGTGGACGAGACTGACTCTGACAACACCGTCCACAGGATCCAACCCCATGACTTCTTGGACCAAGCGGTTCGAGTAGAAAGCACCCCAGCGGAAGCCAAAATCACTCTTTGCCTCGACAGCCTCGACGATATCCTTACTGCTGCGTCCATCGACAGTCCAACTGATCACAGGAACACGCTTTGCAGCATCTGCGACGGGCTCGCCCCAGATCTTGACATCGCTTCTCGAGTTGAGGTAGTCAATCAGAATACCTTGCAACTTCTCTTCATGGCTAGAGATTGCTTGCCAAGGGATCTGCGATAGATACTCACAAACCTTGGGAATTGAGGCAGTGAGTTCGTAGTTGGCAGCTGCAAGACCGAGTTTATCTTCCAATGAAGCCGAACCCTTGAAGTAATGGCCGAGTGTTTGTAGTTTTGATTGACTTGATTGCTTTGCGTACAGCATAGCGATATGTGGACCATAGACCTTGTACCATGAGAAGCAGTAGAAATCCACATCCAAGTCTCGCATGTCGACTTGTCTGTGTGGTGCATAAGCCACTGCATCTACACACAGCAAGGCACCCGGGACAGTGTGAACGGTCTCAGCAATCTGTTTGATATCGCTGATGGTGCCGAGAATGTTGCTTGTGTGTGTACAGCAGACTAGTTTGGTCTTGTCTGAGAGCAGAGTCTTCAGGACAGAACACTCGAGTTTGGGATTCTGCTTGTCGGGTGCATCCCACCATTTCACAGTCAGGTTTCTCCACTCAGCCATCTGAAGCCATGAAGCTACGTTTGCCTCATGGTCCAGCTTGGAGAGAATGATCTCTGAGCCAGGTGTCAAATGCTCGTAGAGTGCCAGGGAAAGATTGCGGAATAGCTGAGTCGTTGAGGGACCGAGCANCTTTCACAAGATCAGCCCTCGATATTACAACTTTGTGTCATGTTTCTAATGCTTACCAATTTCATCCGATGTGGCATTGATGTACTTGGCAACAGCGTCCTTGCCTGCTGCAAACAGATTGGTCGACTTTTGAGCCACTGGGTAAGAAGCACCCAGCTGCACATTCGTGCCAGACAGATATTCAGAGACTGAGTCAATCACCTCTTGAATGACTTGACTGCCACCTGCATTATCAAAATACACTTGCTTCTTGTCCAGAGCAGGGAAGTGCTTGCGAAGAGCCGTGACGTCGAATGTTTGAGCCATTATTATGATATATCCAAATCAACGTGTTATATCTTGTCGGATTGAGTGTATTCCTGGTCAGTAAGATCAGATTTACAGCTGTTATCACGTATGCCTACCCAGACGCCCTACTGACGATCACTGTTGTCCTCCTTCCTTGTCGGCGGTAAAGCTTCGGTACCTTACGGCATCTCGGTTACAGATGTTCCATGAGAGCGAACGACATCGACCACCATGGTTGAGTCTTCTAGGAAGTTTGTAATATATTTTCTTTCTTGTTGATCGCTGGTCAATGATGGAGGTCACGGGAAGAGACCTCAAGTTTCTCGCAGTCGGTGCTGTGGCGTCTGTGGGACTTACTGCACTATTGACCTCACAGTACCGCAACAATATACATGCACCATGCCGGATCATCGACTCGCCTTTACCACAAATACAGAGCACTTTGACTGAGGAACAGCAGAATAAACTTCCGTATGCTCCCGATGCTCTTGAAGGTGCAAGAGACGTTGAGACTCCATTTGGCAATATACGAGTATACGAGTGGGGACCTGAAGACGGCAAGAAAGTGTTGTTGATACATGGCATCAGTACGCCATGTATAGCTTTGGGTGGACTAGCAGAAGAATTGGTGCAAAAGGTTGTCGTGTGATGATGTTTGGTGAGTGATACTCCTCCTTCCTAAAGCGTTTCCATGTCCAAATTCCAGAAAAGAAGACAATCATGTCAAGGAACGGCAACACCAATACCAAGCCCACATCAATTCATCGTACGCTGCGATATGATGGCACATACTACTTTTCCCATGATTGGATGCCGAAAAAGGTCTTCAGCGATATCCAGACTGGAATATCTCCAAGAGCAGGGTCAGACCACCAACGTCTTGGACATGAAAATGGTCAGACAAGTCATGATCTACCTACAGACATATCACTCACATGTGTCTTTTCATACATTGTCATAACATAACTGACAATACCATGTCCAGACCTGTTCGGCCGTGGCTTCTCCTCAACACCTGACCCTGCCGCTCAACCTCAAGACATCCAACTTTTCACCACACAAATCCTACTGGTTCTTTCCTCATCTCCACTAAGCTGGACCGGAAATGGCAATCGATTTGGTCTGATTGGTTACTCGCTGGGTGGAGGTATCACTGCATCCTTTACATCTTACTTTCCCAATCTGGTGGAGTCTCTCGTCCTCATCGCGCCAGCAGGTCTGATGCGATCTGAACGCATTCATTGGACGAGCAAGCTCCTCTACGGTGGATTCCTCCCTCGAAGACTAGTCGAGTACTTGGTATGGAGACGTCTCGGCGGCAACAGCAGTGCTCCAATACCATCTCAACACACCAACGATGACAGCAAGGTCACTGCAACCAAAGCAGCAGACGAGGAAGCACCAGCTCACCCAGCTCTCACCCGCAACTCCCCCGCCCAGATCTCTGCACGCAGACCTTCTGTCAGTATAGCAGATGTAGTATCATGGCAACTCACGCACCACGCCGGTTTCGTGCCCGCTTTTGTCTCAAGCATCCAACACGCCCCCATAAGCGCTCAACACTCATCCTGGGAATCCATTGCTGGAAGACAACTCCTCCCTCCCGACCAACGTCTTCTCGAAGGCAAAGTATTGCTACTGCTAGGCAAAGACGACACCGTAGTCATTGCCGACGAAATGTGCAAAGATTCAAAGGAAGTGCTAGGAAATGCAATCGACATCCGTGTCATGGACGGCGGTCACGAACTCCCCGTCACAGATGCCGATATCGTCGCTGCGACCATTCTAGACTTCTGGAGCCACCATATCGCATGACAGTAGCGGTGAACACCCAAATAAGCAAATCGAAAGAAAGAAAAACTCTGCTGCTGTCGGCCTTGCTGGCAATAGAATGCTGTGTTTGCTGGTACATGGCGGGTCTGTTGCATAATCTAGAGTAGATATATAAATTTTTCTCACGCAAGGTCTGCTGGTACTTGTGTCCGTGAACCATGTACTCTCAGTGTCACCGACATGTGAAAGTAGGACAGACCCACGACTTTAAGCGTGCCTGCATATGCTGTCGTGTATCTCAACCCGCATGTTGCTTGTTGAGGATGCCAAAAAGCTGAACCAGGTTACATGAAGCAAGGAGCGAAACAAACTGCAGCCGGTAAACAACATCCGATGCACAGTACTATCATGGCCAGAGTCACACAAGAACGAAAATTTGTTGGTTTGCAAAGAGATTTTTTTTGGTATTCGAAACACATCTGCTTTTTGTGTTATGTAGCCTATGGGCCTTGATTGGGCATGGAGGAAATGAGAGAGAGACTGTGAAAAAGGAAAAAGTGGTATCCCGCTCCTCTCCTCCAAGAAAATCTGCAATTTGGTATTGGAAGCCTCTTGTGGGCCAAAAGAGGAAAAAGAGCAACAAGCACGAGTCAAAAGCAAGACTCGTCAAACAGCAGCCGCCATCATCAAGCAATTTTTTGGCTCCCGGAGTTTTCTGAACAGCAACCTTTGCATGTAATTGCGGCCATCGTAAGATATGTTCGAAGTAATAATGTGCAGATGCTGTCCACCAGACGATGGTGGACAATGAGAAAAGAAACGCTGAGAGCAAAGGATACTAATGTATGAGGAACGCTTGCAATGCAATGGTGAAAAGGCTCAAGGGTACGAAGAGACTGGCGGATACATGTTGTTACAACAGAAGAACATGGAGCGTCATGAGTGTGCTCGAAGGAGTTGGAGCTCATTGTGACGGGTATGATGTTGGATATGAGCTGTACTGGTACGATGGGTGGCTCGGGGCGGAAGTCACATTCGAGCATGCATGAAGACGGTGCATCAGGTTTTGGTTCACGTTGTAGCTCGAGTTGTCGTAGAAATCCTTCTCCGGAGTCTCGGGAGGCGTGAGGACACCAATGGGGACTGAAGCGTAGACAGGCTTCTGGGGAGTCTGAGGTGTCATCATCGCTCCTGGTACTTGCTGCACGTCGAGTGTAGACTGGGCAGGCGAAGGGTAGGGTTGTTGCGATGTGGATTGCTGCTGTTGTTGCAAGAGGTTTTGGCGTTGCAAGAACTGCTCCAGAGTGGTGGCAACGTTCGAGAGGTGAGCCGACGAGTACTTGCGGAACAGAGCCTGCGAAGGACGCGAGAGCTGGTTTGACAGGTCCATGACGACGTTGGAATCATATCTGGCAGCCCACTCTGGGTGGTGAACCTGGGGACGACCAAGGATGTAGCGAGAAAGAGCGAGCGACGACCTGGCCATGACTGAAGGCAGTACGGGGATGAAGTCTTTGTGGTAGAGAGCCATCTCGGAGATGTATGTAGCCATGTTCTGCACCTCAGCATCGGCTGCTGTCTCGGAAAGGGCAATCTCAAGGAAGCCAGTCACGGTCGGGTGGCCGATGATCCAGTTTAAGGTTTGCAGAACGTGCCATTCCATCTGCGTGAACATGTCGTCGTCGTATAGCGAGCAGCACATCGACTTCAGTTCCTTGATGGTGGGCACACGCTCTTTACGGTCGCCGTACTTGGCAGCAATGAGTAACGAGGCACATCCCACCAGTTGGTAGTGACGCTTGTAAACGACACGCTTCGAGCAGTATCTGTCGAGGAGGTTGACGGCAAGGAAGAGAGTTTCGGGGAGCAGTTGGAAGGCGTGATGAGCTTCGAGGAGGAAGTCGAGGAGGTAGGGACGCATGAACCATTGGATCTCAGTCTGAATCTCGATGGAGTTGATGTCCGGCATCGTCTCGGCCTATCGGGAGTCAGTATATGCATCGAAAGAATGGCGAACCAAAGATCTTACCTCCATGACCTCCATGTGGTCAAGCACGTCGTTCAAGTACAGCTCACTCGTTTGACGAGAGAGGTTGGCAGCCATGTGCTNTTGTTGGACCTTTGCAATCGCGCGTGCTCTTTCCCGCTCAGCAGCCGCTCTGGCAAAGATGCCGTCTGTGTCTTCATAGCTCTCCACGAAATAGGTCTCGCAGTAGCCGTAGTTGGATTGTGCTGTTGTGGAAGCCATATTGCAGGTGTAAAGTTGGTGGTGGAGGTTGGTCAATTCGCCAGGATTGACGGGTGAGAATCTATTAATGAGTGAATGGTGTATGAACACTGGTTGCTTGAGTGTAGACACAGAAAAATGGACAGTGTTGGTGACAATGCAATAGAAGGACTGTAATTAGTTGGATGAGGGTTGTTGTGGATGATCCTAGAATGACTGGTCTGACTGCCTTTGAATGGCTCGAAAGATGCAGGTATAAGGAGTCTACGGGAACCTGTATGAGTTAGCACTAGAAGCGGACAGGAGACGCGAGTGTCCGAGCTGAATATTGCACATACCTTGGGAAATGGGTGGCAGCGAGGCAAAATGCAGAGAAGTGAATCCCTTGCGAATTGAGGCTCGGATGTCGACTGGAAATCGGAATGCCGTAGATGGTACTTGCCCGATCTTACAGGCGTAGAGAACGAATCAACGACTCTACCAGTTCCAATGAGAGCGCGTCGACCTGGCTGGGCTTGGAGTTCGCAGATAGGTCTGGGGAATGTCAGTCATTCCCAGGTCAATGATGAAAGGCACGTGCGCAGCAAGGGACGGAAATATGTTGATGATCAAGGAAAAAGAACTTACCAGAGAGAGCTGGTCTTGAAGAGATTGGCTTGAAAAGGCGAGTCAAATCAAGAGATTGTTTGCTGAAAGAGCTGTGATGGTTTGAGATTAGTGAATGCAGCTTCAAAAGTGCGCCAGTCAAGACTGAGGAGGCCAGAGATACAGGTGACGACGAGTAGATTGCCGAGGTTAGGCCGGAAGGATAGGGAAAGAACCATTTGGGAATGAGACACGACTTCGAACCGGCTCACTATCATCAAGAATGCAAGCGCGATCGCTTCTGGAAGTGTCCATGCCTTGACGGCCAAGGAACGTAAAGACCCTGCTCAGTACTCGCGTCGACGCAACGCTGTTGAAGCGTTGTATAATATGCCAGTGCTCCATTGTATAAAATGGTATTGTTCCATGGTATTCATGATGGCGATGCAAGAGGAAGCCGCAAGGTCGAACCGCCAAGGTACTTCATATGACGGTTCTTGCTTTAGTGACGCAGGCTTCGTTGCTCTTATCGTGAATGAACCCGGAGGGCATCATCGATATGTCAACCAGCAAGAGCAAGGTCTTTCCTTCCCTCCTGATATTGGAATGTGGTTGTGCACACGAAGCCACCAGTGTGCTTTCAATTTGCTCCTTCCATATCCTTCCAGACTGACCGCACACCCGTCTCTTCTCGTCAATGTCCACCACTCCTTATCCGTGTTTCAGATTGATCAAGATGATGACCTGTTATATTAAGAGAAGGGCGAGGGCAGATGATAGGGGGCATGGAAGAATAGCTTGAGCAATGCTCACTCACCTCGTACTGATGAAGACTCGATTCGAGGTCGAATGAGATTGCAAGCTGTCAAGGCTGACGAGATGAGGTGAAGAGGCCGTCCACAGCTCTGCGTTCAACGAAGAGGAGAGGTCGGGGCGGCTTGAGAGGTCGAGGGGTTAGGCGGCAGCGACGGTGTAGTCGTGTCGAAGGGTTTGATGGGGGCCTGATGTCGAATGGTGGTGATCGGATGCTAAGAGTCGACAAGGCTTCAGTCCAGGTCGAGGTCGAGGGTTATACGACGAACGGCTCTGGGAGAGGCTGGAGGGGGGTAGGAGTAGGTATGAGAGGAAGCCGTTTGGAAGCGGTGACCGTTTATCAAAGCTCCATTGACTTGCGAGGCAGAGTAGGGTTTGGGAAGAGGTGGAGAGGGAGCGAGGGAGGAGGGAGGAGAAGAAGGAATCGACAGCCTCGGACAGACGTCGTGTCCAGCAGTAAGACGTCGTCGGTACTGCCCTCTGCCTCCTGGTGGAGATGGCTCAGTCGGCCTGGTCTGTAAATCTTGGCTGAAGCCACTCTAGCCGCTAGCGTCGAGCGTCAAAGCGTTGGTACGTTGGCTACTACATAAATGCTTCTGATCAACCGGTTCCATACACGCACGCTTGTCAGGATACCGGCCTCTCAAACACTATCCTCCCCGATCGTCTGACTTGGGCACAACGCCCCTTACCATACTTTGGCCGCCTATGTACGGGCACAAACACACTGCTTGCTACAAGCAAATGGCAGCGAGCATTAGATCCAAACGTATCACATGAAATTGTCCATGATTAGTGAATCTCGGCTCGAGCAACCGCCCAACATGCGACATGCGACAGCTGCCTCCCCTGACGAGGCCTGACGACAATCCCCAGCCAATCTTGCATCCTTCTGCAACCGTCACGAAACACACTTGCTGTCGAGCGTCTGCTTCCTACGCGTTCAGTAGTGCAGGAACAAGCTTCGTTGGCGAGCACGAGATATCAGCTCCGCCCGGTCTGCCGGCTCTCCCACCAATGAGCCATTGTTCACCAGCGCCAATCTGCATCATTGAACTCCTTTATACCCCAGAACCTTGAAATCAACCGCCAATCTTCCTGCACCACAACTGCGATGGAGTACTGTTTTAGAGCCCTGTCTCTCCCCCCTGCTTGCTCGCCTGCCTGCCGCGGACCTCCGATCATCCCTCAAGCATATGCAACCACTTTAACGCCGTTTGAAAGTCTCCGTCAAATACGCGCTTCACGATCGCGGTCGAAACGCGTCTTACGCCGTGTTTTTTATATACGAAGCATATCCAAATTTCATAATCTGCTTCACACCGTACACGTGCGAACCATAGTTACCCCTGAGTTACTCTATCCGCAGGCGATCGTTATTATGCTCGTTAGAAATGAGTACAAGCTCGAAACTATGCCTGCGCGCTTGCTCTCCGGAAGCAATCAAATGCAATAACCAATATCATCCTCCAATAACAATCTCGTTAAAAGTCGTCCGTTGGATGGATCGAGAAGGTGTGTCACGCTCGGCGCTTTTCGGTCTTGGAGATAGCAAACAAACCCATTTGCAACCCCTAGCATCCGGCGGGTCGATTGTTTAGGTACAATAATGCAGATTTATATGTAGTATATGCAGACGGCCGACGAGAATTTCCGATCTGACGACTCGCACGTCCTGATGGATCCAGCCCAGCTTCCAAGTTCTCAACAACGAAGCGTCGGTGAACTTTTCCTCCACTGGATTACGCACAGATTCAAACTCTGTGCGGATCGTATAGCTGTTATCATATCCTTGCCCGTTCTGCATGTTCTTTCCCTCGCTCTCTTTGTCGCCAATGCACAGTGGCTGTCGATTGACTCGGCGGAGCGAAGCCGTCAAGCCGTACGACGAGGCTTCTTCGCGAGTTCTCACCACAGCCCGCAGCTTGCATATCAAGATGACATATCGCGCCGCCCGAGTATGTAGTTACGTTGACTTATACCCAGTCAGGCTGTCCTTGCTTTGAACTTTGATAGACGATCGTTCCACCATCTGAGCCTGCCATGCATTCGTGAGAGATGACAGTTTTTTTCTTTCCCTTCACATGCATTCAACTTTTCGAGNACTGCATATGCCGTCATACAAAGGCGCGGCCGTACCACTGCGTCTAGAAGTTTTGGCCGACGCTTTTCACCTTCGTCCACCAGTTTCTCAAGCAACGAACCTCTGCCGGCATCTCAGCCTACCAAACTNCATCCTAGACGGAGACCCTAGCATGACCGAGTGCAGAAGAAGAAAGAATTGGATTTCACCAACAAGCCACGCGACCAAGAACAAACATCGAATAGAATGTTACACCCGTTTCTCCATATTTTGTACTGTACCTGTACAAAAGTCCTTATTCATTTCTCCACAAAAGGCTAAACGAGANNTATGCTTACATTAGATCGGCATCATTTGAACAAGCCCCGATCATATTTATTAATACACCCCATAATCGAATTGAGCCTCATACTATCCGTTTCGCCAGTTATCCATCGTCTGTTTTGAACTCGGTTCCTCTCACATCTCAATCTTGCAAACTCGGCCGCAGATGAACCAAGATTGCTTTTTCTTTTGGCACTCGTTCGAACCCATTCAACCACNACACCACTTTCATCCTTCTGCCCTGATCTTGCCGTCACAAACATCCTCGTCGACCACGGCAACCAAGTGTCGGGTCGCTTGGCGAGACTNTTTTCGCTGACTCCACANCCACCGATCAACATGGATACCCGCCATCCGGTCAGAGGCTTTTCCAATAGTTTGAAGACATGCAGAGAGACTTTCGATCAGCAACAATGGTAGGTTCTGTCGCCATGCTTGCCCCGGGTAGATAATCAGTGTGTGTCTGAGCTCCGCTTGTCACTAGGCTCTTCCTGTGTACAATATGTGTCGTGTCCAACTCAACTCTCGTGAGTCTTTCTCCTCGTTTCGTACCCACGCAACTAACGAAAAAGCGTTCCATTCTTCAAGTCTCACACATGACATGTCGGCCACCTCGATAAACCTGGTTCACCATGTAACTCCACGGTACCTCGTTCTCCACAAAATGTGACTTTCTCAGCCAGGATTTGAGAATCATCCCGTTTCGACCTTGCCAAAGCCTAACGGCGGTACGCCCGCCATGCATTTCTTATGATCTGCACATGATATAATGCACTAAACGCGATACATACGCGGTAAGACGCGATCCACTTTACGCCCAACCGTGGGAACCTCGTTCGATCTTCCATCTCCTGACTCCTTAGCTCGCAAGCCATTGACGAGAGCCTGCGTAAACGTCTGGGATTTGGCCCTCGGCCGAGACAACAGGAGAGGAGTACCCGTCTTCTCCTGAGGAGACGCGGCAGATCGCGAAAGCTTCGCGTTTCGATCTCATTACATTGCCGCTTTTGGGCAAGTGAGCACGGATATCGATTTATGGGCGATACACTTGTTACTAGTCCTGTGATCAGATCATGATGAGTTGCGTGCTACCAAAGACACGGAATACTGATTTCCATTGTAGTTTCAATTGTACTGGTAGCCAAGTACGAGACTTCCAGTCAGCTGCTCTCAACAAGACGAGGCTTTTTGCCTAGCTCCCAGCTGCGATACAACAGCGTGGAGAACTGCCTTTCCGCCATGGATGAGCGCTCCAAGAAATTGAATCCCAATCGATGAAGTTTTGCGATCAATTCAAAAATGTTGTTTCAGAGTCTAGCTGGCACGACAGAATCAACTTCAATTCAACAAAATACAGCAGTCAGCCTGTGAAACTATTAACCGCATAGATTCATCACTCTTACGCACCCTTACCCAAGTTGTCATACACCGCCGTCTCTGCTCCGAACCACGCACCCATTACATTGGGATCACCGAAAGGCATGACCTGACTAGCAATCATACCAGCAACACCCTTCTCACGATCCGCCCACCAGAACAAGTTGGCAATTCCTGCCCAGAATGCGGTATTCTTTCCACGGCCTGTGACTCCGGGTTCAATGGTCAACATTGCGCTAAGGCACCAACCCTGNNTCGTTGTTGTCAGCGTGTGGTCAAAATGTGTAGTGATACGCAAACAACATACTTGTGCGACATCACCCTGTGGGTATAGGTCTCCCAGCGGGTTCGAGTGCTCTGGCTTTGAGTCAGGAATGCCTCGGCGACCAAAGTCCGGCATCTGAGGAATCTGGTTCTCGAACATGTGCTTCACTGTCTCTGGCTTAAGGATCTGTTTGTTCGTCTTGGGACACGTGCCGTCGTTCAACAAGATGGCAAGCACCTTAATGTACTCTGTGGGACGAGAGAAGAGGCCGGCACCGCCACTACACAGAATTCTGCTTTGCTCTTCCTTTCCTTCGGCGACCATGGGTCTGCGGTAGACATGGTCTCTTTCTACAGCCTTCTGGCTACCTGGCCAGCGTTGGTGCATGGACGCCATATTCGACTTCATCTCCTTGGTCGGGAACATGGTTGTGTTGTGGATGCCGAGAGGCTCCAGAATGTTCTNTTGCATGTAGTCGTTCAGATTCATGCCGGTTTGTCTTTCGAGGGCAATGCCTGCCCAGTCGATGTTGATGCCGTATTCCCATCTGCTACCTGGCTGGTTGACCAGGGGCATCCTAAGCACTTCAGCCGGGTCACCAGAGAAGACGTCGAAGCCGACAGGGCGGCCGTAATCTCTGAGCTTGGTGTTGAAGAACTCATATCCGAAACCTGCGGTNNCTGTGGCACTGGTAAGCAAAGAAGGTATGCGGACAATGGCAGGTAGCAAACTCACATGCGACAACAACATCCTCAGCGTAATCTCAGCCTCCTTATCTTCCAACTTTTCATCATCAGTCAACACCTTCACCTTCTCCAATTCTGGACACAGCTTATACAGCTGCTTGTGATCATCAAGGTCGAGCTTGCCCTGCTCGACCAACTGCATGACAGCAATCGTAGCAATCATCTTGGTGCAACTCGCGATCCAGAAAGTGGTTTCCAGAGTCATCGGCTCCTTGGTGTCTAATCCTCGGTTGCCAGACGCATTGGCTGTCAGAACATCGCCATCTTTGTTGATCGCTGCAAAGACTAAGCCAGCAACTCCTGTCTCAGGATTCGAGGTCACTCCATCGAGAGTGGTCTGAACCGCCTTGTGTGTCGCGTCGGACTTTCTGGAGTTTCCACTATCTCGACGATCAGGCATACTGTTCAAATGTCCAGAAAATCAAGATTGGGCAGATTCAGAAGATAAACGTATAGAGATGAGTATGAAGGGTTGTTTGAAGCACAAACCTGGGCTTAGAGATCTCTCTGTATGATAATGCCCCGCTATCGTCTACCCCTCTTCGATCCGGAGCTCTTATTCCGTGACCGAGGTCTCGAAAGTCTTGCAGGCTGGCTCAGCTGCACACTGCGCGCTTGCAGCGAGTTTCCTAAGAACCCATGACCCCGCATGTTCCCCGCAGATTACCAAAGTTAAAGCCAATCAAGCTTTCACGCGTGGATCTTCAGCCTCGCGGATCCACGCGCCCTTTGAACCGAGTATTCGGTTTGCTTTGACGAGGAACTCTGTAAGCTTTTGTATGTCTTTGAAGTGATGATTGTGTCTGCTCCACTACAGGACGACGTTGGTGTTGGTATATTTGTGTAGTGCCAAATTTGAGCTGTCATACGGATCTTCCTTTTCAGCTCCAAACCACGAACGCTTTTGCTCGAAGCGCTTGGCCAGGTTTCGTCTTTCAACCTTGAGTAGTATGATCTTCACAAGACATCTCTCTACGCCAATCAGAGCTCGTAAATCGCCTCGCAGCTTATGTATTCTTTGCGTCCAGTTCAGCATAACGTCCTCTCTGCAATTCACTCGCAGACTGTAAGCGGCTGACGTGAGCCATGGTTGGTTGGTTGGTTGGACGCGCTGACCCCACCCTGCATCGAGTCAGGAGCGCGCTTACACACAGCATGGAGATCCTAGCTGAGGACATGGTCTCACACATAGGCGTAGAAGAACATGACTTGAGCATAGTTTGATAATGATTCGAGACACCTCAACTGGTCTTTCCTCGAGCTTGCTTGAACTTCTTGAACTCCTTGAGAGCTGCCATTACCAGGGGTACAGCCATAGGACCGAGCAGGGGAACATATACCGCAACCTTATGCTCGTCTGGGAAGTAGACCTGGCCGACCATGGATGGTTCAAAGAAAGCTTGCTCCGCTTGTGCCTCGGCGATTCGTGCATGCTCTAACGCAGCGTCAAAGTGTCCCTCGTGAAGATGAGAGCATGCCGTCTCCAAATGATGGATAGTTTTTTGTACNNTGGAGTCAGCCACGTTGTCTGGAATGGCGATGCTGGTCAGCTTGAGTGTAAGCCTGGACAAAGCTCCAAGAGTCGATGAGGCTGATAGAATCAATGAGGCTGCCCTCTCGCGGGTCAAGCTGGAAAGACGAAGAGGAAGCGAGGCCGGTGACTGGGGTAACCCAATGAGAGACTCCAACTGCTCTGCAAAGATGCGCACGACTGGTTCGAGATCATCTTTAGTAAGAACAGTGTTGTTTTGATCCTTTGAAGGGTTCAATATCTGAACTCCGCCCCATTGGGGAATCAGCCAACTGGTTCCGCCGGTCTCCTCAATCACCATCGGGGCTTGCTTGGGAGAAGGAACATAAGCGACGAAGTTGATAGTTGGGCCTACACCGATGCTCGGGCTGAGAGGCCACTCGGCCGCGTTGATAAAGGCACTCAAGTCAGAACGCATCAGTGTCCATTGGTTTGATGCCTCATCGTACTGAGGACCGTGTAGTGAAGTGGATAGGGATGCATACAGTTGCACCTGGGTGTCGACACTGAACTTGCTGACGGACGAGAACGAGGTCAGGAAGGGACCAAGGTACTCGTCGAGAGCTGCTTTGATATCCCATGCAGATGGTGATGCTGAACCCGTGAAGAGAGAAAACGTCAAGTGGTAAGTCGATGCATATTTGAAAGCGCGGTTAGACCTTCTTCGGTAGCCTTCGACGATGGATGAAGAATCAATATCTCCCGAAGACTCATGATGATTCGTCTGACCTGTCAAAAGATAGTCTAGAGTAATTTGCTCCTCTGCAAACAGCTTCAAAAGTTCAGTTGCAACGAAGTCAGCAAGGTCAGACACACCGGTGGGCTGAGATGACGGCAATGTGCCATGGTAGATGCTTAGAGTAGGGTCAAAGGGCTGGACCTTAGCCACTGGGTGGGAGTAAGAGTCATCAAGCACGAGGTTGACAATGACAGCCGAGGACGACGAGAGGTCAGTATATGGCGCATCTGCTGACTGATCTGCAGTCCCGTGCCCCGAAGTGATTACTCGCAAGCGGTGGACAGGAGACTTGTTTTGTCTATCCAAGCCCTGCTGGATCTGCTGAACCAGGTCTGCAGTGGTTGCAGTGTCAAGATGGGAAGCAGCAAGAGCAACGTGCACAGGAAACTCGAGTTTACATGTNNCTTTTTAATGCTTAGTAGATATCATAAGACAGAGCGAGAGGGCAAGGCATACCTGACCTGAGGCCCACGCATCCATCGACTCCAAGGGCAGTGCAGCGCGGGGAACAGTGGTCGTGGCGAACCAAATAGGCAGGCCGAGCAGGCCGACGATGGCCCAGAAACTGAAGATGATCCATCTACGTGTCTTGACGCCCTGCGGAGATTCAGGCGGGGGTTGTTNTTTGGCCAAAGCAGCATGGACGACCCCTTCAGCAGGAGCGTCGTTGATGGCACTGCCAACCTGCTGAGTGTCCATCTTGCTCTTCCTTAAAGCAACAAACACAGGACGAACCTCTGCAGAAAGGAGAACTGCAACTCGGAGCTCGAAGAGGGGCGGCTAAGGGGAAGGTGCTTGGCGGAACCTCGGACGGTGGATAGCAGATTGTGATTGGCGCGCCGGTACGCCACATAGCAGGACAATTGGGGCTGAGGTCGTGCATGTACTTGGTACGTACGGACCCAAGCCGCGCGTGTTCTCGCTTGCTAGCATCTATTCTGGGTCTGCTCTTCATATCTGCGTCGGCTGGCCTCAGACCGAAAGCAACCTGTGTTTACTTTCCCACTGTCTGGCTGTTTGAATAACCAGCAGCTTCCGACGACAGCATCGATCCGGCACGCCGCACGATCGCGTGTCGAAAATTCCAAGTTCCGCGGCCGTTGCAACACTTCAGCCATTTCCCAGCGTCATCGTTGTCCATTATCCACGTCCGTCTGCCAGTCCGTGCGGCGTGTTGGGGTTGGTCTTGAGCATTCTTGCGCAACTTCTTATAGTCGTTGCTTGCCAGCCTTTCCGGCATGCTGCGCCTACTACGATTATCAGACATGGTCGGCATGACCAAGCGCGCCCTCAAGTCGACTGACGGCTCCGAGAAGACCAAAGCTGCTATTGTATGTTTAAGTCCGAGTATCCTTGTTAATGCCGCACTTTACTGACATGGCATACAGGTTGTTGGTAGTGTCGGTGCTGTTCTGCTATTCGCCATCATTCTTTTCTTCGTGCTCCGAAGTATCCGCCTACCCAAGAATATTCGACAGGCACAGGCCGCAGCCCGCGCCCGCGCAAGATCTCAAAAACCCCATCGATCATGGATCCAAACCATTCTCTCGCCTTTCCGTCGCAATGACAGCCCATCCGCTAGTACCGCCACTCGAGAAATGGTCCAAGACCCTGAGGCCGCTGTCAACAGGCACACGAGTATCCGTAGTATCGCCACTCTTCCTGCTTACTCTGCTGTACCTCACGAGAATGAAGGTGTTCTTGGCCGCGAAGGTGAAAGAGCAGGCATGGACACCGTTGTAGAGTTTCCTGAAACCAACGAGGAGGAAGAAGGCAGAAGAGAAGCCGAGATGGAGTCTCTCTGGCAGATTCGCCAACAACGCAGACAAGAGGCTGCTGAAAGAGAAGATCGTAGACGTCGTCGTCGCGAGGCTCGTGCTAGAGGAGACCTGGAAGCTCTCAGCGCTCTGCGACATGAGACAGCTCTCCGCGTCACTCTGGAGCGTGCCAACGGCTCCAACTCGATGATTGCCGAGCACAACGCCAGGCCGCGAGAGAGGAGAATCAGCGCTGTCTCGTATGGTGACTTGGGCGTTGCTCGCCATGATGGTTCGCGTGTGCGTGGTAACTCTACCGAGTCTGACAGCCGGCCGCTGCTCAACGACGTCTCTCGTGCAGGCAGTGCCAATCCTCTTCGACCTTGGCTGTCTCGCGCTTCTTTCTCTACTCATCATCGGATGGCTTCTGCCACCTCCGTTCTTACTACTGATAGCGCGGACCAGGATGACAGCGATTTCGAAGTCATTTCTCTCCAACATACTTCCTCTCGTCCACGCTCGTCGCGAGCTCATTCTCGAGCCCAATCCATCAACTTGAGTCTTCGTAGAACTTCGACAACACAACTCCACCAGCTTCCTCGAGCTGACGGCGATTTGGGCGAGAGCCGTATTCCTCTTCCTGAGCTGCCGCGATACGATGCCATGGGCTTTGAGGAAGCCCCACCCTATGAAGAGATCCACTCAGCTAGACCGTCCCTTTCGAGGGCCAACAGCCAAACACGAAGAAGTGAGAACAGCAGTCCACTATCTTCTCTGCCCGAAATTGTCCGTCTCCCAAGCATTCGCATCAACGAGGCATCCCCTACCGAGTCCCCTCGCCAGTTCAACTTCCCAGCCAACGCTAGGCCAACAACTGCCTCGACGATCGACGAAGAAACGACCATTTGAATGCCATATCACGACTTCTCTTTTATGCTTACCATGTTTTTCCTTTTATCCTGATACACGACCTGCATAATTTTTTCCCTTTCTGGTTGTTTATAGAGATTGTCGAAGAATCGCATTCATCGCATTCGCTTAGCGCCGGCGTTAGGTGGAGGAGGTCAGGCATCTCCAAAAGTTGATACCAAGACACGAATTACAATATCTTCATTTTCCTCTCGATCTCGTCCCGATAATGATTCTGAACGCTCCGCTTGAATTCTGATAAGCAAACTCTCACCTCAATTGACTTTTACCGTGCCTGCATGTAGGTCGAAGAAACATCAACCATAACATTAACGAGGATATAAAGGGTCTGTGCATTGAGCACGTGGTTGCATTCCTCGATGGCACTCGACTGTTCCCTCAGCACTTCAAGTGTTCACTATAACATGCCGTGTTGATATGCCTCAAAGACCACTACGACTGCACATGGCCAGGGTTGAGCGCACGATCTTCGCCGAGGCTCAACTGGCCCTACAGATATGGCGAACGAATCGTCCCACGTGCTTCCTACATGGGTAGTCAGAAAGGGATATAAAGAGCTCGATGGCCTCGAGCACGAGGCCAGAAGAAGGTGCATCTCACGCTTTACACTCTACAGCATGGCCTTGACTGCAGCAAGTCTCTTCGCTTTGGGCGTCATCTCAAGGTAGGTACTTTCGTCATTCCTTCTCAGCACATCACCTACCGCATTCAAGACAGTCTGGATATTTCACTAAACTCTAGGACCCTGCCTCTCTGCTCCTCGTGTGCAAAATTATGTGACGTATATAGCTACAAAAATGCACAATACTATCAGATAACAGGATAGCGTCCACTGAGAAGCGATCTCTTAGCAGCTCTCTTTGGCCAATTCTAGTTTCTGAATAGAACTGTGCATTTTTACAGCGTGTACGTTACTCACTTCTAAAGTCGGAGTACAGTGGGAGTTACATCCTTTAGCACACGGGGAGGCTAGATCTCGGCCCTGAGGGAACTTTGCCATTTCTTTTCTGCCGGATCAAGTTATTGATCTGACTCAGTCTACGCCATGCAATGACCATATCAGATATATAAGGAAATCGCTAATATTTGATCAGCTCCTCGGGTCACTTCATTCCTGTCCCGGCTCCAAACAACCATACATGCGACAATGTCCAGACTGGATACCAGTGCCAGCCGCAAATCAGCCACTACTGGGGTCAATACTCTCCATACTTCTCCGTCCCATCCGAGATTCCTGCAAATGTCCCTCTCACATGCTCGGTCACATTCGCACAGATTCTGTCGAGGCACGGAGCTAGGGATCCTACAGCTTCCAAGACTGCGAAATACAACGCAACTATTGCCAAGATCAAGAAGAATGTTGCCAACTTCACTGGCAAATATGCCTTCCTCGATGACTACGAGTACACACTCGGAGCGGATCAATTGACAGACTTTGGAAGACAGCAGATGGAGAACTCTGGCATAAAGTACTATCAGCGTTATGCAGGCCTTGCCCGCAAGGCAATTCCGTTTGTTCGCTCGTCTGGTGAAGCTCGTGTGGTAGAGTCTGCAGAGAAGTGGGTAGATGGATTCACCGAGGCCAAGACCAATGACTGGTGGGCCAACAAACAGTATCCCTCTGTCAATGTGGTCATCAGCGAGGATGCTGGCAGTAACAACACGCTGAACCATGATCTCTGCACCAGTTTCGAGGACGGACCTGATTCGAATATCGCCGATGCTGCTCAGAAGACCTGGGTGTCTGTGTTCGTTCCCAACATTCAGAAGAGGATAAACGCCGATTTTCCTGGAGCAAATCTCACGTCGGCTGAGATTGTCTACTTGATGGACTTGTGCCCTTTCAACACCGTTGCTTCGGCTACAGGTGCAGTCTCACCTTTCTGCTCGCTGTTCACAGAGACTGAATGGCAAGACTATGGATACTACGAGTCTTTGAACAAGTTCTACGGTTACGGGGCTGGAAACCCTCTTGGACCAACTCAAGGCGTTGGTTTCACCAACGAACTCATTGCCCGTCTTACCAGGAAACCAGTCGTGGACAACACCTCGACAAACCACACTTTGGACAGCAACCCTGCGACTTTCCCTCTTGATCGCGCATTGTACGCAGACTTCAGTCACGATAACGACATGACTGCCATCTTCTTCGCCATGGGACTTTACAACAGCACTTCTGCCCTCTCAAACACAACACTCGAGACAGCACAACAGACTAATGGATACTCAGCAGCGTACACTGTTCCATTCGCAGCCAGGGCTTATGTCGAAAAGCTGCAATGTCTTGGCCATAGAGAGGAGCTGGTCAGAGTTATTGTCAACGATCGCGTGATTCCTCTGCGTAGCTGTGGTGCCGATTGGTTGGGAAGATGCACTCTCAGTGACTTTGTCGGTAGTTTGTCTTTTGCACGCAGTGGGGGTGATTGGGCCACATGCTCCGCTTAGATTTTAGAAGTACGCATTCTTGCAATTAAAAGGCTGTCCATGACAATATTCTGAATCTCTATAGATGGTTGATTGTTGTGTTACGTCCATTGAGTACAAAGTGCCAATCGGATGTATCAATCAAGAAATGTCATATGAGGATGAGGCTGAGGAATCTGGATAGCCGTTGGTAAAAAGAGTCTCGGTGGGGCAGGGTGAGTGACGGGGAAGCTGCAGCTCAGTGTGGCACGACGACCAACACGATCACCAACATTGCTGGGTTTGCACCTTACAATGGCTGCTCATCTCTTCTTCACATCAACACTCACCAATCTATCGCTATGAATTATCTCAGCAACTTCATAGGCCGCCCATTCGCTATCCATAATCTAGACGAGGACAACGACGCCATGACAGCGCCAGAAGCGTCACCACCGTCACCACCGCCCAGCTCCATGTCTTCATCATCCCAGATTCCAGGTCTCGACCTCCTGTCAGCCGCGCAATTTGAAGCCCAAGTTGCAGCTAGAAGAGCAGCCTCCTCGCCGAACACTCCCGCTACCAAGCGTCCCAAACTCGACACACCAGCCAGCTCGTCGTCGTCGACAGCTCCGCGCACACTCCTTCCCTCCAAGCCCCGTGGTGACTCTGCCGCCAAAGTCAACGACATGTGTCAGATCCGTCATCTGCGAGCCGACTATGACTTTGAAGAAGGTCCTCCATACGCCTTTTCAGCCATTCTCCGTCTGCTAGATGGTGATCAAGCAATAGAGACTTTCGAACCACCTGGCACATACGGCGGCCGCCAAAGAGAAGGCTGCCGACATGGCTGTGACTTGGCTAGAGCAACAACCCATCCCAAAGAGAGGTCCAAAAGATGCAGGACTCCTGCCACTCGCTGCTGCGAAGGTCGATCCATCTGAAAACTGGGTTGGTGTATTGCACGGTAGGTCCCTGCTTCCTCACACGTTCGTTGTTGTGATATCTGCATATACAAATTCACGGGTGTACCTCTCATCACGCATGTCCAGTCTCCCGAAACGTCCTTGACGGCCTGCATATTAGCTTCCTCGACAGCCATCGCCAGCTCACAGTGTCATATGTAGAAGGATGTGGCAGTGAGAGCGCTACTGGTTTCAACTACCAGTATACCCTTCACAAGATATATGCCCGCACCTTCTCAACCCATGGCTCGCGACGGTCGATCAGAAGTTAGCCATGCAGGCTGAGGAACATGTCTCTGGAAGCTTGTCATGCTTAACGCGAGGCATTCTTCCATTGCTTCCCCATGATCATGCTTCGCTCGAGGTCAACTCTTACAATGCACAAAGTCAGTCAGCCAAGGGCCGTATCTGCAGAGGGTTATGCCTTCACGTTGTGCGAGAGACATGTTTCTGATACAAAACGCTTGTGCCTGATTGGATTTATGCATTGTTGTGGTTTACCACGAGCTGAGCATGGTCGTGGAAGTGGTGTGGTGTGCATCATCTCCAGTTCTTGTGTATTATAGACTTCTTTGTTCTCGCTAACAGCATCCTCCTGTACCCCTTCCATACTATCTGGCATGTCTAACAACAGCACAGAATTCTGTCAAGGACGCGCAATCGATCAGCCCGAGTACACTATCTTCGAGCTTGGTCCCCAACGATTTGGTGCGACATGCACCATTCTCAAACACACACACCACGACCAAAATGCCGCCTTCTCGAGTAAGAAGATTGCAAAACCGCCGCTGCTCGTGCTGCCGTCTTGGCCTTGCGCGAGGAAGGCGTCTTGACCAAACAATCAGCACACACTCGTGCCACTGTGGCTCCTGTCGTTCCAGCCTTTGGCACGCCAGTACCTCCTCCTGTTGCTACTGTCATTACCAGTACTCCGAAAGTACAGCCAACTCCATCACCTTCAGCATCTTCGCTCGTGCCTACCCTTTGCGCTGAACTAAACATCACACCTCCGACTTATAAGCTCGCGCAGACCTCGGCCCTGACTCCTGACTTCTGGGATGGCGAGGCTCGATTTGATCATGCCGTTGAACCTTGCCTGCACGGTGCTGTGGGAAAGGTTGAAAGGGTGTATGGAAAGAAGAATGCCAAGGACAAGGTCGTGCAGCAAGTTCTGGAAGTTCTTGAGAGTGTCAAGCAACAGAGGATGGCTGGTTGAAGTTCAGGACTTCTTGGTCAAGCACATCCTTTTGACATTGATTACGTAGACCATTGGAGACGAAATACAGACTCTATCCATCATCACACCTCAATCTGTTTCATCTACTATAGAGAGCTGAGAAAGAACAGAGAAGTTGCAACGCCTTCAGCATCACTAAAGAAAAATTCGCTCCAAAACTCCTCACCTCCTCATAAGCAAAAAACCAAGCTCCTCTTAGAGCTTGGGAAAACCCTCCTGCCTGCAAAGTATTCTACCTTTGTCAGGGAGAGAAAGAACGCTAAATGGTTCCGCTACATCCGAGGGTCGAACCCAAGGACTTTTAGGAGTTTTATCGCTAAAGGGAGTTGCGTCTTACCGATTGCGCCATCTCTACCGTTTGCTGAGAACAGAGAGGTTGGGCTAGGATATAAGGTGTTGGGGGTGAAGGGAAGGTGAGTGAAGAAGTGAAGGGGTTGAATGGGATAGATGGTCGTGCTGTATGAGAAAAACATCAGTTGTTCAGTTCATGATAATTACAAAGATGACACTCTTTTGCTCGTCACCTGAGGATGGAAGCAGAAGACATAAGAAGCTGACAAGATTCATTCATAAACGAGTTCTCCTCAAATACATTTGATTCAGACATGGGAGATGTCTCTTGCGGGAGTTTTTTGAGGAGCAAAATACACAACAACCATGTTAGAGTTTGCAGAAGGCGAGTACATCTACTCTAGCTGGAAGACTAGATGATAAAGAGAAGAAAGGGAACTATACATGAATGATAAACTATGGCAAGAGCTTTCATATGCACATCTTCTTCTTCGTCTGAGAGAAGGAAGGAGCAACCAGACTAGTGCAGAATGAGCGGCTGCAATGAAGTAGACAAAGAGATAGGGAAGTCACGATGTCACGGAAGGTTGAGCTACTTGCACTTTCCTGATTAAAAAGAGTCATGTGAATGTATAATCTTTGATTTCCTGCTTCTATGGAAACCCAGTCATCCTTCTGAACATGCAACTTTCCTTCTCCTTGAAGCAGAACCATCCCAGAAGATCTGGGAACTCAAGGAATGTCACTGTCCTCTTTCACCTCGTCTTTCCTTACGTTTCCTGCATCCAAGCCATCGAAAGCACTACTCGCCAATTCTCTGTCGCCAAGTAAGTGACCTATGTGAGTATGATCAAACTCCTGACCATTTCTGCGAAGCATCATGACTTCTTTCAAGAACGGCACTGGCGATTTGGAGAAAGGAGCGCGTGGACAGGAATGGAGTGAGCGAATCTTTCTCCGATCCTCAGGGCCCACAAAGCCATCACTTTGAACAGTAACACCTTGGGCGATACTTCGTCGACCTATTAGACCCAACTTGCCTTGGAGCGCTTCGTATTTGGCTTTGCTGTCGAGATACAGAGATCCCGCAAAGAGGTTGAGAGAATGTGTGGGTATGGCTGAGAATGTCTTCTCGGTGGAGTTCGAGGTTAGTGTGTAAAAGTCCAAGTCGTCGAATGAGACCATGGCTTTGTTGACGCGCGGAGCGAATGTGTGCAGGACTGTCTTTCTCGACTTCTTGATTTGTGGAAGCAGCTCATTAGCCTCGAAAGGGCTGATAACCAAGAGCGATTTATGTTCAGTGCTGCTCAAGACCCAGTTCACTGGAGCCATGTACTGGTCACGAGGCGATGACTGTGGTAGATCGACAGCGAGCCAGAAGTCAGCGGTTACCCAAAGACCGAAGACAGCAGGATCGATTTNTTGCCGTTCGAGAGTTTGAGCTGCACTGGTGTCTTTCAAAGCCGCAAAGGCACGTATCACTTGACACTTTTTGAGATCTGAGATATCACCGGTTTCGATGTATTGACAGATGCCTTGGCTGATAGCATGTTGACGCGGAAATGCTGGCGGGGGAAGCTCGACACCTACCTCTCTCTCGATCTCGTGAGCAAGCTCTCGCTCTTGCTCGTTGTCAATGTTGCAATCCTCAACCGTAGCTCTTTCGACTGAATCAAATTGACTGACGAGATGTTGCATCGTGGGATCGCTCGAGCCACGGTCTAGGCGATGCTCACCAATGGAAACGTTGTCTTCATGCACTCCGTACAGAAGCTCTAAGCTTCGAGCTTCAACTTCTTGAATCTCAACCCAAAATCGCTGAGTTCTGGCCTTGTCTGCTGTAATCACGGATGACGGGACCGTCGGGATGGAAGAAAGCAAGAGCTGGTTCATAACTTTTCGTTGGCGGAGATGCTCGAGACCCTGCATGGTTCGCAACGATTTCGCAGTCTCAAGAGCTCGGCAACTTTCATTCATAGACCAGGCCAAGACGTCAAAAGACGTCAGAACAGTATCAGATTCGCAACGTTTCATGTCACAAATACTTCTGTGGACCTCTGTAGGTGCAATGAAACACAAGCTGTGACCTTTACCTAGCTGACGGAGACGCATGCAAGCNNTGGAAACAAGTTAATGAGATACTCAATGTTCACTCGTTGGAAATGCCAACATACCTTGTGTGAGACGATCTTTCACAAGACGAGGACCTAGCATGACAGCAGCATGAGCCCCAACCGGGATCGCTAGATCGATCCCCCGAGTGTGCACTTCGTCCATGTATATGAGGCAATCGTTCAACTTCCTGGCAAGCGGAGAGATGCCTAATGGTATGGCCATACCACTGCGATCCAGGACCATCGGCTCGTCTTGATTATCGAAGTAGATTGCAGCCTTTGCATCGGGTCTGAACTTGAGCCACTGCTGCACAAACTCGAAGTTGGTAGCTTCCAAAACTTGAGCACCCACATCAATGAGTACATTGATGACTGGCTGCTGTTGAGAGATCAAAGTCAGCAGCTCTCTAATGGAGAGCCTCTTACCGCGAGCGCCTTCCCCATGAATGTATTCCTGATTCTCAGGGCGAAGAAGAAGGTTGAGCACCATGGCATTAGTGTGCTCTAACTCATCAAGATCGTTCTGCTCGATCGAGTATGGCAAGATCACGCGGCTATCATTCGTACCACTGAAGCCGGTAGTGAGCAGACCTGACGATTTAGAAGTCGACGGAATGTCCCATCCAGAAGCCGAGAGTCTCTTCAGAAACTCCTTGCCTTCTCTCGGAAAGACGACTTGGTTGAGNNGGAAGAAGTCGATACACTCGAGGTTGTATTGCATCTGAGGGAAGAGTGCCGTTCGACAGAGAATTCGACCATCCAAGTTTATAGAGTCCAACGAGGAAAGCCTGGCAGGGAGATCGCTTGCAAGTGCCCAATTGCTATAGATGTCGTGGGCATTTGCTTCCTTGAGCAAAACCTTAAAACAACGTTCAACTTGCGACATACTTAGACCGCTGTAATAATAACTCAAGCATGTCAAAAGGATCGCAACTTCAGGATGAGCAAACTCGGAATTTGGTGTTGGAACGCCTTTAGCTCGATATGGGACAGCCATCAAGCAGCGGGTAGAGTCAAGTCCGTACTCGACGAGCCATCTCTTGTTCTGCAGGACGAAAGATAAAACTTCGTAGGCAAACAGTCCTCGGAGAATCAAAATCGTGCACCAGTGCGACGATTTGGCACACTAATCGTTGATAATGGCAAGATCTTGCTCAGAGACCTCAAGAGATTGTATGAAGCTCCGGATGGCGGTTTTCGTCTTGGTCGAAAAACAGTGCAAGGTCACGCCAACGATTCTGCCCTCGAGAGCATCGGCGACAAGCAGATCCAGTAAAAGTTTGAACGCTGCAGGATCCAAAAAGGTTATGTCAGGGAAAGACTTGCTACCCAAAGTCGCATTGAGCTGGGATGGAAATTGCTCTGAGAGATCGATCGCGTGTTGCTTGACTCGACGAAGCACACCTTGTGCAATAAGCCAGCGATTGCTCTTGCCGTCAAGCATTCGCTGGCTTCCGACAGGATAGATGAGCTGCGACTTTATACCGAGTATCTCATCGCTCTCATCGATGACGTCGCGGCAAGTATTCTCCATGAAGCGCTGTAGGTCCAAGATAGCTGCAGCCAATGTTTTGTCAGAAATGATCTTCTCTCGAGTCATGAGCTTCATCGACAAAATCTCTTCAGGCAAGGCGACCATCACTCCCCGATTGATGCGATGGTCTGCCATGATACCAGAAATACAGCTGATGGTATCGTCACTGATTCGGGTTTTGCGGGAGAATGGAATGTGACAAATTCGATGTCCTAGCAGACCACCCAACCGTTGCAAGAGGACTTGTTCTGTCTGTTGCAAGAGCGACTTAAGAATCACTATGCGCACCAAGCGGCTTCTGTCGGCCAATGCAGTAGCCAGCATTGGTATAATGACGGAGGACTTGCCTTCGCCCATGTTTAACTGCATGACTGAGTTGGCACCCGAACTTGGTCTCATCATTTGCTGCGCCACCCTGACTTGCAATGGGCGGATGGTGATGTTGTTCTCGATCTCCAAGAGGAGCCAACTCCTAGAACTCCATCCTTCCCTACCAGGAGTCTCGAGCTCCTTGGACAGAGTGCGATAGTCTTGAACTTTAGCCAATTTCAACATGCGTTCAGCACGTTGTAAAGAAGCAATGCATTCCGCAAATGATAACAACTCAGTATTCCATGGGTCATCCAATTTGAATGCCTTAGTGCTCGAAAGACAGCTCAGTAAAGTCGATTCAGAAACGCGTGGCCACAAGTCTGCATCAGCCAATATCGCCTCTGTCGGACTTGATGGACTCAGTCCCTGGCAGATACTTTTGAACCACGNCCTCACATAATCGAGCGAGTTCGAAATGGTGTCGTTTGAAATCTCCAATGCTAAAACNNGAGGTTGCTGGTGGGTGGATGGATCTTGGAGATGACGGAAAGCTTCCAGACTTGAGCGTAAGACAGAAGCATACTGTTTGTGCGTATCTCCTTCTCTAGAGGAAAGAGACTTCACAAGTTTGTCAAGAGCAGTGACATCTGACCGCTTCTGACCTCCAGACTTCTGAGACCAGGTAAGTGAGATAGGGCTGTAATTGATGGTACCCAATGGTTTGACTCTATCGCCCCGCGAGAGCAAGGATTTCAGACTGGGTGTCGAAAACTGAACATTGTCTGGTGTATCACTGACAAATGTAGTGCTCGNAAACGAGATATCTCTTTGGGGTATGGTCAGNNTCAGCTTAAGCATACTGTTGACGTATGAGATATGGGTCAAGAATTGGCCGTTCTTATGCCATACGTCGAACAGGAGCTGGCATTCGGCGAGACAGAGAGCGACAGAAATTTGAGGATATACTCTCTGAAGTGGCATAATAGTCACCGCAGGCCACTGCTCAAAAATGTCTCTGGCAACCATTTTGATCTGCTTCTGAACTAGCTCTGTCTCCTCGGCATACTGTCTGGACTGCACTTGAGAAGGTTTACCGGGCAATACTGGGCGATGGCGATGCTTGCTGACAATCGAAAGGATTCGGTCTATATCTGCCTCGAAGCCAGAGGTCAAATCATAAGAATCATTATCAGTTGGTGGATTCTCATAGTCGAAGAGTGGGGATACAGCAAACGCGAGCAGTGTTCGAAGAAAAGCCAAAATATCAGGTTGGAGTCCAAATGCGATGGCAGCGAAGGAGAACATGAGTGGGTAAGTCATAGACTTTCTTTCAGCTGTTCGACACATCTCATAGAGGCCCCCCCAGTGTTTCGAAAGCTGAAGAGTGGTCAGATCGTACGTCAAAAATTTGTTGTGATCGAATCTGGTCTGATAACCAGAAACTTTCCCCCACTTCTTGATGACAGACTCAAGGTCTTCAACAAAGAGATTATCGGAGGACCACTCTTTGACTCCCGCGGCAATTTTAAGCACACGCTGCGATTGTAAGCTGGAGTAGGATTTGTCACGGCCTTTGTAGACAAGGTCATCGTGAGTAGAAAATATNNCAGAAGATACTAGACCAGACCTCACCAGAGCAGAATTTCTCTTTCGAGCTCGCTCAAGCAGATGAGGCTCTCCACGGTTGATCTGAAGCGACACATCACTATGCTGATCGCATGCTTGTTCGCACCTTCGATGGTGCTCCACGATCGCTTGAGCTGCCAACACAAAATCACCATGTTGAGATAACACAGGAAGATTAGGGTCCCAGGTGACTGTCTGCATTACTTTGCGTCNCCGGGGGTAATACTCACGCATGGGCGTAAGAGCTGCGATCTTCTGCAAAAGAACTTTTTCATCCTCTTGCAACGCAGTAGATGTGAAGTTGTAAGCGCTTCCGAGAATTTTGAGCGCTTCTTCAGTGCCAGTAGTCCTTATGAAGGGGTCAGGGAGGTAGAATGATGTAAAAGCATGAAGATAGGCCTGATAAAGGTGACCAAGCAGATCTTGAGCGCCTCGAAGTTGGCGAAGATGACGGTCCAATTTGTATACGAAATAACGTCGCTTCGGAGCAGCGTCATCAAGAATGAAAACTGACACATGATGGCCAACCTTGTTAACCTTAACTGCACCAAACGGTACCAGGATCTGTCGTTCTTCAGGACATCCAATCGGAGGGGTGGTGCGGAGAACGAGTTTGTTCTGCAATCCTATCATGGTACCGACTGCCTGATTGCCATCTACCACAGCATTGAACTCGAGAGATCTGACTTCTCCCTGCAGGGAGACGGTAAAATGCAGGCTGTATCTTGGCATTTCGACTTCCAGCTTCGAGGGATCGCTTTTATCGAAAANAATGTGGCATCGCGAAGGTCGTTCGAGTGAGGAAAAGAGGGATGAGATGGATCTACCCACCACGCTGTGTATATCGACGAAGTATCTGGAACCCTGGTGGAACACAGCCTTCGCAGTATCAAACTTCAGGCTTGAAAAGTGCATTCTCCAGTTGTTTTTGCTCGGTTGCCAAGGTCGATCTAGAGGACGAAATTCGACCTCTCCAGTGCGCTCGTTCATCCAATGGTGAAAAGACTGGACAAAATAACTGGGCAATGCCGCAGCAAATATCTCCCGCGGAAGAGCTCGAAATGTCTCTCCGTTCAAACGAGCCTTGATCACTACCTCGCTGTTCCGAAGACCAAGATGCATCACATTCCCGTCAATATGCTGTGATAGGCGGCATTCCGTCCCAGGAATATCGGATGCAAATACCCGCTGAACCGAGTTGCCGAATAGTTGTAGGAACAAAGCATCGCTTCCTATGTTGTCAGGTACGGTCCCCCCGGGTTTACCATCGACAAGCAATTTGCCATCGAGAAGATTGTAATGTACTTGCTGACTCTGTTCTGAACTTTCAGAAATAGTCTTGGTCTGAACCCATGAGCGGGCATAATCTACCACTGTCCATGCTGGGTTTAAACATACCCCATGCCAGATCTTCTGTACTGCTGAGACAAGACCAAGGCTGTGTTTGTGGAGGGCACCTCGAATGCGAGGCTCTACTTTGTGAGCGATTTTGGCGTGACGAACAAGACTTTGTCGGATCAACAGAGCGAGGGATTTAGTGCTCGGAGGTACGTTATCATGGACCATTAGCTGCGCCTCAACTGCAGAAGCAAGGTCTTCAGCAGAATCAAGAACCTGGACGATATGATGGTCCTCAACGTCGAAGGTACTGTAGCTGAGCAGAGCGGCAAAGAATAGACGGCTAGCGCTATCAGTCTGTGTTGGCTCCTTGTTTGGGAGATGATGTACTCGCGTTCCGATCTGGTGACACCATGCGAGCGCGACTCTTCTTGCTCTGCGCAAGAGCTCAAGACAACCTGACTTCGTCTCAGCGACGGAAGTCAAGGACAATAGACGCAAAGTGAGCTCTATTACAACCATCATACTGTATTGCTTGTCCCAGTTGTTCTCGATAGCGATCAATTTTCGCCAAAGGAGAAGGAGAAGCCGACCACAAAATGCAGGATTGGCAAACTCCGCATGTGCAGTTCGGAGAACATCATTCGACGGACTGCCAGCTTCCCAAGCCGCTTGCAGAACAAGAATCACTACAGCAGGATGTGCGAAGTCTAGGTTTGTACAGCCTAACTCACGCAGGATGTTTACCCACTGAACTCGCTCTCCAGCTCGGAGGGTGCCAAAAGAGAGATACTCTGTCTTCTCGAGATGGTTGTCGCGTTCGTACTGCCGTGATATTATCTCGTTACTGGTGTGTTGAGTGGTGCGAATAGTCCAATCTAGATTTTCGTATGGGCCAGAACATATGGATAGTGTGCAAANACTCTTGAAACTCGGCGCAACACCAGGCCACGACACCCAACGTTTCTTACGCTGATCCCAGAGCTTATACTCGTGGCAGTTGGTTATGCAAGTCTCCGCTAGTGTCGCAGGAAGTTTCTCGAACCTGTACTGAGCACGGTCCGCCAAAGACTTTTNGCAGCTCCCTAAGGTGATGCGCGTGGACTTGTGACTTGCATAGCGCTTCAGTTGGTGATATGCGCGCACCGTAATGTGCATCTTCTCAGCTTGGACAGCTTCTCGTTGCCCAATGTCATTGACAATAAGCCAAGTTATGTCCCTCCAGGCGGCAAACTCTCTAGGCATTTGGAGTTCGAAAATTGCGGCCTTGAACTGAACGGCTTTCGTTGGCAGAGATTCCTCGATGCGCCCGATGGCCATCTCTCTTGCTTTTGCCTCTTTTTTATGTTTCGTGCAGAGCGATGTGTCATGATTGCCGTTGGAGTCACAGACATCATCGCACTCCATTCCTTTATGCTCAGCGTTCAGTCGCCTCCAATTGTTCATTGTTAGGATTAGATCTCGATTCTTTGCTGCCCTTCCGTCTGCATCAGACTTCTTGATCTGTTCGTGAAGATCCTGAAGGGCCGAGGAGGTATCATAGTAGCGAACACAGAAGCTGTTGTCTGTGGGATTCGCGTAGGCGCTTTGTTCGTGAAACGATGCTTGTGACCAACGTTCGTTGATGTGTGATTCTACCGCGTGAAGACGTTGCATCTGGCGTGCTGTGGGGAGCAGAAGAGGTTGAATGGCGTCGACCGGTATCTCGGGAGGGTACTTCAGCATGAGAGGGATCTGCGAGGTGCAGATTCTGTCTAACGCAACCCAGAGTTCCAGCACCACGAGCAATGCACACGACTTTTCAAGCGGGTTGCATTCATAAGCCGAGGAGGCTCGAGACCAGTAATTCTCGACCAGTTCTTGCAGCTTTTGACAGGGTTCAGTGATTTGGTTCGCCAGTGCGATTTTGGTCCAGCCCGAAAGGTTATGATCAACCCAGTTCTCAATGTCGATAAGATCCGTCAACCCTGAAGACTGCTCCGCGCCTGAAGGAAGTATGTTTGGCTTCTGAGTGTAGCGTGATGGTGATCTCAGACTGGGCTTGAATGTTGAGCAGGTAGCACTCGAATGAGGAGCAGACATCCGCGCCAATTCTTCTCGAACCTTAGGGAGAGCCAGGGAAGTGGCATGTTCCCATTCTTTCACACTGATATCTGCAACACTTTCAAATCTTTCACTGTGTTGAGTCCAGACATGTTCCAGGGCTGCTCGGGCCTTACTCGAGATAGCTGAGATGTTGTCACTGGGCTTCTTCCCAAAATCCTGCTCATACTTCAAGACACGTCGAGCAAGCTTGGCATGAACAACAGATCGGAGCTGAGGATCAACGGATATCTCACAGGAACGTTGCANAAGGCAGGCAACAGCATCGAGCATGAAAGACTTGTATTGCTCTCGAGCTTCTGGTGGTGGCGAAGTGATCAGCAGGGTGCGCAAGATTGCAACCTTGCACAAGAGCCAGAAAGGCTCTCTTCGCCAGCAGAGTTCAGTGTTCTTCCAGAGGATGTCATCGCGAGTGTGCTTCTGGCTTGTAATTGATGAGTGATTCTTGCCGACTACACTCAGGATCGTCATCAGGTAGTCGCTGACGAAGCCGGGATGCATTGTATCTCTGGTTTCGTGAAGAGTATTTTCCAATCGAATAGTCTGAGGTTGATAGGACTTTGGTGGTCCTTCGCTGATGAGCCGGCGAAGCGCAATGCAAAGTTCGGCTTGGAAAGATACATCGAAGAACTTTTCGCGTGAGCAGGCTACCGCGCGGCCAGGAAACGTTCTCGTGAGCCGGCCTTGCGCGCTCAAGATGCTCTCATTGGTGGCCGAGACCTCGAAAGCCTCGATAACAATGGTCTCTGAATTTTGGCGTAAAAACAACAGAGCCGAGTTGTGTAGTGGAAGGTCCAGAGCGAGGCAGTCTTCAAAGTGTCAGTGCACATATTGATTGACTAGAGGCCGTACTTACCACCAGTATCCAGNAGTTTTGAGACGGGTGCTGAGCGAATCGTTCTGCAGAGTGTTTCCGTGCGCGGTCTCACCCAGTGTTAACAGCATCTTGGAAACCGAAACCCAAGCAGCACAAGTGCGGTGTTCGAATGTTTTGACGACATTCTGCAAAAGATCCAGAAGATTTCTTCTAATGCCGATGGAAGTCGTGTCTTCGCATTGTGGTAGCTTCGGTGGCAGCACGATGTGGTTGATCAAGTCTTGAACATCCTTCGCGCTGAGCCCGCTGCCGTCTGATGTCATTTCGGCCTGGGACTTGGTTCAGCTGTGAAGCGGCGATTGCTTTGAAGGATGATTTACAGCAGCAATGAGAGAGGCAGCACTCCGCGCGCAAGACGGATAAGGGTGCAGAGACAGAAAACTTACTGACTGATCGTCGGTTCGTGCGGAAGTGAAGTGTGCTGTCACGAACGGCTGGAGTGAGGGCGATACTCTGATCCAGTTTTTTTTACCAGAGCAATGTTTGGAATGATGCCGAGAGGGGGATTCCCAGTGATCCTTAGAGCTCCAAGTGGCCCAAGCCAGGCAAGCGTTTGATGTCGTCCAAGGCAGGGAACAGAACTTGAAGAAGGGAAATGGAATGAGTGAAAGTGGAAGCGCGGAAAAAAGTTACGAATGTGCAGAGCGGAAAATCTTTCTGAGGACAAGTGAAACTGACGGTATGATAGGCACAAACGGAGAACGACTTGCATGTATGAACCCGACTCGGAACCCTGATTCGCTTGATGAAGCGGAAAAGCAGCTGTGTCCGAGACAGGGAACGATGATTGATTGTTTCTATACAGTGAGCATTTTTCATGGCAGAGAACGACAGGTCAGAAGAGCAGAATATGGAGAGACAAACAGGACCCGATGTACCCATGCTCGTCACTGTAATATACAGTGAAGAGGCCATTGTGACTGACATTCATCTGCTCACAGCGATGGGCGGGCTAGAGTTCTGGCCAACAGTACTTGTACGAATTTTGGTGTTTGTTCAGATAGGGAGGAGGTTGGGTTGGCCACAGTCCTCGCAGCTGCACTTCACCGTCGCGGCAGATGCCGGTGCAGCTTTCTGTCCTGTCATGGCAGCCGCGACACTGAACTTGCGCACTCAGCATCGTTAGCACTTGCCATGTTGCTAACGCGAGCGAGGAAGATGCCTGTCGCAAGTGGCCTCCCCATGCCCGATTCAGAGTTGACACGTGTTCTACGACTATCTTAACAGATCTTTGCGACGCCCCACCCAGCACGAACGAATCCATCTCGAACAAACGATGCAGCAGTATCAACCTTCCCAGTCCCATCAAGCCAAAGCAGGAAAGAAAGAGCAACGGAGGAAGACGAGTGCCTCGCATATACCAGCGTGGTCGCTATCGAAGCTAGCACGACACGTTGTCGACTCGTCTCAAGATCTGCATGTCTCACGACCTACACTCCCCGATCTGACTGCATGTGTCCTGCTTTGTATAATGACAGCTCAGTCTTCTTGCTGCCTTCGCTCAGGTCACCATTTGGGAGTTCAAAGGGTCAAGCACACTAACTGGAGCAGCAGAAGCTAGGCATATGAGAGCACTACGCTTCTCTCCACCTTCCAACATGCATATCCTGCTTTTCGTTGGCAAACTACCTTTTGAGCTTTCGGACGCCTGAGTTCATGAACACGACACCATCGAATTGTCCTCTTGAATGAAGTGTAGTCGCTGCTCAACTCAGCTTGAGTCGAGACAGCTCCTTCCTAAGATCTTCAACATGTTCACGTGGCATCCGATCCTTCGAACAGTCGAGATGCGTCCTCGATGAACGACGATCGCCTCGAAACTGGCCAAGGACCTGAACGCCGGTGAGACGGAAGGCGGCATCCTGATTTACACAGCGCTCAATGAGGGGTAAGCCAACTTTCATTCCAAATATGGCTTCTTGGTAAGTGGGGGTTCGTATTCAAATAGTCCATCATACCTTCTTCAATTGGAATTCTTTCCTCAATTTTACCTTACCGTGTCCAGCCCTGCTTCGTGCTTAATCAATCCAACATCTTGATCTATACCCCGCACTTGATCTATACAGCGGAATTTGTTCCGTACCATATCAACACCAAGCACCAATTATAACGAAAGCAAGAACACATTCACAATGGCAAAAGGCAGTTGCATGTGTGGTGAAGTCCACTATGAGTATACTGTAAGCTGTTTCTGTTACCACTCTCCCACTCCTTTTCTGACCTGAACCTCACAGGGCGAACCAGCAGTAACAGCCCTGTGCCACTGCACCGACTGTCAAAAATGGACCGGCGCAGCCTACACCTCCAACGTCGTTGTCCCCCGTAAGAGTTTCAACGTCACAAAAGGCAAGCCCAAGGACTACGATGCCGTGGGTGCTTCCGGCAAGATCAACAAGCATTGGTTCTGCTCTACTTGTGGCTCTTCTCTGTACACCGAGTTGGAGATCATGCCCGATATGACTTGTGTCAAGAGTGGAAGTCTGGATGGCGGGGCTGCAAACCATGATATTAAGGTCGAGTTCTACAACAAGGATAGATTGGGATATACCAAGCCTGTTGAGGGGGCTGATCAGAAGGCAGAGTTCTCTTGAGTATGGTATAGGACTGCTTCTTGGATGCGGTGGTGCTCTAATGTTGGTGGGCATCATTGCTAAAAATCTTGGGAAGATATGCAACCTTGACGAATGGCTTTGAGATACGAAATTCATCTTGATCCCGATACTGTCCTCGTGTCTATATTGGTGGTAATTTATCGGCTCTCCGTGGACACGCCTCTGCTTCAGGAAACAATTGTGCCTTTTCATAACGTACTTTCTACTCTTTGTTATATCCGGAGTAGATTGGAGTTACAAACTTTAACATAAGAAGAGGAGGAGTGTTCCAAGCTCTCACTGAGTGAGGTAGGTCAACGGAAAGCCCAAAGCGGCACACTGCTCGACATCTCTAAACGGCATCATAATTGAGTTCCACTGCAGCTCCATCATCCTCGGCTGTGCAGCATTCACCTTCTCCCAAGGGCCAGACACTTCTATCTGGTTAATGGTGTTCCAATATCCTCTCGCCTTGAGATACTCCATATCCGGGTTAGGATCGAGGTTTCTCGCAAAGCTAGTCCAGTAGTCAGTCATAAGCTGGCCAAATTTGGCATCCAGACCATCACGATCGGGGAAACCAACACGAGCCACATTGCCAAACGTGTTTGCAAGATCTCCAGCATGGCACTTGAAGTACTCTTGAGAAGGGTCGCCATAAGGGTGCGATGGTGTGACTGGAGCCGCACAGACGAGGTTCGGGTTGTAGGCTGGATCTTGGTATGTGCGATTGAACTCGTAGAACCAGATGTTAGGTAGCACGCCATCTTTTACTCCAGCATAAGCTTCGAATTCATTGAAACAGCGGAAAGACACATCTGTAGAAATGCGAGTCGTGGTATTGAAGACATCCAGAGTCGCATTGTCGGTACGGCTAGTGCCAAGAGGGAACAGGCCAGAGTTGAGGATGCTGCTGGCATTGAGATTGTCTGCAGCAGCTAGGTCATCGATACCAGTGGTGAGATTGGTCGTTGGGTAGACTGTTCCGAGCACGCCCTCTTCATCACGGTTTACGCCCATGACTACCGGTACGCGGTTGGTGACCGTGGTCGTGCTGTTGAGATCAATGAAGTCGGACACAAGGTACGTGCCATCAACGACTGGGTAGCTNNACAAATGTGTAAGTGGGAGAAGGATGGGAAAAATTTGGTCAACTTACTTGAAGACAGTCTTGAGACTGAGTAATGCAGTAGCATTATATGCTTGGAGACATGCTAGCTGATCGGCTACAGTAGCACAACCTGTCTCGTTGAGGATGGGATTGGTAGTTTGATTGATAGCAGTAGCCAGAGGAACGTAAGGCTGGTAGTAATTTGACTGCATTATCGCTCCATGGAACAGATCCTTACCCTTCGGTGAGGCAATAAGAGCGTTAACGGACTCTGCTCCAGCCGACTCGCCGAAGATGGTGATACGAGACGGGTCTCCTCCAAAGTTTTCGATGTATTTCTGGACCCATTCCAAACCGGCAATCTGGTCAGAAAGGAAATAGTTGCCGTTATGAATGCCGTCATCGAGAGCAAGGAAGCCAAGTGTGGACAGTCTATACGCAATGTCAACGACAACGACATCACCACGTGCAGCCAGGTTGCCGCCATCGTTCGTTGGGTTGCTTGCAGATCCAGTTGTGAAACCGCCTCCATAGATATAGACCATCACTGGTTTGAGCTCTTTCTTTGCGGAAGGGCCAGGTAGACTGGTAGTCCAAATGTTGAGGAACAGGCAGTCTGTAGAACCATTGTTTGGCAAAGTCAGACATTCAGGCGCAGGCTCAAGAGCATCGTTAGTACCTGTTCCTTCATAAACAGAAGAATAGGTAAATCTCTCCGGCTCAGCGGCGAACCGAACTCCCATGAATCGAAAAGTCAAAAAGTCGCGGTATCCAACTAGTGTCTGTGAGCCAACGGGTTGGGCAATCTGGTACGGAGGAGAGTTATCTGCATATGTGATGTTGGATGCTGGTGCAGTTTGAGAGCAGAGTGACGGAAGTTTCTCTTTGCAGCTGACTTGATGAGTTTGTCCGTGGACGTCCATAGCCTGACATTGCGGTGCCTGGTGAGGAGGCCCTGGATGGGCAGGTGGCCCAGAATGCTTTGACTGCAATGTGGAGTGAGATTGTGTAATCCACATTAACTGGTCGCTCGCAAGACGTCCACTATAGACTTCGTATGAAAGAGAGTCGTTCAGACCAGCAGTAAAGGGTAAGGTAGAAGGCGACCACAAACTCTCGGACAAAGATCCGCATGCATTGAGTGCTGATGACAATGTGACTGGGTTACTCAAGAGCAGTGCGGCACTCGTCGTACTATTGTCCGTAGCTTCACCAAATTTGTCAGTATGTGGTATGTAGCTTTGCAGAATGCTCAACGTAGAGACATACTGATCAANGCCATCAGCAGCTAGGATCTGAACGTCCCCAAGCTGTGTTGGGCTGGGAGTGGCAGAGACATGACTTGCCAAAGCAAGCAGACCAAAGCATGTAGTGAAAACGCAGTTGCTCATCATGTCTTGAGTGACTTGGGTCGCAGTGATGGTTCCTTGAGCATTGGCTCATGAATGTGGGAGAGCTGCAGTGTTTATATAGATCTGCGCCCATGCTGCATTGTTCTGATCACCAATGACGATGCTGCTGGTCTTGAGGGCGGTATACCGGGTACCCGGCAGCATTCATTGATCCCCTCAGCTTTTTCATGAATCTTGGCGGCTAAATCGTGCATGGAAGACTTCATGTAGTTAGGCGTTCAAGTAGGATACCCCATGCTTGCAAGGTCAGAGGTAGTCGATCAACCCCACTGGATAAATGTGTCTCTGCCGTTACCCCACATCTATAGCGGAAACTGTATGCGCGGCTCCAGCTTGCTTCTTCCCCAGCCGATGTGCCAAAGAGGTGAGGGGAGAGAACGATGATATGTTGGACATACGACAGAGTAGTTGGCATAAACTAACAATCAAGAGAGTTATCTCACAAACTAAATTCAAGACGATTTCCGGCATAATCTCTCGCAAAAAATCTGCTTGGGTATTCGACGCCTTTAGAGCCTATTGATACCATTAGTATGAGACATAAAAAGCCATAAGCTTGTTGGTGCTTGAAATTACCTGAGTTCTCGGCACCAGGTTTGTCAGCCGCTCTGGGTGCTCCTTTGCCGCCGGCTTCGAAATGCTCATAGACGCGACTCTGGAGCTTTAAAAGAGCTTCTTGTGATTCTACACGAAAACAAGGGTGGCGGGACGATTCCTCGTTCGGTGGACCGAAAGCGATGTGAACTTGTTGACCGTTCGGTGTGATATCAANACCTGGAGATTGCTTATGAGCCGTAGTCCTGCATGGTGTATTTGATGTGGAACAGCAATTCGACCTTACTTACCAAGCAAGCCTATCTCTCTGTAATGATGGCACAGGAACGCGCTTCATGCCGAGCGTGTTGCTGTAAAATGCCTCTGCCTCATCGAGGGTGTTTGAGGGCACCGTGAGATTTACGTGAGCGATGCCGGTCAACATGATTGACTAAATTAGGATGAAATATGGATACACGAGAGTGTTAAGTAAAGTAGGTAGGAATGGAGTGGTTGTACAGTACGCTCGGTTGTGGTGAGCAGAAGAGACGCTTCTCGAAAGGCTGGGGGCATGCGGGGTTCTCGGTTGGTCCAAAAGCGCGTCTCAACTCCGATTCGAACCCACGACTCTGGTCTGTGATTGTTGTCCTTTCTCAATGCTTGAGACTCACCTCGAATGAGCGAAAACGAAACATTTTCCAGCAGTGCAGACCGTCTCAAACTAGAACCCCGTCTGTTTGGTTTGACGGTGGAAATTCAGCACAGAGAGTTCAGGGTTGAGCCATATCAAAGTATGGCTTAAATCTAGACATCGTGCGTGTTACACAAAACCACACAACGTCTTGGACAAGGTATGAGTGTGAAATGCTGACATGATCCACTGATAAGGTTGCACCTCGTTGGTCGTATGGGCGACTGCAATTCTCGATCTCAAGCGTGCAAGACGCAAAGTGTGTCTGAGTGGCACAGGCCTCCGTCGATGGCGGAGATATGCCCGCCTGCAAAGAGATGGCAGAGTGGAGACGTATGGCTCGAAAGGATAGTAATCACATTTAGACGATTTCGCTGACAATTATTCTTCCTCCCATGTGCAAAAGTATGTAACGCGTGTGACTATAAAAATGCACAGCACTATTAAAAACTGGATAGTGTCCACTTAGACGCGACTTCTTATCGGCTCTCTTGGGCTATGTTGTTGTCTTGAGATAAGATTGTGCATTTTTATAGTATGTACTTTGATCCCTGTTACAATCGGAGCAATGGAAGTTACATCCTTTGGCACACGAGTAGGGTAGTTCACGCTCTCGACGTTTGTTTGCTGCTCTAAGAACGTTGCGTGGCCAGATGTGCTCAAGTAATTCCAAGTAATTCGATCTTCATGGCAATCAGGGATGGCAATTGAGGCATGCTTATCGCAGCTCTGTCGAATCACACCATGATCAGAAGGGGCCAGGGACTGCGGCGACATACCTGCACCACATAAGAACTAAGAGGAGCCAGATCCGGCTCAAACTTAGCAGCTGTTGACGCGCATAATAAGCAGGGTGCTTGTCATCGAGATGCACGCATAACGACCACTGGTAAACGATGTTCTGCATGCGAACAGCTTACTCAAAGATGCGAAAGTCACAATTAGGTATCTCAAGCAATGAGTGTTCACGCACATATTATGCAAACCCACGACAGAGAAAGGTCGTTTGAGCTCGAGATTCCGAGGAAGGGTCTGGAACGTTCTTTCCCTTGTTGTGGAGAGATTTCGGACCACGCACCGGCTGCCAACCTCTCTTTCGTGCTTGCTCCTAACAATGTGCGCCTCCTTGGGTCTCAATATCGCCGATTTACAGCACTGCGTACAGACCGAGCGCAATAGGTATGAATCGGGGCGCTCACTGCTTAGGCATTTCGACCTAGCTAGTCCGCTCGACTGCAGAAAACAAAACGGTCTGCTACTTTGCCGCCCGGTGAACCTTTTACAACATGTCACTTGTCGCAACTTGATTGAAACACAGGTCCAGATCAGGTTCTCGAAGGCCCTCATGTAAGAAAAGTTTCCACATCCGAAGAACCGGCTTCAGGGCTAGCCTAGACCGGCAGGGACGTTTGCCTGTCAGAACCTGCAACCCAATTTCGTCCCTGGACAGGCCTAAGGTACGGATACACGCTGCGCAAGACATCTGATTCGTTGCCTCGAGTTATGTGGCACCCTTTCACACCTTCAAACAAGGTTTCCTTGAGTCAAGAGGACTCGGAGATGGCCCCCTCCTGATTATATTCATTGTTATTTGTAGCACTAAGGCATGGTTCACTGTCTGGCCAACATGAGACAGCCCTGACTCCGGCATATGGATCAGACGTGCCTTGATACCCGGCCTTAGATCTCGACCCTGGTCTGACTAGTCGTGGTCCCATAGGAGGTGGACGCGAGGACAATGCTATGCATGCCTGAGCAGAATGCCATCGGTCGAAAGTCGCATTCTATCAGTATATTATCCCTCAATTATGCGTCTCACACAGACTGCGGCAGGCCGGCCTGGAAACAGTCATGCGGCAAGCCACCGCACCGCCCAGCTTGCACCCTGAGGTTCACATCTTGCCCAGAGCTCGACTTCGTTCGCATGTTCGGTGCAGATCAACGGACGGTAAGGTTGGCGGTGTCCCGGCAGTTTGTGGCGCTCTGCGAGCATGAGTCGACCCCTCTACAGCCGCAGGAGTATGTTAAGATATAATCCCTGCCTGGTTCTTCTTTACCTCTTTCCGTGTCTCACACATCACACCTATCCAAGACTTTATAAGCATTTCCAATATGGCAGTTCACCAACCGTCGAGCTTTCAAGCCAAACGTGCAGGCATCTCCCTGCTGCTTCAACCTATCAACACCAATCAGCCAGCCATGACAGCACAAGCATTAGCACTGGAGAAGCTCAGCCGTTCAGTGGACATGAGCATCTTCCAAGAGTTGCTTGATCTGGATACACCATCTGAACAGTTTAGCAAGGATGTTGTTACCGAATATCTAGTCATGGCTCCAGAGTCATTGAGCACCATGAGGGAAAGCTTGTATGTTCGATGGTTATGTCTCCATTATCAGCTTTATACTAATATCTTCCAGNNAACACACATCAACCTCTCACAACTCAACACAAGCACACAATCACTTCGCTGTGCGTCAATGGTGCTCGGTCTGACACGTATCGAAAGGGCGTGTGCTCGCATCGAGACTATCCTGGCACACGGCGTCGACCTGCACTACACTGGCATCGGCCTTGGTCAGATCTGTGAAATTCTCAGATATGTCGTCAAGGACGCCCATTCACACTTCGAGTTGGCCAAGATGGCTTTCTCATCCTTCTACAACCTGCCATTGCATTCGCCTCAAGAAGACGCTTCCGACATCTCGAGTGCAAGCATCAGTCTATGATGCGTCTACCTCGCCAACGTCCTTGCTGGCCGAGGCCATTGGCATTCGACCTTTCTTCTTGCCCACAGGATGACTTCTCTTCTTCCCTACATGGCGACCTTTCTTCTTTTCTACATGGCCTTTGTATTCCGACGAGAAGGAATTCCTTCTTCAGCCTTTCCACAAGCATCTGCCGCTTCAGATGTATTCTTTTCTCAGCATAGCCTTACGATACCCCAGCCTCTTTTCTTTTCACTTTTTCTTCTTTTTGCTTGGAGCTGGACAGCTAGAGAGCTTCTCTGACTCTACGTTGGCTTGGAGATGGACTGACCGTCAAAAAGCTTCTCTGTTGGCGTGGTCAATAGATGTACTTGACGGAAGAGAGTATAATGATAAATGATGTATGAATAATGACAAGCTTTATATGTGCCTTGCGATCCCCTTTGGCCACCGTCTCGCATATGGTGATTTATGGTGTGACATCAACACAAATGCTTCTTGATTTGGACCAAACATCTGCTTCACCTACTACCACACTCTCAAGTAGTCATGTCCGTATGCAAAAGAAGAATATGACTGTACATACTGACCCCTTGTGAGATCACCTTCTAACTAACGGCTCTTTCTGATGCTCAACAACAAATAACGATGCCCTTTTCATGTACCACAAAAGCCTCCAAAGACCAAACACCGCTATTTCTCTCAAACAAAAAAATGCAACTATGCATAAAACGAAAAAAAAAAAACAGCCTTTTCCACCGTTTCCATCTACTGCTCAGCAATCCTCCAAGCCCTCAACGGCAAACTCTGCAACTGCAGCGCCTTGGGCTTGATAAAGCCCCAAAAAGTGACTATGCCAATGATGATGCAAAGCACGTTTACAATGTAATAGCCATCGGTAGTGATATTGCAAGTACCGCCTCCATTAACACAGATATGGCGGTCATTTTCCAAAGCGCAGGAAAAGGGGGTGGTGATGAGGTCGCCTTTGAAGTCNNAGGGGGGTGGGATGGAGGGGGGTGTGCAGGTTGCGGAGGTAAACATGTCGACGAATTTTAGAATGAAGAAGCGGGGGAAGGTGCCGCCGAGGTTGGAGANCGCTGGGGTTTTGGTGTTAGTGTGGAAGTGCAGATGAGGAGAGGGAAAGACTTACGTGGCGAGGAGGGTCATGTAGGTGCCGCCGATGTGAGGGTCGGCTATCTTTGCGTGGAAAGCGCTGACGGCGACGAACATGACGGTGCTCATGAATGTGCTGAAGACGTGCTCGACAATGACAACACAGAGGTATGGGAGGTTGGTACCACCGCTGGGGAAGATCATGACGGTGAATTGAGCAAAAGCAGCAGCAATCAATCTGCCCACGAATGCCCAACACCAAAGACGCATTGGAGCATACTGCTCGCTCCATTTTCCAGCGTAATAGCCTAATGAGATCTCGAAGGGGAAGTCGATGAGAACAGTAAGAGCAAGATCTTCTTGGCTGAAGCCCTTCTCCAACAGCTTAAGGTTGGTGACGGCGTCGTTGGCCTGGAAGCCAATCTTTGCAATGAGATGAATGACGATGAATGTTTGGATGTTCTTCAAGCTGAGGATACCGCCCATGACTCTGTAGACCTCCATGATGCCATCTCTTTCTTTGGTCTTGTCTTCCTTCTTGAGCAGAGCGAGACCGAGAGTAACAAGCAGGTAGGCCCATCCCCAGAAGCTCAGGTAGCCACCAAGAGTAAGAAGGCCAGTCTCTCCGGGAGCGCTGCGGAACCACTTGTTGGCGAAGTCTTTGGACGAGAGGGCAAGGAAAACGGTGTAGGACAGGAACTGGCCAGCAGTCAGGCCGACAGTTTGAGCGGTACTGGCGTAAGAGAGGTTCGATGGCGAAAGGAGGGTAAGTGCCCAGCCNNTAGATTATGTTAGTACTGAGTCTTTTGGAAGATCGAGGGTATACACACCATCCACAGCGATATCTTGAGTAGCGCACATCAGGACGAGAGCGAACCACCATCCAGTGAAGTTCCAGACACCTGCGCCGCCATTCTCACCGGCCTTGACCATCATGTCCTCGACGTGAGATCCAAGCCAGATCATACCGAAGCCACTGATTGTCTGAATAGGAAGAATCCAACTCTTTCTTCTGCCCAACTTGGGGGTCCACACAGCGTCGACAATGGGCGACCATAATAGCTTGAGCGAATAGGGGTATGAAGCGAGCGAGTAGACGCCAATCTGGCCGTACGAGAGATGCGACTTTAGGAGGAAAGGCACCGAACCACTGGCCAGACCCATAGGAATGCCTTGCAAGAAGTATAACAAGACGAGTAGGAGGAAATTGCGCTTGTCTTGCTCGGGTAGGTCTGTGAAGCCTTTGGAGGCAGTCTCTGGGTGGGTTGTCGGCGGAGGTTCATTGTCGAGGGTAAAGGAGCTCCTGCTCATGAGATTGGCCGTCACGGTAGCAGAGTCTGGAGATTCGAGCGAGGCATGCTTGCGCCGTTGTTCAAGCAGATTTCCAGACATGTTGGAGTCGTCTGCGGTGGACGAGGCTGACGAGGGAGCAGAACCCGTCGCCCTGCTAGGTCTGCTGGTCGTACCGTTGGCTTTCCTGGGCATCGGAGAAGGAGATTGAGCCAAAGAAATGTCTACCGGGCGCGAGTGGTGGGAGTTGGCTACTCCTACGTCGATCGGCTGCGGTCTTCTGTTCTCTCTGGGTATAAACGTGTCCAGACGGATATTGTTCCGCTCGTTGTTATCGATATCCACAATATGGGACCGAGGATTCGCGTGGACCAGGTCGTTGGACAGCGTAGCAGACATGCACCAGTGCTTAGCTTATATAGTCAACAACAACAATTGCTCTGCTTTCTGATAGACAAACTATGTACAGAAGATGCTCGCCAGCAACTTTTCCTTTGATTCCAACAGTCTTCGTGAAACACCATGCAGGTCCACTTTCTCCTTTCGTAACGTGGCCCTTGCTCGCTCCTCCGCAGACTGCCAAGACCCTGCCACTTCGCCGATCTCTCTGACCTGTCTTGTTTCAATCTTCTGCTCGACACCACATGCATCTTCAGCAATATCGCCCTAGTATCTCATTGGATGCACATTTCCACTGATAATGGAGCTTTGTTGTACCATTGAGGGGCGTGTACTTGGGTACCTCGGCCAAACCAAGCATAAAATCAATCTTTACTGCTACAGTTCATGGTCAAGCCTTGGATGCTGCTGCTCCCAGCTACCGTGCTGTTTAGTCCAAGTCGTCTGTGTAATGTGATGGGTCTTGTTGACAGAAGCTTCTCGTATCATATGGCAGCTCTGCCGTGCTGTCGTTTGCGCCTGCAAGTAACCGCTGGCAACAGCTCTGAATCCACTCGTGTCGAAAGCGCATGAGTGAGAGGCCAAGTACCTAGTCATCTCTTTTCCTTCTCTCTTTCCACTGTGCCTACAAGTTCTTGCTTCGTTTGTGTCGTGAAGTCGCGAAGTCGTGTTTTGCTCCTGGCTCCTTGGTTCATGCGAAAGTACAGCATCAACAGCTCGTCCTTGCCGTCTGTTGTTGTCTTGCCGAAGGCGCGACTTTCCATCAGGCAGACAATCAACAACGCGACTCAAACATGGCGTCAACCACTCCTCCCACCACTGATGCGTCTGAGCATCTCTCCAGAGTTCGTTCATCTCGACTACACATTCTCAATCAAAGCTAACATCTCCCCAGNCTAAGCATCGCGCATTCAGTTTCCACTTTGCATCACAGCATGGCAACCAGCACCGACCAACCTGCCGAGGAGAGCGAGTATACCAGACTGACTTTAGAGACCCTGCCTCCCGAAATCAAGAATGAGATCTTCTCCCACCTTCTGCTGGGCACCAAGGTCAAGTACTCAACCAACGGTTCCTGGCCCGGTCACAGATACAAGTTTGACACTACCATCATGCGTGTCAACAAGCAGATGAAGCAGGACGCCGAGACTTACCTTCACGCCCAGAACGAGTTCGCCCTGATCAGCTCCAAGTTCTTCGCATTCGAGATTGACAGAAAACGCTTCTTGCCCACTGTCGCTACAGCCAAGGCCGCCAGGTCCTTCAAGGGTCCCTCAATCGAAGCTACCATCACTCATCTCGGAACACCCCTGTGTGTGTGCTGCAACCCCGCGAAGCACTGTGACAAAGACCGCGCCACCCATGCCCTGTTTCTGGTCGCCAATCTTGAACATATGGTTCGAGAACTACGTCTGGCATTCCACATGTGGCCCTCCAGGCCCATCTATGTCATCTCCGAGAAGAACGTCTCTCCCGTCGAACATATCCCAGCCAATGTCAACACCCAGGTCAAGATCGTCTGGAAGGTCAACCCATCTCACCGTCAGGACCTAACTCTTGCAGAGCGTCGAGCCAGACAGACACGATTGCTTGCTCCTCTCGACTTTCCTACCGGCAGTGGCAANAAGATCTCTGTCGTTGGTGTAGACAAAGACATTGCTCGCAAGGTCACAGACCAACACATGCCACGTATCTTGTCTATTGACGCTGTCGGATGGGACCTTTTCCATCTCCTCAAGGCTCAAAAGAAACACCTAGACTCTGTCTTGTCCCGAGGATCACCGTCCCTTGCCGATCTCATCGACTCCTACACAGATCTTGCTTGTGCGGGATGGCAACTGGACATCATAGGCCACTGGAGGTACGCTTCTGTAACCAGACATGTCTGCATTCATGGTAGAATGGTGAGCATGTGTCTGATGCCCTGGGATGAACTTGACGACGAAGACTACGAGGCAAAGATCACAGACTCGTGGCAGTTGGCTGTTCTGTCCCTGGTACTCGATTGTTTGTTTACAGTCGCGAGGCTCGGTCTGGAGGAGACCTTCGAGCATCTGAAGGAGTGTGTTGACACCATTCTGCATGTGGTTGCAACTACCTTCCGCCCACACATGCCCCACCTAGTTCCCGCTCGCTTCAGAGCCTTGCTCGGACATTGGAAGGCCTGGTACGCTGCTCACGACACCTTCCAACTCCCCACGGCCCAGGATCGTTATGCCCGCGGCATAGAAACGTTGGAAGCGGCAAGAAAGCTCGTCCCAGCTGAAGATGATGAGGTTTGGCGTCCGATCAACGAAGATTTGGAGTTCTTGAACAGAGTTGTTGCAGTAAGTCCATCTCACTCTCCAATGTGGCACAGAGAGAACCTCAATAAAGGCTATCTCAACGGCCAGACTCATGATTCGATTGCAACTGTGCATTTTGATAGCTTATCCAACCCTTGTACCTCGGAATGGAGAGCATCTCGCTAACCATTAACANNGGGTGAAGTTGAACCCTGGAAGAGAGACTTCGGTCGCTTTTCCTTCCCATGCATCAACTTTCAGGGCCTGCTCAACCGTCCACGCATTCACAACACGTCTGTCCGCCCCAGAACACCACGCGGACCGCTTCAAGGCTGGGCCACCAAGCAAGGATTCCCCAAGCCGGAGGTGGCTGCACACATGACGGAGTTTGTCGATGCTTTCTCCAAGCTCAAGTTAGAGGAAAGAACCCACGATTGGACCGACAAGACCCTCGATAACGGTCACTTTGCTAGCGCCTTCTTGAACCTGCCTCGCGATTCTGAAGATGACGGCGACATGCCTCCAGGTTTTCCTCAAGGCGCTTTCGGTATTCAGGTTGGACCAGTGACCACTCTTGGAGAGATTTTCGCAAGCATGGGCATGCCTAACGGTCCTCCACCTCCACAACCTCCACAACCTTGAAGCGCTCTAGACTAGTCGAAAAACATGAACAAAGCCGTGAAGCGGATATTGATGTTGGACGAAGAGTGGTAGGAAGAGGAACTATGACATTCATGGAGCCAGTAAATTTTGAGATGTTGCATGAGGATTGAGATGAGAGAGAATCAGGTGGGGGGGATCAGTATACTATAACCCAGAGCAGCACACTAAACATGTCTTTGCACTCTTTAAGCAACGTATTATCTATCAGATGCAAACACTACTCTTGCTCAGCCAACTATATACCAGGTCCCTCCGTGAACAGACATGAATTGATGTTTTGTACCAAAAGAGGTAACGCATGTAGCTAATGAAAATTCACAATACTATGAGGAAACTGAAGGACGTCCATTGAGAAGCGACAACCTATCGGCTCTCGATAGACACGACTCTTATCCAACAACATCTGTGCCTCTTCACAGGGTACATTTTGCTTGTCGCCACACGCGGAGTACGATCAAAGTTACATACTTTATAACACGGGGAGGTAACAAAAAAAAGCCGCCAGGAAACGCCAATCGAATACCAAAAGATAGCAAACTCAAATCACAAAAACTCTAAAGCTCCTTCTCAACACCCTTGGGCACCAGAAAACAAACCCAACAACCTAAGCCTTGTCTGCCTTCTCCCCAAGACTCTCCGACTCGAACGCCGTAGATTCCTATCTGCTCTTCTTCCATGCTTTCCTTGTGTCTACCCATTGAAGGTAGACTCAAGACTTCTCTGAGGATCGTGGGGGTTTGGATAGATGGCTCGACCCAGTTCTTCGCTTGTGAAGATGCGGTGCTGATGAAAACGGACAGAGGAGTTTTGTGATGCAAGTTTGTTGTGTAGATGGAAGTATCATGGCCATGAGGAGTATTCTCTTGCATCTTGTCTTTGCACGCTAGTTTTGGAGATGGAAGCGAGAGCAACGAAGTATGCAAACTGCTGGACAGGTATGGGATACCCAGGCTCAAGTCTCCAGTCTTTGACAACTTTGGCTGCAGTATAAAGAATTGGCGGTGCAGAAAACGGACTTCAGTGAGGAGAGACAGTAGATCTGATAGTGCTGGTGTAGTGGTATTGGGGCGGGGAGTTGAAGGTCTGGTGGTATGGGTGGGTAGACGGGTTGTGCTGGGGGCATAGGAATCGGTTTCCAATTGGTGAGCCAAGGAAGTCCAGATATCGTCTTCCTCGCCCCTTTGCTTTTGCTTTGCTTTATTTGTTCTTGAAGAAGAAGCAGAAGCTGCAAGTGCCAACTCTGCTCTCACCTCTCTGGTGAACGAAGACGAAACGTCGACTTCAGAGCATACAAGCCATACGCTACTTCCATCCCTCACCCTAACAACCCTCTGCACGATTTGCAAAATCACAATTTGGGATTTAGAAGCAGAAGCATTGCGAGGGAAGGTTGGTTCCACGCGAAGACCACATTCGACGTCTGCGCCGTAGGGCAGATTCATGAACGTGCAACTGCCTACTTGGAGACTGTTTGCACCGGCCACGTAGTCTTGAGATAGAAAGCGGATTGGTTGGCCGTTGATGTGGGGGTCTGTAATTGCAAGACGGCGGAATACTTGTGGGAGACCTAGTAGAGGCGAAGAAGGGTTGATTGCAGGTCTTGGACGAGGATTGTGTTTCCTGGCATTGTTTGATCTCGAAGTTGTGGCAAGCTCGTGGACAGAGAGATCCACGGGCGAGTTGAGATGGCTTGCACCTGGTAGAGGCGAAGCATAGCCTCCGGTCCTAGAACTACTGCGCCGTACATTGTGTCCACGAATGCTTGATGACGGAGATCTTGAAGCCATAGTTGCAGATGAAGCACCGAAAGTCGGCGAATCACAGCGGTCGGACGAACTATAGTCGATGCCGTCGATGTGGTAATCGTAGCGGGCAGCAAGCTCGTCTATCAAGAAGTCTAGCTCCTTCTGTACCAGAGTTTCTTCGTCGATCGGTATGCTAGGAACAGGGAAGCAAGGCGGTGTCAGAGGACTAGGAAACCGTGGATCCGAGGTCGGTGTATTGAGCGAAATGCCAGAATCTCGAATAGAAGGCGTAANAAAGAGTGTCTTGAAACGATTGCGTTTGTGAGGAGTATTGGCAGGAGATACCGAGTCTCCGTAAACAGATGGGGAAGGAAGAGAAGGGATTGGTCTGTGACTAGCAGAGGGCGATGCAGAGAGGAAGGAGCGATTCGACAGATCAGACCGAGCTGATGAGGATGACTTTTGGCGTTGATGATACATGAATAGCGATTATGGCTGGATTTGAGGAAAGTGCTGTTTGTACAAACGACCTTACCTACTAAATATACTTACCACATTTTTTGGGATTTGAGACAAGTGCATCATGTCTTTGAGGCTTCAAGACTGGCGTCCCAAAGTCATTTCGAGAATGCACCTATCTCGATCTCTAAGTCAGACATGTTCATCTGATAGAGCTGGAAAGATCATTAAATGAGGATGATGTTTTATGCCTCATTATTGGAATTAGAGCACGAATGCATTTTTCTCGCAATCGAGAAACTGATGATGTTTGTAGAACATCGGTGTCGCAACACTTCTGAGCAAGTTTTTAGCAGACATCGGATATTATGATGTTGAACGTAATAGCCTAGCAAAATAAAAAAGGTTGTTTGTGAAGAATATAAATGGCTGGAAGAGGTTGGGAAGGGAGTGTCGGTCAAGGAACGACGCGTGAGCTCTCGTCCTCCCAGTCGCGTCGCGTCCACCAGAACCTTTTTGTCTTTCACAGTTGACGACACAAGAGCGTGTCGCTCAACTTTGGCTTCCATGCTGTCGGCCAGAATATCAGGTGAGCGGGTCGTGATATGCGGAAATTGCGAGCCCTCGGATCCGATGCGTCCGGGTGGGTCCTGCTTCCCAAACGGAATGCCGCTGCCTATTCTTGAGCAGGGATATGAATCCTACAACGTGCATGGTAGAATATCATAAGCAGTCGCTACTCAGTCGCTGTGATTACTTGATCTTACGGAGCTTATTGCTCGAACATGTCGACTTCTAGTTGTCAATTGACGCCTTTGCGACCCGCAGGTACGTCGCACCTAATCCTCCGATTTGGTCTGACTAAACAGATGAGAAAAAGGTTACAATGAAAGGCGATACATCACTCGTCAATCACTGGGATACTATCGTACACTTGCGATTGGTGATGTATATACTCTCAAGCAAGATCGCGAAGTGTCCCAGCAAACATTTGTGCCAGCCTTGAAGCATTGCGTGGCGATTCATCCACTATTGAGTGCCGTGATTGAGTGCCAGGATACCGAGTCACCTGCTTTTGCTAGACCGAAAGTATTGGACTTGCAAAACCATGTTGAGATCTTGAGTGTCAACGACTTCGAAGAAGGAGCCACAAATTCACCAGAGAAGGATCTTATCCACCGTGCCACGATTCGTACGCTCGACAGCGAGTTCCTGTCTGCAGAGAGCATACCGCCGTGGAAAGTTGTAATCTTCAATCTGCCCAATCGTCACGAACCTCAAGAAGACTCGTCCACTCAGAGGCTCTTCATCCTGTTTGCATACTACCATTCCCATGGTGATGGCAAATCTGCTCTGGCATTCCACAAAACGTTCTTACAAGGTCTCAATGGCCCAAAGAGCAATCTCACCGAGAGTTCCACATGCGAAACACCATCGACTCCTCTGCCGCCTACGATCGAGCAAGCTGGCAAGCTATCTATCTCTTGGTCTTACCTCTTGAGTCCTCTCTTCGGCGCATACCTTCCAGAATCTGTCGCTAGATTATTCGGCCTGCGTGCTTCGACTACACCAAAGTCTGCGGATGCCTGGAAAGGCATAAAGGCTTCTTTCGACCACAGTACATTTAGCACAGGACTTGACTTCTTTAACGTCCCTCACACGACTATGGGGAAGACTTTGGAGCTTTGCAGAGCCCACGATGTCAAGTTCACGAGTTTGTTGCATCAATTGGTTGTTCGTGCTTTGAGCGAAGCCTAACCTAGTAACACGTCTACTGCGGATACTATCGGCAGCTTCATTGCATTGACTGTCGTGGACCTCCGTCACCTTCTAAAGGGTATCGGCTCAGATAATATGTCCTGCCCTGGGCCCACCGCCTCTTTCGAGCTCCACAACCGCAGTAATGTTGAAGACTGGAAAGACTGGACCAATTCCGACAGCAACAGCCCCATCTGGCACGCAGCTCGTCAAACTACCAAAGATCTTGCCAAATGCGCTAGCACGTTACACGATCAACCTATCGGCTTACTGTCCTACCTCAGCAAATTTCGCCCTTGGATGCAANNGGGAGAAGCGGAGAAAGACAGAGACAGCTCGTACGAAGTCAGCAATCTTGGAGTTTTTGAACCTACTGCAGACTCGCAGAAAGGCGATTAGGGCATCGAATCCATGTTCTTTGCTCAGCCTGCAAATGTGCTGGGCAGTTGTCTTGCTTTCAATGTCGTCACGAGAAAAGACGGTGATACCACTATTTCTGTCACTTGGCAGAATGGTTCTCTTGGTGTGGATAAAGAGCAGGAGTTTGTCTGGCTTGTTTGCCAACTTGTTGCAAACTATCTGGGAGAAGTTGCTTAGTATACAATCATTCTCATTGGATTCCGGTCAGTTAGTTGTTTAGGTCAAATGGGCATCTTCAATTTTCTTGCTTGAACCAGTGGGAAGTTGCATACCACAAATCTGCTTCATTATGCCAAATGTCCAGCCCACAAGCCTAATCAACATCGTCAAGGCTCAAACGCATGCTCTCAATCAGCTCGGCGTCCATCAATTTCCTGGTGCAGTGAGCATCGAACACATCGTCGCGACGAATGGCATCCCTGTACCCCCTCCACCTTTTGAGCTCAACATGTTCGTTGAAGAAGAATTCGATTATAGCGTTGTACAGAGACTGATCCGCAAGCCGAGGTGCCTCGGATCCGCAGACATATGCAATGATAGGAAGGTAATAGTGAATGAGGAATGGCTGGCTCTTGATTCGATGCAGGGTGGCTTTGAAAGATTCAAGGGCAGCTCGACGAACAGCACGGCAGTCATACTTATCTGCCATGGTGTAAACTGCAAGATCGCTTCTCAGTACAGGACTATGCCTCCAGACTCCAACTTTTTGAGGATGTACGGTGTTTTGTGCGTGCTCATTATACTTCATGCCATACATGTGCTTGACCACGGCAATGATGGCTTCAAGGTCGTCATCTTGATCGTCTAGCTCAAAAACAGGGTTCGTAGCTACCTTTGTCACAAAGTCAGCGATGTTATCGTAGAGATGCTTTAGTGGACTCACCGCGAAGTTTGACATTAACGCCTTGTTGAAGAAGGGTGACCACAATCGCAGCACAACTCGATGTGCGTAGATCTTATCCTCGCGTAGCTGCAAGACTATGTCGGAGTCTTGAGGGTTGCTAAAGAGCGTCATCACACTGTAGATTCTATTAAAGCTCTGGTAATTAGAAAGCACAAGGCGACGTACCAATCGTTATCATGATTTGCCATGTCTCCAGGGTCTGCGTCGTCTTGTTCCTTCTGATGACGCCAGATTGAGAGAAGGTGTTGAAGAAAATTGGAAAATGGTGGCAGAGTATCTGAGTTTGCGATGGTCTCGCTAAACACTGTCGTGGTTACTGACAAGCGAATGAAACCCTGGATTGAAGGCAAAATTAAGGAGGATCCCAAGATACCGCGGCCTGCTGATAACCCTCTGTCATTTGCCATCGTCTGAAGGGTATTTTTGACGTGTTCTGTTTGATCAAAAGTTTGTGGTTTTATAAGCTTGTGAGATTCGGCTTGCTTGTACAATAGTCATCCATTGGAAGAGCGTGTTTGACGGTATAACGATACATCGAAGTGATGGTAACTGAGACATAATACATGACATATATTCTAACGTTTGCGTGCTGAAGAGGGACTCTCGCATAAGACTAACTGCTGCATGACAAAGAAATTTCGAGCCTGTTCGAGAAAGAGCAACTCAAGGCTTAGAGAGCTGTTCCTTCCTGAAGAACTTGAAGAAGCCAATCGGAATGACAAGCTGACAAGCCAAAGCAATCCAGAACCAAGGCTTACTGATCGCATTTATCACTCCAGCGCTAAGATCAGGGAACACGTCTCCAGGGCCATCTCTGTTCGGTGCGGTCGCCTTCGCAATAAGCGTGACAGCCGTACCTAGCACCTGTGCTGAGATCAGCGTCACACCAATATGAATACGTGTAAGAGTCTGCAACAGCATCATGCCAAAGCCGACACCTTGCACAGCATCCAAGACACCTAACCAGAGCCAGAGAGCTCTGCCAGCAATAGCACCTCCTTCGGCACCACCTGGCATCCAAGGAAGCCAGAGTCCAAAGCCAGAAGTACCCCACCATTGTTGCGCCCAGCGAGGAGCTAGCAGGCCGATTGCGAAAATTGGCAAGATCCAGCTATGGCTCTTGCTGAGTCTACTGAAGACATACAGCATCAAAGACCAGACGACGATGANAAAGACAAGAACCAAGATTGCAACTACCCAAACAGGAGCATATTTCGAAATCCAGAGGTACTGCCAGGACCTTCCATATTGTGAAGAGAGGAAGTAATTTTGCAAAATGACTGCGACAAAGAACCAAGATATGAGCTTGCGACGAGCAAGAGTCTTGTAGAAGCTTGGGATCTTTCCAGGCCGCTGGTGGTAGTAGGCCGGTAAGCTAGTGAATAAGGTAAGCGCGACCAGCCACAAGAGAGCTGCAATCGGGAGTGTGATAGCAGCCATGATGGGCGAAGATGAGAGCGTATTCTTCTCAATTTTTTGTTTTGGCGTGGCTTCCATGATTGTGCGTCCCCAGTAGAACAGGCCCGTGATATACAGTTGTTGAGTGCCCTGGATGATACATGCTCGGTATACCCAAGATGAGATTGGTGAGCCACNCTATAGTGTATTAGCTGAGTTCTAACACAGATACCAGACTGACTTACCCTCATCACCAAAGTTGAGCGTGAAGTAAAGACTTCCACTAGCCGAAGCAGCTGCATAAACACCGTCTGCCACATTACGCATCCAGTTCCTACCAGCGCCCTTAGGAAGGAATGGTGCCATCCCGACGAAGAGGAACGCTATCCCGTACATGACAAAAGGCACAGAAAGAACAAATCGAGCCTTCATCGACCGGAAGAGAAGCCACCAGACAACAGAAGCTGCAATGTAGATTCCGCCGATTGTGTAGATCATCGATGGCTTTGGATCCTCTCCACCAGTCAGTAATGTGATTTGGTAGCTGTTCGCGGCCATGATCTGTCCAAGAGCGAGCAAGAACGAATACAGAGGCCAATCACCAAGTCGGGTAAGCATCCAGCGTTTGACGAGTGAAGGTCGCTGGTAGTTGTCGCCAAGCAGGAAGTCTTCCATTGAGCCTTCGCCAACACTCATGCGTTCGTCAGCGTCGACTGAAGACGCCCTGGAGACGTGCGATACACTCAGTCTATTGCCATGGTGTTTGCCAGTCGAACTTCGGTCGCGTGATCTACCCAATTTAGCATCGCGGTACTTCTTGAACCAGGTTTNTTCGCTCTCTACAAGATACTCTTCTATACAGAGATATTTTTCGGACGTCTTGCCATTGAGCTTTTCCAGCATTGCCTCGAAGGCACGGTAGTATTCGCCAGTCTTATCGTCAAAATTGAGCTCGATTTGCTGTAAGCTGTAGTCTCTCTTGTCACCAATGACAGTCGTCAAGTCGAGTTGCGAGGATGTGCTCAGCCTCGAGGAATTGCTCAAGCGAGAAGATGAGCGGTCTCGTGGTTCAGCGGTCGGGAGAAGGCTATCAGCGCTTGCCCTTCTGATCGTTTCCACTCCTGTTTGGACGGACAAGTATGGTCCAGAACCTCTGTTTCGGCTTCTTCCTCTCTGGAGCTCCCTTGAATCCGGACTGGGCGATCTCGAACGATGCCCTGACATGAGTGCAGGCTGTGGGGCACTTAGGGACACGTTCCTACCTTTACCCTCAAGTTGCTCTAAAGCATCTGCTCTGTCTGATTCCCTCGTGAATGTGTCAGCCTCCTCACGAGTGATTGTCTCTTCTTCCATGTCTTCGCTGTAATCGCTGCCGAACGGATCATCGTCGTCTTCAGGGATATAGGCATCGGTGACCTGTACGCGAGGAGTTCTGCCATGATGACCAGGTCCTGCTCTCGAGCCTAGAGACAGAGTGCGATTCAGATTGGATGGCGAAGGACTTGTGCGCGGTCTAGTTTCGTAGACCGAACCAGCACTTGGACTGGCGTCTCTGGACCGAGCTAGAGAGATGTTCGAATCGTTGCCGAAGTTCGAGACGGGCCTTCTCGCTGGCTGTAGTCCGTAGTTTGCTTCTCGCTGATGGATGCGAATGGCTGTGCTTTGGAGTTTGTCAAGGTCCTCGACCCACTTCTGAACAGGGAATCTTTGCACGGCTGATCTCGCTCTCATCATAGCTTTGGTTTCTGTGGTTGCCGCCAGAGCATCTTCGATAGCAGACTTGAACTGGTGCATCAAGTGGGCTGTGGTTGTTGACTCCACGGTGAACCACCATCCAGGCATCTGCCCGANGACTATCCAAGGACGTTAGCTGAAGTCCATCACGGACGCCAGACTGACTTACCCTCCAACCCTCGCACCAACACCAAGGGCACCCTTACGACCGAATTCGACTGCAACTAAACCGAAGGGCTCGTCTCGACTTGGAATTAAAGCGTATTCGGCCCCTGAGAAGATGANACTATCTCATGTTATTGGACGTCCAGACACGATTTGGGCCAATTCTAGACTTACTGGAGGCAAAGCAGTGAATTCTGGTTTTGAGTAGACGCGCTTCGGATATTTCTTCATCATGACACCCAGCTTGAGCGCTGCAAACTTGCCGTACATGTCNNCTGGAGGAAGATCAGCAAAGATTTAATGACTGTTGGGCGGCGAGCATCATACGATCACAGGTCCAACGCAGATAAGCTGAACATTCTTGTGCTTCTCAAGGATGGCTGGGAAGACGTCGGCAATCAAGTCAACACCCTTTTGGTTGCTCCATCGGCCAACGAACACAAAGAGTTGAGCAGTAGGATCAACTTCGAGGCCAGCCCATTCTTGAGCTTGTTTGCGCAGTTCGCCTCGCGAGGCTTCGTATGCTGGGTCCACTTTGATGACCTGGTTTGCTTCCTCCTCACGACTCCAGGGAGCTGTATCGGATGGATCAGGATTCGGCAACTTGCCAATCTCTTTGAGACCCCAGAAAATTGCTGTAACAAAGTCAGTGGGTTTTCAAAGAGCTTAAATTATGAACTTAACGATATCGAGCAAAGAGCGGGCACCATATTTGTTAGATACACCAACAGCGCCGAAGCCCTTTTGGTGAACTCTCAAATAGCTCACGCCGGCGTGTAGTAGATTGAACACTTCGCCGAATTGCACATATTTTTGGATGGTTTCTTTATCCAGGTTGTAGACACGCGATACTTCGTCTGACTCCTTCTCTGTTCTCATGGGCCATAGTCCCTGAAACTCCGCGTTGTGAANGTCTAGCAGGTTCAGTGAGTGTATTTAGTGTGTGATATTGAGCTTGACTTACGATAGACAGCACGGGATGGTTTCCGGCAGGAGGTAGAGAGNGGCAGCACTTCCATGGTAGTCCTAAAGAAACAATTAGCGTTAAGTGTCCTAATGGCAACATTTGTTCTGTCCGCGTACGTTGATGTGGTAGATATCTGGCTCAAATCTCTTGATCGCTTCAGCAATACAAGCGTTCCAAGCACTGTAGTAAATGGCAGAATCCAGATCATCCATGCGCGGTGGATATGGTTCTGTTTTGGTCTGTTTCCTGAATACAGGTGCATCCAATAGGACGTAAGTGATGTTGTTCAGTTGATGGTATTGTACTTGAATCTCGTATGGGTTTCCAAGGATTGTCACAACCATAGGCTCGGCAACCTGGTCGATTGGATATTCGATGCCACCAACACATGGGATAACCCCNNTACAACAATCAGCGAAATTCTAGGTTTTCACGAATTAACACTTACAGATCAGATCCTGATGCGTCAAGCTTTTGCCCATAAGTTGCGCCATGACCCCTAATCCTCCAATCTTGACTTTGATACTCCAGTCCTCAATGTCGTACTCCATCGTGGCAATGATGACTTTACGTCTCTTGTCCTTAGCAGCAGCTATGGTGATGCCTGACGCACCAGAGTCGTATCGTTGGTGTGACTTGCTCAAGAACAATGGCCTCATACGATGACCGACTTCTTCCACATCGTCATCCGCCAACTTGCTGAACTTGTGACGCTTCCAGAACGATGGCATGCCTTTAGGCATAGGAAGTCCAATCTTGTTGAATTTGACTCCGTAGAAAGCGCCCATGTACGTCCAGATACTGATGGCGCCAGTCAAGACGGGGAGAGACCAGAGAAGAGCGAAAACGAGGACCTGGATGAATCGACTGCCAGCAGGTATGAGCTTGTACTTGTAGCTGGCATCGTCGATACTGATCTTGTAGGCCAGGTAGGGGCTGGGAGGAAGATCAGTCATGTTGATGAGAGCAGGACTTAGAGCGTCAGGCGGTAGGCGGTCGAGAACAGTATCGTTATCGATGTCGCCATAGATGAAAGACTGGTCCGGTTGACCATCAGGATTCATGCCCCAAACGTTGACCTGAACTTTGTGAGGCCATTCGGTCATGAGATGGAAGTCCCACGCATCGTCAACCATTTTGAAAGCGTTCCTTAAGCCGCCATCGAATCCAAATTGATTGAATTCGCCGTTCGCAAAGAGGTGAGGGAATCGTCGAGGCGCTTGTTTTTGGTCGATATCAGCGTGCTGAAGGTGAGTACTGCTTCCAATTGCACGATTCCAGTATTGAAGTACGATATGGTCCCCTGTCCACTTTTGACGCTTCGTACCAGACCAAGGTTGTTTCTTCACGGTTGAGTTAGTGCCATCGTAGTTTTGCCAATCGCTCCAGGTAGATCCCCAGTTGGTCGAGTAGCGCCATTTATTAGCCCCGGCGGCTTGATGCGACACAAGCAGATCTCCATTAGAGCCCTTGGAGAGTACGTTGCTGCTGTAGTTTGCAGTACGAGGGAAGACGATAGGATTTTCGGCTGAACCAATACGGAAGAAAACATGGTCTGTAGATCCAGTAGATATGCCATCGGTTGTTGAGGCATTCTGAATGGTCAAACTGTGCACACCATTGGATACGTCGATCAGGGTAGCCTTCCAGCTCCATGCTGAAGTGATGGCACCAATGTAAGGTGGAGGGTTGGGATCCTGTATCTTGCTGCAGACAACACTCTTTGTATCAATTCCAGGACTACTTTTATCCGCGGTGGTTGAGGTGACTACGATGTTCTTTGTGATGGAGTCACAGTCCATTTCTTGGGAGAATTGCAACTCGACATCAACGGACTCTTTCTCACCTGGGTTGACTTTAGACAAGATACGCGCATCGTGACCAGGGCTGAATCTAGTCAGCATTGGTGCGGGCTCGATCCAATCTGCTTTGCGAACGTAGACTCTGAAATCCCATGGTTCCATGGTAAGCTTGTCGAGGCAGCCATTGAATTTCTCTGAGCCATCGATCCCGAGCTNTTTGGGGCCCCGCTTGAGAGTCAGGGTGTCGTATGGACTGAGCAGGTTTCGAACTTCCTCTTCTTCATCGAACACCGAAATCAGGGCTGTATCGTTGGATGAACAATCAAAAGTATAGTCAACAGTATGGTTCTCGTTTTGATAGACAAGCCAGACTGCTGGTTTTGCATCGGCCGTGCCAGTGAGATTCTGCACGCCATTGAAAAACTGATTGCGCATCACACTCCACATGCCAAGTTCAGTCGCAGTACCATTTGATCCGGGAAGGTAGACATCATGTGTCTGGTTCGAAAGCGACTGCAGGAGCCATCCGTCATTGAGAATTGGATTCTTGGTCCTCAGATGATAGAATGACTTTATGATGTTGCGAACGGGGTGTGTAGGATCTCTGTGGTCCTGAGATACTCCATCATCGTTGCAGCCATTGGCACCTGCATCGATGGGGAAGTCATTAAAGATGTCTGAGCCAAGCTTATAGCAACCATGTGTCTGCCATGCAAGCGATGATGAGATTGGTTGTCGTCCAAACACGTAATTGGAAGCCGTATTATCGAGCGTGTAAAGTGCTTGCTCTTCACCCCAGTTGAGCAGTGGTACGCCTGGCATATGTAGAGTGGTCATGAACAGACCAAGCAGCATCTTCTGCGTTCCATTCTTGATAGTCGGCCAGCGGAAGACATCTTGATTACTTGTGCCATAGAGGTGTCTGGGATCGAATTTCCCAGTGTTCGGATTGACAAGGTCGTTGGTTAACAACATGTTATTCCAGCCATCTACGAAGTTCATCGGAATGTCGTATCCCACTGTCAGGTTGCCATCCATACCCAGGAAGCGCTGTAACTGGCGGTACACGCTGTAGTGAAAAGCCGAAGCGTCAAGAGCATTCTTACCCGCTGCGCGCAGGAAGATCTTGTCGTCTGATTCATTACTGGTTTTGACAGCGTCTCCGAGGTCACTGATCTTTTGATCAGGTTCTCGGCCTCGACCCAGGTAGATTGAGCCAAAGTTGTTGCCTCCAGTGATCTCTCCAGCTATCAGGAAATTGTCTTTGCCGTTGTTTCGAGCACACTCGCGAATCGACTGACTGAAATCTGCCAACGCATCGACTGTAGCTTGTGTGGATTTATCGATACGGAAACCATCGATGTCGAGCATGGAAATGGTAAGACAGTGTAGGTGCTTGAGTCTGTCGAGGACCGAGGGCTTCCACTCGCGCAATCTGTCTTGCACAGATGCAAACTTTGAAAGCTGTCTCTGCCAATCAGGGAAAACACCGAAGGCTTCTGTATCGCCATACTATCAGGTGTCAGAATTGGATCACGAACAATATCAAAGTAGGCTTACCTGGTCAAAATCGCTGTCAAAGCAGCTTCCAAGCGAGGACAAGTCATTGAAGGCTGCAGAGAACTTATCTGAATCGGATCCTTTCTGAACCAGGCTACCACTCTCGTCCCAGAAGCGAGGCAACTCGCATGTCGAGGTTTTCGTATTGCCAAATGCAAAGTCAGGGTATCGTCGCTCGGTCTTCCAGACGACTTCATGTTCTTCAGGGACGAAAGGCGTAGACTCGTTGAGGTACCCATCGAAACCGATTAGATCAGCCATNNACTAGGGACGATGGTCAGCAAAGCTTTGTTTGTATCGATGAAATTGCTATACTCACGTCGAGAACGTGTTATCGAGGAGTATATACATTCCACGTCGATGAATCTCCTCGATAGCCGCTCTCCATTCCGCGATGTTGCCAAAATGGTGGTCGAGTAGTGTGAAGTCAATTGGAGAGTAGGCATCTGACTTCCATGGCATATTGATGAATGGTGTTCCGGCTACATAGAGACCNNCTGAAACTCGATCAGCTACCGTACATGCTTGTTGGCGAACTTTGCATACCTTTATGCCCATGCCTTGAATGTAATCCAGGGTGTCCACCAATCCTGCCAAATCTCCTCCATGGCGCATTGTAGTGCCCATGATATCTTGTTCGAACAGCGTGCCGTTAATGTCATCGTTAGACGGGTCACCATTGACGAATCGATCGAGGAATAGCGTATAAAACGGGAATCGCCAATTTTCGGGGGATGGTTGAAATGTATGATCTTCCCATGTTCCCGAGTACTCCAGAGGACTAGTTGCAGCTTGATTGATATTGAGGTTCCAGTCTGTCTCACTAGGATCGTATCTCAGAGATTGTGCGAGTCGTAGACTGCACAAGAGCAGAGCTCCAAGCAGACCCCTCGCCCGCCTTAGCTGAACCATCTCGAGCTCAGACTAGAAACTGTTCTAGCTTTTGCGAGTGGCACAGAAACTGATCGCGTCGATATTGCGTTGCGTTGAGATACAATGAGAGGTGATTTTGGAAGCGCAGAAAGAGAGACTACATAGCTTACCTGTGTCCATCGGCCGGTTTTGTCAAATTTCCAGAGCTGTTTATCAGACTCGCGGAGTCATGGCTGCAACAGTGGCTGGTATCTAGCGCTTACCTCAACTTACACCCACCCTCGCACACAAATCCTCAAAGGTAAGGTCCCGGACCATTGTCCCAGACAAACCTTCCGTGATAGGACTATGGAGCTTGAAGCTCAAGCTCCGCTTTTGACTACACCATGTCGAGCGGTAAGGTGCTGATGCAGAAACTCANCGTTGCCATGTCCAGATTTAGGCCCACTACGGTTCGCTCCGAGCTTGGTGANNGCTGTATACAAGGATCAGCCCTACGAGGCGGAATCTCGACTGGGACTGCAATAAGNNCATGCGGCGAATGGTGATTTGACAGATCTTGTGCGAGGTTGCTTATCTGTCTTTCTTGTCAAGGATCCCGAAAGCCGCATGCAAGCCACAGAAGCTCTCTCCGTATGCAACTGGCACAGAGCATGAGAAAGCTCCAGCCGACCACAACCGACTCAGCCCCAACATTCGCTACCTTGTAAAGAATATTGAGCANTGTCCAATCATGAGGAATGTCAAAAGCATTGCTTAACAGATTGAATGGATCTTAGACAGATCAGACCAACATCCCGTGCAACGAGTTCCATGTGTATATCGCGTGGAGCTGATCGTGCCTTGTTGCATGTACTGTAAGCTCTAGGGCGTTAGCTCGCGTCAGCATGCAGTGTACCGGTCAGTGGGATTCCCATGTCANAGACTGTCGTGGAAAAATCGTTTGGACGTTCAGGCCAACCATTGACCCTTCTAGTATGCTCAATAATTCGTCTGTTCAGGCTTCCGCACCATAGTCGGAGCATGAGAAATGCGAACAGCTTTGGAGTGCTCTTGGAGGGCAGCCTCGAACTTATGCGGGTTCTCAATAGTAGCAGAGCAGCCTCAGACACCACAGTCGCGTGAGGCACGCTGAGCCGGTCTCCGCACGCAGACAAAACGAATATGGCGGTTCAGAGGTCAATTGTGAGAATGTCACAAAGATCCATTGTCTGGAAAGGTCGCCGCACCCTGCATGCCAAAAGTCAGATGCGGCCATGACTTTTGACCAACAGACTCTCCGGCAACCACGGCGCGACCCTCAGCTCAGCTATCGCTAAACATGTTGCTTCCATCTATTCTCAGTGCCTTACTCAGTTCTACATGACGATGACTGTCATACAACAAACGAAAGACAGGCACTACACTCGGCTGTGCAAGTTGCCTCACACACAGCCACAGGTTTTGGCCTCGATCAGGCAACCAGGAAGTGGGGTATGTTCGTACTTTCTACTTCCTCTAGGATTCGTTCATCACGACCCGCAGCACTATTTTTCAGCCAGCCGAAGGATGGATGCCAATATGGACATGCAACACCGTTTGGTGAGGCTTGAATTTCTCGGAGCTGGAAAGTCGTGTCAAAGACATATGTCAAGCTCGAGGAGAGCTCTGGAGTGATAACCTTATTGGGCCTGCGGACAGGGATCGTGTAGTTGCTAAGCTGGGCAGTGTGAAGAGCTCAACACGAAGCTTTCATCAGCCCCTCTTCGTTGTACATCGCTTTACTTAGCAAGGCCAGAGTTTGTTGGCCTAGAGGTACGTATGTATATGCAATCCGTACGCGATGCCACAGAGTACGTAGTTGGTGGAAGGTCATGTTACTCCTCTATGTTCCACCCATGTCCCAAATCCGCGGTCCTGTCTTGCTCTCCTTGTGATTTGTACTCGCTTGCATCTCTTTGCTTGCTCCTTTCCTACTTCTCGTCTTCCTATACAGAGTCTGAAACGTCAGCGTAAAATACTCATACACCGCGATGCGGTGCCTCTACGCCTTGTTGGTGGCCTCACTGGCTTTTATATACAGTGCATCCGCGCAGACAGCCACAATTAGCTCTTCTCCATCGACTCACACTGTCGTGGTAGGCTATGAGACGAACCAATTCCATCCGAACAATTTGACCGCCAATCCTGGAGACGTGGTAGTCTTCCAGTTCGTTGCAGTTGGTCACACGGTGGTACAGTCGAACTTCCAAGAACCATGCGTTCCAAGAGATGCCTATCATCCAGGCCGCTCGACGTTCTTCAGCGGCTGGTATAATGGCAGTGACGTGGGAACCGCCAATGTAGGTTGCCTCATACAGCCTATCAACAAACGTATAGGTACTGACAGAGATCATTAGTCGCCAACATGGAATCTAACAATCAACGATACGGCTCCCATATTCTACTATTGCTCACGATTAGGGTCCTGCCTCACCGAGCAGATGATCGGTTCAATCAACCAAAATGCAACCTACTCCCTCCAAGCTCAGCTCAACTCGATAAACAGCTCAGACATCATGCTTCAACCTGGCGAAGCTATCCCTGAGGAATCTACNCCCTCGTCTTCTGCCACACCTGCTCCCTCCAGCCACAGTGTTACTCTTTCTGGTGGTGCTATCGCTGGTATCGTCGTAGCAGGCGTAGTCGTTCTCGCCCTCGCTTGCGCGCTCTTCTGGTTTGTAGGCCGCCACCGCACACTAAAGCACTCTTTAAACAGCGCTTCCCAACACTCTGGCGCAGTGGAGAGTTGGGTCAACAGTACAAACCCACCTTCCACGGTTGGAGGCCCGCCTTCCATGCGTCCACCTTCCTATGGACCAGGTGACGGAGGTTACATGACTCCTATGGACGCACACAAACATTGGGAGTACGGACAGCAAAGACACAGTTACATGCCCATGACACCACCAATCCAGGAGTTGGGGGTCAGCGAGCCGGTAGAGATGGAAGAGACAGGGAGGGGAAGAACGCGATCTAGAGAGAGCGAGTAAGTATCCCGCATCTATATTGGGGCCGTGTACTCGAGGCTGACCACATAAGATTTCAGATCGCTGATTCCAAAGTGGTAACATCGTCGACGCATGTTTATGAGAAGGAGTAATGTTTTGAATGACCGGATTGGCTGATGCGTTTTAACTTATACTGTGTATACTTCAATTGTCAGTATGCTATATACCTTTCCAAGCAAGAACAAACAATTTATGTTGTTTATGTGACGTCGTTTCTATCTGTGTGTTTTCTCACCAACATGTTTGTTCTTGTACTCCACAAAATCTTTCTAACCATTGTAGACAAGACCTACTCAGATCTGAGATCTTGTTTTGTCCTGAAACTATGATCAGTGCCAATTGACCGTGAGCGTTCTCGATACTAGATCTCGCGTTCGATTGCCCTTACAACTACACCTGCCGAAACACTTAACTCACTCAGTCGTTGCCATACGATGTCTGATGTTCTGGTTCTTCAAACGAAGCTCGATGTACTCCAACGGAAGAATGAATTCATGGTCCTCGATATCACACTACTTGATTGTGAGAAGTGTGCGTCGTTTCGATTGTAAAAGTTTTGGTACAAGTTCTTGATTGATCTCCTTGGGTTCTTTCCTACGAGAGATGTCATGTGCATCTCACATCTCCTGGGAAACTGATTGATATCCTGTCATCAACGCCGTGCATGAAACATCTTTTCCTATCCCATCCTTACTTGCAAGCGAATACTCTTAATCGTCCATGCCTATTTAGAACTCCTTGAACGATGACCACTTATCTCCTCAAGCTTCTCATGAAGCCCTCAACGCCCTCATCAGATGCCCCTCTGCCGCCGAAGCCGCGGACCTCCTTTTGTGCGCTTTCCACCTTTTGTCTGAGTTGCTCAGCACCAACGTCGATTTGTTGCAACTGGCCGAGATGTGCATTGAGCACACGGACGATCTGAGAAAGAGGATCTGACTCGGCAGTCTTGGATGACTTGGAGAGGTTGGTGGATGCAAGGTTAATCTCGTCGATCATCGAAGTCAGGTCGTGAGACATTGTAGTCAGGCGAGCAGAGCAGCGCTCAGCGGTTTGGTAACTATGTCGATGGTTAGCTTTATATTTTCTCAATGTGTCATCAGAATGTACATACGTTCTCTCACGCTCAGCATCGACGCCACTATCAACACCACCAGCCTTGGCGGCCATGTCGTTCAACACGCGCTCGTAGTGGTCAAGCCAGTGGCTAAGTTCTTCTTGCTGGCCCTCGACAGAGGCAAGCTGACGCTCGACCTCAGCAGTGTCGCGTTCAGCCTGGAAAGTGCGGCTGTACAGTTTGCTGATCTTGTCACTGTTTTCGACCAACATGCGGTCCCAGGATCCAATCTTGGTAGCTAGGTTTGAGAATTGCTTTTGATGCGACGAGAGAGAAGTGGTCCAAAGTGTGATGATCTCATCAAGTGACTTGGAATTTAGGCGCGATGTAGCAGGAGGTGCAGGTCCTGAAGTTGATGCGTTTGTAGCGCCGCTACCAAGTCCGCCAGTGTTGTTGCTGCCATTGTTAGGACCCGCAGCTGGTGCTGCTGCAACAGCAGGTGGGGCGCCACCATTGCCACCATTTCCTCCAGCGCCGCCTGCAGCTGGTGTTGCTGCGGGCTTGAGACTGAAAGCGGAGCCGCCAGTCGAGGCAGGTGTGCTAGATTCAGCAGGCTTTGCGCCAAGTGAGAAAGCAGAAGTGGACCCTGAGGTGGCAGTTGTCGAAGTAGGAGCAGCTGCAGCATCATCTTTCTTCTGGCCGCCCAGACCACCGAAGAGGTTGCCAGCAGGAGAAGCAGGCTTTTCAGCATCATCCTTTTTAGCACCTAGGCCTCCGAACAAATTGTTAGCAGGAGCGGCGGGCTTAGCAGTCTCGTCCTTCTTAGCACCCAGACCTCCGAACAGATTACCGGAAGATGCGGCAGGCTTGTCAGCCGCGTCCTTGTTCTGGCCTAGACCGCCGAATAAATTACTAGCAGGTGCGGCAGACTTATCGGTAGCATCGTCCTTCTTAGCACCGAATAAGCCAGGTGTTGATGTGGCGGTCGTAGCCGGGGTATCAGCACCAGAGGGAAGTGGNNCGCCGCCTCCTCTTATACCACCAAAGAGCGAAGGTGCAGATGTTGTAGTAGCGGAAGCGGGCTGAGTAGAAGCAGGGGTTTGTGATGTGTTTCCACCGAGTGAGAAGGCTGGTTTTGAGGAGTTGCCGCCCAGGGAGAAAGCGGGCGTGGTGGCAGGGGCAGACTGGGGAGTTGATGAGGCAGCACNCCCGAGGTTGAATATAGGCTTGTTTGCAGGAGCAGCGCCATCTGCAGGCTTCTGGCCGAACAACGAAGGAGCAGCGGAAGAGTTGTCGTCGGCCTTCTTTCCGAATGATCCAAATGCGTTACCACCACCTAGAGGGGCACCAAAGGCTGGGGCAGACTTGGGAGCTTCTGCTGCCTTTTCCTCGGGCTTGCCAAAAGAGAGCGGCTTGCTGCCAAAGATGCCACCAGTTGATTGAGTTGGGGGTGGGCCAGCGGGTGTTGTGGAGAACAAGGGCTTGTTTGTGGTAGCAGGAGTGGTCGAGTTGTTTCCGAAGGAGAGGCCTCCAGTTGAAGCAGCAGCACCACCGAAAGGATTGCTCGCAGGAGCGACACCTGGAGTTGTGGGATTGCTGCCTTGGGCGGGAGCCTGTTGACCAAAGCTGAAACCAGAAGCAGTGGGAGTTTGTGTAGAAGGAGAAGCTGCGCCGAAAGCGCTTGTTGTTTGACCAGCGCTAGAAGTAGGATTGCCAAAGATGGAACCAGTGGTTGTAGGAGTCTTGTTTGTATTTCCGAAGAGACCACCGCCGGAGTTCGCATCAGGCTTGGAAGCAGCGGTACCGAATAACGAAGGAGTGCTTCCTGACGATGTGCCAGCGGAGCCGAAGTTGAAGGACATGGCGAGGTTAATTTAGTCGGGGTGAATAAACCCGTCGAGGGCGCGCTATAAGAGGAAGTACTCTGGCAATCCGAGTCGCGGGAGTTTGACGGATTGATGTGGAAAAGTATGGGCAAGGCGACTAAGGTTGTCGAGAAGGAGCAATGGAAAAGGCAGTCGCGATGGGTAGCTGGTGTAAAGCTCTCTTTGACCTTAGCAACACGCAGAGACGCGACGCTCGGACGCAGAAGCACTTTCCTCAAGCAAACAAATCAAACACGCGGTCGTTCTTTCCCTGACTGCTGCTCAGCCCCAGGACCCGCTCTCCACGTCACTCGTCGCTCGATAGCTGCTGCGGACTGCGCGTTATTTGGCGTCGTCGAGTTATCTACCAGACCGCTTCCTGCTCTTCTCTTGTCCTCGATCTCTGATCTTGCTTTCTCTCCATCTCTGCTGTCTCTCCGCCTTTCACACTCTGTTCTTCCCCGTCGACTGCGACTCCTTCTCCACTCTCCACACTCCACACCACACACCGCATACACGCCATGGCTCTTCAACCTCCGTCAGAGCCCATTGAGAATCTGAAGGATCCTGGTGCTCATGAGTTGCCCGGCGTACCTAAGATCTCTGGTATTCCTCTCCATCTTCTCTGCTTATAATCAACTGCTGACCCAACTGCAGAACCCGAAGAGTCCGATGACCACTTCTCAGATGCCTCCGAAGGCACTCCGTCGTACCCTCCTGCTATCACTGGTCGCAACCGCGCCCTGTCCATTCCCGTCACTCGCGTTGAGAAAGTAGACGACGAGCCTAGACATGGCGAGGTTCCTGGAACTGAAGCCTACAACATCAGATCTCAAGACGCTGTACCTGACGAGATAGAGATTGTCCCCGACGGCACCAGAAGCCGCAGCACTTCGCGTGTCAGCGAATCTGACAGACCTGTGACTCCTGGTGGCACCCCAGTCCCCCATCTTGTTGTCGAGAAGGTCGATCCCGCCGCCCCTAGCCATGGCGATGTTCCCGGCACAGACGCATATGAGATGCGAACTGCCGATGCTCAACCTGATGAGGTCAAGCAGGCCCCTGCCTCATCGAGTGCCCCTCTTGAGCGTAAGTACACCATCCCACGAGCTCACGCGACCTCTTCCCCAAACCAAGCCTTCATGTTTGACGAAGAANNAGCATCACCAACTCCCAATGACAGATCTCGATCCCCAAGCCCAGAACTCGACCAACAAGAAGCCAACGTCCTGATCCCCTCTGAGACCCTCATTTTACAGGAATCACAAGAAACCTTCCAATCCGATCTCCCGCTCCAACCCAAGACCGACACTACCATCGTACCACCAGCAGAGGAAAACGCAGACGACTTTGACGACTTCGACCAACCACAAACACAAAACAACAATCATGCCGACAACGATGACGATGCTTTCGGTGACGACTTTGACGACTTTGAAGAAGGTGGTGCGGATCAGGCAGACGGAGATGAGGATGATGACTTTGGTGACTTTGACGATGGCTTCCAACAAGCAGAAGAGCCTCCTGTCGCCGCACCTCCCCCTCAGCCTGTACAGCAGCCTCTAGCACACCTTGTAAGTAGCTCTGCCAAATACACAATCGCAGAAAGCATATACTCATCTCGTGCGCGCAGNCCCAATCTCAACTTTGCAGATCTGCAGACCTCAGAAGATATACTTCAAGCAATGTCGCCCTACATGTCTGAGCTCTTCCCTGAACTTTACGATCAAGAAACTGCAACCTCGGACAAGTCAGCCGCTCTATCTACTGATCCTATCCTCACCGACCGTAGCGCGTCTCTCTGGTCTCAACTTGTTGCTCCCCCTCCATTACAACCACCAAACTGGATCCGCAGTCGTATTCGCCGCCTGTTCTTGGTCTCCTTGGGTGTTCCTGTCGACCTGGACGAGATTTTACCCGCTAGTAAACAAAAGAAATTAGTCCTACCTAACATCCACCTGCCGGAACAGAAGAAAGAGGATAGCAAAGCCAAACAAGATGGTAGCAATTCTACTGGAGGAAGAAAGGGTCCTGCACCTCCGCCAGAGTTCAATGCCAACGAAGCAGCCATGCTTGCCAAGACGACAGACACAGCCACTGAGGCTTATTCTGATGATGAGCTAAAGGCACATGTGAAGAGGTTGGAGGAACTTATCAAAGATGCGAGCACGGTGCTTGAGTACTGGATGCAGAGGAAGGAAAGTGCTATAGGCGACAAGGAAGCATTTGAAGGTGTCATTGAGAATCTTGTTGGCTTTGTCAAGAGTCGACGATGAGAAGAAAAAGATGAAGATAAACTTAAAAGCATTTACATATACCAAAAAGCTATCACAGAAAATGTTAACATCGCTCTGCCAATCACTAAGACGTGATACATACGTTATAGTGACCTGCTTCTTCTACTGTGTTTGCATCTCGTATTGAGTCAGATACTATGAGCATTGCCCTGTTCAAAGGTCCATGGACTAGCCACCTCATGTCCAGGAGTCAGAATTTGCTTTGCAGCATATACCATCGCTCTAAGAATGAGTCAAGTAGGGTGTGGTAAGCTTTCTTCTCGTTGACTATTTCGACTGGAAGCGACTTCGATCAAGACAACAACCTCCGGTGTGCGGAAGCGTGTCATTGTCCAGCTATCAAAATACACAATACTTTTCAATTTCGAACTCCGTCCAAGGAGACACTCCAATATGACGAGCTCTCCCTGGATAACACCTGATTTCCAAAAGTATCGTGCATTTCTACGGCTACATTGTAAAGGCTTTTGGTATATGGAGAGAGTACATGGGTGATTCATTGCTTCATTGCTATCTGCGAATAGTATAGTACAGTACGGCCGTTTCAAGCTAGCTAAGTTGTTGGGCGTGTCATCGAATCTGTGTTTCCTTAATTTTCTTTTCTCTAAGCTTCTTCCGTCTCAGGCTTGAGGTCTTGTGTTTCACCCTCCTTCTTCAGGTTCTCTTTCAATGCAGCAGCGTAGTTCTCAGGCTCGTGCTCAGAACCAGATTCAGCAGCATCAGTGTGGTCGTCGACGTTATCGGCACCGTTAGCAGCTTGCTTGTTCTTGTTCTTCTTGTTCTTCTTCTTTTCTGCTTCTTGGAAGGCGATGATGCATCAATCGATTCAGGAGCGCTGTCCTTAGCAGGCTCGCTGGGTTCCTGCTTCACCCGTTCCTTCAACTCATCAAGATCATCGGCAGCCTCTTCCTTGATTTGCTTAGCATCCTTCTTGGTGGGCGTCATCTTGCGCTCGAAGCTCTCGACACGGTCGCTAACAGGTCGAGTGGGGCGAGGAAGTTTGCCTTGCCATCCTTAAGGGCTTGGAGGTCCTTCTTGACTTCTTCAGGCAAGTGGCCAAGCTTATTTTCGAGCTTCTTCTCAGCGGCCTTGAGGTCCTCAGGGAGATGACCGAGCTTCTTTCAATGCGCTTCTCAGCAGCTGCAAGGTCTTCGGGGAGGTGGCTGAGCTTTTTCTCGACTGCCTTGCCAGCGTGCTCGATTTCGCGGTTGGTTCCTTGAGCAGCTTCCTTGGTAGCGCGGCTAACAGAGTGACGCTTGCTTCTTGATTTGCTCGAGCCACTGCGGAATAGGTAGGCGCGAACGAAGAAGCGCATGAAGAGGACGGTCAGTGGGAAGAGGTAGAAAATGTTCAACCAGATGGCGAAGCTCTGACCCGTGGTGTCAATGCAGTCGATAGTAGTGTAGTCGGTTCTGTAGCGCGTCTCTTCGTGGTACTTCTGAATTGCCTCCTGAGCCTTCTCCATAATAATGTTTCCCTGCTTGTCGCGGACGTTCTCGGCGACACCTTCGTCACCAGCAGCACGGAGAAGGATACGGCGAAGGATAGCACCGTAAGTCTCAGCAGGAACAGCAGAGACAACGCTGGAAGCTGTCGAAGAAGCCTTCGCAACAGCGGAAGAGATGGGATGGAAGATGCTGTATGCAGTCGCCACAGGGATGTCGTATTTGACGAACAGGTGGATAGCGGCGTAAGATGCGCCGAACAAGAATTGAGTGATCTGCATAGTAGTCAAAGTGCGCTTCAGGGCATTGGGAACGCGCACATTGATGGCGGAAAGGGTGAAGTAGGTGTACTGTATATCAATGTTAGCTATGAACCTTCAAGCGAGACTGCATCCCCGAGTGCGAAAGCCCGTCACAATATAACTATCTAAATGCACAATTGTTATCCGAATATGAGTGTGTCCAAGGAGATAGCTTCAGTAGCGTGCTCTCCTTGGACCACACTCTCTCTAAATAACATTGTGCATTTTGATAGCTTACTATATTCCCATACCTTGCAGCGGGAGAAGGCTAATAGCGAAAAGTCTCTAGTACGGGGGTACTTACCATCAAAGTGTGAATGAAGGAGTTGATAAAGACAAACATCCAGATAGGAGGTGACATGTAGCGAATACCAGCCCACATGCACAACATGGCACCTGCGTGGTGGTAAGTTTGCAGAGTTGCGCTTCTCTTGCCCTTAGCAACGATGATGGCAGTGTCAACAACCTCGTAGAATTTTGACAGGTAGAAGAACCAGCCCCAGAAGGCAAGACCCTCGTTCCACAAGCGGCCAACATCGGTCGAGTCGGGAGTGCCTTCTGGCAGCAACTTGATGATGTCGTTCTTGGTCTGCCAGAGGTTGGAGGTTGCGTTGTAGTAGACAGCATCGCCAAGGCCACGAGGGCCATTGACCTTGCACAATGAGTCGGCAACGCCAGCCAGACCAGCGCTGTTGTCAAGACCAGGCCAAGTGGCGTTGATAGCACGGCACATGGCGTAGAAAGTGACACCGGAATAGACAGCCAGGAAGATGTTATGAAGGACGACAAAGAGCTTGAAAGCGCGAGTTTTGCTGATCCACCATGGCTTGTTTCCTTGACGTCTGTTGTACGCGTTGATCAAGAGGACAGTGATGACATAGGTCGACGCGATAGTGATGGGGACTTTTACGTCCAAGGCGCGGTTATAGACATCGAAGTCGATTGGGAAGGGAGACTTCCATGTGGCCTCGTCGGACGGCGGAGGCAGGGCAGCTGGAAGATGGTCTGGCGGGAACTTGAAGAGCGACGGGTGAGGTAGAGTGAAGTGGATCGAGGGACCGGACATGGTGGTGGTGTTTGCGCACGCGACGCGGCAGGTCAGTCAATGATGGAGTTGGACTGAAGGAAGGAGATAGCAATGTCGAGAATTATGCGCGCAGCATGGCCTGTGATCTGCTGTACTCGAGTTTTTCAGTGACACTGAGTGATGGAGTGAGGGAAGAGGGCGCGTGTCGCGTAGAAACCAAAGGAAGCTCTCCAACTTTTTGAGCACAACGTCACCGTGAGATCGCCCAGCCACCTTCCGCGTCTGTTAGTGACCTTCGTGCACGAGCTGCCATTCCCGAATAGGTAACGCTTGCGATTCTTCTTCTGTAGCAATGCACAATATTATCAAGAAACAAGATGGTGTCTGCTGAGAAGCGACAATTTATCGACTCCCCGTGGACATGCTCTACTTTTGAACACAGTTGTGCCTTTCGATAACGTACTTTCTGCTCTCTGCTACAGTGGGAGTACCGAGTGGAAGTGATAGGTTTCAGCACACGGGATGAGAAGCCACATTCCTCGCTGCCAACCTCTTGATTGAATCATAAAACTTCATAACACATTATTACTATTGTACCTCGGCTCTTTAGAAGCTCTGCTTGGGTGCTTGGCCCTTCTCGTCTCCACTGCCGTACTTGTTGACTGGTGTCTTGGCTGCGTTCTTGTCTTTGGCGAAGTGCTCAACCTCGGGTGAGTCCATGAGTTTGACAACGTTGTCTGCCTGCCATTTCTTGAAGCTGAACCCAAGTCCCTCGTGTGAGTAGTCCTTGTCGTTTGCCTGATCCTTGTGGTACTTGACTTGGATAAAGTCAGAATCTACGGTGTCAGGATCGAGGGACAACGAGACGAGTGCGTTGATGGTGGCTGTCTTGGGAATGATCTTGAATGTCCACGACTGNNAATGTTCATTAGCAATCGTCCACAGCACATAGTATGATCTTTAGCCTACCTGCTCGTTCTTGAACTGGATCAAGTCTCTGTCGTTCTTGATGATCTCATAGCGTTCATTCTTGCTGGCCTTGAACAGCTTTGGAAGAGCGAACCATTGTCCAGCCATCTTGTAGCGATCATTGGCATAGACAAACTGGTCATCGTAAACACAGTCTGAGGTGTAACGCTCAACGCGTCTGACGGTAGGCTCGCAGCTGTACAGAGCGATGATATCGTCAATCAAAGCCTGGCGCTGAGGGCTGAGCTTGATGGACTTCGAGGGGTCGGNGGTGTAGTCCTCAGATGTCGAGGTCTGACGGACTTCAAACTCCTCTCCTGGCTTGCTAGACATGTTTGCGGTTTGTTTGTAGATAACAGATGTAGGACGAATAAAAGTAGTCTTGGGAAGACTGGTGATTGTTCTGCGTGTGATGGGTTGAAGGTGTGTGAGGAGCATTGCAGAAGGGTAAGGGAAAATGGTTCGACATAAATCTATTGGAACTTGAGGCTCTTAGCTATTCTTTCTCTTACTGGCCATCCTTTGAGTCGTGACGTCGAGCGTCCACAAAACAACAGTCGCATATGCCATTTGATCCAATATGCTTCGAGATCACAGTCGATGATGCTAACATAAGCTCCTTAGCTGTTCCTGTGATCGAACATGAGGGGCAACGCAAAACGCGGAGGACGCGGAGGAATGACTATGATGCTTTTGTGATGTAACCAGGCTACTCGGCTATAGTTGCTCACTCGATTGCTCGCAGCTGTGGTTGCGCCCGAGCAGGGTGACACGCTCAACCACGGAATCTCGAGAGGTGAAGGACATCTAGGCCTTAGATTGGCCTTTCTTTCTGTATCTGCCTGTGTTAACTAATCTAGAGGTAACTTTTGAGCCTATATGAGTAGTTTTAAATCGAATGAGAACGTGTGTCGAGGTGTACATGGAATCCGGCAAACCAGCAGAGTTCCTGCAAAATTGCCTACCAGAATCCATGCAGCAACCACTCCGGTTGAACAAAGAATCGCTTACACCACCAATCATGCTATATAATATGGTAACTAACAGTATCCAGCTACAAATACGGAAGTTAAGGTAAATCGGTACATAAAAAGCATATGATGATGCACAGAAAGCATTATTGGTCGGGAAGAGGCTCGAGTGCACAAAAGCGCACAACAAAATGCAATATATGCTGAAAAACTGAAATGTCTTCCATCAAGCCTCGATAGTATAACGGCTAGTACGAAGGTCTCATATCGGTCATCGAAATGACCAAGCATGGCTTGGGTAATCCTTAGATGGGAGTTCGATTCTCCCTCGAGGCATTCTTTTTTTTGTTTTTGCCTTGTCACTCCACTCTGTGAGCTACTTAGAGCCGCGCTTCGCTTCCGCTCAATTTGTGTTTCATCTTTGTTTTCGTGGTTCCTACGGACCAATCGGCTCTCTGGCATCGTGCAATGATCTACCGGAAATGAGCTCCCAGGACTGCGAGCAAACAATCCATTTCGAAGACCGAGATTCGTTCATCGACCAGTTCAGTCTGGATAGCGCTGCCAAATGTCAACAAATTTCGTCTTAATATGTCGCGCAGCACCCATCGGTGCGAGCGACAGGAGACAGTATGGGTCCAGTGATCAAGCGCCTGGCTTCAATCAGACCGCGATCTCATCCTTACCCAACAAGCCTGCCCTCCTCTGATATTACCATCGTTAGAACGCAACTTTCGTCAGGCTCAAACCACACAAATCCGGTTCTGCTTCCAGACTATCCTCCTCAAATCTATGGAGCCTCAATTGAGGCACCAGAACCGCAGCGTCGAGTGGCCGACCCACAGCAAGCTTTGTTAAGGTTGTTTCGTGTATACAAGCCTAGACGAGACGTGATCTCGGATCCTCAGGCTTCAACCCTTCCTTATTGATCTGCTTCGTATTAGATGCCAGGATGAATGGTAGGTTCTTTCCATATAATTGCTCTCTCTTTCTCTTTCTTCCGAGACATTTCTCTACAAGACCATCCTTTTCGCAAAATATCAGTCATTCTTTTGCTAGTAGCCAGTCTACATCACACTCGTTCCAAATTCTCTTCTACAAGGTCTGCGACCATCGATAAACACACTTTTCGTCACATCAAACTTTGAAGAAATCAAAACAATATGTCCTCTATCAAGTCCCTCGCCCTGCTGGCTCTGGCCACCGGTTTCGCCAGCGTAGTCAACGCAGCAGAGACTGGTAAGACCACCCGCTACTGGTAAGTCCACATAATTCCCGTATCATCATGGCAAGGGTTATTTGCATAAATGCCAGCCTACGCCGATGATATAACCGCCATTGTGTTCATTATGCTAACATCAGCTCTAGGGACTGCTGCAAGGGCTCTTGCGCATGGCCCGGCAAGGCCGATGTCTCAGCTCCCATTACCACTTGTGACAAGAACGACAACCCTTTGACTGATGCCAACACTGCCTCTGCCTGTGATGGTGGTTCTGCATACATGTGCTCCGACCAGTCCCCTTGGGCTGTTTCTGAGGACTTGGCTTACGGTTTCGCTGCCGCAAACATTGCCGGTGGCTCAGAGGAGAGCTGGTGCTGCTCTTGCTACAAGTAAGCCATACCTTGCTTGTTGATCGATCAATGTGACTGACCAAACCAACCTCAAGGCTCACTTTCACGACTACCTCCATTGCTGGCAAAACTATGATTGTCCAGGCTACCAACACTGGCGGTGACCTCGGCAGCAACCAATTCGACCTCGCCATCCCTGGTGGCGGCGTCGGTATCTTCAACGCCTGCACTGACGAGTGGAACGCTCCCTCTTCCGGTTGGGGCGCTCAGTACGGCGGTATCAGCACCAACACATGCAGTGCTTTCCCCAAGGCCCTGCAACCCGGATGTGGCTTCCGTTTCGACTGGTTCGAGAACGCTGACAACCCCGAGATGGAGTTCGAGCGTGTTGAGTGTCCCGCTGCGATTACTGCAAAGAGTGGATGTAAGAGAGCCGATGATGGATCTCAGGCCTACCCATCCATCGTCTCGGCTGCTGCTGCTTCTTCGTCGTCGCCTGTTGCTTCTTCCTCTTCTGCTGCTGCTCAGAAGGTCGCTGCTACCAGCGAGGCTGGTCCTGTTGCTTCTTCCTCTGAAGTCGCTGCCTCGTCTGCTTACTCTGCTCCTGTCCTTGAGTCATCTGCTGCTGCCTACTCCTCTGCTGCCGTTGTCGAGTCGTCTGCTCCCGCCTACACATCCGCCGCCTCTGTTGAGTCTTCCAGCACTGGTGTCTCATCCGCTGCTGCCTCTTCTGCCTCCGCCAACTCAGACGATGCAAACTGCAACGTCCAATACGTCTACGAGTACGACCTTTAAGATGCCTGCACCTATATCCTGCAAATGGTGTTTTTGATTCGCTTCTCTGTTCAAGGCTGTAGAGTACATATGGCTTGGCCTCTTCTTATTTACCTTGCATGGCTGTGTTTAAATGAATATCTTCCTTTCGAAATCGTCTCCTTTGGCCTTTCCATATACCACAGACTGCTACAATCTCACGAACAGCTACCTCGTCTGCGAAGGTGTACGGGTATAATATAGCCATTGGACTGTAGAGTCCATGTTCAAAAAGAGTCTTCCAATGTAATATTGGCACCTCGTTCTAGAAAATGTTGTGCAGCCCTGTAGCCACACTTTGAAGCACTTAGGGCAAGCTCGTGCAAGGACGCCTCAGACAGCATGTCGCGTTACTACATCTCTTGACGGTCACGAAAATCATCACAAGAAGAGCTGTGCAAGACAAACGTGGTGAAGATGGATGATCACTGCGGGGTCTCGGATGCCCCGCCTGGCAGACCCCTCATCTGACTACCAGCACCATTAGATACATATAGCAGAGGTACACAAGTAATAGCTTCCATTTGTCATTGCATCTCAGACTGTAAGGAACTCTCGAACAATATAAACAACATTCAGGACAGCCTCTATACCATAACAACGAAAACAATGTCATCATCCTCGCAACCCTCACTCGGTCGTCTGAAAGGCAAAGTTGCCATTGTCACCGGAGGAGCCAGTCCCCAAGGCTTCGGCTACGCAATCGCGCGCCGCTTCCTCGAAGAAGGCGCAAAAGTGATAATCGGAGATTTAGATGGATCTGGAGCCGAAAGCAGCGCCTCTTCGTTCTCCTCCCCAAACATCAGAGGTGTGGCCATGGATGTTTGCAAACACGAAGATTGGCAGCGAGTTGTAGAGATGGCAGTCAAAGAGTTTGGCGGAGTCAACATTTTGGTCAACAATGCTGGATGCACGTACAGAAACAAGCCGACTGCAGAGGTTACGGAAGACGAGTTTGAGAGGGTCATGAGTGTTAATGTCAAGAGTATCTTCTGGAGTGTCAAGGTTGTGGTTCCGCAGATGCAGAAGCAGGGACAGGGCGGGAGTATCATCAATATCTCGAGCAGTGGGAGTGTGCGACCGAGACCTGGATTGGTGTGGTATAATGCCAGCAAGGGTGCGGTGTCGAATGTGAGTCTTGTCCTTGGTCGGGGATGGCCTACTGGCTTACTTGTCTACAGNGCGACCATGGCGCTGGCTGCGGAGTATGGACCAGACCAGATCAGAGTCAATGCGATTGCTCCGTTGTTGTCTGCGACAGGTCTTTTCGAGTCATTCGTCGGAGTCAAGGACACGCAGGAGAACCGAGACAAGTTTGCGGCATCAATCCCTTTGGGCAGACTGACAGATCCGGTGGATGTAGGCAATGCGTGTGTGTTCCTGGCATCGGACGAGGGCAAGTTTGTGACGGGCACCAATTTCAGTGTTGATGGAGGAAGACACATCTGAGGATGTAGCTAGCTCAAGCACTCAAGGCTTTTCCAACCAACTCTTGACACCTTTGCGACATGTGCAGCTCGAGAGCCATCTTGTGACCCTCAGGGCTCATCTTAACCCACGTCTTTTGCAGAATCTTGATGATCTTGTCCTCGTCGAGTGTCTTCTCGAAAGCCTCGAACTGGTCGTCGAGGAAGACAAGGCAGGCAATGTCCTCAAGGGCTTGTGTGTCCTTGTCGCCTTCGCGCAAGCCTTGCTTCTCGATTAGAGCCATCGTCTTTTGTATATCCTCGGCACTGAAGCCGCACTCTTCCATGATGGGAGCAACCAGCTGGGCCTGTCTCTTCTTGAGAAATGTTCTCCAGCTGTGGTAGCCGATGCGTGTCATAGGATACGAGTCTCGGGGCACTTCCCAACGACGAAAGTGCTGTGCGCGGATGGCGAGTTTGAGGGNGTCTGAGGCATCGGGCGAGCGTCTCTCGAGGTACCAGGTCATTTGGCGAGCATAGTGAAGCTCGTACGGCACCTCCTTTCCGTCGATTGTGACCTTCTTGGGGTCTTGGGCGTGAGCCTCATCGATGAGCTGGAGCGCCTTCTCTAGTTGAGGTGCCATTGCTTCGTGTGGATTATTCTTGTCTTGGGCAAGAGCGTGCATGGTCAGTGACTGTAATCACCTCGAAGACTGCTTATCTCAAAGAGGTCCGTGCTATAATCATCCAGCCGCTTTGCATGGGTTTGCGACATCAGCCTCTCAGCCTACCTTGCACGTTATAACATGTCGTCTCGCACTTCTTCTCATTTCTTGTGACCACGTTGACTTCTATATCACTCTCTTCCATGTCTTTTCCTCTCGAAGACCTCACTCTTGGATGCCAAGAATCTGCTTGTAGCAAGACGTGATAGACAGACCGAGCTTGACGCCTGCACCGCACCGGATGCCTATCCTGTGCTGACCAATCTTTATGGAGGTTTGCACACTTCACCAAAGAAAGTCCTTGACAAGCTCTCCTCAACACGCAACACAGCCTCATCACCTCTTGGCCGCCCTTCAGAATCGCATGACTGGATACGCGGAGATGCAAAGGACATCTTCAGAGACTAAACCGCTTCAGGTTATTCGGTGCGACTTGGCATATTGGATCTTCTTGAACTCTTGTTCGATGACGTTCAACGCTCTCTGCTCCGCTGTCCGCTCATTGTTGTTCGGCCACTGAGGGGTCATGTTGTATATTTAATGAAATTCACAGGTAGGACACAGTCGTGGGTAGGGCGACTAAGAGCTGTATGCGCCACTCATGCATTGAACATTCGGTATCTGATCCTCATAACATCTCTAATCACGACATCCACGAGGGTAGGGTTGAACCGTTGTTCCGGCACTTGTTTAGCTTTCCCTTATTCTTTTTACATAATGATGTCAAACACGCCTATTTCCTTGCCGCATTCAACTTCTCGTTGAAGCCTCCAGAGCCTCATCTCTTATACAAAACATCGCATAAACGCTTCGGTCTCATGCGGTTCTGACCAAGCATTCCCCTAAGCAGTATTCCTGAAATACGTCCATGGCCCTCGGTCTTGTCTTTGAGCTTGTTTTGACTCTTTCGTTGCTCTGAGGTCTAGTGCTAGAATCTCATCTGCTCGGTTTCTCCAATTCTTGGATTTCTGGCTCACCAACTGCGTCTGTTGCATTGCTGATCGCCACATGACATGTTACAGTCAGCACAACCTACCCAAGACCAGCCTTCATGGGGCGGCAGTAGCTCAGATACACTAGAAGCAGATAGAGTCGGCGAGCAACAACATGTAGTACGAGAAAAGTCACATACCAGCCAAGAAATCGACCCAGATGTGGAAATCGTGGATTGGAATGGGCCTAACGACCCGGAAAATCCGTATGTGTGTATATACCATGTCGGACAGCACAAAGCTAACTAGACATTGTAAAGGTTCAACTGGCCAGTACGACAAAAATGGATTCTCACATCAGTCGCTCTCTTTGGAACATTCATCACCCTCGTAAATGGAACATCCATTGCTGTCGCCGCCGAAGCCTACAACCGCGAATTCGGTATCAGTGATGCGCACTTCCCAAACTCATACTGGCCGATTGCAAGTTGGGCGTTAGGTGGTGGCATCTTCATGATGATTCTGTTGCCCATCCTCGAAGATTTTGGAGTCAGATGGGGTTATTTGATAACTTACATTGTCCTGATCATTTTCATCGTACCTTCGGCAGTCGCGCAAAACTTTGCAACCCTGGTGGTTACTCGCTTTATTGCGGGCGGATGCGTCTCACTGCTTGCCAACACAATCAGCAGCATCATTTGCGATATCTGGGCTGGTGATCGTGGCAGGACAGTACCGATGGAACTATACATCACCGTTTATCTGTTTGGCAGCACCATGGGTCCTGTCATTGGTGGCGCCATCTACCAGTTCCTCAATTGGCGCTGGATATTCTACATCCAGATTATCTGGTACTGCGCTTTCATACCGCTGTTTTTCTTCACCATCAAGGAGACCCGTGGCTCTGTCATCCTCAAGCAGCGTGCGAAGAAGATTCGTGCAGCTACTGGAAAGAAAGCGTATACGCGCGACGAGTTGCACCACATCCCTATCTGGCAGATTATCAAGACTTCGGTAAAGAGACCTGCATACATGCTTTGCACAGAATGGGTCGTGTTTTCGCTTACCATGTGGTCGGCCTTCTCTGTAGGACTTGTCTACCTCTTTACTCAAAGTATCGAGGAAGTCTTTACAGGTCTATATGGCTGGCCAGCCTACAGCACTGGTTACGTCCAGGCTGCCGTTGGTGTCGGAGAATTGCTTGGGTTCTGGGCCGCATACGGAAACATCTACTTCTACTTTCGGTCTGCAAAGTCCAATCCCATCGATCCTGGTACGCCTGTTCCAGAAGCCAGACTCTATATGTCTCTTGTGGGTGGCTTCTTCGGCATGACTGGAGGTATGTTCATCTACGCCTGGACATCGTACCCAGAGATTCCCTGGATAGCTCCAGCGATCGGTCTAGCAGTGGTTGGGTTTGGCACCAACATTGTGGTCTCGTCCATCGCACAATATCTGATGGATTCGTACTCCAAGTACGCTGCCTCGGCGATTGCAGCAGTGGCCTTTGGAGAAAATGTGTTTTCTGCGTTTTTGCCGCTTGCTGCGCAGAGTATGTATACCAACCTTGGATACCGGTGGGCGAGCTCGGTATTGGCATTCTTGTCGTTGGCGCTGGCTTGTGCGCCTATCATTCTGTTGGTGAAGGGACCGGAGATCAGATCAAGAAGTCCTTTCATTCGGGAGGCGAGATATGAGCATGATGTTAAGGGCAGTGTCGAGGAAGCTTGAACGGGTTGACTGTATATATTTGTGTTTTGCTTAGTGATACCCAATCCGGCAAGAAAATGTGCTTCTTATCAACTTCGACGAGAAGTAAGTCCTATGTGTAGATGTTCTATTCTGAGCATACAATCTCCACTACAGGAGGCTCACTGAACTCTTGATACTTCCTGGATGATGCTAACAATAAAGCTGTTGAAGATAAGCTACCATTCAGACATGCCAAGGCACCTCGGCATTTGTCCGAGGCTTCAACGACGATCATGTGGGGTGGAGACCGACCAATCGGAACATGCCTGATGTGTAGAGCTTCTCGAGAACTCATATTCCAAAGTCTGCAAAAGAAGACCTTCGGACGGTTGAGAAGGAACGATAGGCAGGTACAGTTTGGAGATCGGCCGGCGCGTCTTCTTTTCTACCTTGATTGCGAGTTTCTTGGACCGAGTCAGTCCTTTGCGTGCCACAATGATATGCAGAGAGCAACCATCAAGGATGAAACAGTTCGGATTAAAGCAATTCTACCGACCGAAGCCGGGGCGTCGTTTAAAACCCTGGAGAACAAGACTTCTGTTCGAAAGGTGTTTAACCTCGACGCTCGAGTCGTGAACACGGATAATTTGAAGCCATGGCCATGAATCTGCGCCGTATCGAGGTGTAGTCTGCACCGCTGTGGACTCGGGATGGTCAGCGTGACACCCGAAGACCGGGACCCTGCAGGCCGGTGGTGTTTTTGGTGTATTTATCCCCCCTCATTGAGCGATCATTTACCCCGCCGGTTAGATATGCTCCATGGGCGAGCATGTTTTGCGGGTCAAAAGAACACGAGCCTGACGTTAAGGTAGCTACTTCTAACATTTTTCATCTCTCTGTTGCCCCTTCTCCTTCTTCTCTCTACATACTCTCTTTCCTTGCATTCGCAGCTCTTCAATTCATCGTCGAGTTCGTCACACCAGCACAATGACTTCCACACAAACAATGGTCAAGCCGACGATGTCCAACATTGGTGTTTACACCAACCCTGCACATGATCTCTGGGTCGCCGAGGCAGAGCCTTCGCTCGAGCAGGTTCAAAGTGGTGAGAAGCTTGCTCCTGGTGAGGTCACAGTCGCAGTCAAGAGCACTGGTATCTGCGGGTGAGTAGCAGCACAGTTCGAACAAGATCAAGATCATGGCAACTGACGACGACAAGGNTCGGATGTCCACTTCTGGCACGCCGGCTGCATCGGCCCCATGATTGTCGAAGACGACCACATCCTCGGCCACGAATCTGCAGGTGTCGTTGTTGCCGTCCACGACAACGTCAAGTCGCTCAAGGTCGGTGACCGCGTTGCCATCGAACCCAACATCATTTGCGGCGAGTGTGAGCCTTGCTTGACTGGTCGCTACAATGGCTGCGAGTCTGTTCTCTTCCGCTCCACTCCTCCCGTCCCCGGTCTCCTCCGCCGCTATGTCAACCACCCCGCTATGTGGTGCCACAAGATTGGCGATATGAGCTACGAGAACGGTTCCCTGCTTGAGCCTCTCAGTGTTGCTTTGGCAGGTGTACAAAGAGCAGAGGTCAGACTCGGTGACCCCATCCTGGTTTGCGGTGCCGGTCCCATCGGTCTCGTCACACTCGCCTGTGTCAAGGCCGCTGGTGCCGAGCCCATCATCATCACCGACATCGACGAGGGCCGCCTGGCCTTCGCCAAGGAGTTCTGCCCTTCAGTCCGCACCCACAAGGTCGACTTCAAGCACACACCCGAAGACTTCGCAAAGGCCATCACCGAGCTCGGCGGCGGCGTCGAACCCGCCATCGCACTCGAATGCACCGGTGTCGAGAGCTCCATCGCCGGAGCCATCCAGACCGTCAAGTTCGGCGGCAAGGTCTTCGTCATCGGCGTCGGCAAGAACGAGATCAAAATCCCCTTCATGCGCCTCAGTACCCGCGAGGTCGACCTCCAGTTCCAGTACCGTTACGCCAACACATGGCCCAGAGCCATCCGTCTGTTGCAAGGTGGTGTCATCAACCTTGAGAAGTTGGTCACCCACCGTTTCAAGATTGAGGATGCTCTCGAGGCTTTCAAGACGGCGGCAGACCCCAAGACTGGCGCCATCAAGGTGCAAATCCAGAGCTTTGAGGAGGGCGAGTCAAGGTAGATGGGGCTGTGACAAAATAAGATGTATTTACACGCAAGCATGCATGGTTTGGGACGTTTTTTCTTTTACATATATTCGAGATGATAATGAGAACTTTTTTTGACAAATGTAAAAACTTCCGTGTCTGGTCTGGGCAGTGTCACTGCAGGAAGCAACTACAACCATGTCATGTTCGCCGACAGGTTCACCCTGTCAACCACTCCAGAACCTGTCGATCGCTTCGACTTCTTCGGTTTTTCTGGACATCTAACAGTTAGCCGGCTCTGTATAGATTTCATTCTGTATTTTAAGCAAGGTCAGTACCTTCTCTGATCAGGGTAAGCCGTAACGTTGAACATATCGAAACCCCGAGACAAGACATCTGCAGACACATTTGAGACGGTTGAGCGGACCAAAAGAGCAACCAACGACAAACATCAGTATGACACGACTACTTCCTACTAGTAGACGTGCGTACAGTTTATCACAAGAACATGCGCATGTCCAATTCGTTATTCAAAAGCTTCAAGGTTGTGAATACAGACCCTCAAACATGCAGAAGGATAGGAACACACATCGAAGGCATCCAATGCCATCGTTGGCAGCCCGTGATGGTAATGTAACCGCATACCATGTATCAGAAAGCGATACAGTTGACAATATTATAGCGATGAGCTCGTATGTACCTCCAGATATAAGTCCAGGGAACCAGTACTCGATATCAGGTACTGTTTGATGTGTCATCTTCTGACAAGGCTTTATGAATCAGATGCCGACATGTCGATCAGGCTTAGTGGAGTGCAGCAGGATCTAGGCAGCGACAGTGACATGGGGCTGAGATGATGACAGGAATGTCAGCTTCGACATTTCGTAATAATGTAAGGCTTGATCCGTGTCCTGTATCAAGATCGGCTTCTGATCCAGACATTTGGGAAAGGTTCCGAGGATCTGGCACATGAAAGTCAACATACTCAAGGCTGTGCTGTCCGCTGCTTAGAAGTAGTGACCAGATACTTTGAAAGCCAGCAATCGATAAGATGTTCCGGAATGTTCTAGTATATCGAAGAATCTGAGACTTGAAACGCCAGAAGGTTGGCGGTACGACTATACGCCGAGGAACATCATGCTGCGTAAAGGATCGGATAGGATTGACCCGGAGCCCAGAAAAGTAGTGGCAGTCGATGTACAGAACCAAATGCAGACGGTAGAGGTCTCACAGCTGATTTGCAGATGAGGCTCAGAGAGTATGAACGGCAGAAGGTATCAATCCTGAGGTGCACACCTGAATCATGGCGTATTGATGCAGCTCAGTACATCTGCATGGGTTATTGGGTGAGCGTGAGATTCTAAGGAGTATGACGAGTGAACTCCGAGTGATTCTTGAGATGTGGATGGAGAGAAGTTCCGATAGGATTGATGTCGATGACGGTGTGGCTCAAATATGCAGCAGCAAAGTCCGACCCGAAAGATACTGGTGATAACAACTTGCTCATGTGTGCATAAATGTTGGTATGTACTGCACGCAACACAAAGGCATCAGCTGATACAAGGCTGAGGCTCTCATGTCCACGCGAACCCCCATAATTTCCATCAAGGTCGATCCTTCAAGCATAAGCGAAGAAGCAACTCGAAACTCCAGAGAAACAAAGCATCCAAAATTGAATGACAAGATCTGCACCCGAAGAACGCTACACAACAGATCAAGATTGACGTAGGAGAAGACGCCTTCCAGTCTCTGTGAGAGTCGGGCATCTGAAAACGATCGATCGTGTTTGCAGACATTATCTCGAGGCTCACAGCTTGATCGCATCTACGATATACAATCGCTTTTGCATTCCAAGCCAGCGCTGTAGTCGTAAAGCTGCATTGACGTGTACTCTGGCAACAATAGTCTCTCCGCCTCCAAAGCCGTCATTGCCTGTACATATGGGTATGCTGCCTATCGAATACGGAATCTTTGCTTGATCACACTCTTGATCTCCTATTGAGACGTCAGTAGAATTCGAGAAACGTTTCGTGACAAAACGAAGATATGTGCCTTTGCTGTGCGAATTCAGATATACGACACAGGGACCGGTCAACGTACCAAGTTTTTCCAAGAGTTCACGCTTCTTCATCCGTCGTGTTCTGTTCTCTCTGTAGTTGTAGACATAAACAAACTCTCGAGGCTCAGCTTCGGNGGTTCGCATCAACTTGTTCCGGTCAAAGCTGGAACTCTTCCTTACAGGACAGATATCTTNTTCCTTTTCAGAGAAGTCGTCTTCAGAATCGTGTATGAGCTTTGGATCTTCCATATCCGAGTATGATTTTTGTAGAGTGTCTTGTGCGATTGATCCTGAGTTGGGGAAGAGCTGCGATATGCTCTCATGTTGTCGTGATGGTCTGACTATATAATAGTTAACCGGCCGGAATATGCATGGACATCAGTCCGCACTCGGTTCCCCCTTCGGTCACAACAGACGCAGCTATGTCAGCCCTACCTGACCACAGCCATGCCTGTTTCTAACATGATCGATAATGATCTATTTCTGGACGACTGAATCGCTAGGCTAGACCGGCATCGAAGAAGTCTGATTGGCATAGTGCGCAGTTCCATCCGTTCAGAGGCTGATATTACATTCCAGATATGATTGCAATCATTTGAGATCGATACAGCAGGCGCTGCTGGGCAATGACCAGGCTTCATGGCAACTTGGCTGGTGACTAGGATTTGAAGAAGCAAGAGCCTCAGGAAGACAGCCATTTGTCTACCTCATGTAGCTGACTAGTACTATAAAGGCAAAAGAAGACGAGTCAATTTTGGTTGCTGCTCAGCCTTGCCAATGATTCGAAGCCACGGCACGCTTGATGATGTTGTTGTAGCAGCCTTGGTGCACACACTTCCGCGGAGTGCAGGTGATGTTCCAGAGTAGCGAACGGTGTACGCCAGTACGTTGCATGTTAGCGTCTTGACAGGGTACGTTCATGATGGCGGCGACACGCGCGCGTCCATTATCCATTTATTCGCAGATGGAGCAGGTCATCACGAAGATCCGAGATAATCAGCATCGTGACCAGTTACAGCGTGCGTAAGTGGTGCATGGGATTGTGGAATCCTTCGGTTGCCAGGCGGAGCTTGCAGGTGGTGTCAGGAAGCATTCGTTAGGCTAGACGAAAGCGAAGCCCAACACAGAACGTGATTATGAGGCTTAGTAGTCGGATGTCAGTAACAGCAAAGTAGATACGCGTGCTTTGCGCCCATTCAAGAGGCTGTGCTGTATTGCAGCTCTCGACTTCGAGTCGAGAATGACAAGTATAGGTGTTCAGTTCACAGGCTGAGCAAGGGAGCGTTATGTCAGTAAGGTCGAACCTTCCATGCATGCACTCAGCCATGACTAGTCCTGGTGGGCATCCAGTTTGTAGGCGATCCTAGCAAGCAGGGGGGTCGGTGTGGGAATGCTGTTCTTATGCAGGCTGTGCAGAGGCTTCGAGTATACATACAGGTGTACTTGAGGAAGGTGACCTCCAGGCATGCCTTCGAATTTGCTGAGGCCTGATCATCCAGCATTAGCCAGGGCGTTCCCGAGTGCCACTGCACCTGCACTGGAAAAGTGTCGTTCAATTGTGGTCGACCTGAGATGCCCACATTTTCAGAGCACATTCTTCGTAGGTTAAGCTGTATTTTGTTCTGCTCTCCGGGACTTGTGCTGGTAGAGGTTCAGAAAATGTTGCTTTCCCGATAGGGAAAAATGTAGAGGGAGAGGCGTGTGACTGACCGTGCATAATATTGACGCATCTCCCTGCAGCCTCATTAATATAACAGCCAGAACATAACACGCATACGGCCCCCAAAACCTCAGCAATGATCAGTTACCTGAGGCTGAGCTATCGATATGGACCGCAGCAGAAGCAAACGATACGCCATTGGCACAAATTCGTTGAACACCTTGGTTGCCTTGTTCAGACCTTGCGCGGACGTCTTGCAAATACGTTACGCAGTAGACCTGCTATTTTATTAACCGCTTGTCGCCGTCTCACCATGTGTATAACCCTTTGAGTCACCTCAGTATGAGCCACGCCAATCTTATGAGGTGTGATTGTCCGACCTACAAGAAAGAGTCCGTCTTGACACTCGGTAAATACACTCCTGTGTCGCACAACTGGTATCTTTCACAGCTAACCAAAACCGACAGATGGCGGCGGTATACGGGGTCTCGTATCTCTTCTTATTCTCCAACGGATCCTAGAATTCATACGAGATGAGGAGCGTGGGTGCGACACAAGAATGGTTGAAGCAGGCCATCGAGCGCCACGTACCGACGGACGGGACAACACCGAAATGCCGCTTGCTTGTCACTACTTCAGCTTCATGTTTGGCACGAGCACTGGAGGGTAAGTGCGTTACGGGATGAAGACGACGGTGCGAGACTCAAGAGGAAGGCGTTGACGTCAACAGGATCATCGCCATCATGCTCGGTCGACTTCGCATGGGCATCAACGATTGTATCGACACTTACCGCAACCTCGGCCGCGAGATCTTCGAAAAAAGACAGCCGTTCCATTTCTTGGGTCAGAATAAGTATGATTGCACGAAGCTTGAGCGAATCATCAAAGATGTTGTACAGAGGCATAGTGGAAGCACAGATGCCCTGATTGCAGACTCCAACGTATTGAACAAGTCGCATCACAACAAACAGGATCGAGCGCAAAATCGATGCATACCGTGTCGCGTGTAAGTTTCCAGTACAATGTCTTGCAAGCAGCTACTGACGGTCGCACAGNNGGGCGTCTTTGCAGTACAAAGTGACAGGCACAGTGGCATGGATGAGAAGCTACACCTNTTCAGAACTTATTTCAATCCAACGCCCCCAAGTGCCAATGAACGGCAGGACCTCACAATTAGCCTCCATCGACAAAAACTCGACTTTCCCATATGGAGGATAGCGCGCGCTACCTCCGCCGCTCCGACTTACTTTAAGTCTATCGAAGTAGACGGTCTCAACCTTCTAGATGGTGGTCTGCTAGCCAACAATCCGAGCCAACATGCTAGGTACGAAGTGAACTCTATGCATCGACATCACCCGTCTGGAAGCTGCAAACCATCCGAAGGAGGAACACCTGATGGCGGAATACGTTTCCTAGTTTCCCTCGGCACGGGCAGACAAGCAGATCAACTGATTACCAGAGGTGCAGGTCCTGTACCAAAGCTTCTGAGCATTGTCAGACGCGCACTGAAGAAGATGACCGACCCAGAACCGGTGCATCAAGACCTACAAAGAGCCTTGGACCCAAGTGTATATTACCGCTTCAACGTCGAGGAGGACCTCAAGAAAATGAAGCTCGACGAATGTATCGTCAAGGGCGAAGACAATATCACCTTCAGCAGAATAGAAAGCGCAGTCAGGAACTACTTCAACGATGGAGGCGTTCGGGACAGCGCACAGTTTCTCGCTAAACAGCTTGTTAAGTATCGTCGAGAGAGACGCAATCCCGGACACGAATGGTACCGCAATCTTACAATACCTGGCCCACCACCGAGTTCAATGGATGACAGGTACAGGAGCGACGAAACGACTAACGGCACCTTCAACGTAGATCGAAGAGGCTCGTTGCCTGAACCATTATTCAGGGCTGTCGAAATGCCTACACAAATGCCCACACCTATGCCAGAAATGCCTACCGGACTGATGATACCTGAGTTGGGACCCAGAAGCCCGATACAAGACTCTACTCGCAGTCTTCCCACAAGTCCAACATACATGCCCCACGACTCAGCCATGCCTCTACAGAAACATTGGAATACACCAGACTCGCGGATCCTGGAGTACTACCATCCCCCGCAGGAGTGGGACAAAAGAGGCCTTGGTATACACGACTTTCCTATAAGAGCGGACAGAGATAGTAGCTCTCGCCCACCATCCACACCGGATACTCCAAGCTGAACATCCATGTCTTTGCGGCCCTTTCCTGTTTCTACTTTCTTTATTTGTCTTGATCCACCTATACCCCAGTTTGAATCTTTGATCGCTTCGCCCTTGCGATTAACATTTTGTTTGGCCCATGTACATTCTTTCTATTACATCTTGCTCGGACCCAGTTGATGGCTGTTTGTTCCTACATAACTCAAGGCTCCATTCAGTGTGAATACCCTATTAACACACATGGATCTGATGTTGGTGTTGGTTGTATAGACAAGGTACAAAAATGTATATCGGTATTTCTCAAACATGATCTCGAGGATGAAGACGGCGTGCGATACAAGTGAACAACTGACATAAAATTCTAAGTCTTGCTATGTTTAGTGTTTATGGATCTGAAAGAGCTAGTGTCATGTTGCTACGAGATCGAAACAACTGTTGGACGATTGGGCAGGTAAGAGTTACAGGAACATCAAAGCGTGGAGTGAATGGAAAGAAGAACAATGTAACAGCGAGCTCGTTCGGTGTAAACTTCGTTCTATGCTGCAAGTAAAAGCAGTTTATTAACTATGAAAACGACCATCACGCGAAAGACATCGAACAATCCACCCTGGCCATTCTAACCAAGCACGCGCCCTCCTGACATGATAGACTAGTCAACGTGCAATATGAGGCAGACGCTCTCCGCCATTGACCCAGATTTGAAGTTTTTGATACAGGAACTGATAATCACCATAACACCAGATAGTTTCGTTCGTTCTTGTCACTGTATGTAGCAGATCATTATCAAAGTACTTATATAGAGATCCTGAATCCTTCTGACGCCATCACGTACTCATTCTAGTTTCTGACTGAAATGTTGAAGGCTGCATTGTAACAGCCTGCATCAAAAGGTCTCTCTTACCCACAACCGTGGTAATCAAGCCGGCGTACCTCAGAATAGAGAAGGCAAACAGTTTGTGCTTAGCAGCTGATGCTTCGCCTCTCGATAGAAAGTCGAATGAGTCAACGTCTGACGTGTTCTCCGGTCCTTTTGGTAAGCACAGTACTGTGTAGGCAGCAGAGTCAAATCGGCGTATCCCGACATACGATGGCGAATACGTTATGCTTAGTGGCTGATGATTTGCCACAGGTCCGATGGGTCAATCCTGAAATGTGTTTTGGTTCTTTGGGTAAGTGCAACATTGTATACGCAGCAGAGTTAGATCAGCGTATCTCAGAATCGATGGTGAGTCGTCCATACTTGGTAGCTGACGGCCCGCCTCTCGGATACGCAGATTCGATGAATCAGAGGTAGGTACAGCATTGTGTAGGCAGCAAAGCTGGAGTGAGCAAATGGAAGACTCCTAGACTCCAGTGCCTGTATGAGGCAACCTCAGAGCCGGATTCCAGGATGGTCCTCGAAGGCCAGTCGTTGAAGCTTGGAAGTAGTCCACATCTGGAAGTGGATCAAGTGGTCTGGTCTCTGCTTGTTCAGACCACGTCATTAACGCTGATTCGATGCTGAACAGATTCTGGACAATGCGTTGTTCTCGAATTCAATTGAACTTCGAGACAAAGCTGACTCGTCGAGTCGTCGAGTCGTCGAACCTGGTGGCTAACACATATAGATTGTAATAGTATCTGACTCCTGGTTGCTATGGCTCTGATCGCAATGATTGGCATTTGACTCGGTCCCTGCATGTTCACTGCTTAGATGTCCCAGCCACGTAGTGTCGTAGGCAGAAGTTGTTAGCAAAGCCCAGCGCATCCAATACGCTAGAGTTTTACTGCTTGCCCTGAGCATGGGAAAGCTGGCAGTTTGATCAGACGCCCGAACGAAACTCGTCCTGGACCAGTAAAATTGAATAGACCGCAAAGCTCAAAGGATGGTGGCAGCCAGCGCATAAGGTGACCCGAAGACAGCTCTGTGTAGGTCATCTTGGCTGTCGTTTCAAGTTGTTCGGCGATTAGAGGTAGTCCAAGGCTGAGGCCAGTTTTTCTAAGCGCTGGTTTGAAGCCTCTTGGTCTGAGTATGGTTCGGTTCATGTTTGCGGAGGCGCCAATCTGCAGGAGCATGAATCGATCTGTCGACGCAATCCTCCCAAAGGCATGTGAAGAGCAGCGTCATTTTCGTACATTGGCTGATAGCATGGGTTGAGGTATTGTGCAGGCGGTATCTCAGGGAAGAGCTTAGGAGACCTGTGAGTTCTTGTTGGATGGTACCCGGAGATTGGGCGCTTCGGCAGATGTGAAGGGCCACAGACTCCGAATCAAAGTGTGTGCATGATGATGTGGCATATGATGCAGCAGAAGGCCCGAAAAAGGGATTGAGGGCGTGTATCTGATATGTACTGAAAACATACCATCAGCTGAGAACAGGGCTTTGATCCTGATGACCAGGGTGCCCTCCTTGAACATTCCATGAGGTCAACTGAGCCGTGCATGACCAAAAGTATCTGCCGTATCGAGTGACATCAAGTTCAGACAAAAACAAGAACAGATAAAACAAAACTGCAAGACAAATCATCGCCGCGCGAAAAGCAAGATCCTTCCTATCTGGAGGAAGGTACATGGAAACAGATCTATCATATCATGCCGATCATGACCAGGAATCATCCCTTTATTGCATCCACGATATACAGCCGTTTCTGCATACCAAGCCATCGTTGCACCCTCAATGCCATATTGACATGCACCCTGGCAACAACAGTGTGCCCACCACCAAAACCTCCTGTGCCTGTTTTGATAGGAATACTGCGCATTGAGTACGGTATAGGTGCTTGATCAATCTGTTGATCTCCTGTCGCTTCTGTTTCAGTGGTGCAATGAACAAGTCTTTGGAATATAATCCATGTCCGAACCTAATTGGTTGAGAAGATCCTGAGTTCTCATGCGCTTCGTCCTGTTCTGACNNTATAGTCGTAAACATAAATGAAATCGCGAGGTTCAGCTTCCGTTCGCATCAACTTCTCATTGAAGCTGAATCTAACGTTCAATATGTCGACAGCAGGACCGTGTTTCGATTGGTTTGATATAGATTTTTCGCGATGTTGAGTCTCCATTCGATAGTTTGGGTTTTCAGGTTTTGCTTGTTCTAATGTTGAGCTCGAATCGAAGGGAGATATGCACATTTCTTGGGACGACTGAATTCAATTCTTGATCAAAATGAGATCTTGTACCGCAAAATGTGTGAACCACCGACTCACTATATATCACAGAACCATGCATGGAGGCTCCACAAAAGGGGGATGAATGACTGCAACGCATGCCTCAACCGAGTGGCTAGCCGCGTACGTGATGCAACAGTACTGGGCTGGACAATATTTAGCATTTCCGTGGCCTGCCGAAACCATATCGGCCTGGCTGAAACTTCGAAGTTATCTCAAATCCACCGGTTGGCTTGAGACCTCAAGCAATCATTGTCTTCATCAGGAAATAGCACGACCCCCAGAACCAGAGCATTGGATAACAACTTGAGAACATTTAATGTCGACTTGGGCTGAGTTGACAAAGTACAGCCAATCGCTACACCTGAACACAGCGGTGTTGAACGTGCATCACAAGCTGCATTCCATTGTGGCCGGTTTACATAGAAAAAGCCCCCACAGAGTTGTCCTTACCTTCCTCAGGTCGCATCATGCACATGTGCATCAGGGGGCCGTGCTTTTCTGCATACATAGAAGGCTGAGCGAAGATCAGGGCGTAATCAGTAGACTTAGACACCGCCCTCCTTGTTCGTTTCGGCCAATACTGCCGCTTTGTTAGTGTTGTTCTCTTTCCATGATTGGCCATGACAGGCAGGACTGTGGAGGCAGTGCATTTGAGTTGTATAATGGGTGGGAAGAATGCCGCTACAAGTTTGTCGTACCCTGGACGGGGAGCTAAAGGAGGCGCCTGGAAGCAGCCGTGTGATCGAGAATCGTTTTAACGGATGCAAGGCTCATCAAAGATTACCCCCACGCGAGGATGTCGTGATCGAGTTTGCATTCAAGAGTTGCCCCCACGTGAGGATGTGATCGAGTTTTGAAGTGAGGTTTAACAGATCAAGGGTCCAGTTCTGTGATTGTTAAAGCCAACAAGCATCGAGTGTGCTTGTGTCCTATCAACTCTATCGGAGAGGTTTCCTGCCGTATGTCATGAGTTGTTAACATTCCTATGATCATGATCGCTGATTCATAGTCAGATGGAAGTGCGGCTGAGGCTGCGCATGATCAAATATGCAGACGCCTGCAATATTTATGCGTGTTTCTGCAGCCTCGCCAATATTCCGGCAATATATGTTTTGAAGCCTCGTCGACGTACCTGAGGTTGCAACAGGTGCGTTGCAATGCCTCAGCAATGGCTTTTGGCCCCCGACCTGAATGGGTATCCGCACAAGGCAATGCGCCTCATTCGACATGACTTCAGTGATCAGGTCGGCGCAGCACGCAGAAGCAGAGAGTGGCGAGAACAGTTGAAAGACCTACAAATATCGCCAGTCAGTACTACATAATAATCTGAAGAGAGGATCGCCTTGCCTATGGTGTCACCATGAGCCGGGCACAGACAGATGTTGTGTGTCAATGTGAGCCGTACTTGAAAGAAGCAGTTCTAACATTTGGTAAGCTGCAACCACACCAGAACCTAACTGTTCGAGAGCCTTTGTGATTGACGCTGTGCTTCNNAGATGGTGGCGGCATACGAGGTTATGCATCTCTTTTGATCGTACAGCAGCTCCTACGCGATATTCGTACTTACGAAATCAAACTTGGAGAGACCTTCGGAGAAGACGAGCTCCCATTGCCATGCGAGTACTTCAATTTCATGTTCGGAACGAGTACTGGAGGGTGAGTGGTGGTTGTAGAAGGAATATCTTGATAAGTTGAAACTGTCAACAGAAGCGCTGACGTGACGTCAACAACAGGNATCATTTCGATCATGCTTGGAAGACTCCGCATGAGCATCAAAGATTGCATCAAAGTTTACAAGAGGTTTGGCAGCGAGATATTTGCGAAGAAGAGACCGTTCTACTTCGCAGGTCGAAACAAGTATGACTGTCTGGAGCTAGAACGAATCATCACGGAGGTTGCTTTGAGGTATGGTAATGAGGATCCGGACAAGGTAGGACCTCAAGGTCCAAAGCTGTGGGACCCTCTCCTCGACAACGAGCAAAGTTATTCACAGAATGAGCGAGCAGCCAATTACTCTGCCCCATGCCGTGTGTGGGTATTGTGTGTCACTTGAGGTGCAACAATCGCTGACCGTTTAGGNGGTGTACTTGCTATACAAGAGAACCCCGAAAACCACGAGTACGAAAAACTTCACTTGTTCCGGTCATACTACAACTATACAGGCTACAGAGATTCGAATGTCCTCAAGCAGCTGCACCTCAACCTTGATGAACANAAAGGAGCTAGCATCTGCAAGATAGCTCGTGCGACATCGGCGGCGCCAACATATTTTCGCCCAGTCACGATCAACAACTTAGGTTACATCGATGGTGGCCTGGATGCTAACAATCCAGCCGAATGTGCCTGGGCTGAAGTCGGTTCAATGCATCAAAATCACCACTTACGAGCTTGCCCAAATGGAGCATCGACGAGCGGCATCCGCTTTCTAGTATCCATCGGCACTGGGCTCCAGGCTCCTCAACGGATTACGAGCGGAGGACCCTTCATCCTGACGATACGGAGCATCCTCAAGAGAGCTCTTAAAGCAATGACTGACCCCGAACCTATTCACAAATATCTGTTGAAGGCGGCAGGTGGGGAAGAAAGTCATGTCTACTATCGCTTCAATGTAGACGAAGGACTGGAGAAGATGAAGTTGGACGAATGCCAGATCGTGCGTGGTGGCGACAACCACACGTTTGACAAGATCGGTAGTAAGGTGGAAACCTACGTTAACAAACGAGACGTTGAACGCAGGCTTAAAGAACTTGCCAAAGATCTGGTCCATCATCGCAGACAACGGAGAGAACATATGCTTGCACCAGGAGATCAACCNCCCGATATACCTCCGCCATCGGGTAGCACAGTTGAGTTGTCGGCATTATCACCGGGTGTAGAAGCATCGTCCTCGACTCCTGAGTTGCAATCTCAGAGCCCTCGAAGTCCTCAGAATCCTCAAACACCACGCAATACAACAGATTCCAGGCGCAACACGGCATCTCACGGAAGCTCACCGAGTGGAGGAAGACGTTCCGCGCCATTGCCTAGTCTAAGAGTTGACACCACTACTCACACGAGCAACAACCACCGGGACGAAGCGAATCTGGCTTCGAAGCATATCTATCAATGATCGCTTAACGCTTTGTGCTGGGATCGTTCTCTCTTTCTCTGTCTTCCTTACTTCCTTCCTTTCTTTCTTTCTTTCTGTTGCTTTTCACCTTGACGAGAACCGATGCATGTGCCTCCAAATTGATTTGAGAACCGACGTTTCTCTTGCTTATAGGCGGTATTTCTCGCAACTCACATTCCCTTCAGACGCGTGTCTTTTCTCTGGTTATTTTCTCGAAACCGCCCTCGGTTTCTGTATGAATGTTGATATTGGACGTACAGCACATTATTTGGCTTCACAAAGGCGGTGTTTTTGTTTGTAGAGCATTGATAGGGCACAAGGGAACTGAGGTAGGAACGAACATATTATCACTGCTTACTGCTTTATAGATTTTTTTACTTAGATACCATAGCTTTTTCTTTTCTCAAATGTTTAACAACTCTGAATTGATTCCCACACTGTGCCGTAAGTAGGCTTCTCTGATCAATCTCTTGTTTCCGCTGTTTAGCCCAGCATCTCAAGCTCTCTGCTATTGCACCATGGTCTTCTCTCATCCGCTTGGCTTGTAGTTCGACTCTCTTTCCTTCTCTCGCCCACAAGTAGCATCACAAAAACATGGAAAAGTAAGAATTGTTCCATCGTGTGTTTCTAGTTCGCTGGATTAAACACAACTATCGACTCGACCGCATTGACACCACCGGTCAGAGTTTCGCCATCTGGTTGAACATTTTCTACCTCTTCCCCTTGACCATCCACTTCATCCGCTTCTTCGTTCGCGCCTACATATTCCGCAGTGGTTCGAGCAAGTCAAGAAGCAAGCGTCACTCCGTCAGCCGTGCTTCCAAAGAAGCTGCTTAAGGAACCAACCGCGAAATCGAGCACGCTGGCAAGGCAGTTGAGAACTCAGCTGGTTTTGAAAAATACACCAAAAGAGCTGGGATATCGAAATGACCTTGTACGGTGGAAGAGACAAGCGCTATCGCCTCTTTGTGTGCAAAAGGATATAACACTTGTGGTTATTAGAATGCACAATACTATCAGGAAATAGGATAGTGTCCACCAAGAAGCGATTCCCTATAGGCTCTCTTGGGCCAATCTTTGTTTCCAAATAGAATCGTGCATTTTTGTAGCGGGTACTTTACTTTCTGTTATGATTGGAGTACAACTGTGCAATGATAGTTACGTCTTTCAGCACACGGGGAGGCAGGGCATCAAAGCCATTTACGAAAGAAGAACGATGTAATGTTTATACAGAAAACAAGTAAAACAATAGTCTAGCTAGCCAAAAAGAAACCATCACTTTTCTCATAATGCATGCACCAAAAAGGATACCGGACAAGGTTTTTCGCAAAGGGACACGCTTGTGCAGGGTGAAGCGGGCAAGTCTACTGCTTGTCCATGTGCTGCATGCGAATCTCGACGGCGCGTCTGTGGGCCTCGAGTTGCTCGACCTTGGCAAGTTGCATGACTGCCTTGCCGACGTTGCGCAGACCTTGGGCTGTGAGGTTGGAGCTGGTGATGTGCTTGACGTAGGAGCTGAGGTTGACACCTGAGTATTGCTTGGCGTAGCCGTATGTGGCNNTGTGAGATGTTAGCTTGATGTTTGGAGAAAGTAAGAGGTGGGACGAAAAGAACTTACGCAGAGAGTGATTGACACCAGCAGAGTAGTCGCCAACTGATTCAGGAGTCCAGGGGCCGATGAAGACAGAGCCGGCGTTTTCAACAGTCTCAGTGTACGCCTCGGCGTCCTCGACTTGCAGGATCAAGTGCTCAGGGGCGTAGTAGTTGCTCAACTCCATGGCCTCCTCACGAGTCTTGACGACCAGCGTCAGACTGTGAGCGATGGCGCCACGAACGATGTCAACACGAGGCAGGGCCATGGCCTGGTTGTGAAGCTCATCCTCGACAGCTTGCAGCTCCTTCTCGCTCATGTCAATGGCGATGAGCACGACCTGCGAATCAACACCGTGCTCCGCTTGTGATAGCAAGTCAGAAGCAACGAAGGCAGGGTTGGAGCTCTTGTCAGCAATGACCATGACCTCTGAAGGACCAGCGGGCATATCAATACTGACACCAGCAGAGGTGTCGTTGGAAACGATCATCTTAGCAGCAGTAACGAATTGGTTGCCAGGTCCGAGAATCTTGTCGACCTTGGTGACTGACTCAGTACCGTAAGCCATGGCAGCAACAGCCTGAGCACCACCAGCCAAGACAATGCTTTCAGCACCGACCTTGTGGGCAACGTAGACAATCTCGGGGGTGATTGAACCATCGGAGCGAGGAGGAGAGGCAATGACAATCTTCTTGCAGCCTGCGACCTTGGCAGGAACACCCAGCATGAGGGTTGTCGAAGGGAGGACAGCAGTACCACCGGGAACATACAGACCCACACGCTCGATAGGACGAACAAAGCGAGAGCAGACGACACCAGGCATGGTCTCGACACGAAGATCCTCAGTTTCCTGTGCAGCGTGGAACTTGCGGATGTTTTCGTATGAGATATCGATAGCCTCCTTGGTTTCGGGAGCGATCTGCATAAGGTTTTCGGGGAAGGGAGCCTTGAGAACGGTGCTGTTAAGAGAAGTAGCCTTCTCGAACTTGTGAGTGTACTCAAGCAGAGCCTTGTCACCGCCCTTGCGGACACCCTCGATGATGGGATTGACAATGCCCATAATGCGGTCAGTCGACTTTTGCGAAGGACGCTGCAGAGCCTGCTGCACAGTGTCCTTGGTCTCCTTGGTTGTGTAGTAGCGACGCATGCTGATTCTGCCATCGACAGTGCCTGCGGGGTCCTCCTTGGCCTTTGGCACCGAAGCAGCCTCCTTGACCATCTCCTTGTCTCCATTGACTTGCATGCCGACCTTCTCGGCGAACTGGGGCTTGGCATCGCCCTTTCTTCTCTTGACCTTCAAGTTCTTAGCATCCAGGTTGCGCTCGATATCCTCAAGAGAGACGTCATTGGCGATGCACTTGGTCAGAGCGAAGTAAATAACGTCAGCAGCTTCAGCAGCAATGTTGTCCTTGTCTGTAGCATCGACCAACTCTTGTGCCTCTTCCAGGATCTTTGCTGAGAGCATCTTGGGGTCGTTGAACAAGCGGGCAGTGTAAGAGCCTTCGGGGGCAGAGCGCTTGCGGCTCGAGAGGGTCTTTTCGAGACGCGACAAGCCAGCGTAGTCACCGAAACATGTGGNGGTTGCCAGGTGACAGAAGCCTCTGCCCTTCTGGTGAACGATGAAACGGAGAGCATCGCCGTCGCAGTCCTTGTCGATGCGAATTAATTCTTGAATGTCTCCGCTGGTCTCACCCTTGTACCACAGACCACGCTTTCTGCTGAAGAAGACACCACGGCCGGTGCGCAAACTCTCAGAGATGCTCTCCTCACTACTGTAGACAAGACCAAGAGCGACACCGCGCTCGTCTGTGACAAGAGTGGTGTAAAGACCATCGGGTCTGTCGGTAGTGGCGTTTGCGAGGAGAAGAGGAGCAGCAGGAATGAGGTTCGGTTGGCTCTTGGAGTCAACGGTCAGGTGCTGGGCGGCGATGACGGGAGTCGCGTTGATATGGGCGATTTGAAGGGCCTTCTCGAGAGTAGGCTGGGCGAGCGAGACGTAGACGGGTGGCCTGTTGGATCCGTAGGCCTCAAGCAAGCTCTCAACAGCAGTAACGTCGGCAATAGCAGCAAGGTAGATTCCAACCTCGTTGCCCTGCAGCACGTCCAGTGCTGAGTTACCAGCACCAGCGAGCGACAAGACTAGCCGTGAGGCATCGACGTTCTTGTTCTGGATATTTTGCAATTGCTCGCTGGAAACAAAGACCTTGACGGCACCAGCGTCAAGCAGGGATAGAATGTCGTCGGTTGAGTCGAGCTTTGTTACGTCAAAGTATGTGCCGAAGTGGGTGGCAGTCTGTTTGAGATGTTCGAAGGCGGCATCGATGGTCTGTTGGGTTGCGACAGCGTAGACGGCGCCGACGTGACCAAGGCTGGCGGCGCTAAGTCCTGTAGAGGCATTGAGGCCGTGTGCCAGGTCAATGGCGGGGAGGAATGGTACCGACATGGTTCGGACCACTGTTGTATGGATATGAGTTGCTATGCAGATGTTTCGGAGCTAGAAGCGTGATTTCTATAGAAACGGACGAGAAGATGAAGATGGCTCGGATGATCTTGGTGCTTCGCGATGACTCGACAGCGGGGCGAGATTTGAGAAAAAGTTGGACCATTCGTCATTGGCTGACAATTCATCTCGTCCCAAGCGACGTCTTGATTCCTTGTCGCAATCGACTGACAACACCTGATGTTTGCTCTACGATCTTCTTTTCATATTAATCCATACTTTACAGAGCTCATCTCTTCCGTGTGCTTGTCTTCTAAAGCTGCATCTCCTCTGTTGCGCTCGGTGTTGGCTTGTGACTAAGCTCCGATGTAGGCGATGGATGATCTCAGTTCAGCATCGGCTTCTGACCCTTGGTCTTGCCGGTTGTCGTGCCATTTCTCTCACAAACAAAGCTCCAAACTTACCGCCTGTTCAACACCCCGGTGACCAGGTCATTCATCCATGTAGGTCGCTCATACCAGAGCAACAGAGTGCTCTGTTCCTGATCGCCATCATGACCCAATCGCGTCCATGTACCCATGTTCCTCTACATATTCCACGTCTACTCCCACTATCGTCTTGATACCATCTCACATCAGTCCCTTTTCAACCGAACATGGGCATTACATTAAGCACTCATACCACCCTCGCCCCCCTCTCACTTGCAAGCACTATCATTGGCTTTGTCTCGTTTTCCTTCACTCTGGCTACCCTACTACGTGTCTTTTGGGGCAACATCACAACTATCCTCAACGCCCATGATGAGATACACGACCTCCTAAACAGCCTCCGAGTTCAGCTGTACGAAGAGCGAGAATCCTTACGCAACATAAGACGCCACAACAAAGAATGGCGCAAGCGAGGCCGTTGCAAAGGTCTTCCTCTCCCTCGTCTCGATGACTTGGCCATCAGGTCTATGCAGGACACTCTTCACCATCTTACACGGAAATTCAAAGAACTCGAACGTCCATTCCTTGACCAACATTCTGCTTCTGGTCGCCGCAGATATCGCAAAACCTTTTCACCCATCCCGAGCGATACATGGGACTCCGAGAAAGGTCTTCGCAGCCAAGAATTGGAATGGGACAGGGAACTCGACGATGAGGACGATCCGAGAACTCATGGAGATGTCTCTTGCAACGTCACTCTAGGCAAACGCATTCTTTGGGTTCGTCAAAGGACTGATGTGCTTGCCATCATCAAAGCCGTCAGTCGTCTTCAAACCAGGAGGACTGCAAGACAAGTCGGCGAGATTGCTGTTGCATTGTACGAGTACGGAGATACGATAGAAGATATGGACGAGGGCATGCAGGAGATTGAGGCTCGGTTGAACCACGTTGTTGGCATACGGAGGGTGGTCTGAGAAACGAGAAATGTATTACGAAGCTGATGTTTTTGTTTTGTATATAGACCTCATAGCACAGAGAATTGTAAGCATGTCAATGAATCGTTAGTGAAGCATTAAGATGTAGAACTTGACTTGCCATGTGACTAATGGAGGGACAGGGTCATGGTTTGAGAGTGCATTCTGACTTGCCAAGCCCTCAATCAAGAACGCGCCTTCCGTTCACCAGCGCGATCATGCGCGTCAAGTCATTGACAATAAACATTCTTGATCTTTTCATCATTACATCCAATGTCCATCACCGACTAAATGCCTCACATACCGCCGACCATTGAGCTTCTCGAGCACGCACAACTCCAGTATAGAAGAAAGGAGTATGTCAAAGCCATAGACCTTCTCGATCTGGCCATCAAGCATGAACCGTCACCATCAGTGAAATTGCTCGACACGCGCGCAGCAGTCTATGAAAAGCTCGGCGATCGCAAGTCTGCCCTCAAGGATGCCCGGACTTGCATCCGTGTCTTCGAGAAAGACCCTACTGGCTATTTGAGAGCAGGCAAAGTGCTTCAGATTATGCAAAAGACTGATGTCGCTCTGAGCATTTACAAACATGGGATCAGCAANAAGGTTAAGAATGTTGAGCTGCTTCAGAAAATGCATGACAAGCTTTTCCTGTCTCTTGGTCCCGACAAAGCTGCAGACCCCTTTGCCCAACTTCCTATCGAAATCGTCGAGATGATCCTGTCGTACCTCAACTTCCGACAAATTGTTTACTGCACTCGGGTGTCGAAGCAGTGGAACGTTTTCATCAACAGCCTGCCTGGCCTTTGGATGAACTTGGACTTCTCGGAAGCCAAAAAGCCTGTCAGGTCTGCTTTCTTAAGTCATTGTATCAACACGTCCAAACGGAAAGTCATTTCTGCCACCTTGAAGCATGTCAAAGACATGGAAAAGGTCATCAAAGCTCTAGCCGGAAGTTGCACGGAGTTTAACTCGCTCCGTCTCGTCGATGGCGGGTTGCAAGGAGATAGTCTTGTCCACAACCTCAAGTCGGCCACCAAGCTGAAGAAGCTTACGCTTAGCGCTTCTGCAAGTATTTCGTCACTGACTCTTCCCAGCCTTCTCCTAGGTTGTGAGAATCTAGAAGAGTTTGAGTGCCGAGGGATCATACCCGGTAGTTTGAACCTGCATTGGAAAGGCGAGTTTCCCAAGCTTCGTCGTCTGAAGTTGATGAGAAACTTCCAGTCACCCAACCGCTCAATGCATATTCTCCGAATTGCCACACTCCTAACGCTGATGCCAAACTTGCAATCCCTTTCGCTGAACGACTGGGCGACACCCTACGACATCCTATCACTCAAGGAAGTAGCCAAACAGCTGATCGAATTGGATATGGCATCCGACGTGTCTTCTGGTCCGGTCCCATTCCCATTCCGCGACCTTCCACAGACTCTTCGCGTACTGCGACTTGATCTTGACAGACCTCTCAGTAGTGTCGTTCTGCTGAGCCCCAAAGACTTCTTCCTACCCAACCTTGAAGAGCTTGTCTGTTGTGGTGCGGACATGGCCAGTCTCTTTCTGTCGGACCCTGAACTCATCTCAAAATACCCAGATCCTGCGGATAACAGGTTCCTCAAGCAGTCCAATCTGTCTAAGCTCCACACACTACATGTGCAATGTACAGGCGCAGCGCAACCGGTGACCTCGCTTCTTGCTCTTNNCCCTCGTCTGGAACGCCTGCGCAGTCTGCGGTTGACGCACAATTCCAACGTCAACGATGAAGTGGCGAAGCATATCGCTACCAACATGAAGCAGTTACAAGACATTGATTTGTCCTCGACGATGATCACGGGTGCGGGCGTGCGCATTCTTGTGGATGGCCTCAAGTCATCTCTGAGGACACTCAGATTCGTCAACGTCTGGCATTGCAGTCCAGATGCACCAGAATGGGCGAGAGAGCAGGGTATACGGGTGCAGTACTCGCAGAACGCCGATGCCAAACTAAAAGGACGCAAGATGCGTCACGAATGAGACATGATTTCTACGACAAGGCAGGAAGGATAGGCATGATGGACAGAGCAGCAACACACGTGGTATGTAAATTATGAACGAGTATAATCAATGAGAACTTCTTAATTTTAGTAAACACCGCCTCTCTGGGCATAACAGTGATGTAGAAACTGTTGGGTTGTACGAAAAAAAAGGTATGGGGAAGTACTTCTGGTTGCTGCCTCAGGCAACACCTGCAATACCATGCCTCCATTTCTTTCCATCTCGCCATATCGATTCACAACCATGCATCACAGCAACAATCATAATTCTGGACTTGCATAGGAAACAAGCAGACAGGGTGGCCGGTCCTGTAAGGCAGCGAGCGCATACCGATTCGCGTTCGAGCTCTAATTCACGCATCGAGTCTCGCGTGGTCGCCGCAGCGATGAGTCTTGTTTATCTCGGCAAGTATATATATGCGTGTTTCTTCCACTTCGACTCGCTTACTTCTACTCGAACACAAAATTCTCATCAGGTAGTTCTCATCGCCACGCCAACCAGGTTCATCGAACATCAACTACCAGGTCCACCAAACAACAACTACCAAGTCTCATCGCGTACGCCAACCAGGTTCCGTCGCAACCCCCAACTAGGTTCGTCACATACGCGACCATCAGGTCTCATCACATACACCAACCAGGTCCATCAACCACCAACTACCAAACTCTCAATAATCAAATCATCAAGCTACCATCATCATGAGCGACTCATACCTCGCCTACATCGCCGACCAGATTTCCGACTATGTTCAGGAGCAACCAGACAAGGTGCCTTCGGGCACTGACAACATCAACAACGAGGCACCCAGATCCATCCACTACAAAACTTGCCAGGCTTGTCTCGAGAGCCATGAAAGGAGACTCTTGTGGCTCTGCCCTGTGGCCATTACTGGTGTCGCGACTGTCTCTCGCGCGCCTGCTCAAATGTGCGCAACGACATCGACATTGACATCAGATGTGACGACAAATGCGTCGTCGACTTGAAACTCGCGCTGGAGGTTCTGCCCGAAGACGAATCCAGGCGCCTCAAGAGCAAAATGCAGGAGTTCGACATGAACCTGCGCGAGCGTTGCTACTGCGCCAACAAGGACTGCGGTGAATGGATCCCGCCAGTCGTCAAGGAAATCGACAACCTTGCTCAGTGCAAGAAGTGTGGCGAGTCAACTTGTAAGCTGTGCCATGCTCTGAACCACGAGGGCAAGTGCGCCGGGCCCACAAAGGAAGACGAGCAGGCAGTTGCTCTCATCGAGAAGGAGGGCTACCAGAAGTGCTCGCAGTGCTACAGAGTAGTTGAAAGAACAGCAGGATGTTCACACATGACCTGCTACTGTGGCTACGAATTCTGCTACCACTGCGGTAAACAAATCGGCGTGTGCAACGGCTGCGGACATCTGGAACCAGACAATGCACCAGTACCACTCACAAACTTCCTCGAGGATACAGTCAATGAACCTTGGATGACGATGGTGGAAGAGGCGCTTTTCGCCTTGCGCATCATGGACCGCCCTGACACTCCCTCTGGCTTGACTTCGTGGTTCGACAATATGCTTCGCGAGCATGGATACCTCGGCTCTTAAGTCTTCCTGCGTAACGACACGACTAGAGAGTATATCCTCGACACTGAAGGAATGCCTGATCTGGAAGAGCGTCGGGTTTCTGATGCGGTGTTGTTCTCGATGTTTGGTACTGCGCGCTTGCAGGTCCACGCAGATGGCACTGCGACTCTGTTTAGTGTAGGAGAGGACTTCATACAGAATGACGAAGAAGAGGAAGAAGAAGAAGAAGAAGAAGAGGAGGAGGAGGATGAGGAGGCTGACTGGGACATGTGAAGAAGGTGTGAGGATACCAGCCCACATGCACAATATGGCGCCTGTGTGGTGGTCGGTCTGCAAGGTTGCCCTTTGCGATAATGATGGCCGTGTCAACAACCTTGAAGAACCTGGACAGGTACAGGACCCACCTAAAATTGAAAGTACTCCTCAATAGCAGCAGCAGCTTTATGGCAGCACTCTTGGTTCGTCAAACATTGGAGATTGGAACGCGGCGGAAAGGATCGCCTAGGATATGGGGGCCACTGACCTTGCACAGAGAGTCTACAAAGAACTAGTGGCAGGAGCGATCAGCAGCCACCACAAAATCAGCTCAGTTGTCAATCATCACAATGGCATTCTGAGCCTCGAGTCTTACAGAAGCCAGGCTGTTGTCAAGTCCGGGCCAAGCCGCATTGACAGCATGGCACATGATGTCTATAGAAGTCTTGCTTGTCACTTTACATAATAATGATCATGGCATGTTGATATCACCCCTCGATCTCCCAAGCAGCCACTACACAATGAAGTGATAAGGGGTAGTGTTGATTCATACGATTGATATTGGCATCACAACTTCCCCATCCCTCGGATACCAACCGCACAAAAAGCAGCTATCGTGATGCACAAACATGTTGGCGATACTTTTGTCATTTCCCTAACCGCGTTTTCATACTACTCGCTCCTTAGACTGCAACGCTAGCTCTTCCCTTTCTCTGGAAGCCAGCGATCAAGAAGGCCAACTCGAGAGCCTGCTTCTCATTCAATCTCGGATCACAGAAAGTCTCATATCTGCTTCCCAGATCCTCGTCTTCTAGACCGACACTGCCACCTGTACATTCGGTAACATCGTCACCGGTCAACTCGAGATGCACACCACCCAGGACACTACCCAAAGCGCGGTGGATGCGCAGCGAGGCCTCCAACTCGTTGAACACGGCGCCGAAAGATCTGGTCTTGATGCCTGTGGCGGTGGAGCGAGTGTTTCCGTGCATGGGATCGCATTGCCAGACAACGATGTGGCCGCTCTCTTTGACAGCCTTGATGTGTGTGGGCAGCAGATCTGAGACCTTGTCTTGACCGTAACGTGTAATGAGAGTGACCTTTCCAATCTCCTTGTCTGGGTTGACGACGTCGAGAAGTTCGCAAAGGTCCGAGACAGAGGTTGTGGGACCGACCTTGATACCGATAGGGTTGATGATACCGCGGAAGTACTCGATGTGGGCGTGGTCGGGCTGACGTGTGCGGTCGCCTACCCAGAGGAAGTGGGCCGAGGTGTTGTAGTGGCCCGATTCGTCCTCGTCATCTTCAGAGTCGCTGTTGTTGCTGCGAGCCTCAGCGGGACTTCCAGCACAAGCGGAGAACTTGTTGTTAGGGTGGCGGAGTTTTCTGGTCATCGCGCTTTCGTACTCGAGAAGCAGACCTTCGTGAGATGTGTAGAGATCGACGGTTTGAAGTTGTCCGGCTGTATCAGCACCAATTGTACGCATGAAACGAAGAGACTCGGCGATCGAGTCGACAATCTTGTGGTAGCGCTCTGCAAGATCCGGATCTGCTACATGACCCAAATTCCAGTCCAGAGGGTTGTGCAAGTCAGCAACGCCAGAAGCCAGTTGAGCGCGAAGGTAATTCAGAGTTGCAGCAGAGTGGAAGTAGGCGTCAACGAGACGTCCAGGGTCAATGGCTCTTTCCTCAGCAGGGAAACCATTCAGAATATCGCCACGGAAAGAGGGAATTTTGGTGCCGTCCGCTTGAGTCTCCATCGGCGAAGATCTGGGTTTCGCGTACTGGCCAGCCATACGCGCGATACGGACTACAGGCTTGTTGGCACCGTAGATCAGGACCAGAGACATCTGCAAGAGCAGTTTTGTCTTGCTGTCGATAGAGCCAGCATTGCAGTACGAGAAAAGCTCGGCGCAATCGCCTCCCTGGAGCAAGAAAGACTTTCCAAGCGCAACGTCTCGTAGCGAGGCACGTAGTTTCCAGATCTCATGAGCGGTGACAAGAGGAGGGAGGTTGGTGAGTTTGGTCACGGCTTTGTTGACTTCAAGTTGGTCATCGTAGACAACCTCTTGCTTAATGGGCTTCGAGCGCCAGGCTGCATACGTGTTAACTCTGAATACCCAATGAACGGATATCGACTAACAGGTCGGCGTCCAGTCGTTGGTGGCTGCCATTGCGTGAATGTGAGAATCTCCAGAGATACTGCTTAAGATCAGTATATGCGACAACTCGATCAGTTTAAAGCGCTTTAAGAGGCAAAGAGGAACTTCTGTGAATTTTTCAATCCTTGCGAATCAAGCAGACAATGAGGACGCAGAAAGATCGCAGGAGACGTCTTTTGTCCAACATTGACGAAAACGCGTGACAATAAATTCGAAGACAAAAAGAATTTGGAACAAAGTGCGGGCTTCAATGCCAAAAGGACAATGATGCAAGGAAACAGAGAATCCTACCTCTTCTTGATTTCAAAAATTGGCAACTACTGAGACGCAACAAAACGAGTGAGCTCCAAAGAAAGAGATGCAATAATCCTGTGAGTCAAAGGCAGGCGCGCGACAAGATCTGGCCACCACAGGGCGTGGTTTCGAAATTATTGACGAGCCCCGTTAAGTCCGTCTCACCCGATGAATGCCAAGCTTTATGATACTTCCGAATAAGGCTAGAGTACGTCACCTCCAAGCTCGAAACACCCGAGTGAACATCCTGTCTATGATCACAAACCACGACACTTTTGATTTCGTGTCCAAAAACCAGAATCAAATATGGCCGAACCACAACCTCCTCGAATTCAAGAGGGCGATCAAGCTCCGTCTGCGATTCCCGGCAGCAACAAGTCAGAGACAGCAGCTCTAAACTCTTTGGACAATCAATCCACAGACCTGAAATCTACAAACACAGCATCAACTGCAGCGCTGGGAAAGGCGATGAAGAATTTGAACATTGCGCATGAAGAGAAGCCAGAGTTCAGGAACGTCAAGGTCGATATGGCGGATGTGGTGTTGTTGGTAAGTTTGAACAGAGCCACCATCAGTGATGGGTGGAGAGAGGGATGCTAAGGGAATATCTCTACANNGGCTGAAAACCTGGATGTCTCAAGAGCCAGAGCTACCGAGCTGTTGAAAGCTAATGACGCGGATCCGATCAAGGCAATGCGGGCATGGGTCGCAGCCTAAGCAGATTGTAGTGTGACCATCAGCACTTCAAAACGGCAATGCAATAATGAGAAGACGAAGACACGAAATGCAACCACACATGACATTTTGCTCCCACATGCAACACATCATGAGCTTACACAACAAGTCCAAGGTCTCAAGTGATATCAAAACTGGAGAACGTTTGACGCAAATCAAGTCGACAATTTGGTATCATAGGTAGGTATGTAAAGTGAGGAAAAGACAACACCAAAAGAACGGGTACAAGCAGAAACCAACACCACCATCCGAACCACCCAATCCAAACCCATCATAGTCTCATAAAAGTACAGTAATAAACCTGCTCAGTCTCTTCCTCCCATGAAAGTGAGGCGCCTGTTGTCCTCATCCCTAATCCTTAACTTCTTGACTCTGTCCACAGGTGCAGTCATTTGACCAGTCTCAATACCAGCACCCTTTGCTCCCAAGGAAGTAGGAATTTCAACTTTCGCCATCGGTTCATCGAAGAACGCGTCCGCCATTTCCTCATCATCGTCCCAGGAATCTCTAGCTTGTTTGCGTCCGGGGGTCTTCTTGACAGGTGAATCATCGCCCCAGAAACTCGATGCGAGTGACACTCTTGCAAGCTTCTTGTTGGCAAGAGCAAGGTTGATACTCTGACGACCACCGACGAGACTTTGTCTCGAGCCGAGGCTCTTCCTGTTGGCGCTGCTATTCGCACTACTGTTGTTGCTGTTCACGATGTTACCATCCACATTCCTCAATGCAGCAGGCTCCATAGACTTTCTTCTTCTGCGGCCGCCACGAGGTATCTCGTCAAGGTCGACAGTGTAGATGTCTGCTTGTTCGTCCATGCGAGTGCCACTTCTCTCGCAGTCCGTAACCCAACGAGAGTTGACACAGAAGACCTTCTTACCATTGGGATCTTTGTTGTTCAGGCGTACTTTCTGGAGCGTGGTTGGAGAGCCATCTTTGAAGATTACATGTGTGACGCGATCGGACCAGGACTTTGTCGTACGTGCACCCAGTCCCTGGAGTAGGGCTATGAATGGACCCGAAGCAGAGGAGCCGTCTAACGTAAAGACTTCGACCAATGCTGTTACGGATTTNNCCAATGGCTGCAGGGGGTGCGGTGTCATAGGATACACGGCTGGTGTTGCAAGACCAGCAGCTTTGAGCGGTGTCTTCATCGGTGTCCGTGGTGCTTCGCGAAGACGCTTCACCGGACTACGGCTAGCATCTCGGAGCTTTAGAGGACTACGCATCTTCATCGGGCTGCGACTGCTGCTACGAGTTCTCAAGGGGCTACGACCGGCATTTCGCACCTTGAAAGAAGAGCTTGGCGTATGCCTTCGTGGCTTTGCACCAGAAAAGGGTACGTAAGGCGATGCCTGATCAATTTGAAACTGGACGGTACTGGTACGGCGCTGAGCTGGTGTTGAGTCACGCTTGCGTGTGCTCGATTTCTCTGGAGGGACGAACTCATGCAACTCGGCCAAGTCCAGGACTGTGTGCTCCAGGAGTGATTTTCTGACCGAAGATCGTCGCTGCTTGCTAGCCCACAGTTTTGCGAATGAATCACTCGTTGTCGGCTTGATGGACGTTTCGGCAGTGCGTGGTCGAAGGTCGCCACTCACCGGAGTGTGCAAAGTAGCGGCGGGAAGAGACTTACGACGTGAATCGAAGGCAAAGGTTGATCTTGCGTAGCTCGGAGAAGCCGGAGGAGGTATTGACAATCTTCGCTCACTATGCGCCTTCTCACTTGGCGTTGGAGCGCACTTCGGAAGGTAAGATTGACGGCGAGCGTTGTATCCCGGAGTTGATAGCTCCATAGGCTCAACATCGACAGGCGCAGATTCAGCGATGGGAGTCTTGACATCTACCTTGGCGGGAGAAACATGATCGAAGTCGACAAGATTGAAGATATCATCTTGAAGCAGGCTCATACGTTCTTTTGGAAAACCCATACTCAAACGCTCACGAGCGGCAGGGGTTGCGAAGTATGGAGTAGGGATGGAAGCGGCATTCTCAAGATTGGAAGCCAACTTGACGCCATAGTCGTCCACTTCCAAGAGGGAAGGATTGATCGTCACAGTCTGATCGGTCTCGGTCTCTGCAGGTTCGTTCACATTCACAGAAGGGCTGTCATTAGCTTCGGTGGCGTCAACACCACCAAGTGCAAACTGCATGCGAGGGGTCTGAAGCATTTTGGCCGTAGTAGTGGAGAAGGATACTCGCGATTTGACATTGGGAGTGGTTGCTTCTTGCTCGTCAATTATTGAAAGAAGATCATTGTCATTGAGTGAAAGCCTCGGTGCTGGAGCAATCTCCTGTGTGGGAGAGTCGAGACCTCGTTGCATGACAGAGGCGGGGGTCGAAGGCGTAGGAGAGGAAAGAAGCTCAGAGTCTTCCATCTCGGTTTGAGGAGGTTCCGCAGCGATGGAGGCTGGCGATGAGGGTATGGAGGTGGTAAAGTCGGCTGAGAATTGTGGTTCGGGCAGGATACTGTCGTCAAGATGACTGTCCTCGACCGTGCTTTCTGAGTCGTCCGAGACATCGTACTCTGCATTTGGTTCAGCAGGGACATATTCTGGTTCTTTCTTGTCGTCAAGTTCGACCATTGTATCCTCGTCGAGTTCGTCCTCTTGGTCTTCGTCTTCGCGGGCACGTCCAGTACCAGCAAGTTCGTCCTCTGAGTCGTCCGAAACATTCTCGAGATGAATAGTATGAGCAGGTGTGGGCATGATGGTGATATCTCCTTCTTGAAGGCGATTGAGTTGATCGTCGAGCTCGTCGGCGCTGGACTCCTCCAGTTCTGTTTCCGACTCATCCTGGGCATCTTCTTCAGTCATATCGACATCAGAATCATGATTTGCGGTCTCGGGCATTGGCGTATGGTGTACATTTTCCTGCTTCAGAGGACGAAAAACCATCGATTTTTCTGCGCCCCTGGCCACGGTCATGGGTCGAGGAGGAGACGAGGTGCGTGTTGCGTTGTGTGGCAAGCGTTGTGTCTGAGGAGTGCCCTGAGTCGTTCTGTGGCTGAGGAAGCGGCGAGCAGGTGTCTGTAATTTGCGAGCTGTCGTCGAGGCGGTGGCTGTTCGTGGTGCAGCTTGGCTTCTGGTAGTGCGTCGCATTGGTGTCTTGGGGCCACAGATCTCATCCTCGGAGGAATTTTCCTCCTTCTCCTCTTTTTCTTCTTCTTCTGCTGCTTCTTCTTCTTCCTCGACATGTTGCTCCGGTTCTTTTGACTCGTTCTCGGCGTCCTCTTCTTTTTGCGCTGCTGGAGCTGGCTCAGGCTCTGTTGCAGACTCTGATTCGGACTCGTGTTCAGACTCGGGCTCTGGGATGTTTTTGGCCTTGTTGGATCTTGTGGTTGGTGGAGAAACAACTGGATCGTCCTCGTCTGCTTGTTGATCTTCTTCTGCTTCTGCTTCCGGTTCTAGATCAGGCTCTTGCTCTGGCTCAGGTTCGACCTTTCTTGACCTTAGGACCTTTCCTCTGGCGACGTCAGGAAGAGCAGGCTTTCGTCGGGTAACAGGGGCCTTCTTTGGAGCGGGTTCTGGTGGTGGAGCTGCAGCGGCTCGTGTCTGGCGTTTTGGACGGGTTGCTGGTGCCTTTTTGGTACTGTGGTGGCCGATGATTTCGTAGATACGATAGAAGGCGGTTCTTTGGTGGTTGTGACGGCAGCTGATGATTTTGTGGCTGTAGTGGTGGGCTTTGCAGTGGCACGACGGACAGGCTTCTTGCGTAGAGCCAACTGGTTNGTCATTCTCCTTGTCGTCTGTCGAGTTGGGCGCCTTTTTGGCAGCCATAGCACGTGTGGCGACCATGGCTGTCGCTTGTGTCTGATCGGAATGCTGTGTGTTAGTAATGGGCGAGATGTCGTGGTTTAAACCAAAAGCTGGAGTGTTTACTTTTGTACACAAACAATTCCCGTCGGCACTGCGATGCCCGTGCGCCGACCCTGTGGTTGGCCTAAACTCCGCCTTATTTCCTCCAACGCTTGCACTCCAGGTTGCATCAGCACTGTTGGNAAGGAGCGGTGCACTGCCACGCCTTCCCATATTACTCGTAGCATTGTGAACAGACACCTCGTACAATGAACTCAGCTTCCNTTTCCTCCTTCTTCTGTCAATGTATCGTGTCTGACATGCCGACACCATGGCTACCTTTTCGCAGCTGCCACGTGAAATTCAGCAAGCCATACTCGATCATCTGGTCGTTGACAAAGGATACTTGACGCAAACCGATCGTAAGAATCTACTTGCTCCCATGAGGGTCAATTCTTTCTGGTTCAATCATACCTCCGACATCCTGTGGAACAATCTGTCCAACCTCGAAAGCACTTTCGCACAAATGGGCTTCGACGACGACAGACGCCAGTTGTACGTCAACAAGATCCGCATACTAAACCTCCATACTGCAAGAATCTACTTCGACTTGATCGAGCATCTGAAGTTCCAGAGCTTGACGTGCCTCAAACTCAGAGGCGACCACATGGGCATTCTGCCATTCTTGCAACCCAATCTGAAGACTTTACATTTCCACAGCAGCTTCGCCCTGACTCGCCACGAACTAAGACAGTTAGCTGTGTCCTGTCCCAATCTACGCGAGCTGCAGATTCTACCTCTTGCTGCCTCCAATAGCAGGACACTTATTGTCAAGCCTAATTCTGATCCCATTGATCCAGGAACCTTTTCTGCATTCTTTGGAAGCTGTAAGAATCTCAAATCACTCACTCTTGGGAAAAAGCTACCCAGTTTCTTGATACCAGCTGCTTTGACTGGGTTGCATCCTCTCTCAGCTGCACAACTGGAGGAGATAGTTCTTTCGAACATTGAACCAGAAGCTTTGTCACAAGAGTCCTGCAAAATCCTGGAGAGCTGCACTTCGTTGCGTAAATTCGAAATTCGAGATAACTATACTGGCAGTCCTGTTCCTGTGGCCATGGTGCTGAAACACCTCACCACTATGGCCAGTCTTCAGCATCTACGTCTAGATCATGATTTGGTTGGGGACGTGGTTGAAAACTGTATCAGAGGCCATAGCGCGCCCTTCAGAAATCTGCAATCTCTGGCAGTAAAGGGTGATATGTTGTCAATCTCGAGTTTCCTTTCACTTTCGATGCAATCACTGACTCGACTCCAACTTGTTGTCGAAGATCATGCTCACCACATATGTCCAAGTCTCGCCCGCCTACAGAATCTCACCTACCTCAATCTGGTCATTGGTATCAAACACCATGACTCCTTCACTGATGGTGCGAGATTCAAGCCACAACCTCACGATTGGCAAGCCATCTCAGAAGACATGCAGGCCTTGTCAACTCTGAGCAAGTTGAGATCAATCAGCATACGTCCCATGAATATAAACCTCACAGCTCCATGGATGACAGATGGCTACTTCAGCACCTGGACCAACAGATTTCCCAATCTGCGAGATCTTGAATTGGACATCGAGTGTCCTGTCTCGTGGTCGGCCATAGTTGGGCTATCCAAAAGCCACCCTTTACTTCGTACATGCAAACTTTTATGGATACAAGCGATATGAAACTACGACGACCTGCCATCACCAGAGTTCGTCAATCTGCAACACTTGAAGCTGAATCTAATTATAGGCTTCAGCGAATCTTATATTCGCGATTTCATCATCCGAAAATTCATCAAGAACCCGAGCACCGTGGGCATGAAACCTCTACAGTTGGAGGCTGGCGAAGAAGATCCATGGCGAAGGTCTGATTTAGGTCCAGATCAACCGAGAGTCACCCAAGTTCATGCACAAGCGGCTGATTTATAAGAGCAATGCCTGCATGCATATCTCTTTAACACAGTATTTCTTGAGTGAGCGAACCTCTCTCTTATCATCCTACGGATATCACACACCGCATGATCCGGCAGAGGAATGGGAAACAGCCTCGCCTAGTTGTTGTTGATGTGCTAAAGTTCTCGGTCGAGGCCAAACATCCGAGACACAGCCATCATATCATGATGCACAAGAAACACTTATATCGATCATGAAATGGTGTATTCAAGCTCGAGTCTCGATGTGGAAGCTTTGTCGTCAACCACTGGTTCGTCTTATACACACATGCCGATACCATCGGAGCTCCAGGAGCTTGAACCGACCATAAACTACCTCATACGACCGCTTCTCTTCGCCACCAAGCCCGCCGCCGCCCCAATTCTCCCTCAACCTTTATATTCTTGAGGTTTCCTTGCCCTGGTAAGGAAAAGCCATGGTGGTGCAGTGGTGAGCACACCTGTAATGTCTCTGGTGTTCCAGGAGGTCGCGGGTTCAAATCCCGCTCATGGTCCTTGGAGATATCTGTGATGTTTGGTAGTTGGCTTTCATTTCAATAACAAATTTCTCAGATATCTTCAACTCTTCTCTTTTGCTTGCTGGATAAATATCTTGAGCTAGCTTGTGTTTTCTTCTCCATGTCTTTTCTAATGTCTCCTTGTGTCATCTATTGCTATGCATCTCCCTCGACCTTTTATGTCTCTGAGATCTTCTTTTTTGGTGGATAATAACCGTGGTGATGCAGTTAAGAGCAGAGCAGCAATGTCTGTAGCGTTTCAGAATCACAGATTCAAGTCCCGCTCATGGCTCTGATGACAGCATGCGGTGCTTGTGGTCGAGTAGTTGAAGCTTTTCCCTCTCAAAACCAGGATGCATGCTACCATCAACTTCTTGTGATCTTTGCTCGGTTCATTGATGTATCTTTGGTCGAGCGATGAGCGTCTTATATGAATCGGTACTACTTGTATCCCATTCCTTGTTCTCATGTCCTCTTTGGTAAGCAACCCAGATCCCCTTTGATGCCTCCACAGCGCGAACTATCCTCTCGTCACAGCCGTGCCAGGCGCATAGATCGAGCCCAGCTGAACACTGTCCGAAAGAGTTTCTAGTGGAACTTTCTGACCTACTGGCTCAAGAAATACAAGCCACCGTGAGCATGAGTTGATTGAACCCGCGACCTCATGAGCCTAGAGATAGACAGAGTATTAGGAACTTAGGTATACGACATTAGGAGCATAGGTTAGCCGGGTCGGCTGTGCCGACCAATGCACAACCATGGAATATTGTATAGAAAGCTTGGAAAGAAGAGTGTGTTGGTGCGGGAAGGAAGTACAGTGACATTCCGATAGCTTCAGATCTACATCGAGCAAACATACAATATGATACTAGAAAGAAGAAACCTATTAAATGATGATGATCTTGATACAATCCCCCAAAAAGGGTTAGAAAAGCTACATAAGCTATGCTAATATAAAAAGGAAGCAGTGGCAGCAAACCAGCGCTACGACGAAACTGCAAAACTCCGAAATAAAGATCAAGACGCCATGTTTCCCTGCCCGAAAAGATGAAAGTGTTTGGTATCTCTGCCAATAATTAAATGATACGCCATGCCTGTCCCCTGGAAAATAACGCCACGCGTGCCTGCTCCGTGATTCTCGTTCGCCATTAATGGTTTCGTTCTCTTCTCATCATCTTTCTTGTTTTCATGGATCGGAGATGAGCGTAGGTGCAATCCTCCGTCTCTTGTCTCGGGAAGAGTCTTCGCCGCCCTCGTTCTCGCGTTTGGCAGATGCAGCCGCAATAGAAGCAGGTCCAGCGCTGGTAGCTGCGGGCACAGCAGGAGGCACTCCAGGAGTCGCGGAAACATATCCAGGTGTTTGAGGCGGCGTATACATGGGCATACCGCCATGCATGTTGGTACCAGAGCTAGCGGCCGTGAGACTGGGTACACTGCTCATCTCAGGGGTGTCGGCCGATTGTTCAGGAGCGGCCATGCTGCCAGCAACACTGACAGTAGATAAACTTCTGGCGGGACTACCGGGCATGGTAAAAGGCGATGGCGAAGGTGCTCCATGGCCTTGTGACGATGGGTTGCGCATCAATTGAGGCATAGTTGCGGCGATAGGTGTCGATGCAGGAGATGCAGCAGCGGCAGAGGGAGATCCGGCAGTGTTGATTGATGATGGAACGTGGCGGGGAATGGGAGGATGCTGGTACGAGACACCGAGTTCTCCAGGCTGGAAGTTCAAGCTAGAGCAGAATCCGTCAGATGATGTGATGAGTAGTGTGTTACCGTCGTTCGNACCTAAAATATGGTTAGCACGTCATGAAAGTGTCCTGGAAGAGTGCTCAACTCACCAAGTCAGGTCAGTAAAGGTAGCATAATGCAAGTTGCTCACGACACAGAGCGGCTTCGATTGCTGGGTATCATAAACATGGACGGAGTCTTGGGTAGCGACAGCATAGACTATGCGGTATGGAAGATCAAAGACTGGTGGAGGACCGCTTAGAGGTGTCGGTGCAGCGGAGCCATCTTCGGTTCTGGGAGAAGGAATAGGAGCTGGGTGTGCATGGCTGGGTGCTGGAGATGGCACGATTGGTGGTGGCTCCATGGAAGAAGTGGATTTTGAAGGTACGACAGGCTCTGGCAGAAGAGGGATCTCGTCGTCTACATGCGTGTCGATTGTGATATCCTTCGTTGGAACTGGAGAAGCGCGGAGAGTGTAGAAGATGGGCGAACACTTGACAGCCAAGGAAGGCTTCTTGTGGCCAGGCAATTTAGCGACAGGTGGCTTGTTAAGTCCAGCTCTTGTGTAGATGTATGTCATGTTGACCACGTCATCTGCCTTGTTCGGCTCGGTTGTAGGAGGGTGTGCTTCTTTGTGCTGACCGGCGGGCGTGAAGAGCAGACTACCATCGGGAGCGAAGGTCAAGCGGCGGAAAAAGGATGTAAAGGTCTCGTTGGCGTACATGCCAGTGCTGCGTGAGGGCATGTTCAGGCCACCGCCGATGCTAGGAGAAGCGGAGGGCATAACGGCGGGCAGAGGCATGGACGGACTGGGCGAGACTGAGCGACGCATAGACTGGTTTGAAACGGAGACGGAACCAAAGGACGAGCGGCGGCTGTGAGTGGCTTGCGGAGGGTTCATGGGCAAGGCGAGCGACAGAGGCGTACCGGGCGCACTAGGAGCCGGAGACTCGTTGCCGACAAAGGATGCACGACCTCGGAAGTCCGGTGGAGCAGGACTACTTTGGCTCACGCGGCGGGCGGGCATATCCATCTTGCTGATCTTGTTGTGGTTGGTCAGTGTACATGAACCATCCTTGGTTTTGAGCGTGTAGACGTGGACGGAGCGGTCGCTCGATTGAGTAGCGATGTATTCGTTTAGCGGATCCCAGGCGACGCCCTGAACGTAGTGGTTGTGCTCTGCCACCTGGCGAATAACCGAGCCNNTATCAAGTTGTCAGTCGTTTGAGGCAGAGCAGTTGAGATAATGGAGCATACCTGTCTGGGCGTTGTAGATACGAGCAACATTGTCCATGCTGCCAGTGATGAAGTAGACGCCGTCCGGGGACCAGGCCAGATCATATATTTCCGATCCCGTCGAGCGACACATTGTCTTGGTTCGCCATGTTTCCTTGTCTTCCAGACCATCTTCTCCAAAGTTTGTGGCATGTAGGGCGGCGTTCTCGGCGGGCACCCAAAGCAGAATGTTTCCGTCGTCTCCAGCCGAGGCGAGCATCTCCCCCTGGTCAATCGTCAGGCCATGTGTAGAGTATGGAGGGGAAGGGTATAAGGCAACCTTTGGNNGACACCATCGTACTACGTTGACAGCTTGGGTGTGTTTGGCGAGCGTCGATAGGTATGTCACGCTTCTGTCTTCTCCGCTTCCGTCGATTTTCCAGAGCTGCCGACAGGTCAGTGAAGTTCGTGCTCGAGAGAGCTGGCTCTCACGTACTCTGACATTGTTGTCGCCTCCGGCGGTTGCAAGTCGACCCTTGCCGTGGGGCTCGAAGTGAGCAGAGTAGATGGGCGTGTTGTCGTTGTGCCAGGACACCAGCAGAGGAGCTGCCTTCATCGTGGCCGGAAGAGGGTTGAGCTCGCTGCTGTGATGTTTTTTACTGAATGTGCGGCGATAGGGTTGTTGTGGAGTGAGAGAGAAGGTTGAGTGTGTATTTTCAGGACGAGAGTCACGTTTGCTAAGAAGTTGGATGCAGTCGTGGATGGATCATGTCGATACGACAGCGGTCCAGCTTCACAACCTCCTTGTCAACTGCATCCTCCCGATCGATTGGCTTCGTGACCACACAAGCCCGACCAAACATTGTCCTTCGCTTACTACTACAATTCCAGTCCTTGCTTCTTCCTTTCAGCTTCCCATCCAACCGTCTCTGATTCTTCCTTGGCCGTCTTCTTGCCAGGTCTGCCCTGCTTTAATTGCTGCAACAAGAAATCCTCCGTCACCCGCCGCGTTCCAATCAACTCCCGATCGGGAATGGTCGCTGACTGTGCCAAGCATCCAATCCACTGACCAGTCACCACCACTGAAACCTTTCCTGTTTCGCTCTTTCCTCCCTGCTTTATCTTGCTTGCCGACACGTGCTTGCTTTTGTTCCTGTCACTCTTCCATCCGATGAGTTCGTTCATGTCGTTGACTTGTCATATGTGACTAGCTTACACAAGACTGATCGAGATGCTTTTGCTCACCGACCTTGCAGCAAACGGTCAAGCTGCTGCAAACGTCCGTCACTACTGTATTCCAATGCTTGATCTATACAAACCACACTATTGCTTCCTAGATCCCTGTGCATAATCATCCGTTCCACGGCCATGGGACATCTGATACGTGTGATTGGTATAGCCGAGCGTCGATCGTACGAGATGGATTTGACACCGCGAGCATTAACATTTTGTCTCCTTGGCCAGTTGCTCCTGCTGCAGAAAGGCATCCGATCTTCCATAGCTGTGTAGACTTCGTCCGAGATTGGATTGACTTCTCAGCCAAGAAGCGTCGTAGTCTTCAAGCCGAGTCTTGAAGAGCCAACCCTTAAGCTCTATCACGGACGCTCTGACTTCTTCTCTTGTTCACCTGCCCAGACAGCGCAAACCCAGCAATAGCAGCTGCAAGCGTCGTTCCCTTGAACACCGTCTCGTACTGTTCCCATTTGATTGATTTTGTGTATGGCTGTCGGGAAATGCGCAAGAAAGCGCCGCCTGTAACTGCAACGTAGACGCCAGCAAGCAGGTAATAGCGGTAGTTGTGAAGAGTCGTCTCGGCAATCTCTGGGCTGGACATGGCGTAAGGTATTGGATGTGATAGTGGATATCAAGGTGCTGATATTGGCTGATTGAATTTATCGATTGGGGAAAAGTGTAAGTATCATGATGTGGAAGTGGCTGAAATATGGGGCATAGATAGGGCTTGGAAGTATGATCATGGCTGGCTGTGAAGTGCTGCATTGGATTCCATGACTTCCGATCAAAGCTACAAACCAAGAAACGATGAAGAAGTGGAATGTCCATGCATAAAAAATCAATACCATCCAAGCCTCTCAGTCGAAACGCCGAACCACAAGGCCCAACCCAGAGAGCTCAATGCAACAGTACAGACCAGTTTGATGCTGTTTACTAGCCTCGTGTGTCTTCTGAACATTTAGAACGTCTACAACAGCAGCCGTCGAAGCAAGACTGACAATTCTGCCGACTTGGAATGCCGTATACATGTTGGACATTTGTGTGCTTCATCCAGTTGGCCAGTGCAAGCTTAGTAACAAACAAACCCTCCAATAGATTTTGTCGAGCCTATGACTGCCACTACTATACTCATGATCAAGATTTTGTCATAAATTTGGTCCTCAGCCGGACACCGCTATGTAAATAGGTCAGATCGCACCGCTGTAGACGGAATATAAAACAATAGAAGTAAGATGAAATAGGACGAATGACTAAGCAACCCTTCGATCAATGATTTGTAACTAGGATACCAGAGAGCAATTTGGAAACACCGCTATATTACAGAGAGCAACAAGCAACCTTTTCGTGCTTGCAGTGAGCAGTATCTTTGGTCTTCAGATTTCTCCCGAGCCATTTTTATGCCAGTCTTCGTCTTTCCTGTTGAGGTTTGTACATCTTTCCATCTTCAGAGGTTCGTTCTTTCATCATGCCAGGAAGTTAGACTTGAGCCCAAGGTCACCCTCCTCGTTGTCCTCAAGGTCGATCAGGTCTTCGGACATGTTTTGCTTCGAGCTTTCAGATTCTTTGTTACCCTGAGTGCTATTGCCGGCTGTTTGATTGAGCACATCTGATAGTGACTGATTCTTAGATCCAGAGACTAGCCTGTTGATGGAGGCCAAAGGTGCGGCGGTATGTGTTGGTGTCATGGTTGCAAGACTGGAGGTTGAATCAGTGTCATCGTCTTTGAAAAGGCGCATAATACGGCCGATGCGGTCAGAGTATGAGACATCAGATCCATTGGCTCTTGAGAGAATTCTACGAGGAATTTTGGCTCCTGAAGAAGGAACGAATTTTTCGGGCGAGGGAGTTGTGTCGCCGTCGGTGATCATTCTGGTATCGTCGGCAGCATTGCGTGCGCGTACCCTTTCGGACCTGCGTAGTTCCGGCTTAGCAACGGATCCATGGTTGTTGGTACGTTGTACTGACGAATGAGTTCTGCGGTGCTTAACCGAGGCTGAGTTGGCGTCAAACAGCAAATTCAAGCTAGACAAGGTGTCTTCATCATTGATGGATATCATTTCCAAAAGTGAGGCTCCTCCACTGCTTTCACGACTGGAAGAGCTGAGCGGCGGGCTACGTTCTGAGCGTCTTGACGAGCAGGCGCGACCAGATCTGTTATCACTGGAGCGCTTTCCCACCGACAGCGACATTCTGTTCTTGAGAACATGGAAACCAGGATCCCGACCTTCCACACCTTCATCATCCATGCTTGTGATACGTTCTTCGTAGGCATCGTGGAGTTCAGGCGAATAACAACCGACTGCAAGCCCCTTTCTTCTGTCCGTACGAGCGGGCAGCTCAGGATAGTCATCCTCATCTGGATAGGAGCTGAAATGGTCGGCTTCCTTCAAATCGTCGAAATCAGAGTCCTCGAGTTTGGCAGTCATGGTTCTTGAGAATTGAGTACTGAACATGGCTGTATGGACCCAGTCGTCCAACATATCCTTTGCGCTCTCGATCTTGACGGCGATCTCGTCATCCATAGTGCTGGGATGGAGCTTGTTTGTGATTACACCAAGTAAGCGGTCGATAAAGTCGCTGAGTCCTTTGTCTCTGTATAGGCCCGGGGGCAATTCGCAGGCTGCGGTATGGACTTGACGTAGCTCAAATAGACCGCGCAAGATAATCTCGATGTTCGATATGCCATGAATCGACGAGCTGCGAAGAGAGAAGTCAGTCGTGTTTTGCCAGGGATATGGTCGCCAGAAGGCGCTTCGAGGCTCAACAAAGCGGATCTGCAGGCGATTGAGGCCGAAGTTGCCGTCATGCTTGAGGAGCTTGACGAGGGCACGAATCATAAAGTGCGTGTGCATAACATCGTGACGACTGTTCTTCTGATCTGAGGCTGCGGTGGGTGCTGGATAGATGCGAACCATCAGGCGCTTGATGCGCGAGAAGCCAAATGGGTCATCTGGACCCTCAAAGCGCTTGAAACGAACCTGGGTGAAGTGTTCACGGTATTGCAGACGCTGGCGGCCGGAGTTGAGAAACTCGATGCCACCCTGCGAGATACCCTCGTGAATGTTGATAGCGAATGTGCGCTCCTCGTACAGCATGACCAGAATCTCTGCAGCAATCTGCTTGCAAAGAACCAGAGCGTCACCTACAGCTAGAACAGCCTCCTTCTTTGCTTTTGCAGCCTTCGATCTGGTAACAGTACTGCCGACTTGTTGTGTGTTTTGTTGCGACGCCACATTCTGAGCCAGTTGAGCTGCTACATTCTGAATATGCTGTAGTACTTGCGCGGGCGTGTTCTGATTCTGAAGCATTTGTGTTATTTGAGGCAGATGAGTGTGAAGAGGAGGCGCAACAGGCACGGGAGGCGCAGCAGCTGCGCCAGGTGCGACAGATCTCGGGGCCTGGGGCTGACCAGGTGTCTGGTAAGGCTCAATGATCTTGTCCTTTGGCGGCAAGACGCAGCCGAAGATTCGACGGCGCAATTCTTTAGGCAGAGCCAGTAGGGGGCATGAACCATCAGCGGGTGGAATTCTGGGGTCTGACGATGCGTCTATGTCCATTGGGGTGACCATGGTCGTTTCAGGGGCGGAGACGTGTTCAGCAATCTGTTCTCGAAGTTCGATAGGCAGTCGTGCGAGCTGGACGTTTATGCTGGATCTTGTCGACGACATTTTGATGGCGTAGTCAAGATGATGATAGTCGTTTTGGAAGTGGTGGTGATGAGGATGATTGCGCAGGTTTTGTGTGATGGTCGGCTGATGTCTGCGCATCCAGTGAAGGAACGGGAAGATCAGTGTGTCGAGTCGAAGTGAGCGATTCGCAATCAAGACTTTGTAAACATGCGTGTGCCGTGGTGACTGGGTTCGAGTGAGTCAACTAGATGGACGGAACGATCACAAAGTCGATGGCTGCTGCCTTGGGATGTCCGGTTGGTTCGCAGCTCAGCACGAAGATGTCTTATTTGGCCGTGCACATGTAAGATAGGTAAGTTGACTGGAACTGTTCATGTCTGGCATGGCAGCCTGTATCGCAAACTCCCACCATCGATGCCTCCGTTCACAAGAACCTTCTGTATTGCGACAGCAGCATACGAACACGACTACGATTATTGGGGTTATCACTATACAACAAGAGGCAGTGTTAACTTGAAATTCGTTTCATTCATGATATAATGTGGTATCAATGACTTATTTCGTCAATTCTCTGAGCCGGATAACGGAAGAGTGAATCAGGACACCCGCGTCGCTATCTATGCTTCGATCCATATCATGGACGGAGCGCTCAGAGACGAGTCGCTATGGCATGCGATCCTGCTCGAAAGGCTGATGCGAAAGATTTAGTGACCGACTGAGGGGCCCTGAGTGATGTTTCTATCGCCGTTGCGGGCAGAGTTCTATGATTGATGATCAGCACAATGTAATGTAATGTAGGCCGGATGCCGGCGGGAGTGGGGATATCATCTTACCTCAGTCTCGAGGATGTCACCCTTCTCGAGGATCTGCTTGACGACCTCTTCCTCCTTGTGTGTTCCGAACTCGTTCTCAAGCTGGCTGTTCGAGGCGCCGTCGAGGATGCCGGTGGTACCCTNGCCTGTTGAGAGCAATGACATTAGCCTTGGTTCGCGGGGTAGTGGTGGGGTAGCTGAGCGTGTCGACACGTACTTGTGGGTAACGAAGATCTTCCAGCCGCTAACGACCTGAGCAAGAGGAACAGACTTGTCGGCCTTCCAGTCACGGACGGCCTGGGCAGAGTCGACAAAGACAATGTAGTCGTCGTCGGCACCCTTGAAGTGGACCTTGACCTGAGCAGCGTTTCCTCTCATATTGACGGTTGTGTGGTTTGTAGTGGGTGTGAAAGTTGAAAGTTGGGCTTGAGCTTGGAGGTGGTTTGGTTTGTGGTTGAGTTGATGGAGTTGAGTGAGATGATTGAATGAAGAAAGGAAAGAAGAATGCTTTTTGAAGACAAGTGAACCATTGACCACGCGACTTCCCTGACTTCATAGCTTCAGCACGGACTCTCCTCACTACGTCACCGCCTATCTGGTACCTGGCAGTGGGGTGTTTGACTATCAGACGCATGAGGACTTCTTATTCAACATTTCCCGAGTGCTAACACTGTTAAGTTGTAGCTATAGAAATGCATAATAGCGTCCTGAAAGCACTGGTAACCAAGGAGATAACAACTTAGCGCATCTCTCTGGACACGCCTCTCTCCGCAAAAGTATTGTGCATTTTTACAAATGGCGTTATCGCTGTACCTTAACAGGAGAGGAGATGAGCCTGGGCCTCTGCATGGATTTGGCGTCAATTCTCAGCTATCAACGTTCGGTAATTATGTCTTCAATGTTCGGTGTCCTCTCCGAGCAATGCCACTCTCCCCACATCTTTGGGCATAAACAAGCGATGGAAACAAACAGAAGCTCACCACTTGTCACTCCAACACTCGAAATGGCTCTACAAGTTCATGAGAATGGTCATACACGAAAGATCTATGATTGTTACTTGATGCTCTTGTACCCAATGTTACTCATACTCGATGTGGTGACCCTCCAGTCACTGTAGCCGTGAGCGATCAAAGCTTCGATCTGGATGACCCTTTCTCCACATACGTAAACAGAATCAAGGTGTCTCCACCCGACCGTAAAAATACCTTGCATCATCCCACTCATTCGTCACCAACCCGAGACTTGTTGGTCAGATACCTCAAGAGTCTTGGTCTCTTCTTTCTCATCACATCAGATTCCACAAGCTTCGTCTCGCCCTTCTTCACCTCGCTCATTCCTGTGACGCCCACGTTTCCCTCGCGTGGTCGCAAGCTGTCCTTCCTGCCCGGCTCCTCCACGGTCTCAGCTTTGACCTCTGCCTCTGCTGATGTACGCGGCTGTCTCGAACTATTGGCTCGCTTGATTTCGGGCGCCTTGTTTTCTGTAAAGAAGAAAGGCGATCGTGGTCGGTCTGTCATCGTCAATGTTCGCAACCCGAGCCTACGGCTACGCTTCGAATCTGGCCCTTGCAGTTCAAAATCTTCGGGCAAGAAGGCATCTGGCGCATTGTGGAAATTGATAAGAGGTGGACGCTTCGGCTTGATCGTGTCGGGTCGTGGCACTGGCTTGGCCTTGACAAGCTTCTCCGGTGCCTGATGGCTTGAGTGAACGCTTGTATAGCTCATTGATCGTCTTGAGAAGTTGCTGGCGATACTTGCCATGCTCAGCTTTCGAAGTAGGTCGCTGGCCGTGTCCTTGAAGATGTTCTCGGTACGCCTCAAGCCCATTCCTGGATATGGAATCGAGTCTTTCGTCCACACCTCAAACAATGCAGCCTCTATCTTGATTCGCTCTGCTCGCATTGGTGCTAAGATAGGTACGCCGCTGGTTGTCGGAAGTGACTTTGAACGTCCAGGAAGTGAGGAAGTGGAAGAGTTGTTCAGGTCGTCTTTGGGAGCCGAGGTATGCATGATGATGACCTGGTTGCTGTCTGTCATTGGCCCCAATGTGGCAGTACGCTGAACAGATAGTCGGCGAACAAAGCCTCTAGCTTTGCTATAAGCTTTGCCGAAGCTGCGGATATCCCTTGTGAGTGGCGACTGGAGGTCGATGGGAGTACTGTGACCTTCGGCAACATGCTGTGCTTCAACAGCGATCCGACCGGCAAGACGATCTCTCCAGACGCTTTCTTCGACATGCGAGCAAGCTCCCATGATGAGCTCGTACATCTTACCGGCACTTTCGAACACGAGCTTCCAGGTAAAGGGTGCCGTGTGGCATTGGAGGCCTAGATGAGTCAGTGAATCCTTCATCAGATGTCTTGAGCAACATACCTTNNTGCCATTGTCGCTCTCCTCGAGACTGGTTGAGGCCAGGGAAGTGCCGACCACGACCTTGTACTTGGATGAGGAGCGATCTGGCAGAGCGAGTAGAAGACATGACTCATACAAGATACAGATCATGTAACACCCCTGAAAAGCTGTCTTGTTCCGGTAAGCAATATAAAGAGTGCCGCAGAGGGACAACCTGCCGAGACGCTGGAAGAGCAGCTCCCGCGGAATCTGACTGGATCAGCAAAAATTTACCATAAAAAGGCACAATTGTTAAGGAAGTTGGGGCGTGTCCACTGAGAGTCGACAGCTTGTCGCCTCTCAGTGGATGTTATGTTTTGCGCAGAGTAGAGTTTTTCTTACCTTGTCCGAGAAGCAGAGTCGATCCTGCAGGAGTCTGGAGTTCTCCATCAACCGAAGCTTGTCTGGGTTATCTTTAGCATCATCAACGTTTCGGCACGTCTCGCCCAGACGATAAAGAACATCATCTAGAACTGCATGCGAGGTAGGGTCATCACAAGAAGGTGTGACTCTACAAAGATCCTTGAACAGCAATTCATAACGGGTAATTCGCTGAATAGGNNCTAGATTTTGTCAGTTCAAGTCACCAGATCATCATAATGTAAGTTTCACCTTGATGAGCAAGTCTTTGATGCTGAGTGCCTTTCTGCGGTTCGCTTCTCGACTTTTGACAGGATTGACAGAGGCCGAAAGTGCCTCGATAGCTTTGTCGTAATCCCAGACAGAGAAGGATGATTTCTGAGTGAAATTCTGAGTGAAATCAATGTCATCGTGCATCGATTCGCACCTCGCACTGTACTCTTCATACAAGGCAAAACGCTTGANTCTGTGCTGCCGTCAATACCTGCTGTCAATGGAAAGTAGTGGAGATATACTGACATTCTTCGCGAAGATTCGACCAACGTCAGCAGCTGTGGTGGGTGTACAAGTCAGAGATTGTGGCTCCTGGCTTGGAGATTTGTGCGAGTCCAATGAATAGCGATCCGACCACCCAGTATGACTTGTTGCTAGCGGAGGTCTTCGGACAGGCAGTGAATCCTCGCTGTGCCATCTGGTATGGTGGGGCTTGCGTTTAGGCGTTGATGTCTCGGCGATTGCCTGGTCATGTTCTGAGAATGGTATCACTCGATGCAAGTCTTCCAGTAGCTCAGTGTGTAGCTGAAGCATATTGGTGATGTTGCTGCGAGCTGAAGCACGGGTCTGTAATCCTGGAAAAGGCGAGGTTGGAGGCAAGAATGTAAAGTATGCNNCTACGATGGACGGGTCAGTATATCAATCTGTTCATGCTGCACATCAAGAACTCACACTGCTTAATGCCCTCAGGTCTGCGAGATAGCTTTCCTCAGTCTTTATCAACTCTTCGATCTTCTCGCGACGCTTCTTCGCTCTCTGACGGGCAGCATCATCGATCACGAGACTCAATGAAGGACGGCCGCTATCAGTTGAGAACCGAGGCTCGGACTCGAACAAACCACTGCTTCCACGGCAAAGCCTACGATTGCCAGACCTTTTGCTGGCCGATCTCGACAAGGGAGCAATGCTTGCGCTCGCGACTGTGATGGTGGCTGACTTGACGGCAGTCACGAAGTTGGCAGATGAAGCCCAGGATCCTGACTTGCGATGGCCCCTGACAGACGGCTCTGGTGAGGTAACAACAGGCTGGGTCGAGAACAAGGCGTCAAGCTTGGGACGGACTCGGCTCTTGTATGAAGCTTTCTTCAGCTTCAATGTGTTCATCCACCTTGAGAAAGGTTGCTGGGATGCCAGAGAAGATGTCACAGTGCCATGTTCGGCGATAGGGGATTCGACGTGTGGAATCGAGCTGTCATATATGTCGGACTCAAGCAGAGCATGACCTTCTTCCCAATCACCTCTCTCTTCATCGACGAAGTCTAAAGCAGAGTTCAAAGCTGTTGTACCGAGAATCGGTTCTGACTCCGCTGGAGATGGCAGGGGTGTGACGACAGGGACGAGTTGGGGGACAGCAGGAGGGACGCTCACAGGACGTGATATGTTACTTGAGGCAGTTGGGCGACGGAGCGCGGCGGGATATGTTCCATTCTCGAAGTCTGAGTATGATGTTGACCGAAGCGGTGTGCCATGGCTCGAGGGCGAGCGCCATGATGGACCACATACTGATGCTGCAGAAGTCAGAGAGCCGACTGAAAGCTGTCTTGAACGGCGATGATGAACGGTGCCCGTGCTGCCCAAGGATGACCATGATCTTTCGTAACTTCGTTGATCGTAAGGAGAGCCCGGAGAACTCTGGGGCATTAGAGAAAGGACGTAAGCCATACTCAGGTATCGAAGATGCTCTGTTGTGTTGTACTGGAAACTAGTTGGATAACTGTTGATGAAGTGCTTGCTCTTCCAAAGGTGGATTTAGCATCCGTCCAACGAAGAAGTCGATCCAAATGCAGCCACCAAGACCAAGAACTGATTGTTGTGTTCAATTAGAGGGCATGTCTCTTGACAGGCATGCGGCCTCTGGGCCAACTTGGCCGGGTTGAATGGAAATACGATAGATGAAAGAACAAGTCTGGGAAGCCTCACAAAGGTTGAGCTTCACATCCGTTCTGCGAATGACCTGAGCAGGATCGCTCCTTCCACCTTCCATCACATCTAATGCTTGACGCGAAGCCTGCAAAGGAATCGGACCAAAGAGGCTGTCACAAGAAGATCAGCATCATCGCAGACGCCATTCGACGCCGCTTGCCTTTGCTCATGCGCGAAAACACAACATAGATCATAAAAAGAAGAACAGATGAAGGTAAGATGGACTATTCTACTTCCCTGCGGCGGATGCCTGCCGAGCACGCGTCCTTGCTTCATCTTGAAGCGGCGCGAGCCATGGTTTCGTCAATCTCTTGACATTACTTTATACACATTCCGCTACCTCAGAGTCGTTTCCTTCGCATTTGAAAGGTTACTTGCATCAACGAGATTATTGTTGTTGAAGATGGAACACGTCAACAAGCAAACAGAATTCCGAAGAGAAACACGCCGACTCCTTGGCTTCCAACAACCTCGGTCACCCACTTTGAACCAACCCACCTCCTCTGCTCCTATGTTGATGGGCGTCTCACACAACTCTTCCTGACATGTCATAAGATCTAGTCCTGTACTTTGGATCTGTCGGGAGATCATTCCGGCAACGCCATGTCTGACTCCGAATCGCGGGTTCAAGCAAGGACAAACGACAGTCGTTCCTTTGTGTCTCTGTCGGCATCTTCCCGCAACACCGGCATGCTACCTCCGGACACACAGTACCACCACAAACGAGCAAAATGTTCGCAGTGTTGCATGACAAGCTGTCTTGCCGTTCACATGCTCAAATTGCGAGAGACCGCGGCTGACTGCCAGCATTATCAGAGCTGGCTACCTCGGACCTCTGTCAACTCGTTCATGGCCAAGCAGTATCAAGTGACAGGACTCCAAAATTGCAATGATACATTTGAGATCACGGCCTCGTTCTGTGTTTCCACAGATAGCACAAATGCTTGCCTGAAAATTCATCGAGTATAAAGGTAGGCAACAATCAAGAGCAGACTGATATCTATCTTCCACACCTAGTGTTTGATTCTCCAATATATCAATCGCCAAATACAATAACACCTCAAATACAAACGCCATAATGCACCTCACCTTTCTGACCTTCCTCCTGGCATCCCTTCTTGCCGTCTGCAACGCCTCTCCTACACCACTCTCCCCTACAACTAGTATGCGCGCACCCATCCACCCGCAATATCTGCACCCGTCTGTCAGACAGGCCGGCTGCAACCAAGCACAATGCGATGACTGCCGGAAAACCATCGGGTGCATTGCTGGAACCCCTGCCTGGTAGATTTCCATCCAAAATACACAAGAGAATCCAGCTGCTGACATGATATCANNAAGCTTCACTTGCGATACCTCACCGTCGTTTGAATGTGGTGTTTGAAAAGTTTCGCGAACTGCGGACTCGAATACGTATTCAGTGGGAACATCCTGAGGATCTAGCGCTTTATCGTTATTTGCACTACTTGTCTTGCGAGAGAATATCGTTGCGTGGCAATTACATGTCTGATTATTGCAATGAGCCGAATTGGTTTGTCTTACATATCAAGTACACAGTATCAGGATGATCAACTTCTATCCCGTTTCTGACATTGCATGTAACCCACCGCTTTAGCGTAATCAATAGATGATTCGATCAAGCAAAAGAATAGAAACATGTTGCAAAACTATCAGTCAAGTGGGTGACCCTGGTCGCTTGGTATGAATGAAGTCAAAATGCAAGATTAAGAAAAGTAAAACATTGGCATCTTGCCTTCTTGGACTATGATCTTGGTGATAGTCGCGGCTGTGCTGAGTACATCACACAAGGGCTATGGAGAGGCGCAAGAGACCAGAAAAGTCTCATGAGAAAATTCAACTCTGCGGCAATCTCTTGTCTAGATACTCTTAATAACTTGTATACATTCATGGCTTGTAGAATCACCAATTCACGGTGGAAAAGAGCCTCAAGCGATTTTGAGCTGGTAACAATATCACAACATACAAGGAACTAAGATATTCGTAAACATGATATTTGATTTCGTAACCAGAAAGTCTGTATCCTACAAACCAACTGTCTTTTATCTAATCGAAAAACTTCTTTGCAGAAGCAGGGGTATGATAATGATGACGATGATAACAGCTAACCCACAACACTCCAAACAAAACAAAAGCACCTATCGCAATCTAAACGACCATCAACACAGCAGCAACAGCAGAAACCGCAAATGCCAATGAAGGCACAGCGCCTGCAAAGCCGCTGTTCTTGAAGCTGAGCACGTCGTTCTTGGGCAGCTTGTACGCCGGGTTGTAGGTGGTGTTTACAGTCGAGTCGACAGTGCCGTCCCAGCAGTAGCGCTGGAAGCACTGGTTGCAGACTTCGGGGACTTCGGTGTTGGTGCGCTCGAGCGAGCGGCTGAGGATGGCACAGCCGACACAGGTGGGCCATTCTGCGTCCAAAGTGCCGTTGCCCATAGTGACGGCATTGTAGCCGTTTTCGATAATGTAGTTGCGCTCGGTATCGTTGTACTGCAAATCGAAGGTACTGACGTTGCTGTGGTAGACGTAAGGNNGGGAGTTGGGAAGGTAGACGATCAGAGGGGTCATGTGAGTTGTGTTGCTAGAATTACAGCCGAAGAATGTAGGACGGTAGTTCAAGCCGAGGTTGACAAAGGTCTGCTGATCAGGGATAGAAGGGAAGGAAGTGCCATTGGCGATGGGCAGGAAGGTACGCTGGTAGGTAGCAACGAGAGAAGTACCATTGGGCCAGTTGGCACCACCATTGCCGGCAGTAGTATCGGCAGACGAGTCAATGGCGAAGATAACATCAACATTTCTCTCGGGTTGGATGAGAGGGTGGAAAGGAATGTTTTGCAAATCTTCACCACCATCGACAAGAGTGAGCTGATCAGTGTTGGCAATACGGCTGGTAGCGTTGTTGAAGCCGAAGAAGGGGTTGGGGTAGTTAGCAATGTCGTCGTTATCCTGACCAATGTTGGCCAGGACCTTAGTGATAGCCTCATTGATCAGACCAGTAGAACCATTAACCTGGAGGAAAGCTTGGTTGAACAGAGAACTGGATGTGCCCATGATGTAACCAGCATTATCGAAACCACGGACACACTGCATGTCGCCTTCTACAACCACACCATCGGAGAAGTTGGATCCAAGGTAGCGCATGGGAGCGAATGCATAGGTGGTAGGGTCAAAGGAACCAAGTTCCCAAGGGTTCATCTCGTAGACGGTAGCATTACCGTCAATGACGAGNNCTTGACCTCTGGCACGGCCATCAGCGACGAAGATGGGCATGGGGGTGTCACCAGCCCTGAACTGATCAGAGTCGGCAATCGATGAGAAAGTGTAAGCAGGACCTCCCATGCTGGCATTGATCAATTGGTATGAAAGAGCACGACCCCAGTAGTCGGTGATGGTAGTCTCATAACCAGCAGCGTTCTTGTCTTGAACAGTGTCGTAGATATCGTGAAGATATTCGGCGGTGTTCAGGATCGAAAGACCGCTCTCTGAAGGACCATCAAGGATGGTCTGTTCAAACTGCCATGTGCCTCCGCTGTTGCTGCCAGATGTGTCTTGACTGAGGATGTTCTCAACTGAGCTAAAGTTGTTCATAAACAAACTTCCCACCAACCACGAACCACCTGACAGACCAGCGAGGTATGTGGAAGCTTGAAGGAGGCCACCAATCTGGCCTGCTCCAGTAGAGTTGGCAGTGCGGTTGTCGAAAGCAGACACAGCACCAGCGTAGTTCATCAGAGCGCGGTAACCACCACCTGATCCAGCAATAGCAATATTGGGGAGAGCGCTGACATTGTTTGCCGCGCTATCGATGTATGAATTTGTGTCGAGTCCAGTAATGTTCATGCGACCAAGCAGATCTCTCATAGCGGAAACGGTGTTGTTCCTTCGTACATAGAGCCATTCTGTCTCGTTGTTGGAAATAGAGGATGCTTCGCGAATAACAGGGCGGTCCGAAGGGCAGTCGACATGTGTAGGGACGTATCCGTTCGGAGCTTCAGGTGCTGCACGCTTGAGGGCAACAAGAGGAACAGCAAGAGCCTCTGCGGCGGCCTGCTCAACAGAGGGGTTGCGAATAACAACAACTTCGGCCGAGACTTCAGGGAGGAGGGCGGCGACCGACACCAGGCCGGCCAATGCTGTTTGAGCCTTCATCCTGGTATTAAAATATGGTTGCAAGATGCGATTAAGGAATAGACAGGCATCCTGAGCTCGGGGCAAACAAAAGATATATCTAGAGTCTGCCGGCTCCCACGGAAACGGAGCCAGTAAAGTGACGTAGAACGCTAATGGCTATTACAGTTTCATGCAGGACCCAACACACCTTGGCGCATTCGCCTTTTTCATTTTACTGTCGCGTGTGCATACGCTCCTATACGCTCTCTTAGCTACTGCTGATATTACAGAGTATTGCGCTTATAGTGCAGTGTCCATACGTGATGCGCACCTATATCTGACGGTTCAGGAATCCAAGGGGTAGTTGGCGAAACATCAGCCATGCCCAAAATATCTTTTTTGGAGCACAAGATCAAAGATCCATCGCCCGAGTCGATCTTCCGTGTGGTTGGTTGCCGCGGACAAGCCCTGCAGATCCTTTTTCCCGGTTGGCTACAAGACAGAGTCTTTCAGCTGTTTCGACGTCTGTTTGGTTAGGGTTGCAGCCGCGTGGCTTCGGCTCGGCAGCAACGCCACTGCTCCCCAGCTGCGGCACGTCGCTCCGACTTGGTCTCTTCTGGTTATCGTCATGCTGAGCAGATGTGCACCATGACATCTACTTCGGATCTGACAGTTCCTGCCGTTCAGCCTCTTCATATCAAGCTACGTACTTTTACTCAGCCATGCTCTCGGATGCTGCTGGATACACATCTTTCTCGGCGCTCTTGCATCCGAAGGCTGTGCTATTCCTTTGGTTGCCGTGCACAACTACCAGTTTGCAAGTAAGGGCCGGCTCAATAGAACCGCCGCTTATCGGCCGACATCAACGGATCCATCGATCCTCTTCCTCTTCGTATCGTTATACGCATACGAGATAGGATTTCGTTTTTAAATAAGTTCATCCTCCGCTCAGATCCTTCGACCTTCGCGGGGGGGCCTGATATCTGTGGATGACAAAGGGAGGACACCGTGTATTGAAGATGGAAAATCGAACTCCGTAACTACACCCAAAAGAAAAATCCCAATCTCTTTGCTCTGATAGCGCCACCCTAATCATGCCCTTACAAAAATCATTGAATAGTCCGGAAGCGCCTTAAAGTGTCATATCATCCTCGTTCCTCTCTTCTAGGCACTGACAGCCCTGTTCATCGTACGTCTTCTGGGCAGTTGTACCTCCTCCACCTCACTCTCGTCACTGAAACCGCCCCAAGGCAATTCAACGTCACTCTCCTCATCGAGTCCATCAAGACCAAATTGACGATGTTGCACCTCCTTGACCTCCCGAGCTCTCTGTGCCAACTCATCAACATCAATACCCAAGCTCTGCAATGTTTCCTCCACTTGTTCGCCATCCATCTCTTCTAGTCTATGTTCGCCATCTGTGTCTGCGGTAGGTGATTTCTGGCCCTCGAGCACGTCGTAAAGAGCATAAATCTGATCGCTGCGGCGTTCAATCTCAGCCATCAGAGCGTCCATCTTCTGTTTCACAGCAAGGCGCTTGCGGCGACCGAGAGCGGGATCGTGCTTGTTGTACATCTTCTCGTAACTCTGAAGTTGAAGTTTGAGGTGCTTGACCTCGTCTTCGAGTTGTTTAAGAACAGTTGCTAGCGCTACAGGTGGTGGTTGAGAGGGTCGAATGGTGGCGTTTGTGTCGTCTATGTTACGCTCAGAGACAGGGATCGGCTGGGGGATCGTGACCTCCTTGTCCTGAGAATCCAGAGCCGGGCAGGCAGTACAGTTCAAGTTGTCGTGAGAGATATCACCGACTGCGTTTGTCATCGTAGCTTCAGCTCCCGGACCAGTATGGAGAGTGATATCAGGAAGNNGGATGAAGGCAGAGGTCATCTCCTCGATGCTCTTGCTACGATTCCTGCGGCGTGACGAAGTGCTCATGAACGATGCCTCGATCGACTCTCTTGGCTCAGAGTACGATATGGCATCAGATGTGTTAGGCGATTGGATACGCACGTTCTTGAGAAGGCCAGTATGTTCGTCGACCTGAGATCTGATTGTGAAACGTCCTGTATCGTTATTGGTGATATCCTTAAGAGAAGATTTGCGAGGTACAGCTGTCATGTTGGTCGAAGTCGCATTCTCCTGTGTTTGGTGTGCAGGTGCACCGCGGGCTGTCTTCGAAGAACGGCGTTCTTCCTCGAGGGTCTTTCGCAGTTTTGCCAGCTCTCTAGGATCAAGGAAGCTCAGGTAGGTGATATCTCTAGTGTCTTCGTCATTCTCTGTGGGTCCATTCCCGATTGGTCTAGAGAAGTCCAGATTGGTTGTCGAGTCAACATCGCTAACGTCGACGACGCGTTGAGGCTTGGAGGTGTTCTGACGGGTGTTGGACTTGGAACGAGAGCGAGAGCGAAGATTAGCAGGTGCAGCAGTGGAACGCGATCTCTTGATCTCATTCTCGATGCTATCCAGAATATTGTGCTTGGTGTCCTGGCCAAGTCTTCCGCTGGATCTGGGCTTGCTTGCAGNGCTGCTCGTTGTCTTGAGCAGAGCGTGACTTGGACTGCTTGGACTTCGATTCGCGTGAGTTCCACTGCTGTGTTTCTTCATTGAATTGAGCCTTGATTTGAGCAAGTCTGACGCGCAGACGACTGTTCTCGGCCTGTAGAGCTTCGACATCAGCTTCCAAATGTTCGTTCGAGTCGCNNGTAACTGGATGTTCTCGTTCTTAAACTCCTCGGAATTGTAGTAAGCAACGCCAAGTTGGGTAACCAGATCATCACGTTCTTGCGTCAAACGTTTGACGGCAATGTCACTGACGGAAAGCTTGCGCTCACCACGGTCGAGACGTTCTTGCAAAGTTTTGATGGTAGACTGCAACGTAGCTCTCTGGACGCGCCATTTTTCTTTGGCACTAGAATCATCGTCCTCGCCCAGTGCACTGTCGGGCCTTCGCAGTTTCTGTTCAACATCAAGGCGCGACTTGAGCTGACCAACTTCTGTCTCGTATTCTTCGAGCCTCTTTTGAGATTCGCTCTTTTCTGCTTCGAGGTTTGCAACCTTGTCCTTGAGAAGCTGTAGAGAAGCAAAGATTGCTTTCTCTTCATCGGGCACGGCGATCGAGTTGATGTTTGCGTGGGCGATGGTGTTTGTGATGGTAGGGTTGTTGTATGATGCAGAAGTGAAACGCGAGCGCGACTTTTGTGAGCGCGAGAACACCGNAGTGCCATCCTTGCGAACGCCGGACACAAGCTCGGTGATGTTTGGAAGGTCGGGAAGCATGAATGAAGCTTGAGTCTGAGTTCCGGTCCAGGTAGCGGTAGGGTTCTGTAGCGGACGCTGAGGAGTGGATGCAGTTTGCAGGCCCTGGTCGTGAGAGTAAGAGGTGGGTAGGTTTGCCGAAGTAAAGCGCGTGTTTCGTGGTTGTACAGTCTGAGTAGTCGGACGGTCTTCGCCAACAAATGAAGAGTCGCTCTCGTGGCGGACTTTGTGGTGCATGTCGGACAAGGAACGGCGCTGAGAAGCATTGGCTCTCTTGTCACTGGAATGAGCGCGTCGCAACGAAGCTTCCTTCCTCAGGCTGTCGGTCTTCCTGGGTGTAGGACGCGTGCTTCTCGGCGGAGTACTGTGCAGGTCGTATAAGCTGTCACTGGGCAGTGGAATGTCGGACATGTCGAAGCTCTTGGGGCTGCCCTTCTTGCCGCGTCCTGCTTCAATGGACAAGGAGGCCTCGGGCGAGGGTGATGGGGACTTCTCGGTAAAGTCTGGGAAGCTGTCGCGTACGAAGGACGAGTCGATGTGCATCTCGGGCTGGGGCGGGTTGTAGTAGCTGAAGCGCTGTGCACTGGATCGAAGGTTGGGCAGCTGCAGCGACTGGGTGGCCGTGTCGAATTGCTGTGTTGACTCGAACTCGGGCTGGAAGGTCGACATGGTCGACGTGTTTCCAGGCGAATGGCGCGGCGAAGGCATGCTAACAAGCAAGACTGCCTGGATATGCAATGCTGAAGAGGAAGGATGCTTGAAACTTGACACGAACACGGACGGCGCTCGAGTAGTATCCACAAGCTCGCGTCAACATCAAAACACTGCGAGTAAACACAAAACGCCAAGACAACCTGCCCGCTGTCCAATCACACCATCTCCACTTCTAGACAGCCTTCTCATCTTTACAACTCGACAAAAGCTTCTTGTGAATGTGATCATGTTAGCTCAAGCTATAGTGCATTGTCATGTTCAGAACAGGTATGCAGGATTTCTAATGAATGTGGCATTGTTTCTTGTGGCTATAGAATTACAAAGTTATTACTAAAGGCGAGCTTGTAGAGGCTGTGGTCAGATTCAGATAAAATCGTTCCAATCTTCTTGAAGGCCAGTATATGGAAAAGTAGAAATGTACGATCGGTTTCACACCAGAAGTGTGTACAAAGAGACACCGCTAGAATATCGATTCTCCTAGATGTTACTCTGCTTCTCAGACGTCTAGCAATGCACGGTTGTGTACAGCTAGAAGATATGACCAGAGAGAGCCTCCGAGCTCTCACTCTCCTTGACTAGTGGTGATAGTTGTCTTGGCACGAGAGTGCGAAGTAGAAGTGTCTTTGCAACGCTTGGTGGTTTTGGTTACAATTTTGGTCACTTCCGAAGGATGGCTCGTTCTGAAACTAGTAGACCAGGTCGTCGAAGTAGTCGGCTTTGACGAACGAACCGTTCTGAAACTGGTAGACCAACTAGTCGAAGTGGGTTTTTGCAACGCTTGGTAGTCACTGTCGTGGTTGTGACTGGAGGGCGAATCGATGTTGAACGGATTGATGAGGCAGTGGATGAAGTATGACAGATAGATGAAGCAGTCGATGATGAACGACGAGTAGAGTGGACCGTTGAAGTTGAATGACGAGTTCTTGAGACCGTCGGGGAGAACAGTAAGCGGTGTGTGGAAACAGTACTGCGGACTGTTGTGGTGGAGCGGACGTGAGGAGGAACCAGGACCAGCACAGTGCTGGAAGCTGTGATGGCTGATGTTGGCTCAACCATGTTGACGACAGTCGTGGTCGAGCTGGGAAACCCATTGTTGTACACAGTGAGTGTACCCGACATAGTGGAGTTGATTGTCAATGTCATGGTTGTAACAGGTTCTACAAGAGTCGTGTTGGTTGACGAGCTTGGCCTGATGACGGTCCAGAAAGTGGTATCTGCAGGGCCGTCCACGTTGAAAGAAGCGGACGAAACAGCGGCAAAAGCGCTGAGCGCCAGGCATAACTTCATCGTGAATGCTATACAGTGTTAGTAGATGTGTCGAAACAGAGCCCAATGACTAGGTCGTGCGAGTACTGGGATATGAGGGAGCTGAACACACCAGATATAGTACTGCGCAGAGGTGGAGGTTGATGATATCTGGTCAGTAGAGTACAATAGCGAACGTGAGAAAGAAAGATGGTACAATTGAAGCAATGCAAGAGTGAGCGTAAAAGGGAGCAAGCAGGAATTGGGTCGTGGGATGCTGAAGAGGAAAGATACCTCAACTTTGAAACTGGTTGAGGAGGAGATTCGCCCTGATCTCCACCATTAGACTTGTGAGCGGAGAATGAGAGGGATCCTCGCGTGGCAGGAGTGGAACTTTACAAAGTCTATCGACTGTTCGAGTATTCATCGTTCCACACTGCACTTACGCTTGACAGCACGCTTTGATATGAGCCCCATTTTGTATCTTTTAGCATGACTTTCCTACTATTGCGTAGAGGTGCTGTGCGATGCCTGAAAGACGGTCAGCAAAAACAGCAATGTACCGAATCTTGAACTTGAAAAGCTGTTAGACGGAAACACAAGCTTGATGATCAAGGAGAAGTATGTGAGGAAAAACACATTGATATACGAGAAGAGACTAGATCAATCCCGTGTTGTGACATAATGCTTTATGCTGCGTAAGAATTCGAAAGAAGGACCATCGCTGATCTGGTCCGTTGCTAAACAGAAGGATGACAATCATGGGATATGCTTGAGCCAAATGCTGTCCAAAAGATACAATAATCCTGCAGCCAGAGGTTGCAGCGTGAGGCGCACACATCTATTGCAAAAGATGGTCCTGGAACGGGTTAGCGAGATGTCTGCAGTTTCATGATCTGAAGGACTTACGCGGAAATGCTTTTGGTTGTTTCCTCTCTTGTCGTTGCCCCATTGGTAGTTGGCCTGCGCTCTTTGTTCATGCTTCTTCTCTCTCTTCTCAGCAGCGCGCACCTCCTTCTTCTTGACCTCACTGACACCAACCATGCCAAGGCCGCCTTCTGCGCGAGAGACGATTTGACGACCACGGTCGTGTCTTGATCTTCTGGCCTCCTCTTCGTTGTCGGAGTCGTGACGACCTTCGATGAGTCTTTGTTCTGCCCTCTCCTCGGGAGTGGGGTAGTTGCGGAGGTTTTGGCGATAGTACTTGGCGAGCGAACGGTGACCGGCAGTGCGTCCTGTGGGCAAGTGCAATTCGTATTCGTCGTGATAAACAGCATGAGGAGTGGAGTGAGCGTGAGAATGGTATCCATCTGTGTTTCTGTGAGGGCGAGGGTCCTTGTGAGAATGGTGTCTGTGGCGATCGAGGGTCTTGTAGCGGTGCGAGTGGTCATCGATGGGCACAGAAGTGATCTCGTCAGTTGGGACCGATGACAAAGAGCCATCACTCTCCCATCCTTCGTCATCCTCGTCGGCCATGTCTGCGTCGCCGTCTCCGTCTTCGGTCTCGATTGTGACTTTGGTGGCACGAGCGGCACCAAGCTTGACACCTCCTTCCTGTTGGTCGTCTGCACCGTCCGTACTCTCATCATCTTCGTCGTCTGAGTAAGTGCTTCTAAAGTCGTAGAATTCTCCAATCTCGAGCATTTCATCTTCGGTGCTGTAGGGGATCATGCAGTGGCCTCTGTCGCGCATGTGTGTCTGAATACCGGAGGCAGTGTGCTTGAGCTGACCACAGTACAAGCATTGGTGGTCATCGTGAATCTTCTCGTGGAGGTAGCTCAGGAGGCCCTCCAAGTCAACCAGGAACTCTGTTTCAGGAATGAACATGCCATGTTGCTTGGCCATGTGCTTGACGTTCTCCTCGAGGTCTTGGCAGATGGTGTTGCAGAAAAGGCATTGGTTGAGCAGAACTTCAACCATGTCATCGGTATCAGCAGCAGCTGAAGGGGCTCTGGATGAGTTGTCGTCGTCGGCAATGTTGGCTTGTTGAACGCCATCGGTGATGTGATCGACGTCGCGCTCGGTAGCAACAGAGGCGACTGAGGCAGTCTCGACATTGGAAGCAGTTTCAAGAGGTTCTCCCAAGGAGAAGGTAGAGCTCATGACGGAGCTGGCGTCGTCGGCATCTCTCATGTGCATGCGAGCAATTTGCTGTCTGTGCTTTTGACTTCCGAGGTGGTTGGCATAGGCGTTCTCACTGAAGTAGGTCTTCTGGCAAGCAGAGCAGACCTTCTCGAAGGAGGCGCGAGCGGCGGTGGCAGCGGCCGAAGCCTTGTTGGCGAGGACTTTTTCGGCGAAGACTTCAGAGGTGAGCGGGGGAAGCGAGGCGACTCGTCTCTTGAGGTTGTAACGGCTGGTAGATTGTGTCAGATGTGAGAGGCGTCAAGGCACAGGACAGACTCACTGCCAGTCGCTTTGCATGTGAGTGCGCTGCAGGTCGCTAGAACGGAAAGCGACCTGGCAGGTGTTGCAGGTGAAGGGGTGGGTGGGACCCGATGCCATGCTAGCCATGATGAGGGGTGTCTTCTGGAGTGGTATACGGCTCTATGTTAGAAAAAGATGTGAGGAGAACAAGAGAGCAGCGCGATAAGAAATGTCTGGAGGGGCAAACTTTCGCATGTCATGTCCTAAATTTCGTCAGCGAAACGCCGCAATCCCCGACTGGCGTCCCTGCGCCGTTCCTGCCTCATCGCCAAGCCAGCCTCGACCTTCTCACCTTGCTCGACCATTTTCAATCTTGAACATGACTTACTACTCCGTATAGATCCGTCTCTTCTTGACCTTCTACGTGTCTATCTTTCCGCTCGACTTTGGTAAGTAATCGTCTGAGACATCTTCTCAGTCAAGCATCGAGTTCGTGCTCATGTGTCGTTTCCTGCCGAAGCCTCGTCCGCATCGCGTTTTGCTTCCATTCTCACGTGCCCAACATCATTCTTGACAACATTGACTATGGTCATATAGTTGAGTCTTCTCTTCGTTTGGTTTTGTATTACTATGGCCACTCAATCCCCCTCTGGTCCAACATCCTTGCCGTCTTCTTTATCTCGCCGCCATGTAACTCAAGACTTGATCAATCGGTATGTGTTTCTGGGAGGACCTCATTACATGATCCGCCGTCTGATCACTGATCTTGCAGCNTTTTTTGTACAACTATACCATGGATGTGGCACTACGACATGTTCGACACCACTTTGCGCGACCGCAAGGTCCCATCGCTCGTCCCCACCACTGCGTAGCTATACTGCTGTCAGTGCTCGCACCATGGCAATCGTCTTGGCCTCATCAGAAGATGCATACAACAGTCTCTGCCCGAACCTTCCGAGTCAGCTCCCTACTATTACTGCCACTCTTCAGGACAGGGTCGACCACAAATCCATCATGCAGCAACTATTCAATTCTGAATCACTTAGGAACATTCATATAATCGAAGATGCATACTCATCGAAGTCCGTAGACGGCGAGTCTGGCATTGAGACCTCGTCTTCTGATCCGATGTCTTGCGATGACTTGACCAAATTGTGCGATACCGCACGTAACACTCGTTCCGCTATACTGCCTTTGAAGCAAGACGACCAACTTGCCTGTCTCTCTTCGAGATTACGCTGCCTGTTCTCCAGCTTCTTATCTTTTGCGCACTCCTTCTCCGACAATCCTATGGATATTCTGCCAGGCTCAGCAACACACCACTCCACAATGTATTGTATCAAACTTCATCGTGTACTCGAGTCGGTGCATGCGATGGGTGAGGACATCTCCGCAATCATTTTTGACTCAATATGGGAAGCTCTCGAGCCAGTGTTTGAAAGCCCTTTTGATTCAAAGCATTCAGAATCGCGAGCCTTTCAGACATTTCCATCTGATACCAAGGGCTCACAAGTCCCGAGCGTAGTGCACTATGCCATTCACGCGCTTACTTCTTTTGTACCACAGGCCTCGAGGGACACTTGGCACACTGTTTGGTCAGCAACTGTTAACGGCAAGGCATATGGTAAGCAGAAGCATTCGCAAGCCGATCGTGTCAGTTCACCTTGGTTGTCAGTTCTTGATACATTTGAGCAAGAGCCTGCTTTGCGTATGGCAAGACGCCTAGTCCGGGCAATTGGTGCCAGAACTTGCCTTGAAGAAACATTGAGCGCTTGTGATGCGAATAACGCAAAGCCGGATCCGCGACTACAAATCTGGAAGACTGATTGCAGGATCAGAGAATCCGTTATCGATCTACTAGTTAAAGAGGAGCAAAGTATACGGTTAGCCACATTCAAAACCAGGTATAGAGACGATTTGCGACACGGTGGCGAACTTGTTGGCACTACGTCTCTCGTTTGGCTTGAGTGGTTACGCAAGTGTTTTCTCAAAGAATGGGATGGCTCTTTGCGCATCAACAGATGGAGTGTCGCTGGTTCGGCACTTGAACTGATTGATGATCTTTGTAAGAGCGAAAGCCTGTTGCCATTACATATTACTGACATTTTCNNAGGGAAACATCGTGGTCGAGGGCAACTGGATATGCCTGCAAACCTGTTCGCATGTTCCACCGTATTTGACACTCTCGATGTTGACAAGGCAGCACAAGATTGGTTATCGTACAAGCCAAGTCCTAACTTCCATCATTTGCTATCATTCAAATTCTTGTTTGACACAAGAGCAATGACTTTGCTGGTCCGCACATCCCACCACATCTTGATGCGACACGCCTACAACGAAGCGGATGCTGTATTGCACTTACGTCGGAGAACAATGCCTCAAGTGAATTTACAAGACGTGGTATACCTCGATCGTCGTTTGAGAGCTGCCCAAGATCATTACATCGTGTTGAAGATCAACAGGCAATCTGTACTGTCTGATGCTTTTGACCAATTGTGGCACAGAGAGAGACGAGAGTTGTTAAGACCTCTCAGAATACGTATGGGAATGGATGAAGGTGAGATTGGTCATGATCTTGGAGGTGTTCAGATCGAGTTCTTCAAACTTGCTTGTCAAGAAGCTTTCAATCCTGCATACTGTAAGTCAGATTGATCCTGCTTCCTAGTCTCTGTACTAACCCACTCAGCACTCTTTTCTATTGACCCTCAGACTCGCCTGGCGTGGTTTCAGCCTGCGACGATGGTACCACTTTACAAGTATCAACTGTTCGGCATACTGTTTGCTCTGGCCGTTCACAACGGTATTACCCTACCGGTTTCATTCCCTTTGGTCTTTTACAANAAGCTGCTTTTCCAATCACCTAGCGAAGCTGATCTAATCGAGGGCTGGCCAAGCCTGGCTAGATCTCTGCAACATCTCCAGATGCATCAAGGCTCTGTAGAAGAAGACTTCGCCCGAGATTATGTCTACAGTTTTGATGCTAACGGCTTGCATTTAGATGTAAGTATGGATGATCCTTGGGATGGTTGGTCAATTTGGGACAAGATCAAATCAGGTAAAAGCATGAGCATAGGGCGAATGAAAGTGATGCGCCAATATCCAGACAAGCACCATCCGACGCCCAATTCTACACATACTGCTCAGTCTACTGCGCACAAGCTACCAATTCCTGTGGACAACACGGACTCATCAAATGACCCGACGCAATCTCAAATCGACGCTCGTGGGTATCATCAAAGCAGGTTTGAGTGGCCTGGCTGGAAGGTCGAGGTCGCGAACCCTGGCGAGTTACCTCAACCAGTTACAAACGATAATCGCCAAAACTACATTTCAAGCTATTCTGCATGGGTCGTGGACTGGTCTATTCGCCCCCAATTCAATGCATTCGCTAAGGGATTTTACTCCGTCATGAATCTCAGACCTTTGACAGTAAGTAGCTGCTCCTCGCAACAACGTCATACCATACTCACCTGCATCCAGCTCTTGAATGCCGACCAATTCCGCACCTTAGTTGAAGGCTACAACCATCTTGATATCAACGCCTTGCAAAAAGCCACCACCTACAATCACTATACAGCCACCTCTCCAGTCGTTCGTTGGTTCTGGGAGGTGGTCAAGTCCTATCCTCAAGAAAAGCAGAAGCAATTGCTCGAATTCGTTACAGCGAGCAGTCGAGTACCCGTGAACGGTGCCGAGAGTCTCATCTTTGTTATTGAAAGGAGTGACTCTGAGACGAGCGCGTTGCCTGGAAGCAGCACCTGTTTTGGCACGCTCAGACTGCCTGAGTACGAGAGCAAGGAGGTTTTGGCGAGCAAGCTGGATATTGCATTAGAACACTCTTTGGGGTTTGGACAAGCATAGATGATATTTTGTTGGATCAAGTCCACGAACAAGAGTTGTCGCTCATGATAGCCATTTGTATATTGTGCGTTGTGCAATGTGATGGTCTTTGATACAAGGTGATGGCTGCGTTGACATGGGGTTCTTTACCAAGCTGGGCTCGGCTCAAGTGGGGGTTTCCCGAAGCACGCGTTGTGCGACCTTGCCGCATGACGATTTGCGAACACTCTTGAATTCAACAACCAAAAGTACTGGTTTAACACATCTATTACCACATCTAGTTCTATGTCTATAATTATGATGCTATCTAGTGCGCCTCTATTTCCTTCGAAGCACCATTCTCCTCGTCACCAGCATACGCGTACTTGGAGAATTTTCTGATACGATCACCGAAGAAGTAAAAGCCATACGGGATCGCACAGCAAGCCAGAGCGATAAAAGCCATCAGAGTTCCAGCCCACTGATAACCGAGACGGTGGAACATTTGTTCTGTAAACAACACGACGCCAGCTCCCCAGAAGCTTCGAATGAATGTCTTTGCTGCAAGTGCAGACGCAGCTGAATGTTGATATGTATCGACGAGGTAGTTGTTGGCGCTGTTGTAGCAGGGAATGAAGCCGAAACCGATGCAGAAGCCGCCCATTGCGGGACCCATCCAATGGAGACGGGGATATGACGTCCAGGCAAAGATGAACATGCCGATTGCAATGAACCAACAACTGCACATCATTGGTATCAGACGCTGCTCTGCTGGCGGCTTGCCCTGGAACTTAATTGATCTCTTCGCATAGTCTCTGTTGATCAGAGGTGCCAGGAAGGCACTTGCGATCACGCCAATCGCCAGGGGNNGAATGAACATCAGACCAGTAGTACTGGCTGAATATCCTTTGCCTTCCTGATAAATGATGGGAAAGGCAACGAAGAACATGTACAGCAACCCGTACAAAACGCTCATGTAGAGTGAAATGAGGAAGACAATGAGCTCGCAGAATAAAAGCTGGAAGGGTCGAAGAATGAAGACACGCATTCGTTCGGCCACAGGTCTTGTGTCGAGATCAGACTCGCTGACATATCTGCTGTCTCCTGTCTCTTTTCTCATCTTCTTTGCGCGCTTCGCCAAGATGATAGGTGCATAGGTCTCTGGCACCGTGAAGACGATGAGAATGTAGACGAAGCCGGACAATATGAGTTGCAACCAATACAACCAACGCCAGCCGAGGTGATCAGAGGTAAAGCCTCCAACTAATGGTCCGATGGCTGGGCCGATAAAAGGTGCTGCTGAGAAAGCAGCCATGGGCACGCCTCTTTCGTCGGCCTTCCAGAGATCGGCAAGTGTGCCACCGACAAGGACCATGGGTGCTGAAAAGGCGATACCATCGATCAGACGACAGACGAGCAAGGTTCCGATGTTCTTAGCGACAGCACAGGGAATGACGAAGATGACCGCGATCAACAAAGTACTGGCGTATACAGGACGACGTCCCCAGGTCTCACTGAAGGGTGCGAAGGCCATAGGACCAACACCAANACCTATGAGCTGTTAGTACCATCCGGGTAAAACCAGGAGCAGGTATACTCACCCTACAACAAAGACTGTAATGGTGAGCAGGGCGACTTCTTCACTGACTCCAAAGGTCCTCTCAACGCCGATCATGTCGGCAGTGATCACAGCGCTATTGAAAGCGACAGCGAAACAGGTCGTTGCAACGACCATTGTACACCACCATTTGTATGCCTTGCTCCAGTTCTTCGGGTTCTCCATGTCACCTGGAGTGAAGGTGACAAGCTCGTAGTCTTCGGTCTTGCCAGTCTTTCTGGATGTCACCTTGCGGGCAAGAGTTCCAGTGGCAGTCTCGGTTGTGTATTCTGCCATGTCGGCATCCTCGGTGAGGGTACGGTAAGGCAGTTCTAGTGGATCTGTATCGATGGGATTCGAGGCATGTTCTCTGGTTGGGCTTGCGTGAGACTCTTCGAGATTTTGTTTGGGCTCGTGGGGTTCTTCCGGATGATTTAATGTCGAGGTACTACTCGGTGTCCTTGATGTATATGTCGACATTTCTGGGGTGTGTGGGCCTGAGCCAGGTGTAGGAAACTCGGTAAGTCGGTCGTATCGAGAGAGTAGAGATGGTTCTCCAGATGGTAGATGCTTGGATATTCATGATCCCATCAAGGAGGACAAGGGGCATTATATATGCGCAGCAGCGTATCTTGCAAGACAACATTTTCTGCGAGATAACTCCCTGATACGAGCACCACTATTACACGACGCAACTGGAACCGTATCTGCCATGTTCTTGATATACTCGAAGCGGACGCGATAGGTGAGTCTGCTAGCAGTTTCCAAAGGCGTTTTTAGATCTCGGACATCTCTCGGATCGCTCGACTTTCAGGGCTCGCGCCAAGCATGTACACAGTCTGTTCCCTCTCGAGTCTCTTGAGCCTCTCTTGCTATGATCACCACCTAGTAAGATGTTGTGACTGCTCTGATTTGAATTCATCTTTGACGAAAAGAAGTCTGCGTAATTTGGTCTGATTTGCTTTACCTTCAGCATGACCCAATTCTTGCGGTGCGTCGGTATCCCAATTCACGACCAACAAGCCTATCTGAGCTTTTGACCGAGTCTTGCCACAACAACAATAACTTCAAGAGGCACTCTGCTGAAGAATTCTCACCTCGCACGTCACGTCACACTAGCAGATACCGTTTGAGTGTTCTATGCTTGGTGCAGTACCGTAAGGCTGAACCATGTTTTGAGTTTTCGTATGCATCCCAGGATCATGCACAGACCGAGTGGCTGATCAACATATCGTCTACCTTCGAGGTTTGATGGCTCATGGCTGTATGCTGACTAGGCGCTGTATAGCAATCTCACTGTGCGACGGAAGACTGACCTCATATCGAGGTACAAGGACAACCGTCCGATCCTCGAGAACTCTTGAGATGAGTCTGAGACCGACCCAACCTGCAATCTGCTTGTTCGAAATAACCGTAACTACGTTGGAGCGGACTTCGATTCCTTGATTCTTGACTGTAGCACCGAACAGGCCGAGTTGAATGGACGTTTCGGAGACCTCTACCGAAGACACGCTATCCGGATTGCCCCGAACGTTAGCGCCTTACAACAACCTTGGCGCGATCAGCGCAATCGCAGCTTCCTTTTGATAACAGACACTCGATCATACGACCAAGTACGCAAGTGTCTTCAAGTTCCTTTACCAGCATGAAGTCCTCCGGAAATACCCCTCGTATCATCATCCATGGCGGTGCTGGAAACATAACTCGCGACAATCTTGACGCAGATGCTTATCAAGCCTACCGTTCTACCCTTCTCGCGACTCTGCAATCTTCATATGCTCTATTATCAGAGCCTGGTGCCACAGCCTTAGACGTTGCAACTCATGCTGTTTCGATGCTGGAAGACAATCCCTTGTTCAATGCAGGACATGGTGCTGTCTACACTACTGCAGGAACACATGAACTGGAGGCTTCTGTCATGGTGAGCAAAGACTATCACAAACGCGGCGTCGGTGTCATGGAAATCTCGGAAGCGAAGAATCCTATCAAACTTGCACGTGAGCTACTGGTCAGAGGAGTGGAGGCAGATGGGGGTGGTGCTGGCGCCCATGTGCAACTGGCTGGAGAAACTGCAAATAAGCTCGCACAAGCATGGGGCTTGGAGACTGTGAGTCCTGGATACTACTGGACAAAGCGACGATGGGATGAGCATCGCAAAGGCTTGGGAAAATCTACGGATCGTGAGACATATCGGAAACACAAGAGACGAGCAGATAAATGCTCTTCATACGTCGCAGAGTGTGCGGCAGATGCAAGAGATCTAAACGTCCACGATCCTTCTTGGAATGGTCAGGACTACCTTCCTCAGGGAACTGTGGGCGCAGTCGTTCTTGACAGCGATGGTATGCTTTGCGTGGCCACCTCAACTGGTGGGCTTACCAACAAGCTTCCAGGCAGAATCGGAGTTGGTTCAACGTCTTTCTTACATAATTATAGGTACTGACGACTTACANNGGACACACCCACACTAGGAGCCGGCTTCTGGGCTGAACAATGGATTGAAGAGAACCCGTTCGACCGTCCACGTGGCATGATCTACCAGCAACCTACTTTGTCACCAGCGGCAAGACTAGTCAGTGGTGACTTTGCCAATGTCCTTCAAGATTGCTTGCCCAATTTCTCATCCTACCTCCCTGTATCTTCTCGAGAGGATACTACTAACGAACAGCCTGTCAAGGCCCTCTCAGCCCGCCATGGAGTCGCTCTTTCTGGAACAGGTAACCATATATCCTGCGTGGCTGATCCTCGACCCTGTCTAACGTCCTCGCANGGCAACGGTGATTCTTTCCTCAAAACATCTGCAGCTCGTACAGCTTCCGCGATGACCCGCTTTTCCTTCCCACCTCTTCCACTGGCGGTTTCGGTATCGCGTGTGGCTGGCCCAGACGGTATACTTCAGCATAGTGCCGAAGAGCGCTGGAAGAAGACCGGAGAGGGCGAAGGTGGTATGATCGGTATCGAATATCGCTTTGGACAAGGTACAGTGGTGGCCGACTTCAATTGCGGAGGCATGTTTCGCGCCTGGGTCGATGATGATGGCAAGCAGCGCATGATGGTGTTCAAGGAAGAGTTCTAAGCGCCACACAACTGGCAAGACGCGCTTGACCATACATCATGCTCGCTTGTGGCGTTCGACGGATCGAATCTAGTGGCAATAGCATAACACATGATCGATCTTTTCGATACAAGCAAAAGCACGAGTCTCGTTCGCGACTCGGAGATGATCCTCAGAAGAATGATGGCGCGTCCCACGGGCCGACTCAAACTTTCGAGCTTTGACCTACGCTACTTTAGTGCTACATAGATCTCGGAGATTTGATAAGATGAGATGTAAATGGTTCGAGAACGAGTCGACAGCAAGGGCATATAAGTCAATGAGCGTAGCCCAGATATCAGAGACTTGAGTGTATATATGGTATATCATATGAGGGGCATATATAGGTGATCTACTGGTAAGTTTAGTGTGAGTAGTTGTGGTTCCAGAACTGCTGATTGGAAATGGTAGAAATCAGCCAGACAATCAGGCTTCGAGAGCGAGAGACTCACTTTTGCCAATATCCACATATATCCACAAGTTTCACAGTGGATACCAGATCCGTCACACAAAAGCAATCCATAAGACCTATCTCAGCCACAATTAACCAAGGTCTTCGGGTTCAGATATTGGCTCGAAGTTATGGTCAGGGTGCTAGACACAGCATGAGAATTCATCGACACAATTAAGCCGGGACGACATGCTCGCTTAGCCGCTCACTAAGACAAACATCATCACAACTACTTCTGACGTACGCAATGTCTTCCCAGCGTACTCCCGACCACAAAAACCACTCAAATAGCACGCCTGGACCGCATCCGAGAGGTGCTATCCTCAACAGCTAGGCTCCGTCCGTTGAATTAAGGTATATTCATTCGCTAACTGCTTCTGCTTCCATCAGTCAGCAGCCAGTTCACACAGTGAACTAGATNNCAATCAGACCTGCCGGGGTAGCTCAATCGGTAGAGCGTGTGGCTCTTATCATTCNGATAAAGTACAACCTCAAGGTCGCGGGTTCGAGCCCCGCCTTCGGCTATTCCTANNTACAACGCTGTCTGCTTCANNTTTTGTCCTCTTTTTTTGCACTATGTCGTTGTGTTGGAAGAGATAGCACAGGGTGTGGTGAAGTGGTGACGGATTTGAAGATTTTTTTGGGGTGGTGAAGCCTGGCTTGGCGGTCTTGACTTTAAAATCTCGAATCTACTTTTGCTGTATGAGTAGAGGGTTGTTCTCTTTCTTGTTATACTGCTTGATTTTTGTTTTCTGTATTTTCATTGTCCGTCACTCTAGAGGTTAATCCCAGAAAATTATGGAGGCAGTAAGTCTAAAGCGAAAAAGTATTGCAAATTCGATGGTTACAACATATCTTTTGTTAGCAGCTGAAAACGCGGCTCCCACTCATCTGATCAGATCATAGGTTCGGTCCTAGTGCTTATCCCTTTGTTCTTTGCTATATCCTGGATGTGTTGTTCCTTGCAACGAAACACGATGAGGAGCAGAACAGATTTCTGGTCAGTCTATTCTGTCTTTGTGGAGGTTCTTCTTTTGGTACTTCTTTTGGATGAGGTCTGAGATCTATAGAAATGCCATCTGCTTTGGTTTGTTGCTGCAGAGGTAATGAGCGAGCGGAAGTTGTGCTTCTCTTTTTCTGGCAGTGATTAGAGGTCTTCGTTAGCCACTTAAATCGAAGCTGAAGTATCAATCCCACCTACTCAATGATGTCCGGAACCACGATATTACCAGAATTGGCTAATAGCATTACAAGTAACAAGTGTAGTGGTACCAGTCATTGCTGATTATCATTATACGAACTACCTATTTATCCTGACTAGCCTCAATCATCATGATTCATTACATCCTTCTCAAGCCTTTCTTCCCGACCGTGTCGTTTGCATCATGATGTGCTGTATACTATTTGATCTGGGTATCTTTGTCTCCAATCCACGTGTCATCCAAATGCTTTTTTTCCCTGTTATCGAACCTGGTTTGAACTCCCAGCTGTATAAGATATAGGCATCGTAGAACAATTTTTCGTGACGAAATGAAAGAAGGAAACAAAAGAGAAAACGCTGTAACGAAAGATGAAGGAGATAGCGCCAACTAAGGACGCAGCAGATTACGCCTCGCTTGCTGAACTCCAAAGACCCGTGAGAAAGGAAAGCAAAGATACAAAAGAAACGAGCGAAAGTGACGTATCAAGCGAGTAAGTTCTGGACATCAGAGACTGCCCTTGTTAGGCCTGTGGTTGTTCTTCTTGGTAGAACTTGCACTCGAAGAGCCCGAGGAAGACTTGTGTTGACTGGAAGCAGAGGAAGGTCTTTGGCTCTTCGCGTCTTTTTGCTGCACGCGATCGTGTTTCTCAAGCGTGGTGGCATGAGGTGTGGATGGAATGATCTTTGGCCTCGGGTGATGCAGAGTCGGATAACCGGTCGAGAGCTGCGAAGAGCTGTTCCTGCGCTCGGCACCAGCATTGGATTGAGGAGTGATCTCTACGGTATTGATTACAGGCAGAACTTCGGTGCTGCTGGTATTTGTGGGTGTCCAGCCGTAGTAGGAGGTGGTGTCTGTGCGATCGCTCGTGTTGATGACTGGCAGAGAAGAGTTGCTGTTGTTGATGGCCGTGTAGCGGGCGTAATTGGTAGGGGGCAGCATTCCTGTGGTCAAGGACGGAAGTGCAGAGGTAGTAGCAGAGTAGTAGGTAGGTTGCGTGGTACTGGTGGAAGCTTGGATCAGACCGTCACTTCCAGAGGACACAAACATGGCGGTGGGCATGGGAGCACTATCATGACTGAGAGCCGGCAGAGTTGCAGCAGTTGCATGTAGCCCACGTGTGACCGGCGGCAACATCATGCTTGCCTCGGCAAGATCGTGAATTGATGGTTGGCGGCGCTCGATGCCGTCCGTAGGCCAAGAGGCACTGTTGCTTCTACTGTACGGTCCACTGATGCTCAAACTTGCAAGGCGAGCACTGATGGGGCTGCGGACGTCATTGTCAGAAGTGACTGGAGTGCCGACGAAGTTGGGAGCAGGCAGACGACGCTCAAGAGGCAAAGGGAGCGAATGCTGCAAAGTACTCATGTTCAGAGGAGAAAGAGGTTCGCTTGAATCGCTAGAGATCCTGGATATTGGGGTCGAGTAGTCGTAAGTTGCAGGGCTCTCTTGCTGGAAATAGCCCACTCCTGTACTAGAGCGACTCCCTGTTGTCCATGATCGAGAATCGTCGCTGACTGCGTATGCCGGAGTATCCATTTCATAGCTGTAAGCGGGGAGGGATGTTTGAGGATATCCAGATCTACCATATCCAGGCACTGATGAAGACCTGTCATCTGTCGGATATGCAGGATAGCCTGTACCGTTGGGCGTTACAGGGCTGTACGGTGAGATCGGAGCCAGAGGAGAAGGTCCTCCGACGGATGTATCAAGGTCGAAAGTTTGGCTTGTGCCTACCTACGAATGATAAGGTCAGACTGAATCTGCTTGCATGAGACAAGTGAAAAGTGAGCGCACTCTGTGGTATAAGCAACTGCTGGCCTCGACTCCAGCACTTCGACATGCCTGGCAAGGTTGACCGCCACTGCACTTGATCTTTCTTCTCCTGCAACGCGAGCNACTGAATTTGTTAACGTCTAGACAAGATTGTGCAGGGCACGGCATACTCACAGCCATGGAGGTACGTTTCCTAGCCGATCCTGAATCGCTGTCTTCACCTATGTCATGGATCGGAGTTGGAAGGACATAAGTCCTCGACTCATTGCGAGGATCAGGTCTGGTCGAGTAGGCTACATACGGAACGCCTCGATCAACAGTGTGAAGAGGACCACGCGAGGGTCGTCTCTCTGACCGCTGCATGCCGTCATAGTCATAGTGGCTTTTCTGGTAGACCTGAGCCATGTTTGTGTAGCTCGCAGACAGAATTTGTGGAAGGCAAATAACAATCAACGGGCCAGAATTTGTCAATTGAAAGAGTCAAGGAAAAATACAGCAGATTGCAAGAAAACGGAAGCACCAGAACCAGTATATCTGTTGGCAGCAAGGCAACGATGTTTTATGACGCCGCTAAGAACTGCTTTCCTGAAGCACTATACGAAGAATGTGATCACTCATAAATCTAGCCCAATCACTCGCAGGTGAGGGGGAGTGTGACCTTGGTATTGAGGTTCTTCGTGGACCGGGCTTTTGGGAGTCCAACGGCAGATCCATCAAAGCTCTGGTTGTCGTTGGATCTGGTATCGCATCAAGCCATCTCATCTTTGACGGTGGCACCTGCTTGGCTGCAGGGGAACGCAATGACCCGTGTCATGACTGGCGACAAGACCTGATAGAGGGCGGCTCCGAGGGGTTCGCTCATGACAGGCGGGGAAACGGGAAGGAGCGGACAGAACGTGTGCTGCATTCGTTTGAGTTGATCAAACGAGAGCAAAGCAAGACCTGTTGAGTTGCCACATCTGCAAGCGCAAGCGGGGCACAAGACAGCATACCGCGAGATGTAAAACGAAAAGACGTAGTGGTGCAACACGAAAAAGCCCAGACTATTTATTATGCAGCAGTCAGACAGAAAAACAATGAGCAAATGCGCAGAGTCTGTAGTCCAGCATTGCCTCGCAAAAAGTGCATGCATGTGCAGATGACATGTTCTCAGCCTCGAGGATGTTGAGAGTTGACTGTAAGCGCTTGGACGCGTGGTCGTATCAAGAATGTTAGTATCAAGCGGCACAGCCAGTTCCCAGCAAGTAAACATGGACTTTACGGTGAAGCAGAAGACTTGCGGGAAGGCACATGCCTTTAGAATCATGAATAAAGTTGATGGTCGAAGAGGTCAACTTCAGTCGATGGCTTGAACGGGAAGATATGTCGTGCTGTTTCTGGAAACAGGAGATGAATAGGTGATAGGTTGACGAAGGACAGATGACAAGTTGCGCAGCAGCAAGATGCCGATTGGTGAAGCTGAGGAAGGCGCATGAGCGGACCGGATATTGGCTACGCAAGGATCGAAAGCGGCCTCGACTAGCAACACATGGACGGATGGTTGCAGCTTGAGGCTGAAGTAAAGATCGGCCGGGACGATAACGATGCTTGACTTCTGCTCGATCAGGCGTGTAGCCAGTTAACGCTATGCGCCAGAGGATGGATTATGAAGACAGCCGAGCTACGATTAATATCAACAAGGGTTGGTGTTGACGTGAACTTAGCCAGATGATGATGAAGATGACGAGCGGTAGAATGGCATTGAAACAAGCGCTGCAGCAGGTGGACCGAAGCGGCAGACTGTTGAGAATGCAAGCGCTCGTGCAGTCAAAGGATACCTTGATACATACGGAATTATGCACAGTAAGGCAGGTGATGCGAATCATGAAAAATCATTGGTAGAGAAAAAGATGTTTCGATGGCGAACAGAGCTGCAGTGAGACAGGGCATTCGCAGGGTCAGTCCAACCGTCTGTCAAAGGCACGGGCCGGTTCGTATCGCTGAGCAGACGGCGACCAAAGGCGCTTGTGCAGGTCCACACATGCAGAGTTGAGTCTGAGTACCGGAAGGATGGAAGTGGCACATGTTACACAGAGTTGGGACTTCCTCCCACGTTAGAATAAGATATACATCGATCGCAGATAATCGGTGGCCAAGTAGCTGGTGAGAGATGCGGAATAAATGATGCATTAACATGGTATATCAGGGCCTGTGGACAATTCAGATGGGAATCATGTTTGTGCATTGCGAGGGATGAGTTCATGTTGGTTGTTGATCGATCGAGGTGCTCTTGGTGGAGCCGCGTCCGTCAGTTCTGAACGACGCCCGGACAAGGCACCGACGGTCGCGGTTGACAACGCGTCACCAGAGCTCCAACTTTGGCGCTCTCTGCGACAACAACTGAGAAAATGTCGGTCCTGCTCGAAACGTCGGCTGGCGACATCACCATCGATCTCTACGTCGATGAAGCGCCCAAAGCATGTGAAAAGTGAGTTGCGCCTTGATCTTACAACATCACGAGACTGATCAGATTGCTAAGACGTTGACGCAGCTTCTTGAAGCTATGCAAGATCAAGTACTACAACTACTCGCCCATCTACAACGTCCAACCGGATTTCTCCTTCCAGACTGGCGATCCAATTGGTCCTGATGCCGCCGAGAGCGACGGAGGCTCCTCCATCTGGGGCCTTCCTGATGGTGTCACAAAGAAGCCTGCGAAACCCGAATCCATGACCTTCAAACCTGAGTTTAGTCGCAAGAGAAAGCACACCGATAGAGGCACTGTCAGTATGGCTACAACTGCCTCACCAATCAACCCGGACGATCGCTTCGCCGCTAGTCAATTCATCATCACCCTTGGTGAGAACTTGGATCTACTCGACGGCAAGGCTGCCATCTTTGGCGAAGTCGTAGAAGGCTTCGATGCCCTTGAAAAGATCAACACTGCCTTCATCGATGACAAAGGTCGTCCGCTCAAAGATATCCGCATCCTACATACCGCCGTCCTCGACGACCCCTACGATGACCCCGAAGGCTTGGTCGAACCACCTAAAAGCCCTGTACCAACGGCTGGCCAATTAGCCACTGTACGCATCGCCCATGACGAAGAGATTGCCGAAAACACCGATCCCGAACAACTCGAGAAGCTGCGCCGCGAGCGTGAAGCACGCGCCCAAGCCTTGACCCTCGAGCTAATAGGCGATCTCCCATTCGCTGATGTCACACCTCCTGAACAAGTTCTGTTTGTCTGCAAACTCAATCCAGTCACCCGCGACGAAGACCTCGAGCTCATCTTCAGCCGCTTCGGCAAGATCCTGTCATGCGAAGTCATCCGCGACAAGAAGACTGGCGACAGCCTACAATATGCTTTCATCGAGTTTGGCAACAAAGAAGATTGCGAGCGCGCCTACTTCAAGATGCAGGGTGTGTTAATTGACGACCATCGTATTCATGTCGACTTCTCGCAGAGTGTCAGCAGACTTGCCGATGCATGGCGCGACACGACAAATTCAAAGACAGCTAGAAAGAAGGGTGGATTTGGTGGTATTGCCGGGCTGGAAGCAAAGAGACACTACAGGGAGGGTGAGAGGTATGGTGGGCGTAATAGCCGTGGCGAACGTTACGACTATGTCTTCGACAAGGATGGCAAGCGCAGAGACGACGGCAAAGACGATCGGGATAGAGAGAGAAGCCCAGTGCGCAGTCCAAGGCGCGACAGACACAGAAGTCCCTCCACGCCGTGAGCAAAGAGAGCGGGAAAGAAGCCCTAGACGTGATAGGGACAGGGACTATAGGCGAGACGATCGACGTGATCGCGACCGTGACGAGAGACGGCGCGGTGACCGCTATCACGATGATAGCTATAGGAGATCAAGACATTGATAACCTGCCATGATAATCTCTGCATGATTAACGACACTGCTCCACATCCATCTAGATTACACAAGCTCCTGGTACCCTCATACTCAGCACTTTCATCTACCGCCTTCAAGTACCCGAATAGTGTAGATGGACATCTGTGTGAAACACAAGCGTGGGACTACCAGCTCTGCTAAGTCATGATTATGTATAAATCTTGCTCTACAAGCACTCGATCAGTGCTGTAAGCATCTCAGCCACATTCCCTTCTTCCTCGGTATCAACCTCTCCAAGTTGTTCTTGCAAACTCTTCTTCAGTGTCTCCAGTCCTTCATCTCTATCTGCCAACCCTGCTATGATCCTCTTCCTCGCACCAGCATCCTCAGCAACCAGCCAGACCAAGATGACATCCAGAGTATTGAGACAATATACGGCAGCTCCTGCGTCAATGTCATCTGCAACGCCAGCCTTTGCCGCATACTCATGTCGTAACTTCACCAGTTTATCCAACTTTTCGTACTCCTTTTCCACGAATTTGGCGAGTAGACGGATACGTTGGGACGACTCGCCAGGCAGCAAACGCAACAAGGCAGAAAAGATTCCCAACACATGTTCCGTATCCGCAGCTTCCAGATTCTTCTTCATGAATGTGGAAAACAGAGGTTTCAGTCCTGCAGCATCTACGAATTTTTCCGCTACCGCTTGGCCAGAGGAGCCGGAGAGTGCATGATCCAACACCTTGAGCGCGCGCGGTTTTGAGAATTTGGCTTCTTTGAGCATGAGGAGCATCAGTTCTGTGCCTTCTGCTTGCAGGAAAGCGGTTTTGCCGGGTAGTGGCGCGGAGAGGATTGTTAGTGTGTCGAAAAGGTCTTCGGCGTATTCTTGTTCTGTGCTGTCGCGTTCGGGATCGCGTTTTCGGTATGCAGAAAGTAATTGTAGGAGTTTGTCGATTGCGTCGAGCGAGATTAAGCGATCGCGAACGGATGTAGAGGCTTGAGATAGCACTTGGAGGACTTCGGCTGCGTATTGTTTGTTCTGCGACACTGATTTTTCGGAGCGAGAGATGCGGGAAAGCAGGTATTTGAGGATGGGGTCTTGGGCGATTGTGTCTGCGATTGTGGAGTTGGAGGAGAGGGCTTCGAGGACGGAGAGGGAGTGGTAGACACCGCTTCGATCGGCTTCGAGGGTTTCGTCTAGGCGGTCGAGGTTGGCGAGGAGTAAGTCGATGAGGTCGGCTTCGAGCATGGCTGATACTAGGGCGTCCCATTGCTCTTGCTCTGCTTCTACATCGTCGTCCAGAAGTTCGGAAATGATCTCAATGGCATCGATGGCGATATCTGTGTTCTCGTGGGAGAGCAGAGAAACTAGACTTGCTGCGCAGCCGATCTTTGCAAAGTCCTTGTATAGCTCTGGGTGTTCTGACAGAATGCTCAAGCTCTTGATCTCGGCGTCCAGGTCGGCCTCGCTGGCGACAAAGCGTGAAGGGTCGCTTTCGTACTTTGCGCGCAGCTCGCTGTTCTTGTTGATCTTCCGCTCGAAACTCAAGCCTAGACGGCGCACCCATGCTTGATCTATCTTCTCTGCCTTGATGTCTGCGCCATCGTCTGCTCGATCGACAAAGTCCAGAGCAGCATTGGTATGTTGATTTGTGCCGCTGCCAAAGAAGCGGCCCTCTTCATCTTCGTCCTCGTCAGGCGGTAGCTCGGGTCCGGCCTCCATATCATCGTCTTCGTTCTCTGGCGCATCCTCGACACTGGCATCTAGTTTTGCTGATTTGTAGGCTGCTTCTGCATCTTGGCCGTCGAATTTGCGCTTGGTACCGCCGTTGGTCGAGGGAAGGAATGGCTNTTTGAAGAGGTCGTCGATGCTCGTCATGGTGGTTGTTGCGTCTGGTAGGTTTACTTGAGAAAGTTGGTCGCATTTACTGAGCGCATCTGTCCTCCCCGTGTACCAAAGTCTGTAACTTCTCCGTACTCCGACTCTAGTTCAGAGCAAAATCTAGATTATAAAAAGGCACAGTTGTTATCAGAAACAGAGCGTATCCGCAGAGAGTCGACAACTTGTTGCCTCTCAGTGGATACTATCTTGTTTTCTATTATTATTCTGCATTTCTACAGGTACACGCGTTACATACTTTAGTACACTGGGAGGGTACAGCTCCAATGTTTGAAGTGTTTGCACTTCACCATCGCTTCTATCGGCTTTAAGCAACCCTGACCATTACCACTGACCACTCATCGCTAATCACACTTTTCTTGGACTATCTAGCACGACAGCAGCAGCCTTGTAATCAATTGGCAGTGTACATATCATTTAGGTTCTCTGGCAAACAACGGAGAACTCCTTCTTCTGGACTATAGCATTACTGTGGTGCCACCCTCTTGACCACTCTCCATCCAGAATTTTGTGGCAATTCTCGAATTCGACCACATGGATGGTCAAAAGTAGCAGCAAACAGCGTTTGTATGACTTGCCTGATTATTGCGTCCATAAATTCGTCGATGACTCGAGTGGCTTCGATGCTGCGTCCAATCACAAATAATCAATATTTTATATGATTATTATTTTACTACTGTCGCGGAGTCCGAGATCCAGTCGCACCTTCTATAAAAGTTGACCTGCCGACAAAACATCTCCTTTGTTGTTCCATCTCGATCCTTCCTACTGAGCAACACTCATGCAGAACACACGACCTATCACCAACCTCAACGCCAACAGTAAGTCACCGCATCTCACAATCTTCCTCACTTGATATCCACTTCACTTGGTCACATACATACTTGAGACTCATCGAAGCCGAATCACATACATGCCTTGATGTCGATCTTTGCACCTCTTTCGGTTACCACACAACCTTCGAATGGCGTTCACTAACGATATTGCCTACAGATCATGGCCGACGAACTACAGATTGACGGTACGCCTTGGTGGCGGAATGTGAACATGGCTAAGATCGAGAAAGCACAACGCCTGTCGCAGTCGCAAAAGTCGACATCAAGACCTGCATCACCTCCTTCAACTTCAGCAGGTGCTCCTTCTACGTCCAGATCAGCAGCTGCCGCACCAATTGCACCACTATCCTATGTTCCACAGCGCAGAACTGATATGCCTGCCGAGGACACCATGGAAGGCGGCGAGCGTCTCGATCTTGACTTGGAACATCCCGAACCTCCACAATGGTACAAGGATATCGACCGCGACAAGGCCAGCAGAGCCCCAAGAATTCCTCCCGGCATTGANCGACACCTAAACAAGATTATGGAAGGCATNCAAAAATGTAACAATGCTGCAGCNAAAAGAATGACTCCTAACCCCGAGGAGTTCACGAAGATCAACGATGGTATCCATCGTGCTTTCTTCTTGGATCTCAGCGCAATGGCTATCCGTCAAAGGGTNCTCTTGTTCAACGCCAGTGGTCTGCCACAAATCTTCAACTCCACCACTGTCGACTACCCTTGGTATATCAAGGAGGACGCCGCCGAATTGTATATTAAATGGTGGCAGAAAGATACCAACCCCGACCTTTTCCGTGGCATCATTCTAGGCCGCACCAAGAATGTCAGGATCGGCCGTGAAAGTGCAGCCGACAAGCTCGATCCCAAGTACAGCAGAAAGAAGGGCGACTTCCACGGCAACGGTCACCTCCGCAACGGCCAATGGTGGCCCACCCAACTTTGCGCTGTGCGAGATGGCGCCCACAGTGCAACAGTTGCCGGTATCTGTGGCAGAACTGACGAAGGCGCATTCTCGTGTGTCATGTCGGGCGGTAGCTACGCAAACATCGACAAGGGGGATGAGGTGTGGTACTATGGCACAGAGTCCGACGACCCCTCTCGTCCTACAGATTCTACACAACACATGATCGAAAGCTTCCGACTGAAAACGCCTGTCCGTGTGCTTCGTGCATCGAAGATGACCACCGAGAGCCCCAACCCATACAAACCGAAAGAAGGAATGCGATATGATGGTCTCTACAAGGTCGTGGATTACGAGGTAAAAGATTTGGCCAAGCAGGTTCATCTGTTCCATCTTGTGCGTGAGCCTGATCAAGGCCCAATTCGCAACTCTGGCCACGAAGTTCGTCCAACTCCTGAAGAGTTGGACGCTCTAGCAAAGGCCAAGATTGAGAAGCAGTATTTGGCTTGAGGAGAAAGTTTGTTGTTACAGACAATCATGAAGAAGTATTGATCGCAAGATGGTACTTGTACGGTTGATGGAGGAGTAGTTATAAAGAGAGGGTTTGTTTTCTTGTACAGAACTTCCTTCCTGTTGTTCTAATTCGTTGTTTCATTACAACTTTCTCAAGCGGATTGTTGAACACATGTATTTTACAAAAACAGACTGTCGGTCCAGCAGTATTGAGAATTGTGGAGAACACAGAAATCATGTACATATTTTAAACACCAAAAACATCTGCCTACTCAAACTCACTCAATTGCTGATGCTCGACAATGTGCAACTAGAATGAGAATTTGCATGTCATACGCGCGTGCGCAACGATGCCATTGTTACAAATATCGAAGAACTCCAGATCATAAAAGCCATAAAGACATCCACATACCTCTCACAACTCTACCTTCAACAGAAGACTAGAGCCATTCTCCTCGCCACAACACTCATGATTTCCTCGCTTCATGCCCCCCTCCATCATTCATACGAATACAAGAAGCCCATACCACATGCTCCGCTTACTCCAAAGCGATTCTTCCGTCATGGCCCTCGGCAGCATCCAAAGCATCAGTAACAGCCGATCCCTCACCCTCAAACATGAAAGCATCGTACACAGCAGCACCAGCAATGCAACCAAAGATAGGCACAAACAGAGGAACCAGGAAGTAAAAACCCTTGGCGGAGAAGACTTCGCGGCCATAGATGATGGCTGAGAAGGCACGGGGGCCAAAGTCGCGGGCTGGGTTGACAGNCCTGTGTGATACTATGTCAGCATATGCTTTCCGTTGAGATTCTGGTAGAAGGTAGGGACGGTGGAGAATAGATGTGAAAGGAGGGAAAGAGTGACTCACATATCCAGTCTGCCAACCCATAGAAGCACCAATAGCAACCATCAAAGCAAACATCATGAATTGCGGAGCCTTAAGCCCCTCATTTTTCGAATCTGCAACAGCAGAAGCTCCAAACGCAAGCAGCGAAGATCCCAAGAACTCCGTGACAGCAGCTTCCCAATTGCTGTCAAAGTGCGCAGCCGGGTACGTAGCAAAAATACCCGCAGAATGATGACCCTGGGGTGACAAAATACTGCCTCCAGGAACAGTAAATTCAGGATCCCAGCTCTTGATGGCAGATCTGTATTGGAAGTATACCAAAGCAGCTCCCACAAAGGCACCGGCAAATTGAGCGGCGATTTTGCCAGTGAGTTGGCGCCATTGGAGTTTGGTGGGGCGAATGATGGCAGATGCAAGAGTGATTGCTGGGTTTACTGCTGCGCCGATGTAGCAAGATAGAGCGACGGCAGAGGCCCAAGCCAAGTTTACAGAGAGGAAGTTGGCGTAGTAGAAGTCTGTGAGNNGGACGGCTTGGGCGACTACGCCGTCGCCGATGAGGATGAGAAGAAGTGTACCGATGAATTCAGCCAGGTAAGGGCGAAGGCCGCTGCGGTGCAGGGATGCTGGTATACGGACAGCCATGATTGTTGTCGCTGATGAGAGGAAAAGGAAAAGATGTCGTAAAAGTCGTTTGATTCAATGATCAGTTCACACGAAGGGCTATGTTCCTTTATATGCTAACAAGGTATCCCTCTTGCAATGCAACTGTCGTCGAAAAGCCCTGCCCAAGCTTGGTCCAAGCCCATGTTTTCCTTTCACTGCGCGCCCAGCGCCAACTCGGCATTTTCGCTGGGCGTGAGTCTTGAATGAAGATCGTCGTCGTTCACCGTTCGTTTCACCATCCCTTCGGAAGAACATCAGGCGGAATGGCACAAAGACCCTTCGAGAAGTGCGGTGAAAATCGGTCCTTTTGGTGGAACACGGAACTCGGTGGAGGTTCAGTTGAGCCTCACGATGACGGTGTCAACCCTAACGAAAAAGTCAACGTCGACGACTGTCAACAAACACCACCCAAGCTCAAAAGAAACCAGCATTGCAGATAAATACGAGTAACAGTAGAAAATTGTATTATTTTTGCTGATGCAAGTTCTATCATCGTGGCTCGAAGGAGTGAAACAAGACGCCTAAGGCATCATGGAATCAAGCTCCAGCTCGGTGCGCCAGACCCTGTCAGGCGGGCGAACATCCTTCGAGCCCAATCCAAATTTCGTTCCAAAACGTGCCAACAAAAGGTATATCCGTGGTCGTCGTCAACATCATGAAAGTGGTGAAGAATAAGCGTCATTTCCTCACACCGCTGCTTCAAGAGTATCTCTTGAGGGCAGGGCTGCCGGCGCAAGCGGGTTGCGAGAACTTGGTCTCGACGTACACCTNTTGCATGCCATCCTCCTTCTTGTCAAACATGTAGTAGACCTTGGCGAGGTCCTCCATGGCGACACGGTGGGTGACCATCTTCAAGGGGTCGATCTTGCCTTCTTGGATCATCTTGAGGAGCTTCTCCCAGTAGAGGTGGACGGGAGCTTGTCCGTTACCGATCAGGCGGATACCGCGCTCCATCAACGAGCCAATGTTGAAGTGGTTGGTNNCTGTAATAAGGTCAGTTTTGTGTTGATAACATGTGTTGTGGTGAAAAGAACTCACGTAGCCGACGTAAACACCAGTGATACCGCAACGTCCGTAATTCTTGACACTTTCAATCATCTCGTTGATGATCTCAGGAGTGTCAGTCTCGAGACCAGCCATGAGCTCAACGGTGTGAGCCCAGCTCTTGGGGTATTCTCCAGCGACACACTCGAGAGCGACATCAGGGCCACCGTGCTCCATCTTCTTCAAAGTACTGACAACAGTCTCGCCCTTGGGCAGGTTGGAGAAGTCGATGGTCTCAATGTTGGGGTACTTGGACTTGCAGAAGTCGAGACGCCAGTTCTGGTCAATGACAATGACACGCTTGGCGCCGTTCATGTAGCAGAAGTCGATACACATCTGACCGATAGGACCGGCACCCCAGATGGCAACGACATCGCCCTCCTTGACACCAGTGTCGACAACGCAGTTCCAGCTGGTGCTGACAACATCGGACAGGTAGAGACCCTTCTCATCGGGGACATCATCGGGGAGGTGGAGAAGGTTGACATCACCGCAAGGGACACGAGTGTATTCGGCCTGACCACCAGCGAAACCACCAGTGAAGTGAGAGTAGCCGAACATGCCAGCAGTACGGCCACCGTACATAGCGTTCTCGATGGTGTTGGAGTTGGTCTTCTCGCATTGCGATGACAGCTTCTTCTTGCAGTACATGCACTATGAGAGTACGTTAGCATGAAACTACGGCGAAGGCAATAAGGTAATACGCACGTCTCCGCAAGCAATCTGGANAGAGGCAACGACACGGTCGCCGACCTTGTGGTTCTTAACTTCAGAGCCGACCTGATCGATGATACCGCAGAACTCGTGACCAAGGATGTCGCCCTTCTCCATCTCGACGACCGAGCCGTGTAGCAAGTGGAGGTCGGAGCCGCAGACAGTGCTGCCAGTGATCTTGAGGATGACATCGCGAGGCTCGATGATCTTGGGCTTGGGGCACTCGATGACCTCGACTGTGTTCTTGCCCTGCCAGACCAAAGCCTTCATGTTCTCGCTCGGGTCACCATACTTTGATCTGTCTCTTCCAGGGTTGGTAACGTCCTGGGCGGTGATGGCGTTGTCGCCGTGGCCAATGGCCTTCTCAGCCAGGGCTGCTGCTTGTGTTACTGCTGCCATTGTGTATGTGTTTTGTGTGTTAAAGTATTGTAGATGAACAGAAATGCAAAGTGAATTGTGACCGGACTCGAGTTGCGACTTTCATGGGTATTTGAGCTTGACAGCTCGTTCCTCGTCTAATTGCTACGTCAGGTTGGTTGCATCGCCTCGACGTCACCATATCTTTGAGGATCGAAGCTGCGGCTGGCATCCATGTTCAGGTTTCGCTTTCATTGTTCATTTACGCAGCTTTAGAAAGCTCGTTTAATCTATATCAACAACTGCCGAGTAGGTCACCTTCCTAAAGCTAGGTGACCTGCTAACTCAATCCTAGAACCATGACTGGTACTCGACTCGATCACGGAAAACCTTGGATGACAACTCCAGCCTCAACTCTTCTGACATCATCCATTTTGAATTCCCTTGCCCGCGCGCGGGGCACTTCGCGTGGGAAAAGTGGGGCATCGACACCTGTCAAGCACCGAAACATCGCCCTTGAGGAGTTTCTTCCTACGACCGACAACGTCTGCAAGCTGTACTATGTGGTGAAAAGTATTCGCTGATTTATGATACTAGCTGGATCATCATGCTACTTGCGTTGTTTAATATCACATATGGAATGAACAAAGACAAACCTTGCCCGGCCTGGCTAACAGCTCACCCGACGTCTCTTAGACAAATATTGAGGTAGACGGGAGAAACTCCGAAGCATTGGACCACATGGTCATGTCATGGTATGGACAAGCGGGTAATCCTCGTTGTCGTAACAACAGGTCAGGCCTCGTTTTCGGGTCGCTTCTCTTCTGTAAAGAGAGGTAGTTGGCGGGAGCTCAAGACGAGTTTATTCATCTTCTGAACACCTTGTTGTGTCATCATGTACGAAAGCTTTGCTTGCTCTGCTGCTTGTATTGCGGCGTACATGTTTCGCTCAGCTTCCACAGCGTTAGTGACGGTATCGAGTATGACTTGGGCAAACGATGTCATCCTTTCTTTGCGAACAAGGTCGTCTTCCTTGGAGGCTTCCTGACGAAGAGTAAGTCCCAACTCCATCAGCGCACCCGTGTCGCGTTTTGCCTTTTCCATCTCAGTGTCTTGAGACGATTCGATCGCACCGACGTCGTGCTTCGAGCTTGTATGACATAGTAAAGACTTGTCCTCCTGGTTCGCCTTGGCGGCAGCACTGTCGACCGCAACGATTCTCTCCTTAGATTCCGGTAGTGCAGACGTCGCAGGTACAACCGGCATCGCAGGCAACTCAGCCATGTTAGGAACAGCAGGCACATCCGGGACGTCGACTTCGACTGATTTGGTCTTGCGACTTCCGACCGAGAATCTCCTCCCACTGCAACCAGGCGTTGGCGCAACGTCTCGTTTGCCGGTCAAGAAGTCCTTGAGGTTGTTCAAAACTGACTTGCCCTTCGATGTGCTTCTAGGTCGGGTTGGTGGAAAAGTGCCATCGCGGGAAATCTCGATTGGTCGTGACGAGTGACGGGATAATCTCATGTGTCCATGTGATGCGCGTTGGCTCGTTTCTGTCTTTGAGCTAGACTTCGACTTGACAGTATCATGGCCTGGTAGTTGATTGCCAGCAGTGGGACGGGCTATTGGTGTCATGCTACGGGAAGCGGTGGAGAGAAGCGCTGAGTGACCACTTCTACTTGTGCCACAAAGTTCGGATACTGTTGTTTGACTATTGGATGGTACAAGGGGATCTTTGGTAGAACCAGAGATAGTGTCGGGTCTCGTGGTCTCGGCCATTCGATCAGCGTTCAAACCTGGTGTACTAATGTCGTTGCGGCGAATGTCTGGCGGGTGAACAGCAGAGTTTTTACGCGCTTCTGAGGCCGGCGTAGGCAGCATATATGAGGGAACCCGACTGTTACGTGCGCGTGAAGAATCTTGAGCGATTTTTCTGGACGTCATTTGGTGTGGTCTCGCTGTATTTATGGGTGGCTTGGTGGGGTTTGAAACAGCAGGCAGAGATGAGTCTGCACTAGTGGGCGCACCTTCGAGTATAGACAAAGTCGTTTTGATGTCTTTCTTCTTGCTTGCGTTGTCCGACCTTGCGCCATCNNCCCTGATAGTCAGAGTTTCAGGTTTGTAGCCATCATGTTTTTCGGAAGACTCGGTACTTGGCTCAGCTGTTGATTGTTCGCTCTCCTCCGAAATCTTTGAAAAAGCCTTGGGACGTACAGAAGGTGAACTCTGGACAGTTGGCGAGTCTGGGCCATCCGATAAGCTGAAACCAAAGTCCGCAGGCCAAGATACATGGAATCCGTTCTCACTGGGAGAAGGCAAATCAAATTCAGCTTCTGTGGGAGCTGCCAAACTTGTCTGCGATCTGAATGAAGGTGTACGAGCTCCTTCTCCAAGGATGAGTTCGTCGGCTTCTTCGGAGATGCTTAATGTTGATCCAACAAACGAGCTAGACAGTAAGCTTCCCGAGAGTTGTCTAACTCTCGAATACTCAAAGACATCGTCAGCGGCACGGTCTTTATCGCCAAAAATGAGTCTGATAGGGCTCAGTCTACTCTGCTCCGAGGGAGAAGGAACCCTTGGGGGCAAGTTACGCCCAGCTGAAGTAAGGGTTGCCACAGATGATGTTTCGACATTAAAGTCTTTGCGTTTCGACGAGCGAGCACTACCGTGATCAAGAGTAGCGAGATCTGCCGGATTGCCCAAGCGTCGACCAGCAAATGTTAAGATGTCGTCAGCCACTGGCGACCTTGAAGTCATGCTAGGTGCACTGCAGACAATCAACGGTGTACTTTTAGACGATGGAATCCTAGTCATTGAGTTTTGCGATTCTTCACGAACAAGTCGCTGTGGTACAGCAAGAGACGTGACACCGGCCGTGGCCTTGTCCGTTTGGTGAGCTCTAGGTCGTGAGAAGCTATTTGTATCAGGCGTATACTTGTGTTCTTGTTCCACTATAGATGAGGGCTTTACCAACGAAACCCCTATGCCCAGACCCACATCGCGGTTTCTTGGTTCTGGTGTTTGGAGTGAAGAGGATCTCGGTGGATGGTGCTTTCTGGGGTCGGCAGAGCTAGTCGCATTGTCCATTCCACCAGGAATCCCGAGCGAAGAAACAGGCGAGACGAAACATGGTGAGTTGACGTTAGAAGGTACAGAGTCGAGTATTGGAGACACGACGACAGGACTGTTGTGGACAGATGAGCGTGGTAGCTTGCTGGAGGATTTGAGCTTCGTGCTCGAAGTCCTGTTTGGAATTGAGTTCTCACGGCGAGCGATCGATCGCTCATGGGGAAGGTGTCCTCGTTCCTGGTTCGGTGGGGTGCTGGGAGTCTTGGGCAGTGATTTGTTCAGGTGGCTAGTCTTAGCTTTAGCGGGTTGAGTGTGCGTCTCTGTCGTCTTGGCTGTTGGAGAACTTGGTTTACTTTGGCGAAGTGATTTGGGAGTTGATCTGGTCAGCGGTTTTAAAGCAATGAACTGTGATTTGTCCTTCAGAGATGCTGTTGAGGGCCGATGTAGGGGCTGGCGTCTGGCAAACGATGCGTTCAAGCTTTCGTCCGATGTGACTGCATTGAGGTTTCCACGAACCGAAGTCCTCGAGGCCGTTCTTGGGGCGTCAGGGAGTGTTGCAGATGTCGGCGACGATGATATTGTAAGGTTCATTGACGACTTGGACGAAACCAGCAGACGGGAGGGGCCAGATGCTGGCGGTACATTTTCATTGTTGATGCGACTCCTGTGCTCAGGACCACCGATCGGGATGCGACTCTGTCTGTTGACACTTCGGTCTGCGAGTGGTGTCATTGTGAAATCAGAGGTTGCTGACAGCCAAAGCCTGATTCAATCCGTCCAAGATTCTTTGCTGACGTTGCTGTAGTTCAGCAGATTGGTGTATTAGTATTAAGTATTGCGTGTCGTAGCGGACATAAGAAAGAGTCGAGATTATTGAAAGAGTGACATCGAGCTCCTGGCAACAGCGATGGAGGAAACGCAAGAATGAGTGTGAGTTGAGAAATTTGCAGAGAGTCAGTCGTACTTTCCACTGTAATATCATCCTCCTACCCATAAAGGGCAGCCACGGCGATCAGGTCAACGTTGAACGCTTTCGTACTTTCCTCATCACGAACGATGTTTATATCCATATCAAAATAGGAAGTCTGGAGATGAGCAAAGATGGCCGTTGGCGAACATCTAACGTTCGCGTGTTCTTAACCACAAAGAACCAAATCCGCAACGGCTGCTGCAAGTAGACATCAATATTCGACTGACAGGGCGTCAATTTACCTTGACAGTTACTTAAAGCTGTAAAAGGGGTCGTTGAGCAAAGACTGAACCGAGAAGTATACTCGTTTTTTGACCTTCGTGTCGAAATGTGTCTTCTTGGGCCACTCTTCCACTATTGAGCAGAGGATGTATTGTTCGCTAGATGGGGTCTTGGACAGGAGTCGAGGCCGCCCTTCCTAAGGCCGATTGCTGTTGCCTTCAGAGTTCCTCACAAGACGATGAGTTCAGGTAAGATTAAGAGGACAAGATCTCTCCTACATCCAACACTCGTTTTTCTACGTCAATCACCTAGTCTAGAGACACTCTTAGCAAGTGGATGTCAAGACCGGTATACTGAGACATAAGACAGCAGGATGTGCAAGCCTCGAGCCGAAGGGCACGCTTTAAAAGAGAGCGATTGAAGAAGGGAAATGAGAGAACAGTAGTGTCTATCACCAGCGCGCTGTCAGGAAGGAACGGCTTTCGGCAAAGAGACACGCCGACCGAAAGACGGAGCGGTAGGGACACACCTACTGTGCGTACCATGCCTCCAGTTGCACTGAAGCAGCGAGTCGCGCTCCAAAATCTCGCCTTAGACCATCGAGAGGATGATGACACGATTCGAAAGTAGGACATAATCCGTAGTTATGCTGGTATTCATGTCTATTGGTAAGCAGGAGCACATCGCAGATCAAGGTTGTTCGGTACCGACGCCCGTGGCTAGCAAGCTATGACCAGCTTCATTTTCGAAATGTTTTGTTTGACAGCTTGTCGAGATTCGAGAAGACTCGGAGACAGGCGGCCCCTTTGAGAACACTGTGTTGTCCTCATTTCCAGAAAACAAGGACCATTTTCCTTCTCTTCTCTTCAACACCGACACCATGTTTGGAGACAGCTACACTGAGCGCAAAATCGACTTCGTGACGGGTCATACTGGCAGTAATGTGTGGGACATCACTCGAGTAACACTGGTCGCTCCGGTAAGATTCAATGCTCTTCTTCAGCTGCGTATAGCAGGCGAAACGTTGATCAAGATAACCAACTAACACGATAACAGNGCTGCGGCATTGCTCTGGGCTGTTCTCCAAACTAGACAGAAGTTTTTCGATCCTTACACGACTTCAGCATATCTGACAGATTTCTTGCTTCAAGTCGGGGCTATTCTCTTCGCCGTCACGGCGTATGCTGACAGCCCCTCTGTGTTGATCGGATTTCTTCTGATCCCAGCAATTGGTACTCTTGTCAATGGCGATAATCTCGAACACAGATTCACCAAGCCTGCAAAGCCTCCTGTAAAGGAGGATGATGCCGCTGGACCCCCTGAACCTGTTGATTTGGTCCCTGTCAAGCCCTTCATCACCACTTACAGAGGTGCCATGATGATCATCACCTCTATCTCTATTCTGGCTGTTGATTTCCCTGTCTTCCCTCGTCGTTTCGCAAAGGTCGAGAACTGGGGTGTTTCTCTGATGGATCTCGGTGTTGGTTCTTTTGTCTTTGGTGCCGGTCTCGTTTATGCTCGTCAGCAACTCAAGGAAGAAGACGAGGATACGCCCAAGGTTCCTTTTGCCAAGAGGATGAACTCTGCCGTCATGCATTCTTTGCCTATGCTTGCTCTCGGATTCCTTCGTCTTTGGACCGTCAAGGGTCTTGAATACCAGGAGCACGTTACCGAGTACGGTGTTCACTGGAACTTCTTCTTCACTCTTGGACTCCTGCCAATCTTTGTCACTGTTCTTCAGCCTCTCATCAAGTTCATCCCTTCGTACAGTGCTCTTGGCTTTGCGCTGCTCGTTCCTTACGAGATGCTGTTCGTCTACTCCGACCTTGGTATGTTCATGTTCATGGCACCCAGGGACGACTTCATCTCAGCCAATAGGGAAGGTATCTTCTCTTTCCTCGGCTACCTCGCCATCTTCATCGTCGGACAGGGCATTGGTATGGAGGCACTTCGCCGTGACGTCAACGCTGCCACTCCCATCACGCAGAACGATGAGTGGGTTGCTGAGATGCTCGGTGGAACGGACAGCTTGAAGGAGGTCCGCAAGACTCGTGAGCACAACTCAATGCTCAAGCTTGCCAAGTGGACTGGTCTCTGGATTGTCGTTTACGTCTTTTTGACATGGCACTACGGCCCTCGCTTGACTGTTTCGCGTCGTCTGGCGAACCTGCCCTACCTAGCATGGGTCGCAGGTTTCAACTGCGGGCAACTCCTTCTCTTCCGCGTCATTGAGGGCATGCTTTTCCCTCTTCTGTACACTTCCCGCGACAGAAAGGTTGAGCAGGAGCGTGTTAAGAAGGCAACCAGCAAAGTGCTCAACGCCTTCAACCGCAATGGATTGGCAATTTTCTGCCTCGCCAATGTTTTGACTGGTGTTGTCAACATGACCATGCCTACCTTGGACATGAACGACTACCAGGCCATGGCAGTTTTGATCAGTTACATGGGCATCTTGACTGGTGTCGGTTTGTTCTTGGACCAGCGCAACATCACCATCAAGCTGTAAACAAGCTGATGGCCCAAATGTAAATAGTTTCAAGAAAACGTGTAGACTCATTGATTTTGTGATTGTTTCATCTCTCTTTCAGATCCAACAACATGTTGCACTTCTAATTGATACACAACAAAATATGTTTGAACGTGGTGAAAGCTCGATCAGGCAGCAGGGTGACAAATCCAACCAACCCGCCAATGACCCCTCCAAGATTTCCCAAATTCATCCACCTCTCTGTATCGCAACAAACAAGAACCAATGTAAACCTCAAAGACCATGCCCTCGTCGTCGCCAGCCCCAAAAAGGCGCCGCGTAGACTCCCTCGGCATCCACAAACCCTTCGTCTCGCCATTAAAGCGCAATCCCTCAGCAGCCACAGACCAGGCACCAACAACCAGCACTCCAAAACCATCCTCACGGATAGCTGCTCAAGCGCCTGCAACACCATACACACCCCTCCGCAGCAGCAATCTCAGAACCTCTACACCTGCCCCCCACTCCAATCTTCAAGATCCTGAAGTCGTACAAACGCAACACCAAATCCGCGCCCTCGAATCCCAAATCCGCGACTTGCGCAGTCAAAACGCTGTATTGCAACAAGCCCTCGACATCACTTCTGTCCCTACCTCTTCATCACCAACCACAACACCACGCCTCCAGCGCCTAGAACAAAAATGGCGCAAAGCAAGTCAAGCAGCAGCCGAAGAAGTCTTTTGCTCTTTCTCGCAGACCATAAAAGATAATGGTGGATACACTGTTNNTTTCCTCAAACAACAAAACAAACCAAAGAATTTCTTTGGGGAGGAGCAAGAGGTTGGGGATGGGCGTAATGAGGAAGATTGGAGAGATGAAGATGGTGATTGTTTGACGGAGAGGGGAAAAAAGCAACGTAGAGGGGAGATTGAACAGAGGGCCAAGAAACAACAGGAAGATGCAGAGATTGAAGAAGAGGAGGAGGAATTGACATTNGGGAGTATGTTGCAGGTCTTGAATATCCCGCCTGAGGTTATTGGTTGGGATAACAAGACGCTGGCATGGAAGTGATGTATGGCCTGACTGCCTACAACCTAAACACTTTGCTTGAGCTACATTGCTATCTGGCACATCACAGTGGAGCAAGGCTGCCACACGGAATGAATATGGGAGGCATACCGCATACGATTACCCACGAAACGATACACAGGATTCACGATTGACGATAACCTCTTCTTGCTTTTAGACATGATACCCCAATACAGCCTTTGTTTTCTTTCCGAATCTCCTATTCATACAAACTCTCTCCTCTACGCCCCTGTGATACACATTCGAACCCAACTTTGAAAACATTTGGAACACGCCATGTTTGACAGCTAACAAGGATGCACTTTTGTGTTGGGAGGAATATGTTGTTATCGGAAGCAATGCTGTCTTCAATGCTATTCTATTCTACTCTGACCCTACCTGAAACACTGCCATGAATTACCTCTGCAAATCCTCGAGCTTACAATGTATCAGCAGTGAGATGGTTTGCCAGTCATATTGCATGGTATGGAGGGGTGATGAGGAGAAGGAAAGTCAAGCGAAGCGCAGGGATGAAACGGACCTGCCGCCACATGCAGGTAAACACAATATCCCACACCCTTTGCTTGACTTTCTATTCAGCATACTCAAGCTTTGTTCTCTTGAAGCTTGTAGCTTAAGCAGTCATGCCAGAATCAACAACATCAGTCTCCAAACAAAACATGTCAGAGTATACACCTCATGCAGTAGAGCTGGAGACGCCTTCGAGATCTTGTGTTGACGGCAGTCCGCAAGCGAACTTGGATAGCAATCCTGTGCAGGAAGCCCGTCGAGAGAGTCGATTCAGCACTCTTCGAGTCGATACTCGTGTAGCAGAGCCTCCCCAGTCCGGATCAAGAAGAGTATCACCGTCTGGAACAACAAGTGAGTCGCCGGCGTCGTCGACATCAAACCACAGTCGACAAGACTCTACTGCATCATACACACCCTTGCGCAGTGCCAGAGGATCACTTTCGTTAGGTGTAAGCTGATAATGAAGACCTCAATATCACCACATGGATGGTTGATGACACACGTAGGGAACCGCCCATCATTCAGTCCTGTCGCGGAGATCATCGGTGTCACAATCCGGCGTCAGCAGAGAAGCGTTGGCACTACCGCTCGCAAACACGGATACACTTATTCTCGTGCCGGACGCAGTAGCAAACAGGTCACCGTTGAGTACGCAGACAAACGCAGAGGGTGCCGAGATGACAGAGAGCCAGACACGGCAGAGACCAGCAGAACCTAGGCCCACCTCTCGTCGACGAAGGATGTGTCGTCAACACCGAGAAATACGTAACACGTCAATCATGACGGGCATACTCTGTGTACTTCTTGTGATAGCATTGAGCATGTGTAAGTCGTCTGTCCTTTTGTAATGTTGGATGGCTGAGCTGACATGTCGCAGACGTGGCAATGGCGATACCNAGAGTCAACGACATTCCTGCCAGCGTCCATGTCTTCATAATTGGGACGTTCGTTGTGATAACCGGCTTCATTCTTCTCTTCTCAGTTCGTTTGCACAAAGCCATTGGTCGACATAAGATGGACAAGTCTCAGAGTGCAGGTGCTCGAGACGGACGTTCAACGGCTGTTCGACCCACAGAGACGGAGGAGAGCTTGATTCCGAACAGTCCAATTATGGTGCAGTACGAGGCGGATGAAGATGTCGAGAGAGCATCACAGGATTCGAGGGTCAATGTTCGACCTCCACCGCCAGCGTACGGCAGGTGGAGAGGCAGCTATCGCATGGATCCTGAGCTTTTGCATTGGAGACGAGTAGGTGATGTTGAGGAGGGCGAGCAGCGCAATAGCGTGGACACGGCGCCGCCAATGTATGCTTCTCCGCTGAGGCCTGTTCGGACTAGGCAGGACGGAGTGGTGGGAGTGACGGAGATGGTCGAAGTCGGTCGGGCGTGCTAGTTGGTCTTGTTAATGACTTACGACTTTATGTCTTGCTATACCTATAGTCGCTTCAGATATCGCTGCATGTGAACATCATCTCGGACAATCCACCATGAGATGCAGTCACATGAAGAAGAGAGATTTCACATGAAGACGTTTGTTGGAGACTTGGAAGAGCAAGAGTGTGATGAAGCAGACAAAATGGCACCGTCATCGCCAAGAAATTCACATGCATGTCCGATGCCTCGGCTCCCCGGAATTGGTATGCACGCATGTTGATGAGCTCTCGAGGTCGTTCCTTCCTTCTCTTGCACCATTTTACCTATACTCGAGTTCTCTCTGCTTTCTCACTACTACAATCAGCTCTACCATAACGTCTCGAACAGCTTCCCATCCATTTTCCACCCAAAACCGTCACAACACCAGCACAATGTCCATCGCAGACTGTAGGCTTCATTCCACCTTCACCCTGTGAGAACCCAAATACTAACACAAGACCACAGCCAACTTCCCCTCCTCAGCCGCCTTCGACGACATCAACTCCGCGCTCTCCTCCGACTCCGAACGTAAAGACGCCATCAANAAAGGCGGTGCCATCTTCGCCTTCACCCTCAAGAACACAAACGGCGCCCAAGAATCCTGGCACATCGATCTCAAAGACTCCGGAAAAGCTGGCAAAGGCACTGCCCCCGATGGCAAGAAATCTGCAGTCACTCTATCCCTCAGCGATGCCGATTTTGGAAAACTGGTTAAAGGAGAGGCGAATGCCCAAAAGCTGTTTATGAGTGGAAAGTTGAAGGTTAAGGGTGATGTTATGAAGGCTACTAAGATGGAGCCCATTTTTAAGAAGATGCAGAATAAGGCAAAGCTTTAAGGTACTCTCTGGGAGGTTGCTGCATCTGAGCATCGGTACATGCGCATGGCGGCTATGTTTTGACTGGGAGTTTCGGATACCATGGGAATGACATACAATGACATCGTTATACTTCAGTGCTGCGTGTGTCACTTGACTTTGTGATACTGCTTGTCGTAGTTGGACAAGCTATGAACATGATTGATGAATACTATTCACACTGTCTACCCTGACATTGACATACAACAACGCGTACATACCAAGGACCGACCTCTAATCGAACTCCAAATTATGCTTCGAAGCCAGGAGGGTTGTACATACGGCAGTTCCTGGCAAGCTTGTGTATGGAAGTCGTGATTATGCTGGACTATCCATTCTTGAGATTAGCTTCAGGCATAACAACGATGAAACTCTCACATCATACACACATACCCATCAAGGTTGCTGGAGCCTTACACCAATTCTTCCGTCTCAAACTCTGCAAGCATAGCTTCATCGCGGCTTGCTTGCGATTTCCTTGACCATTGCCATATCTTTCTCGCCAAGTGCTCTGATCTCGGCCAGAATTTGTTGCTGGCGCTCACTCTGCTTTTCAGCAAAGTATACAGCAAAGTACACTCCAATGGCCGAGGGAAGCAACGTCACGGGAAAAGGCTTGTTCCATTTGGATGTCAGGACAGTATCTGTTCGAAGTGATGTTAGCTGAGCATTGAGGAGGAGTGCTGATGGGCGTTAGAGACCTCTTATCCGTGCCCAGGCAGACATTGTCGTAAGTCTATTTGCAAGAGTTCTTGTGTGTTTCTGACGTTATAGTTGGCTTGAGCTGATTGGCCTGATCAGATGGTCTCGTGCTTATTGTCACAAGCTGGTATATGCAGGTTAGTGTAGACAGAAGAGAGACGTCGTGCGAGACGTCGTTGACCTACGGACCGATCACTAGCGCCATTTCGGCTATCAGACTGCTCTCAATCGGGCGTCCGGACCGTGTTGCTTTCTGATGATCCCCAGATCTGCTTTCCATGTTTTGTCAGACATGCGGGGTGCTCGAAAGCTTGAGATGACTCCTGCTGATTATCTTGGTATCTTTGGGCATGACAAAGCAACGGTACAGTATCAGCCGAAGTGGTGGAATGGCTGCCTAAACAAAGGCTTGAGTCTTCTGAGTCATCGTCCTTCTTTGGTATGTCCACACGAGAGGCTTTCGAAATGATGTCGAGCGAGCCGTTGCTGCATCTGAAGGCACATGAAAGAAGAACGGGAAACACGGCATGGGGTAAGCTCATCGAGTAAAAGCAGTTGATAAAGAATGCCGAAGACGGCCAAGGCCGGTGTGGGTAGAAATGTGGAGGTGAAGCACAAGGAGGGCTTCATGTTTCCCGTCGGAAAACCGTCGGCGGCAAAGGTACTGCTTCACCACAGCAAGCCACGCCCGCCTCCGTGACCGGCAGAGGAAACAAAGAGTTCGTGAGGAAGATTGAAACTTGCTCTGCTGTCAGAGTTCCAATCGGAAAAGTTGTTGCTTTGTAGTGTTCGCTGCGATGCTGTACGAGGTCAGGTATGTACAGAGTATTGTTTTGAACCAACCTTGTAGGGCTGACCTCGCGATCTGTAAGCGTTGTCGTATGATAGGTCATGAACGGTTTGCTGATGCAAAAGCCATGCAATAAACCTAGTACAAACCACCGGCAACACCTCCTGTTGGCGATCATCATTGACTAATCTTTGGGCTATACCTACTGTTAGCGATCTTGTTGAGGAGTGCTTTCCTTTAGATGCTTAGTGGACATGGACACGTTCGTGAGCCAAAACAAAGGTGGGAATGAGACTCTTTTTCGGCATATGTCCAGAGGACTTGTATCATGTTTCAAAACTTCCCATTGCATCGAGAAAAGCAGATTTGGCACGAGGTAAACTGGTATGCTGGTCATAGACCGAGGAGAATGTAGAGAGCATTCGAAGGACGGGAAACAATTGCGGAAAGCGCTTGCGGATCAGAGGTTTCCCCACAGACTTTTGTCGTCAACCAGGGCGCGGCATCCCGTGTCCACATCCGGCTAAAGCATCTTACACCTTCTTGCGCCTTTCATGTCAAAAGCAGGGCGCGAGTGATCGAGCAGGGCGTGGCATGTAGTCGGGAAAGGTGAGTCAAAATTTTTCAGAGAAGTGGAAACATCACATAAGTAAAAGACGTGCTCTCACGTCGAGGTAGGTCCACATACTCGCTTTTCACCTTCCATCGCTCTTTACCTTCCAGGTTGAGCAGTCAAGTATATATTTGTACCACGTCCACATACAGAAACTATCCCCGCACCTTGAGTCCCATTGGTTGCCCTTCCTCCGGCTGAGTACTTGTCGTATCTCGACTCCAACACTATGTCCTCCGCTTCGTCTTATGCATCATCCCACGGTGCCATGGCATCCAAATTGCGCACGCTAGCATTGGGATCGAAGCCTCACGTCAACATTGTCTTGCATGATGAACGACCATCATACTCAACCTTAGATAAGCTTTCTGGCAAAGTCGAGATCGCCGTTTCGCACAGCACGAGGTTTGATGAACTCGAAATCCAATTTATCGGTATGTCTTACAATGTCGTGTCACTTTCATATGATGACTGACCTTCATCGCANGGTACGACCAAGACATTCTTGGAGAAGATGCCATCCACGCCTGGTTTGGCTGGTGGCCAATCTGCCTTTCATCAATTCCTCAAACTCCGACAACCTATCCCAGAGTCAAGCTATCCCCAACCCAGAGTACTCGAACCAGGACGAACGTACGAGTTCCCCTTTGTCTTTGTTGTTCCTCAACACCTGCTTCCTCGTGTCTGCAAACATGAAGTCCATCACGAATCGATCCGTGATTGCCATCTTCAGCTACCGCCAAGCTTGGGTACAATCACAGCCCACAACGACATGGGTCCGGACATGGCTAAGATCCAATATCAGATTGCTGCTCGTATCACTGCAGCCAATGAGATAGATGGCACACCAAAGCCCTTGGCAACAAGGATGAAGACAATCCGTATCATTCCTACTGTGAATGAACAGCCGCCAGTCAACATCCTTGGCGACAGCGACTACATCTTAAGGTCTGAAAAATCCGTCAAGAAGGGTGTGTTTAAAGGCAAACTCGGTACCTTGGTCATCGAAGCCGAACAACCAAAGTCACTCCGACTCCCAAAATCTTATAAACCCGAAGAAACAACCATCAGCACAGTGGCAATCGTAAAACTACGATTCGACCCAGCTGATGCAAGCTCACAACCACCCCGCTTGGGAAGTTTGAGCAGTAAGCTCAAGACAACAACCTGGTATGCTACTGGCGCTCGCATGGACATCCCCAAAAGGAAGGACTGCCTCTACGACCACAGGCAAGGCTTGCATTCAGTAAGCATAGGTCTATCTTCGCGCTGCATGGGCAGTGTTGAATGGGTCTCGCGAACAGAGTCAGCATCAGACGAGGCACAGCTTGCCCGTCGTGACTCTGGTCTTTCACACCAAGAGGTTCCNCAATATCCCAGCCCTAGTACGAAGTACAAGGGTGACAACTTCTGGACCGCAGAGATCGTAGTGCCGGTGGCGCTACCCAAAGACAAGCATTTCGTGCCCACATTCCACAGCTGCCTCACCTCGCGCACGTATTCTCTCAATCTTTCACTCGGTATCCATTCAGCTGGTGTCGGCTTTCCTTCTGTGGATTTGAAGCTTCCAATTCAAATCTCCGCTGAGGGTAAGGGTGAGGTAGATGCCATATCAAGAACTTCTTCGACCATCGAGGAGCGTTTGGCGGAGCTTGCAGCGGAAGATGAGCTTCTTGCAGCAGAACATAGAGGCAGTTGGTCATACAATGACCTGGAGACTCCAGAATCTACCGACCTGCCACCAGAATACGAGGCATACAGAAGACCTATCGTTACTGTCGCTGGCTAGACTGATAAAAAATGCATGGTGGACAGGGGAGTAAATGAGACAGTATAATTATGGGTTCTGGTCTGGCGCTAGCATTTTTTCGATGTGTTCTTTTTTCTTTTTTCGTCCTAAAAGATACCCGCAGGTTACTGGTTTTGATGAGGCATGACTATTAGGCAGACCATAGATCTAATTTACGAACATGTTACATTTCTTTAAGCAACATTTTGAGCATGGTACTCATCGGGTGTCCTCAACAGAGGCATGCGTTGCGAACAGTTAGTAACTCAACGCGTGCCGAACGCGAAGCTGTAGGTTCTTCGGACACCACCTGAGTAACGCTCCTTCCTAGATCGTCTCTTGTTGCCTTATCATCAATTAACCTGAACGTTTGGAAGGAAGGATTCCTGCGATCGTCGCGATAAGGCAACGCTGTAATTAACCGAGGTTGATCTTTAGACCAGCGCACTTCCCTACGATGTAACGTCGCAGGACTGACGAGAGACGGAGCTTCCTCCATCTATAATCAACCAGACGCATGCCATCTTGTTTGACTTGCACGTTTCTCGCAATTCCCCATCCATTATGAAGGTCAAATCACACACAGCGGAGCAAGGGTTTCCCGCCTCCGGAGTTATCAGAGACATGATTGAGTGCGTTACTGCGGACGTCTCCGATATTGAGCAGTTCTACAACATCACCTTCTCCAAAACGCGGATCTACCGCTTGGAGGACTATTACCGCGACAAACTGGCCGAGCTGGCAACTGTTCAATATCTCTTCTTGCACCCCGAAGATCGGACCGACTATATACTACTGGAGAAATACTTGCATCAACAACGCGGAAGCCTCGCGTCCTTGAAAGCTTCCCTCGAGGAACTGAAACCTCTCATCGAGCCGTTTGCATCTGGACTGGTTGTACTTATCGAACGCAGACAAAAGGTAGAGCCAACTACCGGCAGGTATGCAGCAGATGTTCTTTCGTCTGTGGCTCAGGATTTAGAAAAGAAGCTTCGCGCAATCAGTACCGACGAACGGCCCAAAGACCCAGGAGCTCGTTTTGCAGCCTATCGCGCGGTCAAATGTCTGGAAGAGCTTACAGGAGCGTTGGAGGAATGGACGATCTTCTACAAAGGATATGATCCAGACTTCACATGGTGGACGAGTGCTCCTTTCCAGGAGGTAATCCGACAGTTGAACTCCTTCCAAGCAGCCGTGACCGCTAATTTGGTTGGAAGCTCTGTTGGCAGCTCTACTGATGACATAGTTGGTCAGCCCGTCGGAAGATCAGGTCTCCTAACAGATCTCGATGCTCAGTTTATCGCATACAGTCCCGAAGAGCTGATCGAGATCGCTGACAAGGAATATGCCTGGTGCAAAACTGAGATGATCAAAGCATCTAAGGCATTGGGATATGGAAAAGACTGGAAAGCTGCACTTGAGCATGTCAAGAATCTCTATGTTGAACCTGGCCAGCAAACGCGTCTTGTCCACGAACTGTCTAAAGAGGCAGTAGCATACGTCAAACGCCATGACATGGTCACAGTCCCAACTATAGCCGAAGAATGCTGGAGAACTTTCATGATGACACCCGAGCGACAAAAAGTCAACCCGTTCTTTCTTGGAGGAGAATCCCTCATCGTGTCGTATCCAACTGACACGATGTCGCACGCAGACAAGTTGATGTCTATGCGCGGAAACAACAGACCAATGTCCAGAAGTACTGTCTTTCACGAGCTGATCCCCGGTCACCATCTCCAGATGCACATGATCGCCCGCTACAGATCCTATAGAAGCCTCTTCACCACACCTTTCTGGATCGAGGGTTGGGCTTTCTACTGGGAGTTCATTCTGTGGGATCGTGGCTTCGCTAGCACTCCAGAAGAGAAGATCGGTATGCTTTTCTGGCGCATGCACCGCTGTGCTCGCATCGTTTTCAGTCTCAAGTTCCATATGAACCAGATGACACCTCGAGAATGCATCGACTACTTGGTTAACAAGGTCGGGCATGAAAGAGCCACCGCCGAAGGTGAAGTTAGACGAAGCTTTAATGGCGATTACAATGCCCTGTACCAAGCTGGATATATGCTCGGAGCACTCCAAATCTATGCCTTGCGCAAAGAGATGGTAGAGAACGGTGATTTCTCGGAGAAGGAGTTTCACGATCGTATACTCAGGGAAGGAGAGATGCCTATAGAGATCCTTAGGGCATTGCTGCAAGACAAGAGACTGCGGCCAGGTCACAAGGCAGATTGGAGGTTCTATGATCTCTAGACTATGACTTCGCCAAGCACGATCTGCGTTATAGCGTTCCATCACGTTTCATCTAGCCGCGTTCTATGGATAGTTCGAGTAATGTCTGTCTGAGCAGGTCAATCTCGATCTGAACAAATGTTGTTTGCTGGGCTCAGGAATTGCTAAGAGTTGCAAGGCTTCTGCATGCTTGGTCTGTCTGTTGGGAGCTGTTCCCCTCATTATCACTATATTGTGATGCCATTGCAGCCCCGCATGTTGGCCTATCAGTGGATTGATGATCGGCCGAACCACTCGTGCTTCTCGATTGGACAACGAATACGAAGAAGATAGCAATATCGAACAAGATACGATGTAACGTTACATGATCGTCGGCACTAATCCTCATGATCCTTCGCAGGTGGTATCACCTTACATATAACAACAGTCTGGATGTTTGAGTTGTCCATCTGGCTTCGTACTGGCATGTCAACATCTGACGTCCATCGAACACATCGGAAAATGAAAGTTTCCATATCGGAAAGAAACCATGGCGTCGTTGAAGAGGTCATCGAGGCCCGACCTCAAGTACTTGATGATGTTGACAAGTTGCANAAAGTGCATCAATACGACCCAAATCTTCTAGAAAAGGACGCACAGATCTTAGACGAGGCTGTCAAGACCGGCAATGTCGAAAAGGCTCTGGAGATCGACGAGTCTTTCACCAAAGAGTCACCATACGAGACAGTGCGTGCCGCCGTGCGAGAGACAGATGGGGAAGAAACTGCCAATACAGTACGAGCATGGCTTTTGGGTTTTATCTTCGTTACTCTCTCAAGTGGAATTAACATGTTCCTGAGCATGCGCAGTCCAGCAATCACCATTCCCACTGTTGTCATTCTGCTGGTCGTGTACCCTTGTGGACAATTTCTTGCGAAGGCCCTTCCTACAAGGAGATTTAAGATATTCGGTCTAGAGTGGACACTCAACACAGGTCCATTCTCGATTAAAGAGCACACAGTTGTGGTCCTCATGGCCAACGTCACGTACGGCTATGCATATAGCACAGATGCATTACTCGCATTGAAAGCAAAATCGCTGTACAATCTTGACATGGGATGGGGTTTCCAGCTTCTGTTTACTCTCAGCTCTCAAGTCATTGGTATCGCTTTCGCTGGTGTCTTCAGACGTTTTCTTATTTGGCCTGCTGCTCTCATATGGCCCGCCAACTTCTCTATGACAACTCTTTTATATGCTCTTCATGACAAGAGCAGGCCTGATCCTGCCAAAACCAATGGTTGGCGAATTTCTCAATATCGCTTCTTTGTCTACGTTGCTCTAGGCTCTTTTGCGTACTACTGGTTGCCTGGGGTCATCTGGCAGGGTTTGTCGGTTTTCTCGTTTGTCACCTGGATTCGACCAAACAACGCTACCATCAACCAACTATTTGGAGGGTTCACTGGACTTTCACTAATACCACTAACATTTGACTGGACATATATAACAGCATATCTCAATGATCCACTGCTCAGCCCGACATTCTCGCATCTCAACACCATCATTGGGCTTGGTGTATTCATGATCATCACAACATTAGGTGAGTCAATAGAATTTAGTTCTAATGTTATGCCTGACAAGTTNCTAGGTATCTCATATACTGGTGCGCTTTACTCCGACTACCTCCCAATCAATACGTCCACCACTTTTGATAACACGCAGGCCAAGTACAATGTCACAAGAATCCTCGGTCCTAGCTACACTTTCGACCTGGAGAAGTATCAAAAGTATTCACCAATGTTTCTTGCACCCACGTTTGCTCTAAAATATGGTTTGAGTTTTGCCGCTCTGATGGCTGCAATAGTACATACCATTGTCTACCACCGTAGTGAGCTCTGGACCCGACTACGTCTTGCTAGACAACAAGAGCCTCAAGATGTCCATATGCGGCACATGGCCAAGTACAGGGAGGCGCCAGATTGGTGGTACGGCCTGCTGTTCCTCATAGCGACGGCTTTTGGACTCGCTACCGTACTAGGCTACTCTTCACAATGCCCCTGGTGGGCGTACTTCGTGTCACTAATCATTGCGCTCGTCTTCATCGTTCCATGTTGCATGATCCTCGGCATCACCAATATCCAGCTGTCACTCAACGTCATCTCGCCATATCTTGCTGGTTTCATGATACCAGGACGCCCAATTGGAGTCATGATCTTCAAGGTATACAGCACGATCGTACTAGGACAAGCACAAACCTTTAGTCAAGACCTCAAGTTGGCGCATTACATGAAGATACCTCCTCGTATCACCTTCTGGTCGCAGGTCGTTATGTCCTTGTGGGCTTCCATTGTTCAAGTGGCAGTGATGAACTGGACCTTGAGTAATATTGACAATGCCTGTGCTGTGGACCAAGCTTCCCACTTTACATGCCCGAATGGCCGCACTTTCTTNTCGTCAAGTATCACTTGGGGAGTCATCGGACCTCAGCGTATGTTTGGATCTGGTTCCATCTACGCCGCATTCAATTGGTTCTGGCTGCTTGGTGCATTGCTGCCAATCGCCTTTTACATCTTGACCAGAGTGTTTCCACACAAGCGATTACGCTTCCTGCACGCTCCTGTTATGCTCGGAGCTATGTCCTGGCTTCCACCTGCAACTCCACTCTCCTTCACGTCTTGGGCATTGGTGGGTCTAACCTTCAACTGGTGGATTCGTAGACGATGGAATGGGTGGTGGAGCCATTACAACTACATCACAGCTGCTGCATTGGATTCTGGACTCATCATCTCCACACTGATAATCTTCTTCGCCATCACACTGCCAGAAGTTGAAGTGCCGAATTGGTGGGGCAACGTGGGTGTGTTTGAAACTATGGATGCTTTGGGTACCGCGATAAGGAAGACTGTTGCTGATGGCGAGACTTTTGGGCCAAAGGTATGGTGATAAATATGAAGATAGATTGTCAGATCTTGTTTATATCGTCGTCAATTTGATAGCCGAAACGTCCGGGTGCTCAGCAAACATCTCTGCGACCCTTTCGTGTACCATGCCCATAGTAAGACCTTGTTCGTTGCGGATCATAGGATCTCGGAGCTCAGTAGTCCGACCAACATAGTCTTTCGTCTCATCCCGCTCGTCCCAGATCGTGGCTTCTAGAGCCAAGCAAGGTGGTTGTGAGAGTAGCATATTTGAGATGTTTTGTCCTTGCCCAGTCTTTGCTCGAGCCTTCAAGTCAGGTATGTCGCGCTTCTCAACGATCATGTATGCGCAATGTCTGTTTCCGCTTGCTTCGAAGCTGAGATGCCAATAGCGGAAGTGGTAGTTCTTAAAGATCGTTTGTATGACTGGGTTCAGTACGGGTGGCTGCAATAGTGATTCTGTCTTAACGCCAGTTTCGTTGTTTCCACTATGGCCTTGAGTCCATGTTCGATCAGTGGTGATGTCCGGAAGCAGGAACAGTGCTCGTTGAATCGATGCAGACTGCTCGATGCTGACTTTCCACTGTTTGCAAACTTGAGTACAGCGTAGCAAATGTCGCAAGATTTCTGCGTTGTTGTATACTCGTGTGCAACGGGGGTCCTCTTGATATCTTAGCGGTGTCAGGTCTTCCAAGAGGCAGAGGAGAATCGGTTCGAGCAGTTCAGGCAGCGCAAAGACACGCTCGGCAGACGTCGCCATTATATGTGTGATATTCTGTCACTGTATTATTGTGTTTCAATCAGATACTCCGTAGTCTGCAATCAATTGAACATGTCGTGTTCATGATTCATCAACCCGACGTCAGCAAGAGGTCGAAGCACAGACCAGGTGTTCGTTCTACATCAGTGACCACTTGCGAACGAGTCTATCTTCACGCTTTCGCACTTTCTGAATGGCTTGTGGTTGTCTACAGCATCATGAAAATCAGACCGACTGCTACCAATCATGTTCAAGGCTGCCTCGTACTGCTATGACAATGATCGTCTGCTAAGCGTAACGAGCTTTATGTGCAATACAGCGATTATATGAACACTCAATACCCGTGAGCCCTCACATACTCTCTATGCATGACATCCGCTAGTGCACCGCCCATGACAACATCGATGGGAGCCCAATAGGTTCTACCTCGACGTAAGGCATATATGCGTAGCGTCCAAATCGCCACACCAGCAAGCATGCCAAACCCAACTTGCTGACGCACCATCTCTTCGTCTCGACCACGCTCGCGTGTCTGACTCCACCGTGGGATGAAACGCCTGTACTCGACGCCGAACGCTTGACACAGAAGTACAACCGGTGTAACGATCAAGGTTGATCTATGCATAGCCATCAATGTCCTGGGGTTTTGGAAGACATTTGCCGAAGCTGTGAAGCCAAAGTCGTTCAGTTGTCGTATGTAAGCTAGGGCACCTGCTCCGGCGACAAACGGCGCTATATCAACGCATGCTGCTTCGAGATCTTGTCTTTTAATCAATGGTGGCAGATTTCCGACGTATTTGGTTGGGTTTTGACCGGGTACAGGGTGCCAGGCATTGTCTTCTGCTGTCTTGGTTGTCCAGAAGAAGAGGAAGCTTAGATTCATAGTGATACAAGTGGTGGTTCCAGCTTGTTAGATCGCTTGCGGGTTATGTGCTTGAATCTGATTCGATTCAGGTCCTCGATATATTGTTGTGGAAAAGTCCGAATGCAGTATAACGCTTCCAGGTGAATTGATTGGTTGTCTTCCCAATAAGTGTGCTCGATAACAGGTACAAGTTCGCAGCATCAAGAAGAGTTCAACTTGATGTCCATCCTACCTCGGCTTAGCGCGCCTTGGCACCGTCATTGACTTTATGATAGGAGCAGTGATGTCTTCAAAGCCACACAGAAGTTGAGTCTGACAACTGCAATACTGGATCCATGCCTCTTGCAGGACAGACTCGATCCAGGAAGGACTTGGGTCGGACTGACAACAATACATGATTGCACATAACAATCTTGCAAGGTTGTTCCGATTTGGCTCAACTTCCTCTGTTGTGCTTCGTCTCTTCTGACGTCCGTCCTCAAGATCACGAGTGCTTTCCTGCCTTTGCAAAAATGCTCTGTGACATGCTGGTTCACTGAGATTCATATGTACCCGCCAGCATCTCGAGAAAGAGAATGACAAGTGATAGACCAGACATTGAGCAAGCCATGTTCCGGGGTGCTCAGGGTAGGCTGTGACTGCTCGATACAGAGCCAGTGGGGCTCAATATGGTGGCTGTAAAGTGCTGCTTGTATACGAGCGGCAGAAGTGAGTAGAACCGGCTCCGTAGCAATTCGCAGATTTAACCGCTCCGGTTGACTTCTTAAGCCGCTGCTCATGCTCTGAACTCATGCTTGAAACCTTGCTTCTGAGGTGCTTCATCGAAGAGCTGCGTTTCTTGCCCTGGCTTCTTATCAATATTGATTCCGAGCCCTTTAGCTCGCGCCCTCAGATCCTTCATGCTGGTGACGCCTTCAAACCCTTGAGGCATTGTGTTCTCTGTCTCTCTGTAACAAGGACTGCACAAGTATTGTTCATCAGCGCTCGGATCTCCAAGATTTATCCCACGTTCCGCATGATCAGAGGATTCGCCAATTCGACACCACCATAGCTTGCGACCGTGCCTCTGAGTGATCTTACAGCCCGTACAATAGTGTTCGGCTTTCTCGGGGTAGAACTTTGGCCTGTAAGTCGTCCAAGGCAGCCGATCACGGACCCAATCATGATGAGAACACCACTTCAAGAGTCTTTCCCAGACTCGAACAGATTCCGATTGTCTGTGCTTGTGCATCCGGGCTTTTGCGCTCGCAAGCAGTTTGTCTCTCAACCCCGGATCCTGATACCTTCGAGCCATATAGATACTCGAGGCCTCTAACTTGCGCAGGCGATATTCTGGATCAGTGTAATATCTCAACTCTGTGGTCGGATGTATCCACTTTTGAGACTTGGTAGANNGGGTCGAAAGCAGACGGCTCTTGGCTGCTGGCCAAGTCGCCAGTCTGAGAAGTCCGCCAGCTATCCACTGCTTCGAAGACATTGATTTTAATAGGTGACACAGAAGTCGGCTTGTCGAGTGTAAGAACAGGAAAGGGAAAAGGCTCGGAGGTGCGGCAAGTTTCCGTGATTAGGCGGTGAGATTCTGCCGGATACGGATGCTCTGTGTATCGTCGTTGACCAATGTGACTTCAGTCTCTATGGTTTGCTTAGTCCTAGCTCTTTCGCGCATGCTGTGAATTCCTTCCAGCTTGCAGCGTTCTCGAAATGCTCAGGGCACGTTTGCTCCCAACCTAATTTTAACCAGCATCGAGTGCAAAGATACTTTGCCGACTCCGACGTGCCCGACCACCACAAGTTGGCTTTGCGATCCTGCAGGTTGCAACCTGCGCAGAGATGTGTGATACGCTCGGGATAAAATTTTGGTCTGTAGGCTTTCCACGGCAAGTCTGCTTGACCCCACCCGGACTGTCTGACCCAAATTCGCAGATCTTCGAGTCTGCGATAGTCCTTGTCGGTTCTCTTTTTCATCACATAGTCTCTGTGTTCTTNTTGCTTCTTCTTATAGAACTCCGGGTCTACAAGCTTACGATTTCTGGTGTATTCAATGGCAGAGTCTAGGACCTTCCTGCGATACTCCGGGTCCGTATGGTATCTCAACATTTTCGAACAATGTTTCATGCTGCAGGAGCCATTAGAGAACAGACGCATGTTGCCTGCTTGATTTGACGAGGTTGCCAAGAGGTAGATCGGTTTCCAGAAACTTGCAAGCATGGTTGCGGTCGTTTGAGGGAAGGTTTGCATTCCAGTGCCAGTCAAGTTGATAGGGATATTTGTACAGTTGTTGCGAACATTATTCGCGAAGGAAGTCGACTGAAATTCTGCCAAGGCGGTGTCATTACACCCACCCTGACTATAATGAGTGACCCTGTCCTTCGAATACTCTTTGTGGTCTTTGTCCTTGCAATGCCCGTTAAACAATATCGACGTCTTCTCTACAATCGAGATTTTCCCATCTCCAGTTTAGGAGGAGTGTCTCTATCTGCTTTAATGCATGATCTTATGGGTATCTCCTTATGGCTCAATCACTTTCGTGCAGCAGACAGTTTGGCGAGTTGTCTCCAGCATTAGATCATTATCAACACTTCTCTACATGCATTAATCAAGAGTCTACATTGGCCGACGTGCCACTTTGATTTAATCTTCATGGTACTCAAGCACTGCCACAGCCGGTAATACTTGTGCGATTGAAATACACATCAATGGACTTGATATGCAATACAGCATCCTTTGTAGGGGGACCAAGCGTCCAAGGTCCGTTGTTNNTCTGTAGAGACGATTAGCCTTGATCTCAATTCCAAGCGATCGCAGTCGTTTTTACTCACGTCCACGAGTTCCACATCCAAGCTCCAGCTGTTCTGGGCACAAACTTGGTAAAGGTCTGCAACAGCTTTCCATCGACATAGTAGTCGGTTCTTCCAGGGACCCAGTCAACACGATACTCATGGTAAGCAGCAGATGTATCGGCTACAGCACTGGCATTGGACAGCGCATTCGAACCATACCAATCCTGGTTCGTAAAGTGAACGTGTGTGGTATCTCCGGTCTGGATCTCAATGTCGGACTCGTTGTTGTCATCGCTATAGAAGAAGAACCCGCTGACGGTACCCCAGACATTGGGAGTCTTTGCTACAGTGCGCATGCTTCCGTACATAACATCGTTTGCGGCGGTGGTAATTTGGGCACTGCCACAGGGATTGGCCTCGGTGCAGTTTGGTTGACCTCCAGGCACAGTGAGGGTAAGACTGCCGTCTTTGCGATCAACACCAACGAGGGAGGGCTTCCAGTATACGCCGTACGGACCTCCATTACGGTCTGTTGCCTTGAGAGTAGATGGAAGTGTCTTCCAGTTGTTGACAGAGATGTGAGAATTGAAGCCTCCTAGATTAGAGACTTGGTAGAGGCACCCGTCGAAAGGTGCGGTAGGCGATGTGTAACGCTTCTCAAGAGGNNGGGAGGCATCGCTAAAAACAGCAAGACCGGCAATGCCGGCCAGCAATAGAGCAGAAGATGAAGAGCAATGCATCTCGTTATTGCGAGGAATGACCGAGCTGGAAAGTGCCTGTTGCGATGATGCCTGAATTTTACTGAGTAGCCACAACACACCTTTTATACTCTTGACCTTGTAAGCGCTACGGTATGATGGCCTGTTCACAAGCGACTACAAGAAGTCATGCTTGAGCATATATAGTTAGTCTACGTTATGCTTCCTCGAGCCTCTAACCCCACCAGCGTAGGTACTTGTCATGACTGACTATAAGCCGCACTAACATTGACTCTCAGACAGCCACATGAGGTTAGATGGTCACAGCAAGCCAGTCAATGGTTGCTTGAGCAAGACGTTGCGACAAATTGAATGCAACGTGATTGCGCTAGACGTTGTCCATGTTGGTTGCGTTGAAAACCGGTGAACGCGTTCTGAGTCGTCTCGCGCCGACGGCTCGACGCGAGCATAGTACGAGGTGCAGCAGACTCCAGTCTCGAGCTCGAGAAGTGGATAATGCAATTTATTTCGGCCCTTTGTTAGGCCGTAGAAATTGTCGGTGCTGTAGCATAGTAGAAAAAATGCATGCATCGTGCGAAAGTGTGAGGTTCAAGAGGGTGGGGTCGGCGCGAAATCCTTGGAGCTGACCACTTCGAATTGTCTTTTCTTTCAGCTCCCCACCAGCCGCTTCTTTAAACCTCCCTCGTGGCCTTGAACCCAGTCACTCCGATATTGCCTTCTCTGCCGACACCCCATTGATTCTTTTCCTGGTTTTCCACTAATCTTCTCTTCATACTGATCTCCATAGTCCGTCTGCCCCTCTTACGTCCTTTCAGACCATCGTCATTCCAGTCATAATACAGTGCCCATCTGGGATGGCCTTGCTCGTTCCTGTACATATCTTCTTCCACAGCCAAGAAACCCTCAAAATCATCGAGAGTTATGCTCGAATCCACAAACTCATCGGTCCAGTCCCACGGTCCAACCTTGTGTGCTATACTGCCTGAGCGATTCGAGTACTTGAGTTCAAAAGTGTCGTTGTCCACGTATATCCAATTGAGCATCGGTGGGTCTTTCTGGATGGTCGTGACCAGGCCTCTCTCGGCAGGCGAGCGATCCTCGTCCGGGTACATGAGATAGAATCCGGTGAAAGGATGCGAATCTTCGCGTCTAGGTAATCCTGTGTTTCGGTTCTTGGCCTCGATCCAGAGTTTGTTGTCGCGGACAACCACTATGCTGTCGTGTAAAATTTCGCCTCGTCCTCGCGATCGTGATCCTTCATCTTCTATGACCACATCTATGTAGAACTTTGTCGTTCGTGATTCTGGATTTGCATTGGCGGCCTTTTCGTTCTCCTTTTGCTGATGAGATACACCTTGGGCTACACCTGTCACTACACCGACGCCTGTTGCGGCAGCGACTGGCAGGGATATACCAGGCCCATGATTACATCGAACACCATGTTGATATGATTGGCAAGTATTGATCCTTGAGAGCGTCTGTATCGATAGTTGGAAGTTCTTCGTAGAGTGAAGTTGAGAGATTGGTTTGCGTGCGACCTAGAGGCTATGGAGACATTCTCGGGTAGCGTCATTGCACAGCCAAACCTGTTTCAAATCTCAGGGTCTTTAGAAGGTTGCGTAGACCACCGACTTTTGGTGATCTGATAGACATGCACTCTCAAGGCACTACACTATCGTGTATGCTGTCTTCACCATAGGATTTGATAGAGTAGTCCAGCCAAACACGCCGGGTGCGAACGGCGCCGTTAGAATTCCTACCAAGTTTCTCGGTGAGAGGATGACCCTGCTCAGACGATCATCTCCTTGTCAACCACGTTTGAGGCTACCTAAATGGCTGGATGCTTACAGACAACATACTGACTGGTGCCTCGATTGCAGTTCAATGGTGTTTGACTGGTTTTTCGTGTTGTGGGATGACTCGTGACATTTGCAGTTATCTCTCAACTTCGATCACAGATCTGGGACGCGCCAGTACAGTCCCGCATGAGTTCGCAGGTGTTCACTTTAAGGGTTGTCGCAATAGTGTTCTCTGAAACGACTCAACCATTTCCCTAGCACTCAAATTCTTATTTCCATGACACCTCAGGCATGTCGCAGCTCAACATGAGGTTTTCAGCTCCGATGGGCGCGGACAGGGCCAGATCAAAGCGCGGCGCACCGGAGTAACAAGGTTACAAGGAGTGAGAAGCCTCTCCGAGGTTCATACCCAGTGCCAAAGTCTTGGCCCCGTTGTACTCGCGAGCTCAAGACCGGATAGAGAAAGACGCAAGGGGTCAAGGTTTGGTTTCCCCTGATTTGTTTCTAAAGAAAGGGCATGATCGATGTCGCAAGCATCTGACGGGACCAAGAAGGGAAATGAGATATCGCTTTCTTCTTTTAGAGCATGACAGCGATGATGGACAGCTCGTAGATATTAAATGAGAGATGATGCCGAGCCACGCGGCTATGTACAGCGACAAGAGGGTTCGGTGGAAGCGAGACCGGATGGAGAAGGAGATCCCTGGAAAACGGCATAAGCTCGAACCTTCCCCCGGTCAAAGACCCCTTTTGAGGCTGGAGAGCGTTTTGGAAGAAGACCGTCGTGGACATTCTAAAAAGTGCTCCGCCTCGATTGTCGACCTTTATGCTTGGCCGGCACCTCTCACAGTCACAGCCTCACGGACTCATATTGTCTATATCATCATCGTCCTGTTTATATACTGGTCTCGTTGTCGCAAGGTGTTGGTCGCATCTTACTCAGTCAGCCCAACATCGACAAAGGTTGTTTCCCCCAAGCCGGAGCTGAAACAACAGCCACCTTACGCCGGTTGCACCCTCCATCCTTGGCTTTTCTTGTCCAGGCAGGCCTAAAGCAGTGTAGCAATCAATCAACTGCAGCAAGCCGCCTTTGCACAAACACGACCACTCTCGCTCGCTTTTCCCCTCCTCTCAGCTGCGCTCACTCTCGCGCTTCCCGTTCGTTAGTCTTGGTCGTGTGGCCAACATCACTGCACGCGACACACCGCTTCGATCGAGTCTCGGCCCACCGGTCCGTGTTTGTCACGCTCACCCTTACTCCCTGCAACCAGGCGACTCCTGTCCGACGCATCAGCCCAACCCCGACCGTATCAAAACATCCCTAGGCCGCTGCTGAGCGGCTCCCGACCGTCACCATTACCAACCACAAGAAAAAGACCTCTCATCTGGGAGGTCAGGGTTTCCCAACAGCTCTTACATACCTCTCGATCGCGACCGTAGTGTCAGCCCCTTCCCTGCTGGGGGTTACCATGATCGCGAAGGGCTCACTGGTCCTTCTTCCTTCAGACAATCAACGTCAAGTCGCATCATGTACATGCCCAGTTCGAAATGGACGTGGTCATTCCTATTGATCGCCGTCTGTCAAGCTGCCATCGGTCTGGGACTTGAGNNGGGTGCGTCGTTATTGTCTATGTGCTCATGGCTTCCCACTGCTGACACGTGCTATAGCTATGTGTTTGCAAAATTCCAAATTTCGCTTCATCCAGAAGCGCGCAGAACGACACAATCACGAACGATTCCTACATACCTCGCCTTGTTCATTTTCGGCTTCATATACCAACTTGCTCTCGTCTGGGACGCTCTACGCCTCAAGAACACAATTCAAGTCATCGGACTCTGTCTTTATAACCTCGGTCTGCTCATCTACGCTACCGTCCAGTACGACCAAATCGATCGCGCCGTTCAGGTTCTGAACCAGCACACAGAAATCCTAGCCGGTTTTGGGCAGGACGTGAAGCCTTTCCTGGTAGCAGTACCCTGTGTCCTTGCGTTGGGTACGATAGCTTTCAGTTTTGTGGCGTGGAAGTTATATGACGAGTTTGCGTGGTCAATCTACAAGCACATCTCAGCAGACTTGCGTCTGAAGAGACGTTACCTTGTTTACCAGGTATGATTTCCAGTACTGCAAGCAGACCCTTGGACATGGACTGACGATGAATAGATTTACATCGCCCTTCTCAAGTTCGACTTTTTCTTCTTCCTCGGATTCACAGTGCAGTTCGTTGTCGTGGTTCGCGAACATACGTCCAACATCGAATTTGCCCTTACCATTGCCGCCATACCAGTTACCATCGCGATTCTGCTTGCGGCTGCATGGTTTACGAGACGCGAGTCCACGCTGGGAATGTGCAGCACGATTGTCCTCTACTTCGCCGCTATGGCGTACTTCCTNTTCAAGCTCGTGCGTATGTACGATACAAACAATCCGGCCAGAGTGGAGGACTACGAGCCTGCGCGAAAAAGTTTGACGACATTTGCTGTCATCACGCTACTACTGTTGATTTTGACCATCATCAATTGCGCATGGTGTACGGCAAACTTCAACAAGGGGCTCAAACCGCACGTCCAACGACGAAGAGCGATCGGAGTCGAGGACAAGAGCTATGCGTACGAGAGACGACACAATTCTCTAGGAGGAGCACATGCCATGGGAGCAGTTCCGGCAAGGATGACGATTGACTGATTGATTCGACCCTTCTGGCAAGAGTAGAGACAAGATCACGACGTTTCGGCTGGGCCGGAACGAATTGCCTATCGCATAGACGACCTTTTTCGATATCCCACGGGTGTCAGGCCGAGGGTCTCACAAGTACCTGCCTTTCATCACGGCGTTTTGTTTTATTTCCTTTTAGTGGTTTTAGCTGTCAGCTTTTCTATGGCACGATTTGGATGGAGAAGCATCGTCTCTATGATGAGTTCAGAGCGTGTAAATGTCTAGTAACGGCAGAATCTGTTTTCTATTCGATCGAATGTCGTCCCCTACACACGTCCACCTTGTGATAGGCGTAGAAGATGATGATAGACCAGGACGGATGGTAGTCAGTGGCTTAGCTCGTGCCGTGCCCCAGCCACAATGACGCGCGCGGGGTCGAAGATGCGGCATGCCAAACAAAACTGGCAGGCATCCGCAGCGAAACACTCTCCAAGGAGTGCCTGACACTTCGAATTCTCGAACAACATGGCGGAACAAAAGACGCCGAGTGTCACCATGGCCGAGATTCCCTCGACCATGCTTGCTCAAGCTGCGGCTGCTGCGAGAGCGAATGACGACCAAGAAAACCGCCTGACTCCATCAAGGACGGCCGAATACTTAAGCCCGAATAGCACAGACGAGAACCTACCACCGCCAGCATACGGCGACACATACGGCGATGTAAGCAGCCAGGACGCTGGTCTGGGTACCAAGGCCACTTTACGCTCCGATGGACGAGTCAACATCAATATCAACCAAACATCTCGCCACTTGTCGAGCTTGCTCGTACCTGCTCTCAGAAGCCAGCTTGATCTTGCCGACACTACCCAGGTCCCTCCGCCATATATTCCTACATCGCTCGGAGGGGCGCCCGGTCAACCNCCGCCACCACCTCTCAACGTAGTTATCCATGTTGTTGGCTCAAGAGGAGACGTACAACCATTCGTCGCACTCGGAAAAGTTCTCAAAGATCAATATGGCCATCGCGTCCGTCTAGCAACACATCCTGTCTTCAGAGACTTTGTTACCGAGAACGGTCTCGAGTTCTTCAGTATTGGAGGTGACCCTTCTGAACTTATGGCTTTCATGGTTAAGAACCCTGGATTGATGCCCGGATTTGATGTTATGAGAAGAGGTGACATTGGNAAAAGACGCAAGGAGATCTCTACCATGATCAAAGGTTGCTGGCGGAGTTGCATCGAGTCCGGCGATGGTACTGGTGTCGCAGTAGACGACAACACAACCGAAGAATGGATGCGCAATACCGATTCCACCATCAAGCCTTTCATCGCCGACGCCATCATTGCAAACCCTCCCTCATTCGCTCATATCCATTGTGCCGAGAAGCTAGGATGTCCTTTACATATGATGTTCACCATGCCCTACTCTCCTACACAGGCCTTCCCTCATCCTCTGGCTAACATCCAGTCCACCAATGCTGATCCCCACCTTACCAATTTCATTAGTTATACACTCGTCGAGATGTTGACCTGGCAGGGTCTCGGCGACGTCATCAACAGATTCAGAGTGAAGGATCTTTCTCTGGATCCTATCAGTTTGATATGGGCTCCTGGCATGTTGACAAGACTGCGCGTCCCCTACACGTACTGCTGGTCGCCTGCTCTGATTCCCAAACCCAAAGATTGGGGCAACCAAATATCTATTGCTGGCTTCTATTTCCTCTCTCTGGCTTCGAACTTTACACCGCCTCCTGATTTGAAGGCTTTCTTGGACGCTGGACCACCACCTGTATACATTGGCTTTGGCTCTATTGTGCTTGATGACCCCAACGGCATGACCAAACTCATTTTCGATGCTATCAAGAAGACTGATAGACGTGCCTTGGTGTCTAAGGGCTGGGGCGGTTTCGGCGCTGATGAACTCGGCATACCAGAAGGTGTTTTCATGCTGGGGAACGTGCCTCACGATTGGTTGTTCAAGCATGTATCTTGCGTTGTCCATCACGGAGGCGCAGGAACCACTGCTGCTGGCATAGCGTGCGGTGTTCCCACCGTCATTGTTCCATTCTTCGGAGATCAGCCNTTTTGGGGAGCCATGGTCGCTAAAGCTGGAGCTGGTCCTAATCCTATTAACCACAAGGACTTGACTGCCGACAATCTAGCCGAAGCAATCAACAAAGCTCTTGAACCGGCCACTAGAGAAAGAGCACAGGATCTGGCCAACAGCATAAGTCATGAGAAGGGCACTGAAACCGGTGCTCAGAGTTTCCACCAATTTCTTGAAGTCGACAAGATGAGATGTAGCATAGCACCTAGCAAAGCAGCGGTGTGGCGACTAAAGAGAACCGAAGTTCGTCTTAGTGCCCTTGCAGCGACCACTTTGGCTACTGAAGGATTGCTGGACTTCAAGGATCTAAAATTGTACCGCCCAAGAGAGTATGAGGCTGATGAGGGTCCTCCTGAGCCCATATCTGGAGGTGCTGGCGCTCTCACTGGCACAATCAGCACAATGATGATGGGTGTCGCCGACTTCCCTGTTGCTGCGTTGAAGGCTTTGAGAATACACCCTGATGCTGTTCCCAACAAGACTACAACAGATCCACAGGCTGCTTCTCAGCAACCTTCGTCTGAGGGCCAATCGACAGAAGTTGACTCTACATCCAGGGAGTCAGCTGTCTCTCAATCAAGCAGACCGACTTCGCCTTCTAGAGGTCCTAGTGCGGGCGCAACTTTCAATCTCGATGAGTCGTTTGCAAAGATGGGTTCTCCCCATCTAACAGCTGAAGACAAGACGGATAGAGGGAAGCGTAGTCGCTCTTCATCCTTGGCTGCTGCACTGCAGGGTCGTCTGGGTAGCCAATTGCGCCATCGCTCTGGCTCTCGTAGCGGCTCTACTTCAAGGTCTTCGAGTCCCCGCAGGGCAAACACCGCGCAGTCACAGACATCAGCACAATCTCAGTCACAAGGAGGCGAGACAAACCTTAGAGAAGTTATCGATGCCGCCTTCGGCACAAGTAAAGGCGTTTCTAGAATCGTTGGAGCTGGTTTCAAATCACCAATGGACTTCACGCACGCTCTTGCAAAGGGTTTCCACAATGCACCAAAGCTTTACGGAGATGAGTCGGTCAGGAAGCCTGACAAGATCACTGACTTCAGATCTGGACTCCGTGCAGCCACCAAGGAGTTCGGATTTGGTATGTTCGATGGCATCACTGGACTCGTCACACAACCTGTCGAAGGCGCAAAGAAGGAAGGAGCCGCTGGCTTCATCAAGGGCTTCGGCAAGGGTATTGGTGGCATAGTGCTCAAACCTGGCGCAGCCATTTTCGGCATCCCGGCTTATACTATGAAGGGTGTCTACAAGGAGCTTCAACAACTGTCCGGATCTTCCGTCCAGAACTACATCATTGCAGCTCGCACAGCACAAGGGTATGATGAGTGGCACAGGTCAAGCGCCCAAGAACGACAGAAAATCATCCGACGCTGGAAAGTGGTTGAGTCGGAGGTCAAGAAGAAGAGATTCATTCATGAACAATTCCAAGATATGCTCAGGAAGCAATGGGATGGTGACAACCGTGAAGGTGGTAACGGCAACGATGCTCAAGCCAGAGGTTCGCGTTCCTTGTTGGGCATGCGTCCTCGATCGCGTGCTAATTCGCGTGCAGTGAGAATGAGTACACACAGCGAAGTCACAACACCGACGGTTGAGGTCACACGGTACCCGAGCGAGCCTCCTAAGTACGAGGACTTGCAATTCACGCGTGGTGCTGGCGGAAACGAATTGGAAAGCGCCATTCAAGCATCCGTCGCTGATACCAGCCGTGGAGATCCAGAGCAGGATGCCATGATCGAGCGCGCCATCCGCGCCAGCATTGCCGAATTAGCATCTGGTCAGAATCCTTCCGGCAATGGCAGCGGCAACAACACCGATGACGAAGATGAGGTTCTTCGCAGAGCGATCGCAGCGAGTATGCTAGATCATCACGGCCAAGATCCACCAGCATACCAAGACACACCATCTTCCGAGCACGATGAAGAATTAAGAGCCGCGCTCAAAGCCAGCCTAGCAAACCCTTCCGAACACCAAGATAAACGCGTCAAACATCAAGTGCACTCTACCGACAGCGAATGGGATACCAACTCTGGCTCCGACGACGAAGACTACCGCCTCGCCGTCAAAGCATCCCAAGACCAGCGCTCCTTAGACCAACACTCCACTAACGACGCAGACCTCCAAAAGGCCATCTCCGAAAGCCAAGATGCCCACAAAGCGACGACCAGCGCTGAAGAAGAGGAAAGAGTGGTCATGGAGTACGTCAAGAAGCAGAGCTTGTTGGAGGAACAGCATCGAAAGAATGTTGCTGGTAAGGGTAAAGGCAAAGAGGTTGAGCATGATGATGATAACGATGATGATGAAGACTATAAAAAGCTCTGGAGATGAGTTTGCAGCAGGACGGCAAGAAGGGAGGGAGGGCTTGAAGTTGAGAAGGACATTTTGGTTATGACTTTATGATAAGAGATATAGCACGATACCCCTTTTTTCTTTTTTTTCTCCCAAAGTACACGATTTTTGCTTCTTGATTTCCCTCCACTTTTCTGTTCTTCGTTGTTCTCTGGTGACTCTTTTCACCCGCTCAAAGTATCTTCAGAAGACGGATCCTGATGGGGATTGGATGATGTGATAGTGACAAGAGAATGTGTGTGTGTGTTGGGGCATGTCATGTTCCTCGCCGCAGCCCATCCTTCGTCTTGAAACTTCTGATGATCAATGGAGTTCCTAATCTGTGCTCATGTCAAAGCCCGTGGTTGGTCGACCCTCAGCCCAAAGCGCTTCTCATCCTGTTGCCATGTCTTGACCAAAAGCTCAATGTGCAGACTCAAGGATGTTCTGAGCGAAGGTACACTGTTTGCACTCTTCTCTTCTTTCGAGGCGGAGATGCAATCTGTGCACTCAACGCGAAAAGCAACTTTGCAGTCAACTCAGTGTCAAGCAGAGATCCATTTTCGATCTTGGCCTTGAACTCGGGATTTCTGGTCACGAAATGGAAGTTGTCAGACAGCCAGGAGAACAAAGTGTTGCGCAGCTTGCTGTCGGCCAGCTGAGGTGCGCCTGGACCGCAGAGCTTCATAACGCATTCTGCGACTGCACGATGGTCTTCCTCGCCCAGAGTGTCAGAGCCCGTACATTCATCCAGCAAGTTTTTAACGGCGGATATGGCAGCGTTGCGGGCGGAGGGGACATCATAGATGTCTGAAAGCATGTAGACTCTGATAGAATACATCAATTCATGCTCGTTCTCAGCATGATAGAATCGAGTGTTCTTTGGATGAATGCCAGAAGGCATGCCGTAGACATGCTTGAGCATGGCATAGATGGGCATAAGATCTTCTGGGCTGTCATGGACGATGTTGAAGACTGCGCTTGTTGCGACAGGGAACTGAGAGTTGAGGCTGCGTTCGAAGAAGGGNNGAGACCACATGCGCAAGATGGCTCTGTGAGCATAGACTTGATGGCAGCCGAACTCGAGGATGATGTCGGAATCTTTGGGGTTGTTGAAGACAGTGGGATTGCTAAAGAGAGTTTATCAGTATGAGATAAAGGTGAATAGGGAGTCGGGACTTCTCTTACGCGTTATCGCCGTTGATAAAGTCCTTGTCGTCCATGATTGCGCTTCTGTTGTGAGGTGATGCATGAGGAAGATAGGTGGGAAGGAGCGAGCAGGAAGAGAAGACTTAAATGAGTTGTCGACTTCCTTGTTTGTTGTGGTTCAGAGATTCACTCTTGCCCTAATTATTCAGAACTTTCACTCCGAGAGACATCAATGCTTGTTCACTTATGGTTGGCTACCAAACAGCTCTCTTCCTCTCTCCTCCCATGAGTTGGATTTCGTCAGAGGGCAGCTGCAAGAATGCACGATAAATTCCGAAAGAGGGAGTGGTATCCAAGGATAGCATCCATTCTAGGACGTCTTCATGGCCAAACTTCATATTGGAAAGCCATTGTGTATTTCGAAAATCTCGGAGATCTCTGTAACTCATCATGAGAGTGTCCAAGTCCTTAGTGCCTAAGTTAGCCGTGGTCAATCGTTCGCGCCTGCAACAACTCGGAAGTAACACACTCCCTTCGATCCTTGCAAACTCATGTCTGGATATTTCATACGCGACCATCCACCATTTGACATAACAACCTTTTTCTCACCTCACTTTCTCTCTGCTTCTGCTAATTCTGAGACTTCCGACATCCTCAATCTATAGCGCTCTCGAATTGTTGTCCCACTCTCTTACAGGTGTGCAGTATTGTGGTGCGCTGCAGCCTTTGTTTCACAGATATCTCCCAGGATCTGATACTGTTCGCCGAGTATCAAGTATCAAGCCACTCCCTCCTCCTCATACTCCCGATATGTGGGGATAATGGCCTCGGCTAACACAAGCTAAACTGGACCAGATGATGGCAGAATTAGATCACGAGTTCGAAGCTGACATGGCCGAGAAGTCCGAACGAATACGTTTGAGGATGGAACTCGAACGTAGAGGCGAGCCCGAATATGTCGCAGAATGGCCGTCCGATGATATAACTCCCGAAGTTGTCGTACTAGAATCATATCATTCTCAGGGGTTCAATGATTTCTTCGATCGTGTCAACGGATCTGACATTTATGGTTGTGCTGAGCCTTTCATCGAGAAAGCACCTGTCGTCCTCGCCTTTGCTGGTACCTTTGACTTCGATGGAGATGATGCATGTTCTTGGATCACCTATGGCGCCTTCGCTGAAGACAAGAAAGACAACTTTATCAGTATGGTTCTACACCCTGATACGCAGTATCCGTCGATCGAGCTATTTATCCGGCGTGAAGATAGTTCGATAGCCTCCTGCCGTATATTTGCCAATAGTCTCAAGCTGTACATGGGTCTTCCATATCTAGTATCATAAATCCGTGGTGGCGACTTGCAGCTGGACAGGCCTGGCTGTGAGAGGACCGCCGGACTCTATCCTGATTATGGTCAAATCGAACTCAATATTCCGAGGGAAGATACCTCGAAGGAGAATCCAGCTTTGGCAGACATTCAACCGATTTGGACTGGAGACCTCATCGAGAAGGAGATATCTGATATCGTTACTGCCTACTAGAGGGCCTCTACTGAACACACTCTATCCGTACCTCCGGAGCCGGATGCATTCACCGTGAGGCTCACAGCGTCTCAAGCTGTAGCCTAGGATAATTCGGCAGCGGACCCGACGATCATGAGATCAATCCTTTCGATACGCCTATGGCCCTTTCCAAAGACTGCGTGGGCTTACGCCTCTGATACAAGAACGCCTTGTGCCGTTCTCACGGCGTTGAACAGTATGCGAGTCCTACTCGCTGAACCTGTTCAGATTTAGCCAAAACGAATTGGTTGGTTGTTGGTTGGACCGACGAGTGTGAAATGACGAGAACACACAACAGGGAACTTCCTCGAAGTGTGCGCTCGTTAAACATGCTCAGATCCTTCCTGGCGGGCAGACCTCCACTTTGAGGCTTGACCTCGCATAGTCGGATATCTTCGCCTCGAAGGCTTAGTTGAGGGATTAACCATGGGCACAGACGGCATGGGCACTATCACACTACAGCAGCGATACGTGTACAACGCATCAGACCCAGATCCGATAGTGCAGGTGACAAGGGACTCCACGAGACAAGCAAGTGCTTGTACATGTAAGCACTCGTCTCAAGCAAATGCGGCAGTGGTGCATCGACAGACTCTCTGTCGGATACACCGAACTACGAAAGTTACTTCCAAGGATACCTGTAAAGTAGCTAGTAGACTCAAGGGATATCAATTTACATTGGTCTTGAGGTATGCGGGAGGAGAACACCACGCTGGGGCAATATCATGCAGCCAAACGACATCCTTGTAGGGCCTGTGACGAATAGTCGCGGCATTGGTCTCACCTTGTTTCTCAAACCGGCATTTGTGTTTGGATATGATAGATGAACAAGTATTTATATCATGGTTTGAGAAGGAAACGTACCTGTCGGTTTGTCTCAAAAGGCATCTCTCAGGAAAACAGCGTGCAAACCTCGCAATGGAGGCTGGAGCATCGAAGCTTAGCCTAGATATATTGTACGGGTTTCGACTTCAAAAACACCAAACGGGGTTGTACGATTCGACTGCAGGTCTCAGCTCTTACAAGACTATGTATCTTGACCTCAGCTAAGCGAGCTGAACCATATACAGCTCGAAGCAATAGTCAACAGTTGTACCCAACGATACTTTGTGTAGTGATGTGCCTACTTCCCTGTCTGATGCCATGTTTTGTCGCAAGAGCGGAAAGATGAGGTGCACGACAAGTGATATGTCTTGAAGCGTGCTCCGAAAGAAGAGCTGAAGTCGAGACATATCGAACGGTAGCCTCTGCGCTGCAGGTGGCGTTGTCCCGCTCCTGCGCTTCCTCGATCCTTGGCTGGTTTTGTTCAACCAACAACTTCCTTGGGATTGCATCACACCTGTTTTTCCAGTCTCGCGACGTCGATGTCTACCAAACGACAGTCGTTGGCGGTATGCCGTAAGCGAATGAGTACAGCTTGGGGCTAGCTGAGGTCGTCCTTCCATCAGGATGAACTGCAGGATCATCGACAGGAGCAGCTGAAGTCTGCCAGCGATGTTCACGTCTTTTTTACTTGGTCGGGTATGCGAGGCATCCAACGAGGGATATAAAAGGCCGTTGTTTCTGCTCATCTAACATCAAATTCACAACTCACAGCGCTCTTTGTATCAGCAAAACAGCATTTCTGTCTTATCTTCATACTCGATCAACCTACTCTTACAGGATGCCTCTTCTGAACGAGACTACCAACGGAAGCAACAATGGTTACTCAACCAAACTTACAGCGCAAGCTGCTGTCTGGACCCTCATGGCTCCCAAAGACAAGCCCGTATCCTATGAATCTGCAATCGTGGCCGATCATGGACCAGAGGTCGACTCGGTATTCTTACCTGATGAGCGAGAGCTTGTTGACCTCCGCGACATATTAGATGGCGGCAGATACCGTTGTGAGTGGTGTACATCTCATGTTCAAAGCCAAACTAATGGGTACCCCTCAAGCAATCGTCAAAATCCACTCTTGCTTCGAGGACTCTGCTACCAAGAAACAGGTCTGGATGATGGGTACTGGTTGGCTTATTCGTCCTGATATTTTGGTCACGGCTGGCCACGTTGTCTTCGATTATTCCCAAGATTATCGTGCCACGGTCCAGATCAAGTGTTACATTGGCTACAACGGAAAGGGTTCCATCAATGATCCTGCTTGTCAGCCACGCTATGGGCAGCGCGTCATTACCACAGGCGAGTGGACCAAAGACCCCAACCGTGGCAAGGATGTGGCTTTCATCCAAGTGGCCAAGCCTTTCGAAGGCAATCTGAACTTGTTCGACTACGTCGATACTCCGGTATCCGATACGACCACGCTCAATATTGTTGGCTACCCTGGAGACAAGTCACTGAATAACAGTGAGAGTGGTGCACAGATGTATGAATTGTCGAAGAAGATCACGTATGACCTCAACGACAACGACCTTCACATGATTCACTACCAGATCTCGACCTTCGGAGGTAGGTATTCTCTGGGCAGAATAACTTTTGGATCATGAAGCTAACGAATCGTAGGACAATCTGGAGCCCCCATTCTGCGCAAGAAAGATGGACTCACCGAGTCAATCGGTACTCACTGCTACGGCGGCGGTGGAAAACAGAGCAATTCGGGCAACTAAATCGGCGGCCAGTGGGGAAACCCTTACGACAGCTTCGTCAGCTTGTTTTCGGATGTTTCAGCATGTGGTGAGCCTGAGAAAATCAAATTCATCGATTTGCACCCTACTGGCAGCAACATCATACCCCAGCAAGCCGGCGAAGAGGGCTTTTTGACGTGTTCAAAAGTGTTCTTAAAGTTGGAGCAGGTGTGCTTCCCATAGCAGGAAGCGTTTTTGGACCCATTGGCGGCGCTGTGGGTACCGCAGCTGGCGCCATTCTTGGAGCCGTCTCGGAAGCCGCTCTGATGAGTCGCGAGAGCGGCCTCAGCGAAGATGTCTTGATGAAAAGCGGTGTTGCAGAGCGGGCTATGCTCGCAGAAGCTTCCTTACAGGCTGTTCTATCTCTGCCTATCACCTCAGAGTCCCAAGCTGTCATCCGACACATGGAAACCATTTGGCATAACGCTCCCCCTAATGTTGATTTCCTAGCTAAGACATTAGCACCTCAGATCAGTGCAACTGCACTGTCCTTGGCTGTGAATCAGCTGCCCAGATCTTCTACAGGTTCTGGTCAGGAGGCGTTCATAGGCCGCAAACCACTGACATCTGGCCCTGAGAGCTCCGCCATCGGGCAGACGCCCTTCATTGAGGGGCTCTTTGCACCTACAAAACCTGTCTCTGGAGCGGAAGGCATATTTGACTGGCTCGGAGACGCGCTTCATGCGGCTCTGACCGTGGCTAAGCCTCTAGTCACGCAAGCTGCGAAGGCAGCTATTACCGATCTTGGTCCCAAACTTGTCGATAAAGTCCTGGGCAGTATCAGTGGCGGAAGCGAGTCTCTTCTCGTTCAAGCTGGCCTGAGCAAAGAAACAGAAGTGAAGCTCTTGCTCAAGCGTGCCCTAGTTGCCGACACAGCACTTCAAGCTCTCCAG